CTTCAATCACAAACTCTGCGTTTGGTGCAACATATTCGGGTTGGATTGGACTGAGATCGTTGCCGATGACTTTGGCTGATGGATACATGCTGTTGAGGACCTTGTGAACGTACATGACTTGGGCTCTGCTTCTTTTCTTTTTTTCTCTTTTTTTTTTTTTTTTTATTATTATTTTTTTCTGGGGTTGCATTTGCGGGCATGTGACAGGACAGGGTATGCATACTCTGCGACATCTAGAGCCCAGATACCAGTCCCAGTCCCTAGGTCAAGAATTGCTTGAGGGTGGCTCAGTGGTGCGAGATGGTATCGACCGCGAAGAGCAAGAGTGAATCTAGGAGGTTAGTTCCTCTATGACGCTGCCGGTCAATAATCGCGACATACATATGGTGAACCGATAAAAGAAGAACATGTTAGCCAAATGTTACCACCGCGGTAAGTAAATAAGTAAATACTCACTAAGTCAAGGCGGTCTTTTTCATCATCGTCGTTCGGTAGACTGGATACATAAGTATCTTCTCCTTTGCATTTCGGATTTTTGGATATTCATGTAGCCTTACACATATTTTCCCTAGGATGTTCAGCACAAACAAAATCTTTGGGATTACACCATGAAAGAACATATTTACCTCTCGAAATGAATGATATCGCCGCCCATTCTCATAGATGTAATTCGTAACGGACGAGGTCAACGACGTCAAATCACTTTCCGCATCACTCCAGTAATTATTATCATCATCACTCTCTCCGGAAATAGGCTATATAAATGAAGTCAAAAATTTTTGCCAAAATGATCAGCCCGTAAGCTCACGCCTAGAGGAACGGATCGGACTGGAAATAGGAACGCACCTCAATAATGGGTACTGACTCTGCGGATGGCGCCGCTGGAGAGACTAAAGGCCGCTCCGGTGGGGAGCAGTCGGGGTTCTTTTGCGACGACATCACGTTGCTGAATGGTAAACAATCAACAAAAAAAGCGGCGGAATGAAGAGAAATGAAGAGGATCAGGCATTGCAGACCACGTTGGATGGATCCACTGCAAATCTTTCTACGCAGGGATGGATGTCGCAGCTCGGCGGCATATTGCAGGCCAATACAACTCCAAATCCTTGTAGGAATTAGTGGATGTGGGAATCCATCCAGCCTAATAGGCTAATTGAGCACTAATAATCAGTAGTAAGGGAGTACTCCGTATGCCTACTAATTTAGTAAACACGGCAAGTCGACAAATCCAGCAAAATGCGTTATACTATTAGCGTCGATAGCGTGGTTATTCCTATTAAATAAATCACACGATAGTCAGTTCTCTGTACCCCCGTATCTCTTGGCATGAAGAGAACCTCATCTGTCAGGCTGGCCCCCTTCTACTTTGACTGTTTCCATCGTATAATCTGCAAAGCACAATAACATCCATCGCCCCTGGGTCTCCCGGGCTTCATCACGTCCCTAAGTGTTTATACATAAATGATATTTGCGGCGGCCTTCATTGACTTCTTATAATGTTGACAATATTACTCATTCTTACGATCTCCGCATACATACTAGAAATCCGGTGGAGGGTCGTATTAAATCCGACAGATATATAATCACGACCATTCACCATCATATATTTACTTCATCATAGTAAATTGATACCTAGGCATATGTTTGTAGTTGCTTTGCCTTGGCATAAGTTACTGTGTTTAATACAAGCCTAACTAATTGAGAGTCAGCAAACAGTACTTTATTCTGGGATATGTATCGAGGCGGGGGTTCTTCTAGCCTACTAGGTCGAGACGTTGGATACCTACTTCACTCTTGTTATTTCGTTTATATCTTCGAATACGTTTGGGACCTGGGTGTTGTCAAATCTATCACAACGTACCTCGACACAACTCGGCAATTAGCAGGCCGGATCCAGTCCTGTAATATCTTACTATATTGAGTGTATAAGCTAGTATATAAACTATATTATTCAGTGCAAGATTAAGTGACACTTAACATTGAGCTAGACAAAGATCTGAATATTTGCAGATTCTTGGTGCCTGCATGGCAGACCGGGTCAATGACTGCCACTGCTCAATATAGACCCAGAAAGTATCACAGTTGTTGCTATAGAGGTTGAAGTGCAATAGTAGGTTGAGCGATAAAGTCCCATTGTTGGTAGGCAACAGTGTACGTTATTTACCCTGGGAAGGAAAAGCAGATCCAGGAACTTACAACCTCATGAGGGTCAACTCAATAACTAATACACTATCCGTTCGATAACTGCTGAATTATACTGCGTACCGTGTATACGTATACCTCTGGTACACGATTCTGCGATATCTACATCTTACTCACGGTACCGATGGATACTCGATGATAGAGAAGATTGGCTCCGAGTGCGTCATGAGTAGTAGTAAGTCAAAATCGATAGATCTAGGTAATAGATACATACCATGTTCTGGTCATTACTACAACTGCCTCGTCTATCCACAATTCTTCACATTCGACCCTAATATTTTATACTTTTACCTAGATGCTTAGACCGAGAGAACCATGGAAGGGTGAATTAATTCTAATGATGACGAAAAATAAATCAATACCTTGGCTAAAATAGGTAACCTAGAGTATAGTTGAGTACGTCGGTTCTTTGCTAGATATGGCTAACGACTGCCCATGGTATTTTGCTGTTTGATCTACGCTCTGTACCAGGCACGACCGAGGTACTATATATTGCCTAGAGAATTATACTTTGTACGTCGATGGATGACGCCCCAAATGTCATTGAAAATCGGACATGCGAACCCTCCTAATACATACCCGTTGGTTATCCGCAACGAGCTGAACCACGGTAGACATCGCTCTACATTTATCAACGATTAAGTGGTTAAGGAACCAAATAGGCTAATCTATCTAGTTCTCTTCTGTAATTGCAATGAGATCCCTCACAGCGTTCCCTAACTCCGAGATTACCTTGCCAGCTCGCGGAATTGTATGGCCTTTGCCTGTGTCAAACATATGTGCAGTGTCCGGGTCACACACGTTGTACAATGCAACAGCGCCATGTCGATAAGGATCTAAGTGTAAATTTGTTAGAATCAGAACCCAAACACGGAATTAAATCACTGACCGTTTGCTCCGACAATGTGCAGAGTAGGAATATCAACGAGTGTGTCACTTTCGTCTGCGAGCAGGGGCTTATTCTTTCCGTTGAGCGGAGGCCAGCCAGTAAAGAAAACGGCGCATTTTATCCTTCTAGGTCGTCCCTCGTTTTCCAGTTTGCTCAGCTCATCTAGGATGAGCGTAGCGGCCATTGCAGACCCTTCGCTGTATCCGATGATCCCTTCTATGTCGGGGTGACTTTCTAGGGTATCATAAAGATACTGCATAACAGCATTACGATTCCTCCAGCCTTTGTCGGAAGAAGTTAAGATTCTCATAACGTCTTCTGGATCCTGGCCAACGGGGAGCTCACGGATACGATTGAGCATTGAATCTTCTCCAGCACCCTCATCGTCCATCCATCTGTAATGAGGCCCTGGACCGAAATATTCGCTGAACCCTACCCACCCACAACTGGTTTAGATCGTACAAATAGAGAACAATAAACCAGGTGACCCTTTGGTCTGTATATGATTGCTTACCCGCAGGAGGAATTACTGCCACAGGGGCATTGATGAAGTGAAACGTGGCCGTGTGATCACTGTCAAGTTCTTTTCCCAAGGGCTCTAGAATCGTTGAAATGTTAGTTTGAATGATCTAAGTCATAATCATAATTACCGCTTCTCACCTAGTTGAATTCTTATGTTCTGTGCCTGTCAGTACCAAGACCCGTTTCAAGTGTAGTTATAGTCTGGACTTACATCAACATTTCCGATTGCACCGTGAAGGCATAGAAACCGCATTGTAACGTATGTAGGTGTGGTTCTTGTGTCCAAGTGGAAAGTGTGAGTGTCGATACCTAGACCGACTTGAGGGAAATACTCTCAAGATTTATTATTGGCCGATCATGCACCAGTAAGCTCTGATGGCTAGTGGTGTCGAGCAAGCAATTTCACTCTTTAATATTGTACAAAGTGCCAAGAATTTGGGTAGCATCCGTATGGAAAAAAATAATTTTGCGAACGAAGCTAATTACATGTGAATGTTTTTGCTATGTGAAGTGGATGACGAGAGATCACATAGCAGAATTGAGTTTAATATTCATAGACGAGGGATGGGCATGATCAAGGAGATCGTCGACAACGTAGAAGTCAGGACCATAGACTTGGCCTATTTGGGAAGGGGGAGCTAGGGCTTCTTGCGGCACGCTACATAAATGTTGGCCTGAGGCCCCATTATTTTGTTTCTCAAAGATGCTCTGATATCAACAACTCCCACGACGTCCTGTGCTACATGCGCTCTCTTCCGTAACTCTGAGTCGCACTGATATGCGGCTCGCCTCTCAACCACGGGATGCACTTGCGGACTATGTATCACTAATGGAATGGGCTAAACGTTGGTGTCTACCACCAGCACCAGAATGTCTTCTGGCATCTGCAATGGCGACTCCTGGATTGCTCTTGGTGGGCCATCATGCCTTGGTCGTATCACAAAAGAAGCCCTCATGTCACGGAACGCGATCCAGCAAAAGAGGTGAAACTTAGTTTGGATCTCCCGGGATTATGCGTTTGCCGACTTAACACGAGATAGCAGGACCCCTTGCATCATCTCCCCTCAGGGAATTTTGGTCAAATTAGACAGCTAGATGATAAGGTCTCCTTATTTTCATCCTATGACGCGCAATATGGACCCTCCACAACAAGGAGAGCGCGATATAAAGCGCGATGATCGTATCGTGGGGATACAGATCCCCCCTTGGAGTCGTGCGCTCTAAAATACTCGCGTTGCCCTTCTCCATGGCATTCCTTTTTCCATGCTCTTTCACTCATTCACACACCCCAAATTTTTTGAAACCATGGATGGTTTTTCGGACATTCCACAGATGCATGCAGGTTCTGCAACACTGTATCATGATGCAGCCTGCTGTCAGGAAAACCAACCGCAGAAGATTGCTATCATCGGTTATGCCTGTCGTCTGCCAGGGAATGTCTCATCGCCTACAGACTTGTGGGAGTTGTGCACACGGAAACGCAGTGGCTGGTCACCCATTCCAAAGGACCGTTTCGCGTCCGGTGCATTCCACCACCCCAACCCTTCCAAAGTGGGCACATTCAATCCAACAGGTGGTTACTTCCTACAGGATGACATAGCGCGCTTTGACGCCCCTTTCTTCAATATAACGGCCCAGGAGGCAATATCTATGGACCCACAACAGCGTCTACTACTCGAATGTTCCTACGAAGCTGTGGAGAGTGCTGGCCTACCTAAGGAATCCCTCGCAGGAAGAAACGTCGGTGTTTTTGTCGGCGGTAATTTTGCCGATTATGAGCTGCGCAATGTACGCGATGTCGAGACGATACCTATGTACCAATCGACGGGCTGTGCGCCATCACTTCAGTCCAACCGATTATCTTACTATTTTGACTTCCGGGGTCCCAGTTTCACAGTTGACACTGCGTGTTCTTCCTCTCTGGTAGCGCTTCATGCAGCCGTGCAGAGTTTACGGAATGGCGAGTCGACTGAGGCTCTCGTTGCCGGATGTAGACTAAATATCGTTCCTGACTTGTTTGTGTCCATGTCAATGTCACAGTAAGTCCACCAACTACCATACCATTCCTTGTCAGATCATATCACTCTCAGAACTAGCCGACACTGACCAAATACAAGACTGTTCAACGATGAAGGGAAAACATATGCGTTTGATAATCGAGCTACATCAGGGTTTGCGCGAGGTGAAGGCGCTGGCGTTGTCATATTGAAGCTTCTCGACGATGCTCTCAGAGATAAGGATCCCATACGAGCCGTTATTGTGCATTCTGGAGTTAGTCAGGATGGACGAACACAAGGCATCACGTTGCCAAATGGACGCGCTCAGGAAGAGCTGGTCCGTCGTGTATATCGGGAGGCGCATATAAACCCCGTGGATTGCGGCTTTGTTGAAATGCACGGCACTGGAACCAAAGTCGGCGATCCTATTGAGGCTTCGGGTGTACATGGAGCCCTAGGTGGTGGCCGGTCACCCAAGGATCCCCTCTATATTGGCTCAGTAAAATCAAACGTAGGCCATCTTGAGGGCGCTAGTGGAATCATATCCTTGATCAAGTCTGCTATGATACTTGACTATGATCTGTTACTCCCTAATGCGGAGTTCAAAAAGGCTAATGAGAAGATCCCCTTGAACGAATGGAATATGAAGGTCCGTCTAAACCCTTTTCACACAAGTCCTGGCGTGAAGTTCGATATATTGATTATAGGAGGAGAAAATGCTCACCTAAGCTAGGTTGTGACATCGACGAGACCCTGGCCACGAGGCAAAAAATATATTAGCGTGTCTAACTATGGGTTTGGAGGAACCAATGCTCATGTTGTTCTTGAGAAGGCGCCCCTGGGTTCAAGCACTCCCGTGGCTTCTATCAACGACAACGATGTGCTACATCAAGACCCTAGATATAAGCTCATCTTCATATCAGCAAATGACAAAGAGGCTTTGCAACAAAGGATCAAGGACTTTGGAATGTACTTCGAGCAACGACCGGAAGTATTTGAGAAACTGTTATTTGGCAATTTTGCCTACACCTTGGGTAGTAGACTTTCTCAGCTGCCATATCGAGTCGCACTACCAGCAAATTCCCTGGATGATTTGGGTATTCGCTTGGCCCAGTTGAAGGTCAACTCGAGTAGAGTTCTGGAAAGTCCTAGAGTAGGATATGTTTTCAGTGGACAAGGCGCACAATGGGCTCAAATGGGGCTGGCCCTCATAGACGAATATCCGGTGTTCAGGACGGCGATTCAGCAGGCCGACGACTGTCTACGAGATCTTGGTGCGTCATTCTCTTTAGTGGATGAACTCAGGAAGGACTCTTCGGTTTCCTTAATTGATTGCCCCGAGATCAGCCAGCCAGCTTGTACAGCCATCCAGATTGCTATTGTGACACTGCTTAAATCCTGGGGCATACGTCCGTCATCTGTGGTCGGCCATAGTTCCGGCGAAATAGCAGCCGCCTTCGCTGCTGGCATATACGATTCGCAAGCAGCTATGGCTCTCTCCTACCATAGAGGCCAGATGACCAGGCTCCTCAAGGAGTCGTATCCCTCTCTTCAAGGTGGTATGATAGCTGCTGGGGCTGAAGCTGATACTATTCGTCCAATGCTCAAACTGCTTGGAAACGGATATGCAACAGTGGCTTGCGTGAATAGCCCAACAAGTGTCACGGTATCTGGCGACCTCGTGGCAATTGATGAATTGGAAAGTGTTCTTCAAGCAAAACAAATTTTCAATAGACGCTTAAAGATCGACGTTGCGTATCATTCCGATCACATGAAGAGAATATCGGAGGATTATCTAGCTGCTATTACCTCGATTCATCCCAAGGCTACTGTTGATGACAACGTGATCTTCTATTCGTCTGTTTTAGCTGGACCAGTTGATCCCTCAATCTTGAATGCTGCTTACTGGGTGCGAAACCTAGTATCCCCAGTCCTCTTCCCTGATGCCCTCACAGCCATGTGTAAAGATGACACTGGTCCTCCCAGTATCCTTATCGAAATTGGTCCTCATTCCGCATTGAAAGGTCCAATAGGCGACACATTGAAATATTTGGGGCTGGCCCCTTCTAAGATTACATATGCGTCCACTATCGTGCGTAAAGCAGATGCTGTAGAATCGCTGATGAATACCGCTGCTATTACATATGTGCGAGGCGCTACCCTGGACTCATATGCCATCAATTTCCCGTGTACCGGTGCTGTGAAAAATTCTTTCTTGACAGACCTACCTCGATACCCGTGGCAGCACAACACGAGATATTGGCATGAATCCCGCATTGCACAAAAACACCAGGAGCGGGATAACGCACGGAATGACGTCCTTGGGGTCATGGCAAATTATTCAAATGACAGGGAACCGACTTGGAGGAATATTGTACGTCTAGACGAGATTCCTTGGCTGAGAGATCACAAGATGCAAGGCATGGTTGTGTATCCGCTCGCGGGATATGTAAGTACTATCTTTATCTATCGTGACTGCCTCAAATTGCTAACAAGACAAGCTCGCAATGGCCATTGAGGCAGCTGGTCGCCGTGCTCGAGAAAGGAATACTACATTTTCTACATTCGAGTTACGTGAAGTCCTTGTTGAGTCGGCATTGGTCCTGAACGACGATGTGGATGTAGAAACGACCATTTCATTGCGCCCCTATGATGAAGGTACCAGAAGTGTTTCCGATGTTTGGGATGAATTCAGAATACATTCCTGGAGCTCGCAGCGAGGCTGGATTCAGCACTGCCGCGGTCTCGTCGGGGTCCGCACGTCGTCCAAGGCCGGTTCGCTCGGAGTTCTCGAATCGATTGACGAGAATAAACGGAGTTTGGGCAATCGAAGGAATCAGATTGTGACGAGGTCCATAAATCGGGTTTCGGAGAAATATCTATACCAAGCTCTGACCAATCTAGGGGCCGATTATGGGCCTACATTTCAAGGTCTGGAGAACTGCTCTGCGGACTCTTACCATAGCTATGCCGATCTTCATGTCCGAGATACAACGACCCTGATGCCCAGAACATTCGAACCGTCGCTGATTGTACATCCCGCCTTTCTAGATGGTCTTTTACATCTTGTCTGGCCCATTCTTGGCCACGGTATAATGCGCTTGGACACGCTCTATATGCCTACCCTTATCAAGCATGCAACGATAAACCGCGACATTTCTCTATCTGTTGGTCAGCATGTCAGAGCTTTTGGAACTGGGAGTCCCAATTTGCCATCACCTCAGCCTACGAGCTTTGACCTTTTTGCACTTGCGGATGACACCTCGTCAGACCCTTTGATAATGCTGGATGGTCTGGTCATGACCCCTATCCGAGATTTGGGTTTAGAGAGTGGTGCAGACGTCCGTAAACTATGTTATGAGCTCAAATGGCAGCCGTTTATAAAGCCGGGACAACTCACCAACGGACATGGTTATTCTGAGAGCCTACCGAGTGGGAATTCAGGTAGTCTTACAAACGGCCCGTCCACCACTGGCGACAACCACGACAATGAACTTGCGAATGGCCCAAACCACGAATTGAGCAATGGAATGAATGGTCATGGCAATGTTAACGGAACCGCCTCGGCGCATGACAGCAAAGGAGATATTTTTATTACTCAATTCGCCCACCATGTTGACGAAAACCCTACTGCATCTCAAATTGTCAACGACTTCGATGAAGGGCAGTCTAGATGCTTACTGATAACTGAACTCGAAAAATCGCAGTTTGCTCACCGCGATGTCATAATCATTCAGTCATCCAAGACATCACTTCGAGACGCAACTGCTCAACAATTTGAAGCAGTCCAAGCTATCTTGCTGAATGCTGCAAGGGTACTCTGGGTGTATCAAGATTATTGCCCAGATGCTCAGATGAGTGTCGGATTAGCTAGAAGTGTTCGATCGGAGACTATGGCCAAGATATCAACTCTGGGTATTGACACTGAAGATCCCATTGCTGCCTCAAAGATTGTTTGCAAGGTCGTCGGGGCTGTTTGGCCTACAGATGGATCTCAACACTGCACAGAATCTGAATTCAAATCAGCTGGATCGCAGCTTTTTGTGATTCGAGCCTTAGAGGATGAGGCTTCGAATGCCTTCGTTCATAATGAGATCAGCGATATGGCGCTGTCCAGTCAGCTCTTCCATCAACCTGGCAGACGGTTGAAGCTCAAAATTGCAAATGCCGGCTCGCTCGACACCCTCTATTTCGATGATGACAGTGTCAACGACCTTGACGATGATTCTGTAGAAATAGAGATCAAGGCAACAGGAATCAATTTTAAAGACGTTGTGGTAGCAATGGGCCAGCTCAGCCAGCCATACATTGGAGTTGAGTGCAGCGGCGTTATCACATCGGTCGGTAAAAACGTCACGGATGTATTTCTTGGTCAGCGAGTTATGGCGACACCAGAAGGGGCCTATTCAACGTATACTAGATGCCCTAGCACTAGTGTTGCTCCTATACCGGATTCTTTGACAGACGAAGAGGCCGCTACAATTCCTATTATATTCTGCACCGCATATTACGCACTGTTTGATTTAGGCAATCTCGCCCCTGGTGAGCGTTTGCTAATTCACGCTGGTGCAGGGGGCGTTGGTCAAGCGGCTATCCAACTAGCACAAATGGTGGATGCTGACATATTTGTGACCGTGGGGAGTCGAGAAAAGAAGCAATTCCTCATGCAGCAATACAATATTTCAGAGGATCGTATTCTATACAGCCGTGATGCATCATTTGGTCCAGCACTCCGAAGAGCCACCAACAATGAAGGCGTTGATGTGGTACTGAACTCTCTCGCTGGAGACCTTTTGCGAGAGAGCTGGGAATGCGTCGCTCCGTTTGGCAGATTTATTGAGATCGGAAAGGCAGACATTACGAAGAATACTCGCCTGGAGATGCTCAAATTCGAACACAACGTCACCTTTGCTTCTGTTGATTTGACTAAAGTAGCCAAGTTCCGTCCAAAGCTGATGAAGCGACTGCTCAATGATGTTTCCCGTCTTGTGAATGAGAGCTTAGTTAAGCCAGTATTTCCTATTACCAGATATTCCTTGTCCGAAATCGAGGCTGGATTTAGAGCTTTGCAGACCGGAAAGAATATTGGCAAGTCTGTTGTTATTCCTAATGTGAATGACAAGGTCAAGGTGCGTGCAATTAATCCCATGCAACCCTCATTATTCACAGCTAACGCACCTCCACAGGCAGTGTCACTGAAAACTAATGAGAGCCTGTTGAAACCCGATGCGACATATCTTATCATTGGTGGCACAGGTGGTCTAGGTAGAAGTATGGCTGCATGGATGTCGAGCAAAGGAGCAAGGTGGATTGTCCTAGTGTCACGGTCTGGCTCTGTCGCCAATGACTTGAAAGTCCTCGTTGACGACCTGGCTCTTCGCGGAACACAAATAGTTGTCAAATCGTGTGATGTTAGTTGCAAGATTGATGTGGAGCGTCTTGTAAACGAGGAGATTAGAGATCTCCCTCCGATCTGCGGTGTGGTGCATGGAGCTATGATTCTGCGGGTAAGCTTTTTTCTTCTTATCTTTGTTAAAAACGACGTAAAAGTCAAGCAAGGTCCTTACTTACGGTGATCAGGATATGCTATTTGAAAACATGACATTTGATGATTTCCAATCAGTATCAAAGTGCAAAGTCGAAGGTGCTTGGAATCTGCACCACAGTTTGGCACGATCTCCATTGGATTTCTTCATTGCCCTATCATCCGTGGCCGGTGTGGTGGGCAATCGAGGTCAAGCAGCATATTCCGCGGCCAACGTGTTTCTGGATGGCTTCATGGAGTACCGTCGTTGCCAGGGGCTTCCTGGCACGTCCATCGATCTTGCTGCAGTCACTGATGTTGGATACTTGGCTAATAGTGATCCATCACGGCGACAAGAGGTGGTAAAGAATATTGGAGGTGCCACAATCAACGAATCCGAGGTCCTTTCGTTGCTCGCTTTAGCTATTTCTGGCAGTTACACTACCTCCGGCCAGAGTCAGATTATTACAGGGCTAGAAGCAACGGATGGATTGGATAGTTTCTGGCTTCATGACTCCAAATTCACTGTCATTCGCGAGTCTGTCCAGTCGCTTGTGGGCCATTCCTTGAAAGACGCGAAAGAACTACCTCTACGCATTGCTGTTAAAGGGGCGACGTCCAAGGAAGAGGCAGTTCAGATTTGCTACTCAGCTCTCGCAACCAAGCTTGCCACGGTGCTCGGAATAGCCGCTGAGGACATGGATACCTCGACCAGAGTCTCCTCACTGGGGCTGGATTCCCTGGTGGCAATTGAAATTCGCAACTGGATTGCGCGTGAGGCCGATGCAAATATCCAAGTGTTGGAGCTGCTGTCCAGCGAGTCATTAGTCAAATTGGCGGAATTGATTTTGAGCAAGTCCAAGCTTGCTGGACCCAAGTGATCTATTTTTGCAGTGCTTAAGAATCCTTTTCTTCCGTTGTTTCTTCCTTTCGTAGTTTGAGATTCTTTTGTTTTGTAGACCAACAGACAGTGCTAAAATGGTTATTTCAATACAAAGCGCAGTGAATGTTTATGCATACCTCGTAGTGATGCTCGCTCAGTACAGAAGAAGGGAAAGCGCGTTTATTACCTATTCCGGCAAGGCAGTTGAGAACGCGGCCTCTCCGTAGCCCTAACTAACTGGTAACAATAATTCTGTCCGATATGAGGAAAATAAACAGGACCAAACTTCGCCCTTATTCGATCTATCTTCGAAGCTCCGCTTTACGCGCAATGTATGTAACAAGCGTCACGACCGCAACCGAGGGGTCAATTCGAGCCTGTCCTCCGTACGAATTCCCAAACAGCAAGCTAATTGCAGAGTCCTAATAGTCCAGGTGACAAAAATATTAATTCTGTTAGAGCTGTTTTTCTAAATGTTACTCTAATTCCATGGCAGTTCAACCACAACCAGAGCGGACCTGGCTACCCGGCCTCCTCTAGAAGTTGGCTTGCCAGGAATGCAATTTAAAAGTCAATCATTGCACCTAGATACCGCAAGGCAGCTAAAAAAGGATGTATTTTTTCTAGAAACTACAACAAACACAAGCCAGTAACATAAATATTTTCCAGGAACCTATCCTTGGATACGGCTGGGAGATGGCGGAGATAAGCAACATAATGCCGGCTTGTCGATTTCCGACGTCTCGCCTCCAATCTCCGTGTTGGTTTACAGGCGATGGAGATGCTTTAGAATAGCTCCTTGAAGAGACATTCTCCTCTGTCGGAGATCAGGCCAAAAGTATTTAAACGTCGGTTCTCCTCGACCAAACAATTCCAGCCTACAACACTCAAAGCATCAGAATTTACAGAAAGCACAAAAAGACAATCGAGTAATGGCAAGGGTTGTATTCATTACAGGTGCCAACACGGGCATTGGCCTGGAAGCCGTGCGCGCTCTCTATCGCTCAAAAGAGTCCTACCAAATTCTGCTGGGCTCTCGATCTTTGACCAATGCCAACAGCGCCATCGACACAGTCAAATCCGAGTTCCCATCCTCGAATAGCACCATTACCCCAGTTCAGATCGATATCGAAAACGACAACTCAATCAAGACTGCATATAGCACGATAGAATCCCAGCTCGGGAAACTAGATGTCCTAATTAATAACGCTGGTGCCCAATTCGAGCAGCAATTTTCCGCCGGCAAGCTTTCCGAACGTGAGCTCTGGAACAAATCCTGGGATGTCAATGTGACGGGCACACAGATCGTGACTACTACCTTCATTCCGCTTCTTCTCAAAAGCAGTGACCCTCGTCTGCTCTTCATCACTTCGGGCACGGCTACGCTCTCGGGGTCAAGCAATTTGGCGACGGCGGTTAATCGCAGTCCGACTGCTAAAGGATGGCCGAAACCGGGCTTTGGGGGGGTCCCTGCCTATCGCAGTGCTAAGACGGGGCTCAATATGCTGATGCGTGAATGGCACCGAATTCTCAAGGAGGACAGAGTTAAGACTTGGGCTATTTCACCGGGGTATCTAGCTACTGGCCTCGGAGGGAATCCCGAGATGTCTCGAAAGGCCGGTGCTGGAGATCCTGCGGTTGCTGGGCCGTTCATTCGCAGTGTGGTTGAGGGGGAAAGAGACGCAGATATAGGCCTGGTCCTAACTCGGGGTGGAATTCAGGATTGGTGATGACGATGTTTTCTACACAATCGTCGCGGGCTTCTTTTTTATGGACTGGAATTGTAGAGTATCTCATCCTTTAGCACCTTGTCTCTGTTAGCATATTTGAAAATGATATACCTATTTATTTTTGATGTTGTGTGGCTGGATAAAGATATGTGATTAGGGTTGCCCAGTCGTGCAGCTTGGATCAGGATAGCCATGTTAATATCATTGGGCGAATAACCCACCTCTTTTGCCAGCGAATCATTATCCCTGCCAGTGAGCGATCATTGCCTGAAATGTGCTCCTCAGGCAGCAACTTGGCAAGTGGCAGGCTCAAAAGATAACTTCACTATCCACCTATTCTGTCTTTAGGAGTTTTTGCCAGCAAGTCATTGACTGACTGCCATAATTTTCGCTTGTCTCGCTAGCCGTGTCACTGTTAGCACAACATGGCCATTTTACCGTCTGTCGAGCGTGGCTATCTGCCATATGCGCTTTTCGTGGTATGTGACTATGACACCTCAAAATCTCACTGCACACTACAAGGGGCGCGCTGACACGACATATATAATAGACAAGCTTGATGGCTCTGACACATTCCGTCGTTACATACCTTCGCCCTATCCCCTCGCAGATACAGTTTGCTGGCCCGTCCGCTCCACCACCAAACACACTGACGGCGCACATTTACGGCGTCAAAAACGTCTATTCAGGCCTCATTCGGCTCTACGCAGCCTATAGCATTCGCAATCGCGATCTCTACACTTTGGCTCTCGCCACGTACCTAGGAGTCTTTGGTTTGTACGGCGCCGAGCTGTGGATCTGGCGCACAGTGCGGATGCGGGAGACTCTATCCTCGTTCATTATCTCGGGCACGATGATATGCTGGATGTTGCTGGAGAAGAGCTGGTACGTGGTGTAGTTGGTCAGTATGTATGGTGTGGTACGGTCATCCCGAGCTCTGTAGCCGATGCTTGGTGTGCAGCCCGATGATATATGTCCTGTCCTTGCCTTCGGCAAAATGTGCGATCGCTTTGACTAGGGCATGTTGATCATGTCGGTGTGTTATCATAAATAGCAACAATCACATCAGTTTATCAGTATCAGGATCGACGCGCTGAAAATCTCAATTTTGTTCTGCTATTTGCGCAACTCGGGGGCAATAAATGGAGCTAGTATGGTCTAGACCCATCTGTTTTATGGCTTTTGTCCCAACACAAACAGATAATTCAAGGTCTGGAAAGAATTTTGATAACAGAAACCTGTGGATATTCGACATGTGACGAGGAAATTGTTCTGGAGGCGCTGATAACGAGATCGCTAGCCAGCAGCCAGCTGGTCTCCGTGGGTCAGGCGGAGCCAGAGGGGGTAAAAAAAAAAGGATTATAATGTAAGATTTAACATACATGATTCAAGTGCTGCATGCAGTCGGATAAAATGGGGGGCGGGCTTTCTTAACGCATCATACTCACAATGAGCACCTTTATAGGCCAAATCGGCCTCGACTAACCTACTCGATTAGGCATCGCTTTCCCGATTCAGCACGCGTGATATTCCGATCTATAAGCTTATATACTACAAGGCTCTCATGGAATCTCATTCCCGAACTCATGCCCACGGAATGATGCCCGATCAACCCATCCATCATGAAAATGTAAAAATCCCGGATCCACTGTTTCAATCCTGTCCAGCTGACGATAAGCTCGCCGGGTCTCGACTCTGATGCTGAATAAAGGAAAATCCTGCACGGGCAAGTAGGGTAGCATTGCACTGGTTGTCGTTCTGTGATAGGAAATTTCTTTTGTGCGAAATGTTCCCGACAAGAAGTTGCCTAATTGACCGCTAGATTCAAGAGACAGTCCAGGCTCAGAAGAATGTATTGTTTAGAGCTTTCTTCATGAAATATGGACCCAGGTCCACTGCCCCTCCACTGTTTAGTGTGAAAATTGTAGTATGCTCGGCTGATTGCCACAGGCCCGCCACCTCTGACAGAATATAAAATATTTTGTTGGAGCCCATTGTGCAGAGTGAAGTTTTCAATAGACCACAGACATTCATTTCTCTTGTCTTTTTCGTTGACGTTTTGAGGAGAGACAACTTCTCGTGGTCGCAGTCATGGGGCTTACGAAGCAAACCAGTGTCTCTGTCGTCGAGGTACAGCCTGATCATGTTAATGACACTCCGGCCTCTTACAGGCCAGGTCAGGCTATCCGGCCGGGGTTCGCGAGGTCCGAGTCAACCCTTGTTGCCCAGGAAATTGACGAAAAGGCAGTGAAGAGCAGTCTTGATGCCCTTCCTCACCCAGAGCTTTCCCAAGAAAGCACGTCGGAAACAGATAACGACCAGGCGCAACCAGAGACTGGAAAGCTCTCATCATGGAGAGGCGCTTTGATATTACTCATAACCGGCGGAGCTATGTTTATGGATAATGTATTCATGACTAGCACAAACATTTCCCTATCAGCGATACAGAAAGAGTTCGACGTAGAGTCATCGGATCTGCAGTGGATGATCTCGGCATATACCCTTTCTTTTGGTGGATTTTTGTTGCTTTCTGGTGTCTTGTCTGACAGGTATGGGCAGCTGTTTCTTTACTCAAATTTTTGAAACTGTCGCAGTTGCTGATTCAATCTTCTAGATATGGTAGAAAGCCCATGCTCATTGGCGGCTTGGTGTGGCTCTCGATCTGGACCCTAGTGATAGGCTTCGGTTCCTCTTTTATTGAGATAGCTGTTTTTAGAGGATTGCAAGGTATCGGCGCATCGCTGACCATCCCCTCTGCTGTGGGTATACTTAGCTCCTACTTCACTGGTCAGGACAGAACACGCGCACTAGGATTATATGCTGCCTCTGGCGCCGTGGGGTTTACGGCTGGTCTCGTTCTCGGCGGACTTCTCTCTTCCTCTCTTGGATGGCGATACATATTCCGCTTGTCGGTTATTGTCAGTGGTTTACTCGCCATCCTTGCGATACTAGTCCTCCCTCCAAACCGCAAGGCAGATAACTCCAAGTCCAAGCTGGACTATTTCGGTGCTTCACTTTCTACCAGCGGACTTATCCTCCTCTCATTTGTGCTGTCTGGTGGAGGAGTTTATGGCTGGGGGAAAGCGTTCATCATTGTCCTCTTGATATCGGCCGTTGGCCTACTGTTCGCTTTTGTATATTGGGAGAACAAAATCAGTAACCCTATCATGCCATTATCCCTATGGAAGATCCGCAATTTTCCAAGTATCTGGATTGTTGGCTTCAGTGCGTGCTTCCCCTTGGAACGAAAAATTAAAATGAGTTTACATAAACTGACTTTCGACTTTTCCATGGTCTTACAGCGGTTAATGGTAGCTACACAGCAACTCTATACTATACCGTTCTCATGGCTCAGCAAGTCGACAATCTTTCTGCGTTAGATACGGCTATCAGGTTCATACCTTCTGGGGTATTAGGCTTTGTGATAACGCTGCTCACAACAAGGGCCATTGAATTCATCGATGGGAAATATATCTTGATTTCAGGATTGGTTCTCTCGGTCCTGGCTCCCATTCCGAGTTGTCTATTGGCCGGGCAGACCTCGCAGTTGTAAGTGATTTGTCTTGTGAATTAATGCCATCTTCTGTTTGGCGTAAATCGAATGCACTTACTAACATACGCTAGTTGGGTCAACGTTTTGCCTACCTCATTCATTAGCGTTACGGGAATATCAATCGGTTATATCACAGCCAGTACACTGATGCTGATCAGTGCGCCTATGAATGTGAAAAGCCTGTGTGGTGGCATGGTACGCTCTTCCACAGCATTCGTCCTTTTCTTTTCCATCTCACCTACCACGATTCCAAAAATGCGAAAATGGGAGAAAAATAGGTCACAAGTGACAAAGCAAAACTAAATAACTAACTATCCGCAGATCAATACCGCGTACCAAATCGGCGGTGGCGTTACTCTGGCCATATGTTCTGCCGTCGTGCAGGAAGTCGATATTGACAAGGGCCACGATCTTGCTCAGCAATATACCACAGGTCTCTGGTGTACAGCAGGCGTATCCGGTGTTGGGCTTTTGGTTGCGGTGTTCTTCCTAAAGAATGACCACTCTGCTTCTGCTTCAGCGCGTGAAGGGAAACCATCTAACACAAGAGCCGAGGTTTTGGAGCATATGGCTTAAGACTCGTATTTAAAAACGACCTTTTAACGGCGATACGGAACGGTTGGACGAATGGGTCACGTACTTTTTTTTTTTCGCTCCTGATGGGCAGTTTCAGTTTCGGGCTTAATGAATAATAGACGACGGTGCAAGGAAATTCTATACATGGGATAGAGGGGGCTTTGACGACGTTTGGAATAGCGGTCAGGTTTTTAATGATACCAACTTAGACTTAATAGGACTAATACGTAATACATCACTTACATATCTACTTAATCGGGGAAGATGCTTATTGCAGGCGTTCGTTAGTATTGGTCTTGGATTGTCCCATGTCTTATGTATCCTACTCCAGGCTTGTCTAGGAAGTGCACATGCAGGCAGCATACCATCGCAATAATCCTCCCAACGGGTTTGAATATATGTCTAATTCAACTATATTACATGAAATCAATCAAAGTGAATCAAGATATCAGAGCCTGAGGCATTTTGTTACTAGATGCGGCATAGCGCTGTGGACATGGTATGAAGAATGAAGAAATGAACGCGCGGTCAACAGCCGAGTTTCTCGCCACATTCAATGCGACTGTTGAACAACCATGGTGATCTTGAAATTGGCCGGCTAAAATTGGTTCATCATTCTTTTAATAATCGTACAAAATTGGCTTTGCTCTTAATTAAGCCAGCTATATGTTGCTACATTATTTCACGCACGCCGCGGAAGTCACTGTCGCGAGCACAAGAGACGCCATTGGACTTCTCTACTCTGCGGTCGATCAACTACTTGAAGGAGATGTTTTCAGCCTACGAAAGGCCGTGCGAATGCTCCTCAAACTCGTGCTCGCGTTATTTCTACTTGTGGCTCCATCCATCGCAGACATACAGTATTTGACGAGCAGCAACGTCACTCGCAGCTATTGGATACACCCACCCGATGATTTTCAGCAGGGACACAAGTACCCCGTTGTCATAGCTTTTCATGGAGGGAGTAGGCTGGGATCAGACGCTGATGGGTTCGCCATGGAGCTAGATGCGCGACTGTCGTTGCCTCTGGTGCGGACATCTTACTCCAAAAATGTTGGTACACTATCGTAATGTGGACAGTCAAGAGCGATGTCACAGACTAACAGAAACAGAGGTATTTTGTTTATCCCAATGGTGTTGGTGGTGCATGGGCTGGCCCAACTTACGCCGAGGTTTCAGTGGAAGAAGATCTTCAATTTGTTTCCGATATGATTGCAGACATCAAATCACGGTACAGCAATATTGATGATAATCGTATCTATGCCGCAGGTATGTCTAATGGGGGTGGTTTTGTTGGGACGCTTGCCTGCAGCGAAGTAGGTGCACAGTTTGCGGGATTCGCGTCTGTTGCTAGCTCCTTTTATACGGATGTCGAGAGTGTAGACTGTTCCCCAGCACGATTGCCCCTTCCTATGTTGGAAATTCATGGAGGGAGTGACAAGGTAGTCCCCTATGCCGGGGGCATGGGACATGGAGGGCCTCTACCGCCTATTCCGGAATGGTATAGATGAGTTATATATGCATGAGTGCCGTTTGAATAATAACTGATAGATACGTACAGGCTTGGCTTCTGGGCAGAAAGGAACAGTTGCACGTCTAATATAACAACTCATAGAGATGGCGGAAACGTACACCACACATCATGGACATGTGGTGGACAGAATGGAACACTGCACCATTGGAAAGTTGATGCTAATGGTTGGTCATATGAACCTTTTAAGCAATAAATAGAGATCTTGCTGACTGCTTCTTGGTCTAGGACATGACTGGCCGTCTAAATCTCGTAATCTTAATATGATAGTTGCCGGCATGGGACCTCAACCAATCGAGGCAAATGAGCTTGTCATTGAGTTCTTTGATCGGTTTTCGCTTGATAGATCGGTCTAAGTGGATGAAATCGCTATGTGCAAGTGAATGCCACGTCTATTACAGATGCAGCAACATAAGCTCAGTGTAGTTACGATTGGGCGATCAAAACCAGCATGCCCAACCCTAGAAACTTCATGCTGTATCAGGATGCTTGCAAATTACTCAAATATCCTGTCAAGCCTATGATCCACTTGAGCGGATTTGATTTTACAGCTGAATTAAGCCTTTCGTGCTTTTATTTCTATTGATGGTCGTATACAAGAACGCCTATATACACTCACTGGTTATATTAAATATATACAAGAGAACGAATGTATGTTCAAAACGGTGACCTCGACCTCACGAGTTAGACACAGACACCAGACAAATAGTTAGAAATCATGCTTGATAAAATGCAGATAGTTTACGCAAAGACTATATTTGGGCCTCAGCTGACAGAGCCTGACTGGCCCTTCTGCCCTCTCGCAACACACGGTCTGCCGCCAATGTCTGCGCGAACTTGCTCTTCTCTCTTATTACTGGACCTTTCCAGTAAAAGACATATATTGGAATGGTCACTAGAAATGACAAAACCCCAAGAATGGTACTGGCCCACTGCAGATGAAACTTGCCCCCAATATTTGAATACATCGGCGTTGCGTACATGGCTGATATGCCGGCTAAAAAGTCGCGGGCGAAGCCATTACCACCGGTAGCGGATGCAGAGTATTCTCCATAGGCTGCGACCATGTAGTCGATTGTGGCCATGTAAATGGCATAATTTGCGATCGCAATGAGACAGGCAAAAATGAGAGGGGCAATCCATGGGGTATAGGCTGGGCCCATGGACGTCCAAGCAAATCCAAAGAGACCGATTGTCTCGAGGGGGGCGAGGAAAAGAAGAAGTAGAAGACGGCGCTCTGCGAGACGAGAGGCATCGCCATGCTTGTGACGAACGTGACGCTGGCGAGCAAGATCGGGAAGGAAAATGAAATAGGCAAGTAAATAACCAACGACAATGGCAATAAATGTCAGACCACAGGCAACAGTGTCGAAATTCCACTGTTCAAAGACCAAGGTGAATGATTCAGTAAACGTGAAAATAAGTGCGTCGGAGAAGCCTGATAGCAGGGAAAGAAAGAGAACGATTGGTTCACAGACAAACATCTCGAATGGACGTCGCCAAATATGAAAAATCTCCTTGACGTTTAGACGGCCTTCTTTCAGCTCGTTGGGACCGTAGATGTTGGTGTCTTCCCCGGATTTCCGCCGCCGTTTAGCTTCGCGGTCAATTAGGATGGTCGAGCGTGTCTCGGTAACGAGGAAGAAGTGCATGATTTGCGTGACACCGCCGAAGATGAGCTGAATCCAGAAATTCCAGTGCCAGTTGAGATATTGCCCGATGAGACCACCAAACACAGGGCCAATTGTGGTTCCCCCGACTGACGATAGCACGACATATGCCACAGCAAAGCCCTGGTCATTTGGTTCCCACATATCGGCAGTCATACCTAATGTGACTGAACCGCCAGCAGAAGACAGCCCGCCGAGTGCTCGGCATACAATAATAGTGCCCAGATTTGGCGCCAATGCACAAGGTATTTGCCAAATGTTAACTAGGAACAGACTGAGCTGCATGATGGGCCATCGGCCGAATTCCTCGCTCCAGGGCGCCCACAGTTCACATCCGAACGCTGGACGATTTGTTAGCTTTGATGAAGATGTTAGTTTCATATTAGAAGATAAAGAACTCACCATATGCTACAAGGAAGCTCATCTGGCCGCATCGGGCAGCCTGAGCACTGACTCCGAAGTGGTCGGCCAGCAGTGGCACAACATTCGGATAGACACTGGTGTTGAAATTCATGGACATTTGCACGGCAAAGATGACCGTTAAGATGGTCCATTTTCTCCAAGTCGGGAAACTGAATCCGAGCTTGTCATAGCATTCCTCCTCAGTTAATTCTCGTTTGCCATCGGGGCGTTCTTCCGTCTCTTTGTCGCTTCCATGACTTTGCAGGTGTTCGTGGAAACTGTCACTAGGTGGTGAACTTGAGCGTGGACATTCTTTCTTCGCTAAGGATTCGTTTTGGGTCTCTTTTTCTCTTTGTACGTCGTCTATGCTGATAGGCTCCGTGAATAAGGTTTCAGCCGCCATGGTTGCAGCAACTTGTGATAATCGTTGAAACAATTAGAAATCGACCGAGAGGGTATATGAAAGATAGTTTATGGAATGTCATTAATCAATGGATATCTTGTCTAGCACATGGAACATAAGCTCTCCATGCGAAACTGGCATCTCACTATTATATGGAATGCATATTCGACATCGACGAAAATGGACGTCGACGTCATATAGAGAGCTGTCACCCCGGATTTCAGCCGAATTTCCCGTTGCCCTTGCAAATGCAAAAGTACAGCCGGGTGGCTGATCCAACCAGCATCGACCGCGCGAGTCAGTCGACCGCATAGAGCTGAGCTGATGAAGGGGCTCATGATGTCGCCCCATGGTCTCCCATCTACTCTCGGCGCTTGTCGGCCTGCCGGATATAGAAACCCCGGCGCCTGTGGATCGTTGTGTCCAATCATGTCGCGGTCCCGCAACACTAATGACCCCATATTTTATTGCAGCGCGGCAGTTCGGCCAACGGGCCCGGGGTAATTGCCGCCGCATCGCCGATATGAGATCCACCGCATCAAGAGTCTACGTCATGATATTTTGCCACGCTGCATATCATACAAATCAAAAATGGGTACAAAAACAAAAAAAAAAAAAAAATTTTGAACATTACTTACAATCATTTCCACATCCGTTCCGAACGTTGATGGTGGGTACTTGGGCAAATGAATCGACAGGTACTTTTGGGGCGCCGGTGGACCCAAATATTAATTATTACCTTAACAGGAATAAAAGCCCTTATCTTTCCAAGTCACATTACAAATCTCATCCTATCACATTGGGATATATGTGCGCTGTGATAGATATCTCAACCATGCACTAATACGATGTGACATGTATGGCGCAAGAAACAGATCAAGCAAGTAATAACATGACATGACATAGGGAATGATATCAGACAAGCTCCAAACAACTCTTTTTTGCTTCGGATAGTAATTATGAAATTGTGTTGCGTATGCATAACTGACACCAATATTGTACACACTTAGCTAATCTTCCGTGACATTCCGGAATGTGACAATATGTTAGGATAAACCATATCTCTCACGAGCCATCCATTTCGTTGAGGCGAGTCTCCAAAAGATTCCATGTGCTCATCTTCCAGCTCAGCCATGAGTACATCCAGTCTCGCATCAAGATGCACAAGTCGACGCGCAAGCTGATCAGCCAGGGGCGGATAATGCTCTAGCACCGCTTTCTCGTCATTACTCGTTGGAGTCCGTAAGCCAACCTGGAGGCTGCGTAATAGCTCATAAACTTCGCCCAATGAAGCAATCTCATGTTTGTACGCCTCCAGGAGCTGAATGACTGATTTGAGCGTGTCGATGGACAGACCCTCGTATAATCTGAGATTGCTGATGGCGCGGTTGGAGAGTGCATATCCTAGCAGACCCAACGGGCCCTTGTGTGATTTGGAACGTTCATATGAATCTCCGACTTTGTCCAGTATATCATACACAGCCATGCCTGCTCCGAAGTAGAGCTGCACAAGCCTGTCCACGTGGTAAGGACCGTGATTGTCGTGTAGTTGGTAGAGCCCGAGCCAAACAATGCGCCACAAGTTCGACACTTGCGTCTGCAACTCTTTGCCTTTCCTCTGGTTGGGCTCAGAGGTATCCCTCTTCATGTCAAAACTCTGCATTGAGGATATGCGAGAGCTGCTGTCGGACACGACCGTACTGAATCGGGACTTGGGCAATTTGAACATTTTATACAATGGCTTAGGTATCGGGACGAATTAATGAATGGAACAAAAATCAAAAGACCGTCGAATAAAAAGTCATTTCAATATTTCTTTTCAGGGAGAAGTTCACATTTGTCGAGAAATAATAGAAGAACCGATAGGGGGGTGGGATTCCTTTCGGCCGTGGTGGCTGAGCGTCGGATCGTTTTCTTTGTCTGCGCGTTTTTAGCACGCCGAGTTTTCTTCAACGGGAACAGTAGAATGACGGATCACATATCGGTCTGACAGGTCATTTTTCTATCACAATCAGAATTTCCACAATGTGGAACATATCCGAATCTAGCCTTTTTGTGGCTCTGAAGGGCATTGAAATTGGATGATTTGCATCGCAGGGATCGGTAATTCACTGTGTGACGTGCATGCAACATGACCCGGAATGGCTCACACAAAGTAAGTGCTCATGTTAGTCATTGGCGAGATCAATATATTCTTCATTGCAGGCTAGGTGGAAGAAATATCAAACGCAAAGCCAAAATAGAACTTGCAGCGCCACATGCTTGGGTACAGGAGACTGTCTTGCCATGGATGTTCCACTATCGAGATGTCCCGACGCCCACGGGTTGGAACACCACGCAAATAAAATCTAGAGAATATGTACATTTTTCTGATGTGTCTGTCATGACACAGAGCATCCTCTTTACTCCTCTAGATCATGATTTCTCACCACTCGAAAGCTCCGCAAACACGCTTCCAGCTCTCATTATCAAATCTCGCGGATCGCCCATTTCCACAATCCTCCCTGCATCCAAAACAATCGCCAAATCCGCATTTGCGATCGACTTGATCCGATGCGCAACTGTCAGTTTTGTGCAAGCAGCCAGGCACGGAGTTTCGCGTAGAACTGCTTGCATCTTGTCATCTGTCTCTCGATCCACATGACTCGTAGGTTCATCGAGCAGTAAAATATTTCTGCTGCTACTGTTCTTACGGTTCTGTACCTTTAACAGAGCGCGTGAAAGGCCCAAGAGTTGTTGCTGTCCCTTGGATAGCGAGACTGATGAGCTGCTTATTTCGGCATCCAGGCCGCTCTGGTCTTCAAGGACACTTTTCCAAAGACCAACACGGTCAAGAGCTATTATAATCTCGGTGTCAGTGTGAGCGCCGGCAGGGTCTGCGTTTAGTCGGACACTGCAGCCTTCGAGTATGATCGTATCCTGGGGAATAGCGACTAGTCGATCACATATTACTTCCTGTGGGATGGTGCTTATGTCGACTCCGTCAATGATTATAGACCCCTCTGTGATACTCAGCACTCGCAGAATTGTTGCCAGTAGTGAGCTTTTGCCGCTTTTTGAATGTCAGTTCTGATGATGTGCACGAGAACGAGATTATAGCGAGTACTCACCTTCCAGTGCGTCCACAGATACCTATATTTTGCCCGGGTTCAATTTTAAAAGAAATGTTTTGCAAAACAGCTTCACCTGGTCTTCAAATCATGATATGTAATGAGCAATGATCAGGTATAGATGGTTCATGATATATTTGTTATGACATACCTATACTCCGCAGTCACCTTACTAAACTTGATTGCCCCTTTGCCAGGCCATTCGTCTGGTAGTTCACCGTCTCTAAAGACTTCTGGCTCTGACTTGATGCTGCTGTCGAATTCGCGAACCCTGGAGATAGATCCAAGGGAGACCTCAAGCTGTGTCCAGCCTTGTGTCACGGCTGAGAGACTGTTGCCGAATGCTAGCTACCGATTAGCAGAAAAGCACTTATAGGGAATAGAGAAATTAACTTACAAAGGATATTATTTAGGGAAACACCAACGAGACCCACGCTAGTCTCGCTTCTAAGCGTCACTGCTAGAGTCACAAGAACAATTGCCTCTGCAGCAACAATCAAGTCTAGGACCAATACCAGCCATCTCTGAACACAATAAAGAAGATAGTACGGTCTCTGAGAAGCATCGAGTAGTCTGAAGTTTTTCTCTTGAAACCTGTCTTGCCAACGAAATGCTTGAATGGTAGAAAGACCGCTGATGGTTTCCATGAAATGGGTATAGAGGGGGCTTCTGCTCTCTAAGTCGAGGAGTCGAAGTTGCCGGGACGTTCGTAGATAGACGTGTTGTAGGAGAATGAGAGCGAGTAAGAGGAATGGGATGGTGATCGTCATATATCCTGACCCGCTTGCGACTAGTCCAGCTGTGGCAATGGATATAATTAAGTCTGACAGGTATATTAGTTCCGATGGCATCAACATAGTGTGTAATGAACGGTTTCTTACTGGATATGAAAACCATGGCACCAATGGGTAGCTGTCCTTCGATTAGAGACATGTCCTGGCTGAATCTATTGAGAATTACGCCACTGTCGGTAGTAGAAAGGAAAAGTGAGGAAGCTCTGGGTGGCAATATCAGCATGCGTATGCCCGGAGCAGAGTAGAGAACTAACCTTCGAACGGCTTTGAGTAGTCTGTAATGCAGCCTCCGTGAAGTCGACGGGGAGATGAGAACGAGAATTGCCCTAATGAACTTAGTAGATGTATGCGAGGCTCATACAGTGAAAAACAAACCACACATATCCACCATTTCCGATTGAATTGAACAATGCCAACATCATGTAAACGCTGACGTATAATCCTTTCTGCCCTCCGCCTTGCTTAGACCACCATTCTAGCCATATTTCTGTCGGGAGAGAAGGCAATGAGCACCAAAGCAGTAGAAAGAAGAAAAGACCGTTAAAGTGTAGACAACTTACGAGAGAAAGTGCTGCAAAAGACATGTACACCAGCAAAAAGAAGAAAAACAAGTGTCTTTACCAAGCCAATGGATTTAAAATAGTACTTATAAACAGCGACGTCACCCGTAACTCTGGTTAGGTCATTCCTTTGGTTCTCTTTCGATACCTGGCCCGATTTCTCCTTTGCAGATGGCGTTGGTGTGTCATTCCTAGCTTCATCAGGTAGAGTAATGTGAAATATATTGTTTTTTGAGATTGCTGCACCTGGAGTGAGTTTCCTCAGGTTTCCTTTGGAAAGAGCAAAAATCTCATCGGCGTACGAAAGGTATTCCGCTGTTGTTGTTGAGCTGATGTAGATGTGATTCTAGTGAGTAGAGGCGGGGGGGAGATATGCGCTTACTATCATTTGTGACTAGCATGACAGTTGATTTCATCTCCCGCAACAGACCACCCTTGCCAAATAGTATTGCCATTATGTGCTTTTTAGTCGTGTTGTCAAGAGCACTGAAAACATCGTCAAGTAGAAGCAGACCTTTCCGCGAATATAATGCTCGGGCGAGAGAGACGCGTTGCATCTGGCCACCACTCAGAACTGCTCCAGAGCCACTGCCAATTTGCGTCCTGTCGCCACGGTCCAAGAGCTTCAGGTCATGATCAAGAAAACAAGAGCGTATAACAGATTGATACCAGTTTATGTCGATAATGTCGTCGTCATCGTCGTTAGTAAGTCCACAGATAGCAGCTCGTATAGTGACATTGAGAAGCCATGGTGTCTGTGCACAATATGCCATATCTCCAAGCGGTACTCTGATCGATCCCCCTTTGCAAGCTGCATGGCCAAGCATGGCGCGGAGGAGACTGCTTTTGCCTGATCCGACTTCTCCAATGAAAAACACAAAGGAGCCCCGGTAGACATCCAGGTTCACGTTCTGTAATACATAGTCTTGTGATGATGGAGCGGGAAGAATAGTCACATCTTTCATGGTGACTAAAGGGTCGTGCTGTGAAGAGCATGAATTTTGGGACTCCACTGCATGTATCTCGGTGACATCTGCTAGGACACGCGTGGGACCCGGGATCAGATCCGAGGCCTGGACCTCTTGACACGTTGGAATCACGAGGAAATCCTGGATTCTGTCGAAACATCCTAGAGACGCGGAAGTCGAAGGTATGGCACTGAGAAGCTTTGCTGCCGGGTCGGTGAGCAGTGTAATGATAGATAAATTGGTGAATGCCGTTGTAGCATCTAGAGAGTCCCCTAGGGAGGTATAGACTGCGAATGTCAAAGCAGGAGCTAATGCCCAGGGCAAGTTTTGGACGACATTTTGCCACACAATACTCCATCGAAAGCCTTCCATCAGGTGCGTTTCTCTGGCTTGCCTCTTTTGGATGATTTCAGCAACGGCATGGCTCCAGCCCATGCGTCGGACGGTATGAATGTTGCTTAGCAGTGAGCTCGTAATAGCGATTCGATTCTGCACTGCATCTACCCATATTTTCTGTCGAGGGCCAATGCGTTTTGCTATCTCGATGCTTCCAATGCCAGATGCTGTAGGAGGAAAATTAGTTAGATGATATTTTCACTAGAAGCATGTGATCAAAGAAGACACTTGCCTAGAGTGACAATGACTGGTACAACGCATATCCAGCCAATCCGCATAGCGAGTATGGAAATCCCAACTGCTACCTCAATTAATCGAGCCCAGCATTCATTCAGATTGATCAGACAGGCGGATATTCGGTCAATGTCTGTTGTCATTAGCGTAATAGCGGCTGATCGATCATCGAGACGGCCGTCTGGGATATGAAGAGCACGGCCGTAAATAAGGGATGAGACAGCACCGCGAAACATGGTAAGAAAACGATACACCGTGTGATTGTAATGCAGGTTTGAGATAGCTAGGCCGAGATAGATAAGCACCGTAGCGCCTAACAGTCCGTATCCTTCATTTCGAGAGACATTTGGGCCTTGACCTAGCCATTCAAGAATCGTCTGTAGTAGAAAGGGCTGTGCGAAGGTGAATCCAATCAAGAATAGGCGTGGGATTGCTGCCGATGCCAGTGGCCACCAGAGGGCCCGACAGAGCGCAAATGGAACTTCGAACCGTCGTTCAGGTCTCCGTCGCTGCTGCCACGCAACCTGAGCCGAGTGGCTGAGACTGGCCGAGTGTAAATTTGGATCCAATCTATTGAGATCATCTAGTGTGAGCAAAGATTTGAAGCCTCTGAAGAATAGGTGATTCAGCCACCACATAAATGACCGATTGATAATTCCGCTCGTGGACTCCGGTGGCAGGTCTTGATATTTTGTCTCGAGATAGGCTCGTTTCCCTTTGGTTTCCAGAGCAAGGAAGACAGACTTCAGGCCCACACTGATTGAAAATAGGACCTTGATAGGTTTGCTCTGCTCTTGTTGGAGAAGCCACAGAGTCCTCGCTTGTGCGACATCAAAAAGCAGAGTAAATAGTAAATAGACGCTCAGCAAAGATGACGGCTTTACCGAGCGGGAGTCTTCAACCCAGGACAACAACCCAAGGGATAGCCCAGCAACAACCTCAAGGGCTGCCGCTGGAACTGAGCCTCGAGTCTGCAGGCCCTTGTCCTCTGTCCAGAGAACAAGGAGTCCCAGCTGAGCAGCCGCGAAACCAGTCGCAACAACCTATGTTACATTGTTAGCCGATGAAGGACTGCAGATAAAATCGAGTTCCTGACCAGCTTCGCAACTCGGAAGAAACTTGTCCGCGTGTAGATACCTTGTTTGAGTAGGTATCTGATCCTCAACGGCGAAACGACTAGAAAGGCAGCAGCAGGGAGTATGCTGAGGATGGTCTGTTCGAAGAGCAGCGTGAAGTCGAAGCCACCGCTGCAGCCCCCGCCAACTGCAGGCCCAAAGGCATTTTCGGCCTCGGGCAGGCACTTGGGCGGCATCTGGCTTTTCTGACAGTTTGTGTATGTTGATGAGTCGGAATGCTAACCTCCGCCGGGAAGGATCTATCATTGACTTATGATATGGCGGAGTCCCAATCCGGCTAAGCTGAAATGCATCGACTTTCCTAAGACTTCAATGACGGCTGTTTTGTAGGAAAAAAATAGAAGAAAAAAAAACTATTGGAATACCTATGTCCGTATTAGGTATTAATCACTACTTTAAGGCTGGGCATTTTGCAGACTGCAGCTCATCCAAGGCACCAACCAATTGGCATCATAATGGACAGCGAATAACGTCACATGATGTGTCGCTGCCTGAGACGCCAGGCTACCATGCCACGCTTGCCGACCGCCAGCGTGGGAAAATCTGTTCTTCTCCATAGGTTCAAAATATAATGAAAAAAACAAGGTCCCTGAGGGAATCGAACCCTCAGCGTGCGGATCAGAGCCGCAAGTGTTAGCCATTACACCAAGGAACCTTAGATGTTGTGGTTGTTGGTGGGGGGACCAGGAATGGATATATGGAGCATGTAACTAGTGGAGATATGGGGGTCAGGTTTGTTCAAGCCTAGATAGGTACATTCACTCCAATCACAGTCCACTAAACACGCTAAAAATTCACAAGTACTGTAGGTAAGAGCCTTCCTTGAGTAAAGGTTGGAAGTTCAGCAACCGCCAATAGTTTTATTTTCAACAGTTTCTCGTTGTCTGGTTGGCTCAAAGCGGTCCCATTTAGGGCTAAATGTTTAGACGCCCAGATTCAAAGATTGAATTGAAATGAAAATACCTGGGATCGCCGCTCCGAGATTCCGTTGCTAGATTTTTACTATGTCCTTTTATTTCCCTCGTGATATCACCTCATTAACTGTACTTTTAGCAATTCCAGCCACTGGTTTCATAGCGTAACGGTTCAGCACGTGAGATTCTGGTTCTTGAGATGGGGGTTCCCCCTGAGACCTAAGCCAGTTTAATATTTTTTCGCAGTCTACAATTACCCCATTTTCTCTCTTTAGTCGTAGCTAAGACTATTTTTTTTTGTCAAATCAATCAATTACTAATGATAAATTATACATTATTACTTGGTTATAAGAGTAAGTCGAGAAAACAGAATTTTTTTTTTTTTTTTTTTTTTTTTAGGGAAACCCATACGAATTGGAAATTGACGTGTAAGTACGAATATTAAGGTATAGCGCACCACAACGATTCACGGGTAGTTCATGGCGTGCTTCTCTTCTTGCAGCCTTTTGGCTTCCTTAAGCATTGCAATTCGCGTAGGAATTCTGGCATTGGCAAAGCAGATGTCAGGCCTGCGCGGATACTGGCGCGGGTCGCATCCAGCTTTCTTGAGGCTCGCCCACATTCTACTGATGGAACTACCACGGACAGTCTGTATCGAAGTCTTCACGGGTTCCCACCACTCCTGAGTGCAGCATACTGGGCACATGAGTTTACGATTCAAGAGGCGTGAGGTCTTTTCAAATGTCCATCTGGGTGCATTGTCCTCCAAGGTGCCAGGACAACCTTCTGTTGGGCATTTCCACACGACCATTCTAGGGACAACGTCGAGCTCATTCTTGTTTCGAAGAAGGTAAGGTTCCCACTCAGCTTCAGGATTGGGAATGGCTTCCAATAGTTTCTTTTCTATACGAATACGTCTGAGGTTGCCATCAATAGGGTAAAATTCGGCCTTCTTTGTGCATCCAGTCCGCCCGCAGCCATTCTTCCTGTATTTGAGGGCGTATGTTTTTGAGTTATTTTTAGCGTAATATGCCACAGGGTCGTCAAGGACCCTGCGCCTGCATATCGAGCACTTCCTAGGAACAACGTCCCTCCCAGGACCGCCAGAAACAAGCAAGTCGCTAACACTCGATCGTTTGAGATGGTTCATTTGGCGGATCGAAGTGTTATACCCTAGTAAAACTGAAAATGCCAACCCCATAATGCTTAGATTATCAACATTTCCTTTACAGTAAGTGAGTTGAAATGCGGTCTCGAGTTCCTCACGCGAAGTTATCGTATGCTGATCAATTTTCAGTCCCTTTTCGGTGTGAAATAGCGTGGTTATGACCTCTGGAAGTTCTTCCCAGCTATTGAACTCCCAATCCAACTCTTCAATGGATTGAATCAGATTTTCATACTGGTCTGGCTTGAGAATTTTGAACGGCATGTCGGGTAAAAAGAAATTGACGAGCTTTTGTAAGTTTATATGGAAAAGGGCTGCTTTCCGTCGATGATTCTCTCTCTGTTACAGGTTAGCATTGGAATAGCAGCAGCGGGGTTTTTCATGAGTGCTCTCGTACCCGAGTGTGGTCATCTTCAATATTTCCTTCAGCTAAAACAGCTGGCTTTGATGCAGTGTCTGCCTTCAGCCGCTCGACTTCTATCGCCCAATTTGCTTCGACTTCCGGAGAAACCTCAAAAGATACCTTCACTGGAGCCAAATCCAGCCCGGGGAAGGCTGTTTCGAGCTGCACTCGCGCTTCACCCTTCAGTTTGTCTCTAGCTAACCGTACAACCTTTGGGATCCTAAGGTTCTGTATGAGTCTAGGGCTGGACTCATAGAAATTCTCACTGACAGCGATGTTCCCTAAGAGAGCAGCTACCTCTAAATGAAGGTCCTGCTCTTTGCCGAAATATCTTCGGAATCTCCGAGCCCCAGGGGTGTCTGCGAACACATACATGAAGTATTGCGGAGGCCTGACGAAGATGATGAAACGACGAATGGATTTACAATTTCCGGTTTGATCTTTTTGGTGTTCCAAATACAACGTAACGCCTTCATAACGACCCCAAAGCGGCAACGGCTGCAGGTCCGGGAAACAGTGATGCATTCGCGACTTCACATTCGCCCCCCAACACAATTCCACCACAGCTGCCATCTCGTGGCGGAGGGCAAACACAAATCCTTCATTTATTTCCCACAGATCGGGGGGATAGACTTTAACCGAGTGTTTGCTATCGTCTCTGCGCGCCAAGTGGTCGAATACCAGGCACTTCTCCAAGGAAATCCCAGCGTCTTTCAGTTGTATCATGGTCGGATTTGACAAATCAAATGTCGTCTCTGATGTGGGATCACACACTGCAAAGGTTGGGTTAAACAAGTGACATGCTACCCGGGAATCAAGACGGCCAGATGGGCGGACTATGAAGTTGCGAGGTCGGTCAACGTTGCGAGACTTCCACCAGGCAGTCTCTTCATCGCGAAAGTGTTCGAATGCATCGTTCATATCCCAGGAGGAATGGTCAAAATGGCCTGATCTTATGTTAGGCTTTGTCTGTGTAATCATTTCTCAAACCAACTTACCTTGGCTGCTCTCCTCTTCAAGCTTCTCAATAAGTGGCAGAAGTCGCTTCAACTCCAACTGTCGGTCTTCAGTCAGATGATCTTTAGGATCATCCAAGATGAAAGAGCCAAATAAACGCAGAGACATCTTGGATGGAATTGAAAAGACGCAGAGTTAGCAAAGATCATGTAGATACGCGTATGTGCGCGTTGCTACAGGTTTCTGTGGAAATTTATGTCGGGTACGTAATAGGTATTGGGTAAACAGCGCGTTTGTCACGGGCATGGAAAGTCCCGTTTATTATGTGACCAATGGCTTGGAAACTCTTCAATGATGCTGGAGAATGACAATGTTTCAGGTGTATTGTTTCGATATAACGCACGATGCCATATATACCCGAGTTGCCTAGAATTGGTCAAGTAATGAGAAGATATGACAAGCTAGAGGGAAGAATGATGGTTATATTGACATTAAAGAACTGAAATGCCTGGCCAATGCGTGAACATTTTCAGCCTGGGGCTGCTAGATTGTATTGATGGCTCTAGCAGTGCCAATAAGTATATCAACTCCAACTGTTTACCGAAATGAAGCCATTCATGGATCTGCAGTTTTGCTACCATCTCGTGGCTGGGTGTGAATCCAGATCCTTCATTATGTCTCACAGGTCAGGGCAATAAAGATATTCATAAAATGCTTGCTGTGTGTTGTCTTTTCCCGCGAAGCAATAAAGTCGAATATCAGGCAATTGTTCCAAAGAAATCCTAGCGTTTTCGAGCTGTAGGATCTAGCTAGTCAATTGTTGTCCCTGATGTGGCATCATGCGCTGCCAAGGTTGGATTGAATCGATGGCATGGTACTCATCAGGACAGCGAGGCCAGGCGGATGAACTGGGAAGACTTCTTATTCGGGAAGCGTTAGAATGCGTCGTTCACAACCGCGAAAAACATAGCAAATAACAAGCAAGCATTGCGTTCATCCAAGAATACGGCTGTAGGCGTCTGATACTTCTTTAGCAATCTCTAATAGGGTCATAATAATGATTTAATATTTTAATTAATAAAAGCTCAAGTATTGGAAACTTTAGTTGGTACCATCAGGTATAATTAGGATAGTAACAGGCGGAGTTGATAGGCCTGGAATGAATTCAATATCCAGTGGACATCGAGGCGCACACATTAGCGTTCCTGATCTATTGGCTGTGACGTTCTGGTTCTCTGATAGGTACCCGACCAAAGGATAAACCATTTAATAAATTGTGGGAATAGGATTGTTTGTAGCGAAAAAAAGAAATTGAAAAAAAGTAAGGTCCCTGAGGGAATCGAACCCTCAGCGTGCGGATCAGAGCCGCAAGTGTTAGCCATTACACCAAGGAACCTTAGATGTTGTGGTTGCTGGTGGGAGATTTAGAAATGGATATATGAAGCATAATAAGAGATCTAGGAATAACTATGGGGTATTATTACTGACAATAGATTCAACTTGGTTATGTGGGACCTACTACTATACGAGATAATTAGTAAGTAGGTAAATTATCTAAATAGTAGTACATTCTGAGGATAGGTATCTAAGGATTGTTATCTTGTCATATTCTGGGTTCCAGGCAAGATTTATATTTGGGGCCGCATATAGTGCATACATATATATATACAACCGTGATAGATTAAGACCGTCTTTCCTCCTCATTTGTCAAGTGATGGGATCACCCTTCCCTCTCCCGGCCAATTCAAGAGAAGATCATACTGATGTGAAATCAGGGACTGACTGCTTTAGCTCCAGATACGATCATTACAACCAATCGAGAGGTAAGATCGGCTCTGGAGAGGATGTTATCTGTTTCATCAAGTATCTTCTACCGATCTCAATGATACTCATAAAGCGGAATGCAAGTAACATCAGTTCTATAATATGGTGGTCATAAGTCTTAGATTATCGATGTCCCTCCTTCAATCAATCATTTAATTGTAGAGCACGTTGGATTTTGATTTCAGAATTTCCGGGCTTCTCTTCCTTTCTTTCTGTTCTTCTCTTTTTTTTTTTAACTGTTTTGGCTAGTATCTTCTTCCTCCTTGTTTATCCTTTGTTGCTCGATAGAAAACATCTAAATAAGCTAGCCGCTAAGTACAGTATATAAAGGGAGAATTCAAATATGTATGCAGAAGACCAGAAGTTGATAACTCCTATGCGCATATTGCATTGTGTATGGCAATTTCTGACACAGAGATTGAGTCGATCTAGAGAGATAGGGGATTCTTTCTAGGTATTTCTTTCCATAGCTATTTTTGAAGTTTTTTTCTTCTTCTCTTTATCGTTATTGAAGTTATTCATCATTGGAGACATCCACGAATGTGGGGATTTGGATTGAGTCCATTTTATTCTTCCTTCCTAGATATCATGAGAATACCGAGCTAGATTGGCCGCCCATTATAGTATCATAATAATAACTATTATCTATCACTACTTAGTCGTGAGACCAGAACTATACACACGTCAACTCTCAGCTTGGTCTCTATTATTTACATGCACATTAGCCGAGAGAATAATATGCAATGAATGCCATATAGCTATAAAATGTAATTCATACAGAATATGTACCACGGAAGCAAATCGGTATGTATAATAGAGAACCGGGTAGGCATTATCGAAGCATGAAGTTGCGTGTGCTCTGCTTTCCAGAGTGCTTTGCCATCGTAGGGTGATTACAGGCTGAATCCAGAATAGCGGTCATAATATACATATGGCGGAGTCCCAACCCAGCCAAGCTAAAATGCATCGGTTTGACAATTTCCTCGAAGACCTCAACAATATACAAAAAAAAACCAAAAAGATCCTCCAGCTGGGAATGGTATCTGATTTTGTGACAGTTACTCCGTACTACTAACGATGATCAGGAGGGGTATTGCTATTCACTACCCACTTAGCCCTAAAATCACATGCCTTGGCTTGCAGACATCCAGCGTGCAGCCAATAACCCACGCAGCATCTGACAGGGATGAACAGTCCTGAGCTGCAATCAGTCGTGGCTACACTAGGAGTCTACAGCGCGGGTTACACGGCAGATCTTGGGCACTTACAAATGCAGTGGGTGAGAGGAGAGGAGCAGGACGAAAGAAAAAAAAAAACATCACCACCTCATATTGTAGAAGCAAGCCAGAAGGATAATCAAAGGACTAACATCGCTCACGATGTCTCCTCCTGCGCAGGACAAGCCAAAATCGACTCATCCAGCACCCCCAAAGCTGGCGCACATTGTGTTACGCACGAACCCGGACAACTTCGGCACCATGGTCAAGTTCTACTTGCAAGCACTAAATGGCAGCGTCCGGTATGAAGACCCTGGAAAGATAGCTTTCTTGTCCTACGACGACGAGCATCACCGCATTGCCATCGCCGCCATTCCAGGAGCCAGCCCGCCCACCGCAGATGGGCCACCGCGGACGGGCTTGGACCATGTTGCTTTTGCGTTTGCCAACCTGACGCAACTGGCGCAGGTCTACGTGAGCCTACGCGACCACGCAGAGAATCCTCTGAGGCCTGTCTGGGCGGTGAACCACGGGCCTACGACGTCGCTGTACTATCGCGATCCCGAGTGGAACAAGATCGAGATGCAGGTCGACAACTTTGACACCAATGAGGAGGCGAATGCGTTTATGAATAGTGGCGAGTTCGCCGAGAATCCGTTTGGCGTCGACTTCGACCCGGACGAGTGGTCGGCAAAGATTTTGAGTAAGATGCGCGAAGATGGGAGCGAGGGGCTCAGCGTCGAGGAGTCGAAGGCACTCAAAACAAGACCGGCCAGCGGCCCAAGGGCACATCCGCCAGCGGGAGTTTTCTAGTTTATTTTCTTGGTTATCAGTTCATATCTTTTATTTTAGAGCAAAAACATTATTGTAGATATTTGATTGCTTCTCACAGAACCATTGCCTAGCGCCTCCTTTGCTTCGTAGACTATCCTAAATGCTAACAGCCGCAGGGAAAAAAAAAACATCTCTACGCATTTATGCATTTACCTGCTCCATGAACCAACGCACACTGCGTTGGATGCCCTCCTGCATGCCCACCTTGGGACGATACCCGAGCACCCGTTTGGCCTTGGTGATATTGTGCGTGCGGATGAGGGTACTGAAGCGAATGCCCTCACGAGTCATATTGGGAGTCCGGGTGCCGCGGGAAATTGCCCACACCACCCACTCACTCACAAGTCCCATGGCGAGTCCCAGCCATGTCGGAATAGCCACGATATCCTCGGGCCGCACGGGGTTGCCCGTCTCGGAGGCAACTGCGCGCTGGAAGTCCCAGAAGAACCAGGGGTCATCATTGCTGATGTTGAAGCATTCGCCGTCCACACGCACGGTCGGATCCGTGGGACGAGGTTTGCCCCAGGCGTCGAGCAGAGCGTGAGCAGCCAGCAGATGCGCATCTGCAAGATTGCCCGCATACACAAAATCATATGGGTTCTTCCCATTGCCCATCTGAAAACGTGACATGCCCTTACGAGCCACCGCGATCATCTTCCCCAAGGCACCGACATCATGCTCACCGAATACAAGACAGGGGCGTATCGCGCAGGTCAACACCCCCTGATCGTCGTGGCCCCCGTTGCGATTGGCCGCTTGAATGGCCTCTTCAGCTTCAGCCTTGGCAAGACAGTATATGCGCTTCTGCTGCGGAAACCGCAGGATTGGCATCTCCTCTGTTGCATCAATCATATCGGTGTGGTTATCGTTGATGACTCCTGAGGTCGACGTATTGACCAAGGCTCGCACAGTGCCGACCTTGACAGCGGCATTCAGGACGTGCCGGCTGCCATCAACGATGATGTTATGGTAAGCGGACACGGGGGCGTCGGAGAATTCGGGCGACGCAGTGTGGAAGATGGTGACGGGTTGCGCAATGTGCATCACTCGCTCGACGTCCGCGGCGGAGGCGAGGTCAGCCCGGTGGTAGTGGACGTTCGCGTTGGGATGGCGGTTACGATCGACGTTCACATCCAGCGAATGAATGTCGCAGTCGGGCTCTTCAGCGAGAATTTTCGCAATTATATGGTAGGCCACGAAGCCATTGCCCCCAGTGACGAGGACAGGGCCCAGCTTGGAGGGAGACATGATGCAGACTCGGAGGATTCATGGAGGTGAGTAGGGGAACTTCAGCTGCAGCTTCAGCTTTAATATATATTCCTCAACCGCAGGAATCAGCGACTAGGCCAGTAGCGGTAACGTTAATTGGCTGGTTCTTGGCTTCGCTCTGTTTTGACTTTGACCAGATGACATTATTTCCATCCTTTGCCGGCTTTGGCTTCTGGGCTGAAGAAGTAGTGGTGTTGGTTCGAGAATATGCTCGTAGGAAACACATGCTCCGGACTGTTGAAGTTCATGGATCGCCTGCGATAATGATAACAATCTGAAAGACCGGGGCAATGCCTGATATAGCGACCAGCTCGCTGTGCCATCTGGAGGAAAACAAGGAATAAAAAGGAGAGAGGTGCATCAACAGCTCAGTGGGGGGCCCAGGTTGTGATGAGGTCACGTGACACTTTGGCCTCAGGCAGCGATCATGGCGACCACCTAGGCTTGCTTATACTTCCGATAAATCTTTTCATACCTAGGCATAATCCGTATGTAGATTAGAACTATTTTTCTATTATTTAACCCAAGGACATTCAAGCTTATTTCTATACAGTAAATGTTGCATATGATTAGTTACCGCCGAAGCCGGCCCCTGGATCACGTAAGCAGGCCGATGGATCCCGATGGCGGAGAAAGTACCCGTCGGTAGCCGTGAAATGCCGCCAGCGAAGACTTTTAATTTTTATTTGCTTCCGCGTTTCGAGACCTGTTGTTTAGCATTGTCATTTTACATCTATATTTCATATTCTATATATTTATCTCTATTCAATATTCTATATTCTCTCTACCTACGGTTTCGAGGTAGCAATATATATCCATCCGCTTCACAATGCTGGCCGCCGTGAAAGCAATTAATGCGAAGATTCGCTCCAATAAAACCCTTGATTACTTCTGCTCAACACGTATGTCTTAGCGCTCTTTCTCGATAATACAGCCGTTCCACAAAGATATCATTGGCATTGACTTCTTGACCTAGATTTCTGGGGCCCGGCCTCCAATTTCGGCATTCCGATTGCTGCCGTGACGGACATTCAGAAGGATCCAGAGATGTAATTGCCCTTCCCCGTACGTGAGTGTAGGATCCTTAGGGTTTTTAGGCTGACTGTCTTCGATGTAGTATTTCGGGACGCATGACGGGCGCGTTTATTGTCTGCTCGGCCCTGTTGATGCGATACTCTCTTGCCGTGACCCCCAAGAATTACTTGCTGTTTGGAATGCACACCGTCAACGTCGGCGCCCAGTCCATCCAAGGAATGAGGTTTATAAATCACTGGTAGTAGGTGACCCTTTTCATCGCTCTCTTTTCATTTCATGCTAGCTTTCCGGTGACTAACATCGTGTGATTCGCAGCCTGCAAGACCGGAACAAACCCGTTGCCGATGCGTGAGAAGAAAATCGAGTATATGGCGGAGGATATCCGAGGCATGGGTAGATATAGAATCGTGGGTTCGCTTTTCGAGCATTTTGGAATCAGAGAAAAAAAAAGGTGGTTTATTGCATGGTTATGGCGTTTTGATAGGTATAGAAATGAATCTCTGGTAGATGACTCTACTATTTGCGCGAGACGCTTTGTAGATCTGGAGTATCCAAATCAACTTCCAATGCTCGTATAGGATTGTAATTTATTGAGAAACGGGTTCGGGGTTGTGTCTCGATTTCACGTTGGCTGTTCTGTTTTCTGTCTCTCCAATGTTGTCAAGCAGATTTGGTGAGGGAAAAAAAAAAAAAATAAAAAATAAAAATAAGCGAATATCTGCCGGCCTTATTGCATACTCGACATTCACAGCTAATGAGAGTCATCAAAATTGATAAGACCGAAGGTGCCGTGGTGGTTGTGCGGTCCTGATCACTGTATAGAGCCCTAGATTTATCAAAGCAAAGCTGATGTCTAACAGATCCTCAGATATATCCTTCATTACTTACAAGTCTTGCATATCACGAAATATTGGCCGACACTTTCGAAGGATTTCGCCGCCAGTCTGTAGTATCGATATGAATAAAATTCGTCAACTCCAATTTTTTATTTTTTTTTTCAATCAGTATAATACATGAAGATAATAATAAAAGTAAGATCGTTGGCTATTCAACCTTTAATTCAACTGTCCTTTGGACAAACACATTCTGCTGAAAGCCTTCTCGGACGAGTGCTTCCATACTCTCTGTATCGTCATCTGTGCTTCCATGAACGACGGAAGTGTGGGTGCCTAACATGTTGGCTTCGGCTGCACGCCGCGGATAATGATTCGCAAATGTTGATATTGTGTATTTGTCACGAGCGCGCAGGCCGTGGTTCTCGGTCATGGCGAAGGCGTTGACGTTGGGCTGTAGCTCGTGGGCAAGACGGCCGAGCGATGGAATTGAGGTAGCGATGATACTCAGGTTTAGCACCGCTCTGATTCATCTTAGTCAGTATTGCTCGCCTTCGTGTATGTACGACAAATAAAGACTTACTGGTCCCAGATGCTGGCGTATAGCTGTTCCCACGTCTTGTCGGAGGACGTAACAACAACATCGTAGTAGTGTATCTGGAAGGCAACGGCCACAATGACGCTATTGAGGATGATAGTTAGCAATTACGTCCAGTTTCCTTGCTTTGGTGGTGACCAGAGGAGACAGCGTACACAATTCGAATTGCGAGCAAGCCGATTATTCGCACCCTCTTCGCCATGGAGACATGCACAGTCCACAACACGCCGCATGACAGAAGAACTATGGCTGCGTCGGTGATGATATTGAACGCGCCGATGGTTTGGAACATGACAGCCTAGTCACTATCAGTCCAAAATCTCACGTTTTACTATGTATTATTACTTCTAGCGAATACTAACCATGTTGTCGCATTCTCCGTTTACAAAATCCCACGGACGAGGCGACGAACATCGCGCGGCGAGAGCGACGATGGATGCAATAGCCCATGCGACAATTGCACTTATCAATCCCCAGTTAGCCCATTGGGAAAACCCTCTGTTCATCAAGCTCTTGAAGAGTAGGCTGATGGAGAGTTTGCTTAGGGAAACAGTGGCGATGAGCAGTATCTGAGCGATGTATATGTACTAGGTCAAAGCATCAGTAAGCGATCCTGCGTTGCACATGGCTGTGACGAGTACCTTTTCGAAAAGATTTAGGTTCCTGTCCGAGACAGTATTTTGCCTTTTTCCGAGACCATGGCTGATTGATAATTGCACAAACACGCTCTGCAAGATCGCTAGGACCTGTAGCTGTGTTAACGACAAAAATCCATTGAAGAGATTATTGCACTTACAGTAGCCCCTGCGAGCAGATAGTCATCGATTTGCACTACTTTCCCGATATAATATCTTGCTGATAGTCGAGTGACGACCACGAAGACGGTCAGAGCGAGAAGAGTGTAGACAGCGACAGCAGTGTAGCCGCCGTGGTCCTCATCAGATATAGTGAATATCGGAGGCAGGGTGCCTGCCTGTGCCTGTACCATTATTTTGTCGGGATTATGATTATTATTTTCTTTTTGCTTTTTCCTCCCTCCTTTTTCTTTTCTTTTTCTTCCCCCCTGTTTCTGACCGCTGATCGTAAATATCGAGGCTCTGTGAATTATCCCGATACTTCAACGGCCGAGCGAAACGTAGTAAGAGTAGGATGTAAGCAGCTATGCCTACAGAGGACTATCTCATGGCGCGGTCATGGGGTTTCGATGATTAGGGGAAAAGACCGTATGTCGCTTTTATTGATTTGGTTGATTTCCAATGGAGAATTGCCAAGGTTACAGGTGTGATAAAGAGGCATTCATTATTGTAATTTCTTGCACGAATGAGGTGAATGAAATAAATAATTCAAGTCGATTGATTACGTGGAGAGAGAACTAACTAACTATGTATGCAACTTGAATAAGTAGCATAATTTATTAGTAATAATGCTTATTTACACGAGTGATAAAAACCCCCGGTTGAGTTCCCATTTGCCCCTGGTACGCATCCAGATACAACCATACACGCCCCAAGATTCGTCTGCACCTAATAAGGGAAGAAGTCACACGCCATGTTATCAATTGACGTTTATTTCATTCTAAAAACATAGGGGACGGCGTGGATGCTGCCGGATAGTGATACTGACAGCACGCACAGCGGCAAACGGAGGCACCGTCACATGGCAGCAGGGAGCGAAGGTTTTGCCCCCTTAGCCAGTGACTTATGATTTGCCCATGCTCGTAGTGGCTGAAAGCCTAAAGGTGGGCCGTTGTTTTTCTGTGCTGTGCGAGTCTTTGGACCAAAAGAGATGGACCGGAAGCGGCCGCGGTGGAGTAGGTAGAAGACTCGAGCGAGAGAGACTCAGAGAAGTTAGTTAGAAGGAATGGGAATCTTGGGTCGTGAATTCCATGGATCGTCTCGGAATGGACACTAACCCCCCTAAAGCAGGTAGATAGATATCGTTACGACGTTGGCCTAGCACTAGCTCGAAGTATACGCATCGCCTCCTGGCAGTGGGTACGCGCAGTCCGTGTACATGCTGCTAGCCAGGCTATTCGTTGCTAATGCATGCAATGCGTGCCACTGGTGCATTTCTGTTATCTTCCTTTTTCTCTCTTCGATTTAATTATTATCATCTGGTAACTAGGCGTCATGTCCGGCCTACAATTCTACTGCTGTGCGGCAAAGGTTATGGCAAAATTTTCAGGACTTGTTCGATCTTTTCCTGCCGATCTGACAGCTGTCACTGGTCCGTAGTATTTTCTACCAACAAGTTAGTGCGGTGACCTTCTCTAGAGTCTAAGACTAACTAACTGTCTCGGTGTCTCGACTCTACTATCATCCCTGTCTTGTGAGTGGTAGTTAATGCGAGCACATGTCGCAATTTGTACAAGAGATACACAAAAAGCCCAGGCGTTTCCACTTTCCGTCCGTGCTAGCTATCGAATTTGTTGCCCTGGTTTTAGAGTGTCGTCCCCTTGCACCATTTTTAATATATCTTAGACAGCGCAGTTGGCTCGTCTAGACCCTATAGCGAACACAGGCAGCGAACAATGCCCCGTGCAGGGCATGATTCGACTAACACGCTCTGTCCATCACAGAGATCCCCCGGCTATCGATTTCTCCACGTTTGCTGACCACAGACGATCTCATCGACATCATTATGAAGTAGATTAAGGGATCACATCACGTCTTCCTATCCTAGTCCTAAATAGTAATCTCAGCCCCGGACGAGCGGCCCATTTTGGGGGTTCTAGTCGAGCTGCTAGTTTAGTTTCTTTAGTGTGTCTTTGTGCGTCGGTCCACTGAACCAGCCTGTGCATCCCTGCTAGTGCAGAAAGATAAGCAAATCCCTCCGCCACATCCTTCCATTTTCCACGCTGGAAACCAAGTCAATCGGGTGATTGATTGCGGCGTTCTGGCTGCCGGCTCATTTCTCGCGGGCCATTGATGTGGTCTTGAGACTACGGATTGCGAGTTCCTGGAAATCTACAAGTTTGCGGCCGTATACACATTCGGAATCTCTGAGCGATGAAGACGGGAATGTGAGCGGTCGACATTGAACACACGATATCCCAAGACTGCCATGTCTCTCGGTCTTCGCCGCCGCTTTCTACATCGTTACCGTCTCGTTTTCCGTCTATAGATCTATCATTCGAAGAACGCCGTCCGACATCTGCCCTGGTGACCGACTGCAATATGGACAGAGAAAATAATTTTGAACTGGGCCCGCTGGAAACAAAAAGAAGTGTCGCTGTTGACGAAGAGCCGAGCTTGGTTCTCGACGCCTCCCTGAGGAATGGAGCCCCGGTATACGGACATTCTACAGGGTCGAGTGGGAGACGGCAGCTTGATGTGAGTCTTGACAGTGAAAGCGGATATGTGAAGGTGTATTATTCTGATAGGAAACTCTCTCCCTCTCCTTCTATAGCGAAAATTCGATTCCCTCTCCATCCTCGCTCTATCGGTGACACTGCTTTCGTCATGGGAAGGAATGGCAAACACTATTTCGTCAGCGCTGTTGAATGGCGGTCCCTCGTCTTTGGTCTGGGGCGGTCTGCTCTCGCTGACCGGCACAATGGCTCTGGCCTCCTCGCTGGCTGAGATGGCGTCTATTTGCCCTATTGCCGGCGCACAGTATCACTGGACTGCACTATTCGCACCTCCGAGCATCCGACCATTCGTCACCTGGATGCAGGGATGGGTCACGGTCTTTGCATGGCAGGCTGCAACAACGAGCATATTCTTTCTCGTGTCAAAACAGATCCAGGGCTTGATTGTGCTCAACTACCCAACGTATGGCGATTCGCGCTGGCAGGGCACCTTGATAATGTGGGCTGCCACCGCTTTCTCCTTTGCATTCAATGTCTGGGGCATCCGCATCCTGCCACTCATTCAACTCTTTGGTGGCATCTTTCATGTCGTTTTATTCATTGCGCTGTCGGTGCCTTTGATTTTGCTCGCTCCGAGAAGCACGCCGGATTTTGTCTTTGCGACGGTATTGAACGAGGGTGGCTGGAACAGCAATGGCGTGTCTTGGTGTCTCGGCCTCCTTACAGTGACATACTGTTTTATTGGTATGCCCTAAAAAAGCAGGCGTTACAAGATAGTTAACTCCACACACACGATGACTGACTAATCCCCAGGCTTCGATGGCGCCGTTCATATGAGCGAAGAAGTCCGCAACCCTGCGAGGGTCGTACCACAAATCATAGTTCAATCCATTATCATCAATGGAACGATGGCCTTTAGCTTCTTGCTCATCCTACTTTTTTTCTTGAGCAACGTAGAAGCCGTCCTGAACACGCCGACAGGATTCCCCAGCATTCAGATCTTCTACGAAGCAACGAAATCGGTCAAAGCCGCGACCGCCATGCAATGTGCGATCCTGGTAGTTGGGCTAATGTCAAGTATTGGTGTTGTGGCCTCTGTCTCTCGACTGACGTGGGCTTTTGCTCGCGATGGCGGCTTGCCCTTTTCCAAATTTTTTGCTCATGTATGTCTTTACTGGCATTTCCTCCCCCCGCCCCCCAATTTTTTTTGTTTTTTTTTTTCCCTTTTTAAAGTAGAGATAGTAGGCACTAACAAAGATTTGATCTGGACACAGATTGACCGCCGATTCCATGTCCCATTTCGTTCTGTCGGACTCGTTTGTTTTGTTGTCCTTCTCCTATCATTGATCAACATCGGCTCCTCGACTGCGCTTAATGCCATTCTGGCCCTCAGCACATGCTCGCTTTACATATCATACCTAATTCCGATTTTCCTTCTCGTTATTCAACGCCTCAACAAGACCAGCCCTCCTATCCGCTGGGGTCCGTGGACAATGGGGCCCCGATTGGGGTTGGTGGTGAATATCTACGCCATCGTGTTTGGTGTTTTCATTGTCGTCTTCAGTCTGTTTCCCACTGAGCTCCCAGTCACAGCGGGGAATATGAATTATGCTGGCCCGGTGTTTGGGCTCGTGGCTAGTTTATTGGTTGTTGATTGGGTTGTGAGAGGGCGACATCGATTCCAGGGCCCGTTGAAGGACCACATGCAACGAGCAGCGGATGCATAGTTTCTTTCTGTCTTGTTATTTATACCAATTTCCATGCTTCAATGACTTCGGAGTCGGTGGGCCTTTGTTTGTTCATATGTGATATGAGATTTGTAAGTTAGGTAGATAGCACATATTAATCATTTAACGACGGATATGAATTGGCGTTATTTGCCTACACTGAACTTTTAAATATGAATAGGAGCCAAATTGCACGTCTATTTAGGTAGTATTTACAACTTTCGCCTTGAAAGGCGTGTATGGAATATCTATGAACAATTCAAACGGGAAATAACCACCATGTAGCAAGCTTTCAAACTAGTAAAGTCGAGAGTCGTCACGCTTAAATCGTCATGTCGTTAGTGTATGCATATCAAAGAAAGAAAAAATACCCTGATGTCTCTAAAAATCTATAAGCTCAAAAGAAATGCCAGGTCTAAGAAGTAGGAGCTGCAGCAGGTGGCCGATCTGGAGACCGCATTGGCATGCCTATAGGAGAGCTAGCACGGCTAGGGAGACTGGAGATAGATTCAAAGTCATGCTCCTGGAGAATAAGGGCGTATCTGGGATGGCGGAAGAATTTGGGAACCGAGTCCTAATTTCCTATTAGTCTATAGATATAGGCGCGTGCAGTAAACGAAAACATACACTAGCCATGAGCTTGAATACAGTCGATTGAGCAAGCCGGAAGAGACCGACGACCTCTTCCAGAAACTGAGTAGACAGCGGCCCATCACCACCAAGGCCGGTCATTTTTGCAGCAACCCGGTTGCGCAGGCTATGGTCTATGTTCAACTCACAGGGCGAGCCGGGAGCAAGAAAGGCATTGTATAGACCTGCGACACATGTGGTATTACATTAACTCGACGTCTCATACTGACTCGGGAAGAAAAGACAAGCACGCACCGAATGCAGAGGCAAGATGATCTTGCAGTTTCTGAGAGTCTTTTGGCTCGTCCGGAAGTTTTGAACGATTATAGTTGTCAAGATACTCAGTGACATCAAGATAGAATGACAGGTTTTCCTCGCAGAAAGAAGCGCCGAGAAACTCACGGAACAGAAGCCGTAAAGACGGGTCGGTTAGTATATAGTTCAGGCGGGAGGTATTCGAGATATCGGTGCCAGTCGCTGACGTTGTCAACAACGTTGTGCTATTGGACTTGCTGTTTTTGCTCTTGCTGCTGTCGTCTGATACTTGGTCAGATGCCACCCAGCCGCATACTCTCATTGCGCGCGGTGTGAGAGCATATACGGCCTGACGCGTAGGCTGGAAACTTTGAATGGGCTGGCCAGTTTCAGCAGCGTAGGACTTGTCTTCGACAATATTGGTGATTAGTCCATGTTCAATGAACTGCGTGCAGAGTCGGTATGTCTCGCGTTCGTCGATAGTAGTGCAGCAATCCATGAGCCAATTGACGGCCGACTTGCCCGTGAAGGCATACTGGTACTTCCTGCCATTGACTCGTGTTTCTTGCACTCCCTCAACGCCCACGAGCCCGTTCGGGCAATCAGTGCGGTCTTCCCAGTTTGGCATTTCATCGCCTTGGCGGCACGCCTGCGTGCCTGCGAAACGACGAAAGATAACCTCAATTGTTGCCCGGTCAGTCAGCAGCTTGTCTGTCTCTAGATCCCGCTCGAGAATAAGAAGAGTCATCTTGTTGCGCGGTGATTGCAACAGCCTAGTCACATGCACGGCTGTGACACCGTTGCGGTTGCAGAATCGATGCAGCACCGCGATGCCCTTCGGTGTCATTTGACAAACGGTGCTTTTGCTGACACTGAAAGGATTGCTATTCAAGGGTTCCAAGAATCGGGCTTCGATAAAGCTCTGGAATATGGAACGTGCCATTTCCTTGGCCATGGTGAAGGTTGTCGTTGATGTTGTGGTGATGATGCGATTGGGGTCCTTGGGGTCAGGCATGCGGGCTGATTGAGTAAATCGCAGCGAGCTTAGATTGATAATAGCTTCTTCTACGGTGAAGGTAAAGTCGACTTTGAAGAATCGCACTCGGTGCGCGCCGAGATCAAGACTGACCATGAGAGTCGAGAATAGGTCTTTGAAATCCTGGATGGAATTGGTCAGATAATTGTCCCCTGGTATGAAGAAGAGAGACAAGAAAAATACTCTAGTAAACGGCCTGTCTTCGTCTGTCATGCGCATTAGACGCGACGTCGGCTTTCGCACTGTCTCAGTCATGGCGGATGGTTGGGTTGGCAATCAACGCAACCAGGTCGAATTGATCCTATTTCATAAACGTTTATTGATCCTAAAAACAGAAACAAATTCGACCAGACCCATAGATTGAAAGGAACACGTCCAAGTCGGCGAAATGAGTAAAGTAGCCTGCCTGCCCAACTGGGTAGCGCAAGAAGTATGAAGCCGGGGGTTAGAGCAATATTAGCCCCCAATAAGCCACCGACAAAGGAAAAGAGAGACACAAACGCCGGAATACAACTGGGACGATTGGAAAATAAAAATCCGAAAACGACAGGGAAGTTTGAGAAAGCGAAGAGCAAGCGAATTGCTACGTAAAGACGATCAAACGGCGGGCGTTCTTGCCTGAGCAGACAGAGTAAACGGAACAGAGCGGAGAGGGGCACAAATCTCAATTGAACAAGAACTACAAAAAAAAAAAAAAAAAAAAAAAAAAAAAAAAAAAAAAAAAAAACAAAAACATATAAACATAAAAGAGAGTTAAAGTTTCGTCAAGGGGCCATTCACCCACGTGGTGAAAAACGGAGTGCGTATCCGTACAAAGTCGGCCGGCCACTGGAAGGAATAGAAATGCATGGCTAGGGAGATAAGGCGGCGCAGTTCAGCCCAGCCAGGCAGCCCTGTCCTTGCAAGTCTGCACTTCCCTTGCCTAAAACGGTATGTGTGGTTTGGCCCACCGTCAGCGAGGCGTTTATTGCATTGGATATCTCTGCCACGAGATCCACGCTGGATTCTTGGTATGATGCTAAGGATCAAGCCTACGTACGCCGTGACAGCACGGAGTACTCCGAACATATACTACATCCGACCTAGCTCCTACTGCATAGTCATCTCACCATTCCTATAGCAGAGCGAGATTCCACTAGTAGCAGCTGCTAGTGAAGCAGATCGCTCAGAACGCCGGTTGAAATAAGCGAAGAGAGCCCGAAAGCGTTCCCGTCCGGCACGTGCGGAAGCGGGAGAACCACGTGGAAAGCTTGGCCAGGGATGAGTATTGTTTTCTGTGGTGGTGGTGGTGTTGTGTTATGATGCATTACTATCAAGTAGGTTTTTTCAGGGTGTAGCATATGCGAGTGTAGAGTGAGAATTTAGTAAATAGAGTTGCAAGATCTGGAGAGGGTCCTCGTCGGTGGACCATCCTATATCGCTAAATACTAATAATCCCCATTTATTCCGTAGAGCGAATAATATATTCTATGTGGAATTTTGTCGGACATACTTTGTATGCAACCCAGTAGCAACAACGACGCTTTTTCCATCCTTCATCTTGCTAATCTCAACTGACAGGAACGCAAGCGTGCCACCCATTTTCAAGGACCGTCCACTAATCTCCAGGATTTCCCCTTCCGCTGCACTAGCCAGGTATGAGACGTGAATGTCGGTGCTCACCCCCGTGTATGTCGACCCATAGCTAGCAATGAACCTGCAACCCAATCCACGATACACGCAGTCAAGGCCCCGTGCAAACCGCCCTTGGAGTTGGTGTGGCTTTTGTCCACTTGGAGACGGGCGTGGATGGTGCCCTCGGAAGCATCTTCGATGGTGACGTTGGCTAGGAGGAGGGCGTAGATGGGGCTGTTGGCCCGTTGAGTTTGCCAGACATTCTGGACGTGGCTGAGTACAGAAGACATTGTGAATAAATAATAATGAAGATAATGAGGAAATCCACCTTGTTGCGCCGTTGATATATATAGTCGGAGCGGCGAGCCTCCGAGAATTCGGATCCGCTCCGTGTATACTTATACATGAGGTTGTGAACAATAAGTGTACAATTTATTCTGTACTATCTGAGCTGCCCATTCTCCCCTTTTCCTTAGGACTGTGCTGACTCTGAAATCAGCCGCCAGCCCGCTTAGACTAGATGGTAACTTGCGCTTATCACTGGTCTCGTTTGCCGTCGCATACAGCGTTCGTTTGCAGAGAAACTTCTTAAGATGAGCCGATGCTATCGTGAACATCTGGACGAAGTCAAACTGTTTGCATAATGTACCTAGGTAGATATTGTGATTCGATTGAACCCCCTAAATAACTCTTATATTCGCTACATGGGTAGATTTTTGAGAGCATCGGATAATAACCCGCCGGCGGATGTTTGCCGCCTATATCTCGTTCTATCACTAACATTCCCTACGGCCATTCTCTCCTCCGATCCAGACTTGTCCGTCCTCGAATATGATGGTAAGAGTAAGGACGGATACATTTTGAGGCCTTCAAGATCTGCATCTCTCCACATTTCCCCGCAGTCAACAACTTAGGAAGCGGTTGCGTTCGGATAGCATCCATCTTTACTACTTTCGCTACCGCCCGAGCAGAGATTCCGTCTGTATAAGAGAGCAAAAGTTTCTTAACTGCTTCAGATCTGCAAATATGAATCCTACTCCCATGGAGAACGCAGACTACAACCTGCAAGAGCCCATCATCGCCACGACGGGACTACGGCGAGGACTTACATCGTATGGGGATGCCCACTTCTCGTTATTCTTGCGCAAGGTCTTCATCAAAGCCCTGGGATACTCGGAAGATGCTCTTTCGCGTCCGATTATCGGCATCATCAATACTGGCTCGGGCTTCAATCCCTGCCACGGTAATGTGCCTCAACTAATTGAAGCTGCCAAGCGAGGCATTCATCTCCATGGCGGTATTGCCATTGACTTTCCTACTATTAGTCTCCACGAGAGTTTCTCGCACCCAACTAGCATGTTTCTGCGGAATCTCATGAGCATGGACACGGAAGAGATGATTCGTGCCCAACCTGTTGACGCTTGCATCATGATTGGGGGTAGGTGTCAATTCCTATGACCATGACCATAACATGTCATGCGCTAACACGAAAGGGGAAAAAAAAATCAGGCTGTGACAAGACAGTTCCAGCTCAAATCATGGGCGGAATTTCTGCGAATAAGCCAGTCTTGCCTCTTTTGACAGGGCCAATGATGCCAGGTAGTCACAGAGGGAAGCGACTCGGAGCTTGTACCGACTGTAGGAATAACTGGGCATCCTACCGAGCCGGGCAAATAGACATGGAAGAGATTGGAGCTATCAACGAAGAGCTAGCACCGACAATAGGCACCTGCGGAGTGATGGGGACCGCCAGCACCATGGCTTGTATCACGGCAGCATTAGGTCTGATTCCTCTGCAAGGCGCTTCTGCTCCCGCTGTGTCTGCTGGAAGGCTTCGGATCGCGGAGCAGACTGGTGCAAACGCTGTTGCTGCCGCTATCAATCAACGAACACCCCAGAATATACTTTCGGTGGACTCATTCTATAACGCTGCCGTTGTGCTCCAGGCTATTGGCGGATCAACGAATGCCATGGTACATCTCATGGCGATTATCAATCGCCACCCAGCTGTAAGTGGATCCATAGATTTGGCCATGCTTGACGAAGTTGGTCGCAAGACACCACTTTTGGTCGATTTGAAGCCCAGTGGCGACAACTATATGACGGACTTCCACAACGCTGGTGGCATGCTTTGTCTTTTGCACCGCTTGCGGCCCTTGCTCCGGGAATCAGCAATGACCATTACGGGAGAGACGTTGGGTGAGGTGCTGGATAAGAATCCGTTTCGAGACTTTGCATTTTCGCGCAGTATTATTCGAACGCTCTCTACTCCTCTCCACCCCAGTTCCTCGCTGGTTGTTGTACGGGGCAATATCGCACCCAACGGGGCTGTGTGCAAAGCATCAGCATCCAAGGACAAACGACTTCTGAATCACCGAGGACCCGCGGTGGTTTTTGAAAATTCTCAAGACCTTGCATTGCGTTTAGATGATCCCGATCTCGCCGTGACTTCGGATTCGGTGCTCGTCTTGAAAGGAATCGGTCCGATTGGGAACCCCGGCATGCCTGAGGCGGGCTTGATCCCCATCCCTCGCAAATTGGCCGCCCAGGGGGTCACAGACATGCTTCGAATATCGGATGGACGCATGTCGGGCACAGCTGGGGGCACTATCATTCTACACGTTTCGCCAGAATCTGCTATTCCGGACTCGCCCTTTGGTGTCATTGAGACGGGTGATATCATAGTCTGTGACGTCGAGAATCGTTTGTTGCGATTGGATATCGGCGACGAGGACTTGCAGCGACGGATTGCAGAACGTCGCCAGAAGCTTGAAACTGGCACGGATTCAGCGTGGAATGCAAGGAGTGCCAGACGGGGATATCGTGGTCTCTACGAACGAGAGGTCAATCAGGCGCATGATGGCGCAGATTTCAGCTTCCTCACCGCGAGGGGGCCGGCTTGATATGAATGCCTTTATGTAAATCTTGCCGCATCAAAGTCAAAGTCGATGCCGACAATGATATTGTTTCAAGCTGAGTAAGCTATGAGAAAAAACTTTTTCATAATATTTCGCCTCCGGACCCAGCCCTAGTCAATTCTAATCGTAATCCATGGATCTATCCGCCAACAAAACCGTAGACTAGTATGTTTTTTTTATTGCTGAGTTTACCAGCTACGTGAATACTAAATAGAGTTTGTACTTTATAGGAGATAGAGTTGCGAGGATTTTGGGAAGGGTCCTGTCGGTGGATCTGTAAGCTTTCTTTAGATTTTTCAAGGTTACTTACTGATGCTGTAGCTATACCAAGGTATGATTCTACATTGATCCAGACTAAATCTAAGAACTGACTGACTATTACTATCAGAACAATAAATATGATATGAATACATACATGGCTATAAAAAAAAATACATGGACTCCAATAAAATCGTAATAGTTTGGCTTCTTGAGAATGGATCTGGTGGATTTGATGACCCGAGGTTCGGGGTGTGCTCATACGGGGTAGCGGAACTATATAATTATCCGCTATAAAGATCCGTTCCAAGAAGTTTGGTGCTTATAGCAAGGTATTCTCCGGCCCCTAAGAATTTTTCGTACGTAATTGCAGTTGCGTGCAAATTTTCAAGCCTCCAAAAAAGAGGGAAAAAAGAAAAAATCAATAACTCAGTACGCCTAGAATAAAATACAAACAGAAGAGAGAAAGAAAAAAAAAAGAAAAAAAAAAAAAAAAAAAAAAAAAAACAAATTTGGGCAAGAGTATTACGACGTGAAATGCGTAGCCTGAAGCAGGCCACAGCACCACATATTGACTATAGAATAGTCATATTAATGGCTCGCATGTAACCTCAATCATCGGTTGACAGGCCAGCAGCTTCGTACCAAGGTCAGTCCACTATGGCGCAAGCTCGCGTGCCGATAGCGTCAGCCATGCTTCAAATACAAAAAATTTTCCGCCGTTCTTCAGCTCGTCTCGTCTCGTCTCGTCAACATGTCAATCGTGCTGCAAGCATAGCTAGCTGCTGCGACGCAAACATGGCTTCGGAGATCGAGGGCAAGAGCGCCTATGCCAGCAATGAGGTGCCCATTCCCAAGAGCCAGCTGGACCTCAATGTGGGCGGTCGTGGGCCTACACAGCGTCGTCTTCGCAGCTACCAAATCTCCATGATTGGCCTGACCAGCGGCCTGGGAACGGGTCTTTTCGTCGGAACAGGTGCTGCTTACGCCAAATCCGGCCCAGCTGGCTTGTTGCTCGCCTTCATCATCGTGGGATTTGTGCTTTGGTGTGTGATGCAGAGTATTGCAGAGCTGGCTACTTTACTGCCTACTGCAGGCTCCTTTCCACACTGGGCCACGCGTTTCATTGACCCTGCAGTCGGGTTTTCGCTTGCCATTTCCTACACATATTGCTACACCATTGCCATCGCGTCCGAGGCTTCGGCTGCTGCTGTGGTCGTTTCGTACTGGACGACGCTGACCCCGGCTGTGGTGATTACGGTTGGCCTGGCCCTTATTCTGGCCATTAATTTGTCAGATGTGCGCTTCTACGGTGACGCCGAAGTTATTAGCGGCTCGATCAAGATGCTCTGCTTTCTTGGGCTGATTATCGTGTCGATTGTCATCACAGCTGGAGGCGCTCCAAACCACGAAGCGATTGGGTTTCGTTACTGGCATAACCCCGGCGCATGGACAAACTACAACGGCATCACGGGTCCAACGGGCCATTTCCTCGGCTTTCTGTCGTCCTTCGTCAACGCTTCTTTCAGCTTCATCGGTGTCGAGACGGTGGTCATTGCTGCTGCCGAGGCCGTTGATCCCCATCGAGCAATCCCCAAGGCCGCTCGACGAGTAACCTACCGCATCGGAGTTTTCTATATTCTTGGTGCTTTAATGATTGGATTGATTGTGAGCTGGAAAGACCCATCTCTGACCTCAGGCAGCGGAAACGCCAACAGCTCGCCATTTGTCATAGCCATTAAGGAGGCCGGCATCAGTGCCCTGCCGTCGATTGTCAATGCTTGCATTCTCGTGGCTGCCTGGTCGGCCGGCAACTCATACTGCTGGGTTGGGTCTCGCATGATTGTGGCCATGACCACGGATCATTACCTGCCGCAGATCTTTGGACGAGTGACTCGAAGGGGTGTCCCATATGTGGCCGTCATTACTGCCTGGTTGTTCGGTCCGCTGGCCTATCTCAGTGAGTATCTCTTCAAAAGTTTCCCCCCAAATGCGAAACCGCAGCAAGCTTCTAACAGTTCAAAACTAGGTCTTGGATCTGGCGGCCCTGCACAGGCTTTCACCTGGCTCCTGAATCTTAGTACGGTCGCTGGCTTGATTGCTTGGGCCACGCTATCTTTGTGCTACATTCGCTTTTATGCTGCCCTCAAAGCACAGGGAATCAGCCGCGACAGTCTTCCCTGGAAGTCGCCGTTCCAGCCCTATACAGCCTGGGTAGGATTCGTTGGGTCTACTATCATCGTTCTTGTGTCTGGCTTTTCCGTCTTCTTGAAGGGGAATTGGTCTGGATCCAGCTTCGTCGCGTCGTACGTGGGCATCCCGATTTTTATCGTGCCTATTATTTTCTGGAAGGTTTTTAAGCGGACTAAGGTTGGTATCTCTACTGAATGCTTTATCAATTATAGTATAAAAACTGATCGTTGAATGTAGTTTGAGCGTGCTTCTACGATCGACCTGTATACTGGCCGTTTGGAAGATGGCGAAATCGAGATTTTGAAGCCGGATACATTCTGGCAGAAAGCATTGGATTTTGTCTTCTAAAAAAATTAGTTCAGTTACAATGGGATGGAATTAATGTATGAGTATATAGCAGAAATGGAGCAATATTTATCTTCCATAGACGACTCGTGGTGGCATCTCTTCAACGGCAGTTGCCATACTTCGCCTATGCCACACAGCAAGCATTTAACATTGCCTCCTACCTGGATACATGTAAGTTTCCCATACGATGGCAAAAACACAAAATCAGGATACAAAAAAACACGATCCATAGAAATTCATCGCAAGCGGCATTCCTCTACATTGACGCCTGCATGTCGTCATGAAATATTCGCCACAACGGTGTCTATGAAATAATCCTCACATTGCTTTCCTAGGTACATCCAAGTAAATTCAAGCTCTATCACATCTAGTAACACCTTGTAGCTTGCAACTGAATAATGGCGCTCGTCTTACAAGCCTACACCTTTGCCCAGCAATATGTCGCCTCGTGTCTTCATCCCACGCCAACAAAAAGCCCGATGGGCCTGAAGCTCGGCGTCATATCAACTGCTCAGATCAACCCTGCGGCGAGTATGTTCTAGCCTTTATGGCATTCAAGACGAATCGGAAATCAAGAAATTGAACTCGCTAACGCTGATTCAAGTCATTCATCCTGCCGAAACCCATCCGGATGTGATTCTCCACGGGATTGCCTCTCGCGATATCAACGTTGCGAAACAGGCGGCTCAGAAGTACCATTTTAAAAAAGCCTACGGCTCGTACCAGGACCTTTTAGATGACCCCGACATTGACATTGTGTACATCTCAACGCCGAACGGGATGCATTATGAATGGGCAGCCAAATCTCTGAAAGCCGGAAAGCACGTACTGTGTGAGAAGCCATTTACTTCGAATGCGGATGAAGCGCATAGATTGGTCGAGCTGGCAAAGGAGAGAAATCTGGTTTGCGAGGAGGCGGTATGTTTTGCCTAAAGTCTTTTGAGGGAGCGATCTTTATTTATGACATTGCTGTTTCAGTTCCACTGGCAATTCCATCCGGCGGCCCATCTGTTTCGAGAGATTCTCGATTCGCGTAAACATGGTCGTGTACTGCGAACCAGTGCTGTCATGACTGCTAGTCCCGGTGTTCCAGATGGGGATATCAGATGGCAATATGAACTAGCTGGTGGGACACCCACACACACCCACACGATCCTTGTTTTATATGTCATTTAATAACAATACTGACGTTGCAGTCTAGGCGGCTCCTCTATGGACATGACTTATGCTTTGTCCTTCACTCGCTTTGCCGTCCACGGATCCAATCTGAAGGAAATCCAATCAGCTGTTGCCCGGCCGTATGCGCACGACATGCGAGTCGATGAAGCAATGCACTCCTTGCTTCTTTTCGAGGACCCCTCGGACGGCCATCTAATCCAAAGCCGGATCTACACAGACATGGCCCGGCAGTGGGCCATCAAGAAGATCCTACCGCGCATATGGGAACTGCCATCAATCGAAGTCGAGACTGACAAGGCAATCATCTACTTCTACAATGCCATGATGCCGCATTTGTACCACTACATTTCCATCACGGACAAGATGACCGGCAAGACCAAATACGAGAAACAGTACCAAGGCGGGCCATGCTGGGGGGAGGCCTGGACTACAGGCGGCAAAGGCGGCAAGTCGTACTGGAGCACATACCGCTACCAGTTAGAAGCGTTTACGGAAAAAGTGCGAGGCAAGAATGTGCCGTATTGGATTTCGGGCGAGGAGAGTATTGCGCAGATGGAAGCTATCGATGCCATTTACAAGGCAGCTGGACTGCCTGTGAGGCCCTCGCTTGCCTCGCTTGCGACCAAAGCTTGAGTTTGACTGTCTATGTAACTACTCTCGCACTTTTACCTACATTTACGGATGTAACATGTACATGCACTGGATCGCCTCCGGTTTACCCCTTGCCGCCTTTACTAAGTAGAATAATACAGTGAGCAAGCTCAAGCACTGCCAAGCAGATCTTCCCAAGTCAAGTTTGCAGGCATGAGGTAGGGAATTTGCCCGTACAAATTCTTATGCTCCGGGAAAATCTCATATATGGTGATTAAGTGTGACTTGTAAGCTCGGACAAAAGGTAGTATTAGGAAACCACTCTTTAGACAGCTTGATTGCATCAAGAAGACCCGCAGATGTGGTGCCACAATCATCAATCTTTTTAAGTAAAAGCCAAGGCTTATAGATCGCGTTTTTCCATATTGGGGTTATAGACTACCATGTATCTGCCTATAGTGGACAAGGCCGGACGCTTTAAACTTGGAAGTATCTTTTCAAGGGTTGATCACAATGTTTTGTGCAGGGCACAATGGGACCAGTCTACTGCTTGAAGGTTAGACTGGGGGGGGGGGCGTGAGCGTCCCTTAAGCTCCAGTCCATCGACACATAGCGTTGCCGATCCAGTCAATAGATCGCGGGTTATTTACTGCCTGAAGCCCTAAAATCTCGTTTTCTCCACGCCCGGTCGCACTCAAAATAAGCTCTTCCAGTTGACGGGAAATTGCTTCGCAATGTGATAGGTCTATGAAGGAGACGAGCATGAAAATTTTCCTCTTTTGCATGGCCAGGAAGAGATGCAAGATGCAGAGGTATTAATAAGGTCCATGCGGCCGCCATCAAGCCGCGAAATAAAAATGAAAGGGGAAAAACAAAAAAAGGAACTGAATATATGCCACCCAACTCTGTTTACTTTCGTTCGGTATTCCAAATTGCGGAGGAACTATAATAGCAATAGCAGCAGCAGCTATGGGGTCCAGCCTCCGACTCAGTGCACGCTCCAGCGCGGCGGCCATCTCCATCACTCCGGTCACTATCTGGTGGGCAGTATGGGCAGGCGTTTGGACTATTGCCGTCCTGTGCGGCATGGCCTACCTAATCATTCATCGCAACATGCCTCCGGTCCGAATCCGCGGGCTCGGACTCTGTCTATCGGCCATTGTCTGCCTTCATTTGTACTGGGGTATCGTTCAATTCGGGCTGATGATTGGCGCCATCATGCCGGACAATGCTCAGTATTGGATGATGGGCACGTGGCTGCCGTGTGGCATTGCCCTGTTTCACGGCTATAACACTCGTTTTCTATATGTTGCCAGGATGCAGAAGAAATACGCTCAGTATGGGCATCGGCTTTTCAAACCATCTGTTGAAATGCGGACCAAGAAGAAGACCGATTTAGTCGCTCGTTTCCGAGCGCTGGACTACACCACGAAGATCATACTGTTCGTTGGAGCCGGAAGTTTTATTCAGGTCAGTTGGGATTCACTGTGCATACACTACGCGCATGCATGAAGTTTGAACCAAATATTAACCTTTCATTAGGTGTTCCTCACCACGCTCATGTATCTCATTTCCCGAAAGTGGCATAGCTCCTGGGGAATTCCTGGCACAGAGGTCAACGGCGGCGCTGAGATGAGGATGAAAGCCGACGAGGGCTGGGGCTGGGAATGGTAAGAACACCTTATTCTGGGTTCGGGAAGTTGTCCTGATTATATATGATTTGCAGGTGGCCGAGTCTGTTCTGGCAGTTCTTCTGGTCTTGGGTCATTGCGCCCATCACTCTGTGGAAATCTCGCAACATCCGAGATACACAGGGCTGGCGATTTCAGACCATTGGCTGTGCGATCGCCAATCTCCATGGTACTCCGATGTTCCTCATCGCCGTTTATGTTCCTGGTATGGCGGTGGTGAACCAGTACTGGCTGCCTGCTCAATGGATTTGTCTTTCAATCCTATTCATTGAAACCTTCACCATCTTCCTTCCCTGCTGGGAAGTCATGCGCCATCAATCTCTCCGCCAAGAGACATTGGACTCGATCACACGATGGGAGAAAAAGACCAAAGCCTCCGGCCACTCGGAAATCAAGTCTATGAAATCCGAATCCACGCTGGTCGCATCCCTATGGGGCGGGAAATCAGTCAACGAATCCATCAAATCAAACGATTCTGGCGACAGTATCCTGACCATGGGTGCTCTGGAGCATGTTCTGGAACGCAATCCCGCACCGCTGCTGGAGTTCTCAGCTCTACGTGAGTTTTCCGGCGAGAACATTGCCTTTTTGACCAGCGTGGCGGAGTGGAAGCGCTCTCTGCTAGATATTCTTGCAGACGGCCCTACAGACAAGGGCTTGCTCCGCGAACATTTCAACATTGCCTTGCACCTATACGCCCACTTCATCAGCGCGCGCTATGCCGAGTTCCCACTAAATCTTTCCTCTCAGACTCTCAAGAAGTTGGGCGATATTTTCGAGCAGCCTACTCAACACATTTACGGTGACCAGCACGGGAAAAGTAACAGTGTCACTCCTTTTGACGACGATTTCACTAGTGATTCCCTCTCTTCGGCCGACTCTTCCACGCAGTCTTCGCGGACGGAGAAGGCGGGAAATCAGTCAAAGTTATACTGGGGCGAGATCCCAGAGTCTTTTAATTCAACTGTATTTGATGATGCCGAGGCAAGCATCAAGTATCTTGTTCTTACCAACACATGGCCAAAGTTCATCAAGGACCGCCGGGAGTCACTTGCTTCTCTTGAGAGACTCTGCATGGAGGAATAAACACTCGCTTCACTGTCTGTTTCATTTCTAATTTATTCTTATGATATATATATCCTATGCTGAAATTTTGATTTCATTGTATCGTCATTATACCCCTGCTTTACTTTTCCAATGTTTATATTACCTGATTACACGAATATAATAACTACGACGGATTATTCTTTTCTTTCCTGCTCAGATTACGCTACGACTAGGACATAACAGTTGACGATCACATCGAAATACACGGCCATTTATATTCCATCTGCTGCTTCATTCTGTAGGAATTGCATACAGAGTAGTCAATCGAGAAAAGAAAAAAAGAAAAAGAGAAAGAAGAGAAAGGTATACTTCCTTTGCTCTGATTGGCTGGCTCTTGTTTCGACAATTGTGATTGGCCGAGTCGTCTTTAGAGATCTCTGATTGGCCCAAATTGCCAGCTCCACCAGCAGCTTGTGGTTGACGTTATCAATTCTGTCCAAGTATCCAACGCTTGATGCTATGCTTTGAAATCATTTCTGTTATGATTCACTCCGTAAGTTCCATTATGTTAGCAATATGGATTTCAAAAATATATAAAGGATGACATGCATCCCGTTCTCGATGCATCGACTTGAGTTTACTCGAAAAAACCATCTGGGCCAAAATACATAGAATCCAACTCTCTTTCCATCTTCCAACCAAAACAACAACCATGGCCCCTACAATGCGAACCCTTGGAACCAATGGCCCTTCTGTGCCAACTGTGGGCTTCGGCCTAATGAGCATCGGTGGCATTTACGGGGCTGCTCCCAGCGACGCAGAACGCACTGCCTTACTGGACCACGCTCATGCCATTGGTGAAACATTCTGGGATACTGCAGATGTATACCAGGACTCTGAAGATGCAGTCGGTCTTTGGATTAAGCAGAACCCGCAGAAACGCAAGGATATCTTTCTGGCTACCAAGTTTGGCATCCGATTTGACCTGGCTACGTATTCGCAAACGCTGCATTCAGATCCGGAGTATGTGAAAGTAGCCTGTGATAAGAGCCTTAAGAGATTGAACACGGACTGGATTGATCTGTACTACTGCCATCGCGTTGATGGGAAGACACCGATTGAGAAAACTGTCGAGGCCATGGTTGAGCTGAAGAAGTGAGATTCCATCCTCCGTCCCTAGATAATCTACTATAATATCGATACTAGGTACATACATTACGAAGCTAACACAAGTATATAGCCAAGGCAAGATTCGCCATATCGGCCTTAGCGAGGTTACTGCGGATACACTCCGCCGTGCGCATGCCGTGCACCCGATCACGGCCGTTCAACTGGAGTACAGTCCAATCGCAATCGAAATTGAAGATCCCAATATTGGCCTTCTTGAGACAGCACGCGAATTGGGTGTTGCCACCGTAGCTTACAGCCCCATGGGCCGCGGTGTCCTAACCGGTGGCTACAAAACGGCTGAAGCGGTCCACGCTAAAGACCCCTTTTTGGCCATGCTACCGCGCTTCTCAAAGGAGAATTTCCCTAAGATTCTGAGCATGACTGCCACATTTGAGCAGATTGCGACCCGCAAGGGATGCACAGTTGGTCAGTTGTCTGTGGCGTGGGTGTTGAGTCGCGGCGATAATGTTTTTGCTATTCCGGGCACAAGGAGTATCAAGTATTTGGACGAAAACTTTGCTAGTCGGCAAGTTACTTTGACACCAGAGGAAGAAGAGGTCTTGACGAAGACTGTTTCAGCGACAAAGTTGGATGGGGCTAGATATCCTGCTAGGTGAGTACTGACAGTTCCCTCAGGTGTATGTATTCATTGCTAACATATATGATAGTTTCCCCGAGGGATACGAGTTTGGCGAGACCCCAGCTCTATAATCTTTCTCGTCCATAGACATGGGCCGTCAATATCATGTAGTTAGTCAAGCAAAGAGCTACCTAAACATTCTCAATCATTTCTACTCCGCCTGCTTCCTTCTTTTCGTTGACAAGCTCCCTCCTCAGCCCGACATCTCCACCCTGTCTGATAACATGCCATAATTCATTTGCTCGCTTGACGGGCCCTTTCTCTTTATCCATGAAAGCAAGATCGACGGCTTCAAGCGTAAATCCTGCTGTTTCGGGAAATAGAAAGTAGATCATCGGAATGAAGGCGAGGTTGAAGACAGCGAAAATAATATATACGCGCCAGCCAATGTTGTCGATGGCTGTGGGCACAAACTCGACCACTACAAATGTTGACAGCCAGAGAAAAGCGGTTGCTAGACCGGAGCCTTTTGTGCGATGAGCGAGGGGGAGAATCTCAGGACCGTAACACTATAACTATAGTCAGTATACCGTTTTGTTTTCTTCTATAGAATAGCCAACTAGATCGGAACAAAAAGAGTGTAAGGTGGAAGAAAAAAAAAACATACCCAAAGACCGCCCATGAACCCCCAAGTATAGGAACTTTGGTACAGGAATATCATCACCGCAGCTACAATACCGCTGACGTGAGTGTCGACTGCAATACAGGCCGCTAAGCCTGCCATCACACCGGCCATACAGGCAGCAGAAAACATGAATGACCTTCGACGGCCGACCTTCTCGATCGTATACCACGTTCCGAAGGAGGCTACCAGAAACCAAATCTGCAGAAAGCCGGACATCAGGAGTGAAAGTTGATGAGATAAACCGACTGAATCTTGGAATCTTGCGAGAAAGTTAGCCAGCGCAAATAAGCCCAATGAATTCGAACGTACATGACGGTAGTGTAGTAACTGATCGGTGTGCTCCCACTCCAAGCCTGGCAGGAGTTCAAGAGACATGCAAGTAGGACTCGTCGCCGAGAGCCGACTGCATCTTCGGTAAGCAGCTCTTTCCACCCAGCTTGTTTTTTCTCCATTTCAAGGGCTTCCACAATCTCGGAAATGGTGACGCTGAGAGCTTCTTCGTCTATCATACCCTTGTGTGTCTGGAGAAGGCGCAGGATTTGTGTTGCTTCTTCGGTGCGGTCCTGTTGGAACAGCCAACGGGGGGCTATTGTGAAATTTAGCTAGTCAGTATTATTTATATCCAGGAAGTAATAAGAAGAGACGCACATTCCGGCATGAAACATAGTAAAAGACTCATCAAAATGGCAATGAAGGCCTGGAAGGCTAGTGGGAAACGCCATCCCACGCTGGACGCATAATCTGCCATTGCGTAGTCTATCCAGTAGGCAAGAAGCTATATCGCAGTTAGCATTAGTTTAAGATTTTGTCAAATAAGTAGGCAAACGTACCTGGCCAACAATCAACAAACTCAAGGCACTGGCAACAAGCATGCCTCGGACTTTTCTAGGCGCACTCTCCGACTGCCATACAATCACATTACTGGTAATCAATCCAAGACCAACTCCAGCAACCACTCTCCCGACTATTAGCTGTGGTACTCCGAAGCTGGAGGCTTGTAACGTAGCCCCAATACTGAGCACAAGCGAGCCGGCATGGGCGACTGTCAGACGGCCCCATCTACCGTTGCTGATACCGGTGAACAGACAGCCGACTAGACACCCAATGATGAACAACGAGGTTACAGTGCCCTGCATGCCGCTACTGAGATTGAAGGTGTCCTCGAAAGTGGGCGATGTGAGAAGACCGCCAATCACGCCGTCATCGTATCCTATATTCGAGGGTTGGTCGTCAGCAAGATTGAAGATTACAGTAGAAACAGCCATCAGGCTGAAAGGGCAATGCTTAGACAGTAGGACGTACCAAATAAAACGAATCCCATGCCGGAGGACACAGCAATGCCTGCCAGCAGGCCATTGCCTTTGAGTCCTAGATACGGCATTATGTTAACCTAAACGCGTATACTTTATTCAAATGAAAGGAGCACTTTGACGTTAGGATCTAGGAAGAAATGGATTGAAAAGGAAAGGAGAGCGGTTAGATATGTGAAAAATAATTACAGCTTTTGGCCTACCCCGGACCGCCCACTCACTATAGAATAAGGACCCCCATAAGAATGGATTCACCCCCGCGGGGATGGTTTCACCCCAGACGATAAACTATAATGCCGAGCCTATATTAGTACATGTAGCGGAGAGGAACCTCTTCGTAGCCATTGGCGGTGATATGACTCCGCTACGGAGAGAATGCCGGTACAGAACCTCCCCGAGGCTTAGTGGGATCATCCAGCATGCCTCTCGATGTATACTATAGGGTTAGCCTCGTAACGAGCTCTATCAGCCGTTATTCTGGTTATACGACGAACTACTACTCTGGGGAACCCCCACGCTATCGTCTATGTGGGAGGTCTGCATGTTTATCCCCCAACTGGAGGATGGCAAACCATCCGGACGCACTACCATTGGAAATGGGGGTTGAACGAATCTGCCTGCTGTTGTTGCGCATCTGCCTTCTTACCGTGAGAGATCTAAAGCGGATGGAGGATACGTTGGAAGTAGCAACCTACCCAGTGAGCTTACTTATGGTGTCGCTCGACGCGGGCCGACGGTCGAGACAATCTTGAACGTTTAGCGCGTTGTTTTTTCCTTCTTCTACTTCACAGATCGTGACAGTCTCAGTGCTTTGCTTTGCGTCAAAGATTCGTTGCATGCTCTGTACTTTCATTTAACTGCCCCGTAATGAAGTGGGAACAGACATCAGAGACTCCGTTCCTCTATCAATCTATCGGTCTATCTACAGCTTCGCTACTGAATCATCCATCTTCCGTAGAGTATGACGATAATGCCAGTTGGGATCTGTTAGATCCGTGCGGACAAAAAAATTTTGTTCTGCTGTGTCCAAAACCCCCATGTCAAGCGTAGCTACTCCCATTCTTTCACTCGACGTACACAGACGCACTATCGGCCCTTTAAACGGTACAGTGACCTGGGATAATCCACAGTAATGTGTCCCGGGCGGTCCGCCGGCGTTGGCAAATACTATTGCACAGGCGTTTTCATGTGCTCGCGCAGTAACGATACTGTCAATAAACAATGCCGCAGCAGACGGATTCTGGTCATGACCTGCTTTGCTGACAGCGCCTTCTGTTAAGAAGGTTGGCGCAATGATTACCCTCGCACCCTGGTAGACAAGTTCCCGGAAGGCTTCAGGGAATGCAATATCCCAACATATAAGCAATCCGACGGGACCCAGGGGCGTGGAGATGATCTGGTGCGGAGAGTCGCCCGATGATTGCAGAAACGGCCGCTCGGTCAGGCCCCATAAATTCTTCTTCACGTACGAGCCCAGTATCTCCCCGGTACTGGAGATAAAATAAGTCACATTCTCGAGTCCCGGGTCTGTGGTATCGTTGGGCGAGGCCGGGGTGGGCCGGACGAGGGATCCGGGGACAATGCATATATTACACTCTCTCGCTAGGGCCTGGTATCGCTTCAGATACTCTTCCCAGTCGGCACAAACGGATGTGAAACGGGGGTCTGTGGGAACCCAGCTGGTTAGGTGGAATTCAGGCAGGACGGCCAAGTCACAGCCCTGCGTAGCTGCGTCTTGGATAAATTTCACCGCTTTTGCAAAGTTATCTGCTGGCCTGAGAGGCCGGAGATGCGTTTCGTTAATGTCAGCCCATTGTTCTTGGATTTACAAAAGAAAAAAAAGTGGTTCGCTTTCTGTCCAACACTTACCCTTGAATAGAGCTGGATTACAGCGATCTTATAGGATGGTGACATGGCCGGATGAGGCTGCAACTTGTTGCTTTCTCGGAAGTGGGACGACAGGGTTCTGGCATGAGAGAATGGTTTGTATTCATCCCTTTATACATCGCTCAAGTCGGCGTGGATTTCAGTCGCCAGTCGCCTTCGTTCCACACAATGGGGCTATCTGCATTAGCACTTCCGACAGTGCATATGCGCATCTTTCAGTTCATGTTGTCGACAGCTCACTATGGCTGTGTGATTGGGCCGTTGAAGATGATCCGTCGAGGATCTCCGAGTATCATTTTGTACCGGTTGGGATGTTATCAGCTGGAGTCGCAATCATGCTGTGAGCAGATCTCGGCAAGCGCAGGCGATTCGCTGTGATAAGCAGAAGAATCCACTGCATCGTACATATGATCAGGATGAATTGATTGATAGACACACAAACTCCACTTGGATTTTGATCTCTAACCGTACCATTTTTGAGATGATGGAGATATACTTAGGGTTAGACTTGTCATTCGGCCCGGCCCAACCGTGAATTATTGAATTTGCCTTCACCGACGCAAGGTTGAAATGCGATTCGAATTCATGCCCCGGGTTCATTCTGAGACAGACGTCGAGGACATGTAGTCCTAATCCCAAATCGCCAAACCAGATCTGCTAACTTGTCAAAGACAGGTGCGGTTTCATTAACAGGGAAGTTTTTTGAAGCGAAAAACAAACCCCCCAATACAAATAAGAAAAACTAAAGGCAGCCTAAATATTGACAACAACAACAGTTCCTTCACCGCACCCAATCAAATCAACCCTACTGCAATGCGCCCAATCAAGGACAGCCTCGTTGCTGTACTACACTTCCGCCTCTTCCGCAGCCACAACCATCCCAGCTGGATAATCAGAAGCAAAATAGCTGCAGGCTGTCGGCATACAGAAATGATACAAGCGCGGAAATTTCTTCCCATTATGGTAAGGCCGCGGGGCAGCCCAGCCAGCTCAGATATTCTCGACTACGTGCAACCGCGTCGGTCTTCAGTCTCGGACTGACGAAGAGCTCAAACTAAGCGTGCCTCATCATTTGCGGTGTGGCGCCGTACTAAGCTTTTGTGAGCAAGTCGATCATGCCAAATATTTCAGCTAGCGCAAAGGCGTTGCTTGGGCGCCCCTGTCTGACCTGTCGGCGTCGGAAAATCAAGGTTGGTCCATCTATATTTGCTTTTTTGTTTGTTTAAGCATGTGGGATGGCAGCAGCTAATGAATGTCCCGCCTTATTCCCATACATAGTGTGACCGAGCCAAACCAGGTTGCGAAAGATGTCAAAAGGCCGGCCTGGAATGTGCGGGATATTCGGCTGACTCCTTTGTGCTCGTGGTCCCTACTCGAAAGGCCGGAAAGGGGAACAACAAAGTCAAATTCACACAGACTCGAAGTAACTACAAGGAGAGCAGCAATAGAAATAACGACCAGACCGAAAGTGGTGGTGGTGGTGGTGGTGGTGCTAAAAATGGCGAAGAAGGGCTCCAGTTGTCCCCTAAACCTTCCATCAACGTAGCCCCGGAAAACAGAATGCAGGTCCTGTCGTATTTCATAGAACGGTACCAGCCAGCCTCCATGACCAGTCGCCGCGGGTTCGTAACGCCGTCTTCCTGGATTCGGAGTCTGCCGAGCCTTCTTGGTCGATGGGAGATATTGGATACTGCCCTATCGGCAGTCTGTCTTGCCTACATAGGTGACCTGCACCAGGATGGCGTGCATCTGCATGAAAGCCAGCGGTTTTACAATGACGTTTTACGCAAACTGGGGTCTCTGCCACTTGATTCGATCAAATCGGCCAATGAGGGCGTGCTGACTACGACTATGACCATGGCCATGTATGAGGTAGGTAACTAATGCCGGTGTTTTTCTTTTAATAAACTAACCAGACCTGTCTCATACGGCACACTGACATTGGCTAGCTCTTCCACTGCTCCTACAATGGCTTGCAGGGGTGGATGTTTCATGTCCAGGGTGCTTGCCGAATCCTAGAACTCCGGGGGCCGCCTTCAAAGGAATCTCCGCTAGATCTGAGCTTGTACAGTCGCGTGCGAATTACAGCTGTAAGTCTTTACAATGCAGAAATATCGAAATATATAAAGCAATGCTGATATACAAGCGGCGTGTGATGCAGCTATGGGATGCCTACGGTAGCCGGAAAGGCCTCTTCTTAGCCCGTAGGGAATGGCAAAATTTGTCGGATTCCCCTCACGATACCCTTCTGGATCTGCTCGTCTGCATGCCGGGGCTACTAGAGACCTCAGATACTATCAAGTCAACGGCAAATCAACCGGGAAGAGTGTTCAACACAGCGAGGGTTGACGATCTCCTCGGCCACTGGCAGGTGCTCTTTGGGCGTCTTTTGCGATGGTATACAAACTTTGAGAATCGAGAAGCTGCCGGTCTCTACGAATGTGGACCATTGCAGCAAGATAGCCACCCGTACCTCGAAGCCGACCAGTCCCATCTATACTCTGTGTTTCCGCAAATCATCTCCTTCAAGGACGCATATGTGGCCCAGATCATGCTCCTATACTGGTTCGGCCAACTGGTCATCCACGCTGCAATGACCGAAATATACATGATCAGAGAAAAGCACCAGGCTAGATTGTTTGCAGGCGCATTTCCTCCGGATTACAAGGGCGTGCATCAGGCGTCGAAGGAGAGTGTGCAAAAGGCTGGCGATTACTATGCAACCAAAATCTGCCAGTCTACCGCCAGTCTCAAGGGAGGATACGGCTTTCAAATGGTAATGGTTCCACTGTGGGCTGCACTGCAATTCTTTGCCCTGTGTGGTGATCCCAAGTTTGACTGGAGTCAGGCGGTCTTTAGGAATTTTGGTAAACTGGGCGGTTTCATGCTTGCTGAACCTTTGCGGGTGATGAGGCCGACGCAGTATCCTGGTATAGCAGCAGAGCGTTGAACACTTTTTATAATGTATGTAGGTATTGGTTGACAGCGTGGTACTAAGCGGGATATCATTTTGACATATTCATGCACTTTGATAAAAAATTTTGGGTTTTGTCAGCGAGCAAGGTTTCGTCAGATCCAAGGAGTTCCGTGTCTCTACCCTAAAAATTACTAATTGGAACATTACGACGAGAAATATATAAACATGCCATATATCTCTCAATTGGATGAAATTGTATTCATTGTTTAACTATTTCGATTCACTACTAATAAAGCAGCCCTCCTTCCTTATCCCTCCTCATCAGAGAACCCGATCTACACCATCACCTCACCACCATGTCTCACATCACCAATAACAGAGCTGCATTTATCACTGGCAAGGGAATACGGCCTCTGGAAGTTGGCCCAGGGCCCGTGCCAAACCCTGCTAAGAACGAGGTTGTTATCAAGGTGGCCTATGTGGCTATAAATCCAGTCGATGCCATAGTATGTCCCCTGTGCCCTATTCCCACCGTAATGGTTCCCAACTCACGCAATTTCCGATTTTCTTTTCTAGACTCAAGATAAACCGTCTGTGGAGCTTTCCTACCCAACCCCAATCGGAGAAGACGTGTCCGGCACAGTTGTTGCTCTCGGCTCAGATGTGACTCAATTCACACTCGGCCAGCGTGTGACCGGGCACTGCGATGGCCTTCTCTCAAGGAAACCAACCAACATGGCCTTCCAGCTGTATGCAACTTGTCTGGAGGTTCTAGTTTCCTCTATTCCGGATTCGGTGCCCTTGGTTAACGCGGCTGTGCTTCCTCTTGCTGTGTCTACGGCTTCAACGGGATTGTTCTCCGTGCTCAAATTGCCTTTCCCAACGATTAGCCCGGAGCCTACTGGGCGCACGGTCCTTATTTGGGGAGGCAGTTCATCCGTTGGATCTTGCGCTATTCAATTGGCGCTCGCTGCCGGCTTCAATGTCGCTGCCACAGCCAGTGCGAAGAATCATGAGTATGTGAGGAGTTTGGGCGCACAGCATGTCTTTGATTACAATGATGCGGACGTTGTTGACAAGGTCACGGCTTTCTTGAAGGAAGGGGATCTTGTTTTTGACTGCATTGGAACTCAGGATGTCATGGGTGCCTGTGGTGGAATTTTGAGTAAGATCGGAGGTGGGAAGCTTCCGACTGTGCGATACCCTGAGCCGAGCACGTATGACAACGTGACAAATTCATTCGGTATGTGTTGCAAACATATAAAGATGGCACCGAGAGATACTTTTACTGATAAGTTTGGACAGTCATGGGTCTCACTCCGGGCCTTGTCGACACGTCCATCGGCGTCGCCGTTTGGCACAAGTACCTACCAGAAGCTCTCAAAGGGGGCAAGTTTCAGGCGAAACCAGAGCCATTTGTTATCGAAGGTGGCCTCGAGAAGATACAGGAGGGTATTGACATGATCAAAAAGGGCGTTTCTGCGACGAAGATTGTGGTCGAAATTGCGAAGTCTGCATAATTCTGGGGGGGTTTTAGGGTTAGAGTTGTACATACTTCATTCCGCTCCATGTCATGTCAATTCTTCAACTCCATTTCATTCAGACGTAGATCTAATTCCGAAGTCTTGTTTCAAGTCGTAGTGAATTAGAAGTTGACTCGTTGCTTCCACCAGTCGAGAATCGATTGATTCATTAGTAATCCAGCTGCACGGAATTCCGTTGCTCTTTGGATTTCGGCGCAATTTTGCATTGCAACAACTCCAGCAGCTCTTTTAATCGCAGCAATCGATTGAAGCCACAGCGTCATGAATTCCCGGGCGTCTGGGCAACAGCAGACATTTTCATGCTCCATCTGCACAAAAAACTTCACAAACAGTGAGTCCGCTGACAAGGCGACACCATAAAATAGCTCAACGCGCTGATGCGGCGCGCATTGTTACAGAGAAATCGCAATCCCGGCACATCTCATACTGTCGCAAGTCCATCGGCCGAGTGCGCTCGAGGAAGCGAGCCTGTCAGGCTTGCACTAAAGCCAAAGCACGTTGCGATGAAGCTCAGCCATGCTGTTCGCGATGTTCGGCGCGGGGGGTTGCTTGCGATTATTATGTCCACGACTCCCGACCTCGGCCGTCAACAATTTCGCGAGCCCGTCATGAAGTCGGCGCAAATTCTGTGGCCGGGTATGGATATGGAGGAGCTGATCTAGTCTGTTCAAACTCTGGAGGGGTTCATGTGTTGGATTACCCCGAAGCTATTGACACTGGCTCTCGGGATCGCTTGCTTCAGTCTATTAGATCAAGTATAGTCGAGACATCAGGGTCGGCTGTCGATATCTCACAGTATCAACTCGAAACAGACGTCTATTCATATCAGATCTTATCAAGTGTTCCCAGGGTCTTTGCCCCGAGGTCCATCGGTGGCCACAAGTCATCCCTTCATCGGAGTTATCTTCTGTGCGCCCTCCGCTCGTACCCGCAAATGATGCTTCGTGGCCAGAGTCCTCCGTTCATCCACGCGCAATCCATATCTGATGACTCTGATGATCTCCAGTTAAGAAACAACAGTACCACCCCAGGGCCATTGGCTGTCTGTGGTGAACTCTTGCGCATGCATACTATGAAGAATGAGGATAATGTTGTCCAGATATGGGGTGCTATCAGGAGGGAGCAGGAAAGGTTGTTGATGGAGGTTTGTTTTCTTTCTTTCTTTTCTTCCTTTTTTGGGAGGGTTCGGTTTCAAGTACAGAACTAAAAGAAAAGTCTAGGGTTCGGGTTATGACTACCGAGATACTCTTGCTGCTCTCCAAGCCGTATCTATATACTTTGTCCTTCGCATCTTTGAACAAAACGAGGAGGCAACTAATTTTGATATTCCACTCGTTCAGACGATGCTTGTGAGTAGACATGCGCTGAGTGGTGTGTTTATGTATGGCTCTGACAACCTGACAGGAACTCTCGATTCATCTGGTGCAGCTTAGGAAATCGCAGTCCAAAATTCACACCTCGCAGTGGGAGGATTGGGTATTTATGGAGTCTTCAAGTCGGTAAGAGAATCTTTCCCGGCTGTAATCATCGTTTTGTGGCAATTGACGAATATCAACAGCACGGTTCTCTTATTCTTCCTTATAGACTTACTTTTCGAATATTCTTCCGCTGTCACACTTTTCCATCATTGTACTGGACGGGAGATGTTATCCAGGCAACTCCCCAGCACACGGAATCTGTGGCAAGCAAGCTCTAGGACTGAGTGGGAAAGAGAGTATGAGATGCAGTGCTGCGAGGCCCTGCCTTTCACATATTCGGATCTGATAGAGTATGGCCCACGCAACGACGGAAGTCTGGATTTTTGGCTAACCGAGATTGATGAGTTTGGGAATCTGGTCATTGCTGCTGCGAGCTTAGACGGCTGATTGCCTTGTTCGTGTGCAACTTGTATGTAACAATCAGACCGATGTATATAGATCTAATGCTATTATATATGAAATGAGCACAGCGTTTTAGCTCTTGTTTACTCCTTGATCATTGCATATACCAGTACCCCCTCACCCCCTTCCTGTAACTCGCCGTCGGCAGAAGCCTTGCCAACTCCCATGCGCATAGTAGCAACAGTTTTGAATCCAAGATGCTCATAAACCTGCTTGCTGTGCTCGCTTATAGCCTCGAGCCAAAGTGGCACCCCTTGTTCTTGGGCACGAGTAAAGTAGGGCTCGAATAAAGCACGGATGACACCTGTAGGTAGCAAGTCAACATTCTTTTTTTTTTTTTTTTTTTTTCCAAAATACCAAGCTTGGAAAAACGTCATCTAACCTGGCTCCTTTCTGTCTGGATGCCTGCCAATCATGTTCAAGTACCAGTACTTTCTACCATTCAGAAACTGCTTCTTGACTTTGCCGGAAATCTCTCTGTACTCAATCACCCTAGGATCATCATCTGGGCTAGCAGGGAGGTCAACACCGGGCGGGAACCTGCACAGCGTGTCAGTTTAGCTTCTTAAATATCTTTTTTGGAAGATAAATACGTTGCACATACCATATCGCAGCGGCAGCAAAATTGTCAGCCTCGATCAATTCTGCGCCCCTCTGTTGCTTGTAGGTGGTCCAGTCAATCATTTTCGGGCCTAGAATATCTAGTGGGATACTCGATACGGGCCATGTCGAGTCAGGGCTGCGTATCACATATGCAGTCAGCGCGCTCTTGCTGAAGGCCAGAGCGAACACATTCGAGATGGTGCGAATATCGGCTGTGCTACTGACTTGCGGGGGCATCTTGGTTCGTCCGTCCGTCACGTAGGGTTCAATTATAAGAAGTACAACGAGCTATTTGAGCGGAAAATTGGTTGGGGGTTGAGATGGTGTCGTGAGATAAAAGTTTGCGTCGTGCGTTTTTAGAATTGAAGCTTTTCTGTTTGGGGAGTCCGACTGAATGACTCATCGGCCTCTTCAAGTAACTAACGCTATGACTCGACAAGCTTCATATTCGTAACAAATCAACTGTGAACAGTGAATTTCAAGGTTAGTTCTTGAGTTTTCGATTTTGGTTTGATTGTTTACTCGGCAGGCTTTTTCATATTTCTGTAATTTACCTATATTGGTAGCTTCTGCTTTACTATTAAAAGCTCTACCAAATATGCTATGATGATCTGTACGTAGTCGTCGTTCATCGATGGACATAGAGACTCTATGTGTTTATACGTCCGTAGATAAAGCGAGTCGTGTTACCTAGATGAATATTACATCTCAGCTGCTTGGGATTCGGTATTTATCTCCCACTGAAAGGCTCTCTTGAAAATTCACTTCATAGTGCCCGCTTAGGAGTCCAGCCCTAACTAGCCCCAGCTTCGTTTACGCTTGCATAGCGAAGTAGAGTTAGTACAATTCTTGAGACATTGTCTTTTAGAAGTCGACGTTGGCTTTTTGAAGCCAGCGCACCCACAGCAGCTGCTTAGATGGCATATGTATCACTTGTAACTGCATCAATTGAAGGTATCTGCTCCGGGCAGGCGTATCAGAGCTAGCTTGAGAAATCGCCAGCATTTCTAGTAGGTTACTAGCTGTCCTAATTTCACGTTCTATTCGGATCACAAAATGCCAATTCTAGCCAAGAAACCAGATTAGGAAAATTACAACTTCTATTTGTGTAGCTATATGGTCTGCTTCCAGTATTTAGGCACCGGCCAAGTCTCCCTGCCGGAACCCACGGCATAAGTTAGTTACTTGACTATGTAAGGTCAAGAAGGCGAAGAAAGGCTGCCAAAGTTCTTGTATCCCACGCCCTTGACAAACGTCTGCATCCACGGGCCCTGCGTCTTTGCGTCCGCGAGCTCCCAGTAAAGCTGCGCGTGCGCCTCTCCGTCGACCCTGTATTTGGCCGTCCCGTCCGGCTTTCGCTCGTCGCCATAATAGAACCCATAAATAGTTTAGTCTCCACACGTAGGAATTAAAGCTCTGTAGATGAAAAAGCTTACTTGAACCCACGGTCTTTATATGCCGCAGCAGCAGCCCGCACCATGTGTGCACCGGCCGACTTGCCAACGCCCTGGTCGAGAAATGATGGGAGGATTGTGACGTTCAGAATATTTCCCGTGTAGATGAATGTCCTGGATACAGAAGCAGGAAGCTGCGCAAAGCCGAGGGTAGCCAGCTGCGCAGCGACAAAGGCACTGGTGACATTGATGGCGACGTCTCGATTGAAAGAAGCCAACGGGAGAGCAAATGGGTCGTTGGGAGGGGTGAGTGTCGAGGCGCTGACTGTAACTCGTCAGTGGGAATTATTCTAAGGCATCCCTAGCCTGAGGTGCTGGCGCTTATTACCATTGTAGACAACTACACTTGGGATGCCCAGTACTTTCTTAGTTTGAGTGAAAGCGTCAACGACATCGTCGGGGTTGGCGAAGTCGCTCGTGATGTGCAGGTGATTGTCTGTGCTGTCTTCCTCTCGCAGTGACCGGGCAGCGAGGGCAACTTTGTAGCCTTTCGAGGCAAAGGTCCGAGCAACTGCCTGACCAATATTAGGTCCTGCTCCGAGGATGAGGATGACTGGAGATGTGCCGGGCATGATTCTGTGTGTGAGAAGAGAATGTAGGCGCAAGTGCCGCCGAACAAGAAAGCAGTCCTTCCCGTTTTATATATCGACTACCTAGGTAGAGAATTATGGTGTATCCAGGCTGTCCCATAACCCAAGGTATCAGAACATTTGATCGGGATTCGGGGTGTTCAGAATCCTGCTGGTGGCATTTATAATCAACTCAATACTTAAGCCATGCCGGAGTGGCGGCTTTGTAGACAGAATGAATTTGATACCTGGGTATTCTGTAGCTTGATGATTTCTAATACTAACCATCCATTTGTAATAGATGTGAATTGGTAATAGCTATGAATTTGTAATTGCATCTATACAGCATGTCACTATAGGTATACTACCTTGGTAATAATGTGGCAGACAATTCACTCTGTCGTGTATACAAGAACATAACTATGAACCCGTCAGTATCCAACTAGTTGTACGAATCCTTGCTTCGATAGTTCACATTATTGTTCTACTGGGTATTGCGGCGAGACTTGAAAGAAATTTGACTATTTATATTGCTTTATGCATGGAACCAGCAAATTAATATGGCCTTGGGTTCACCAACAAGCATATCAATGAGAAGAACATCAACCTAAATGAGTAAATCCAAGTCGTTATATAAGGCCTCATTTCAGTTAACAGTTTAATGTCATGCAAAAAGCCAAAAGAGAAAATGGTTGCAAGAAGCACAAAGAACTAGAAACACAAGGCATTGCTTATAACTTGCATACATTCAGGCCATTCATTGTCGATTCCTAAAATGGCATTCATCCCAAGTCAACCCCCTGGTATGTTATGTACCGGTGGTATATTGACCGGGATCACGACAGACAATGAAACAAAAACATTACATGTCCGATCTTGCTCATTTATTCATGACTCAATCCTTTGTTTTCACTGGATTATTCATGCATAGGCAATCGCCTTGCTAGCTCCATATGACAAACATTGTGCGGGGAATTTCGCTGGCAGAATTATATTTGCCTTTGCAACAGATAGCGCACATTTGCAGAAGTTATATCTATCTACTATTCTCCCCAACAGAATCCAATCGAGAAACGAGAAAAAATGGCGTCAAGCCCATCAGTCAGCACCAGCTCGATCCATTCTCACGCCCCGGACGAGCGAGGACCGCACTTTAGGCTACAAGACTGTCCACCTGACGAGCCTGTTATAATCGTACAACCGAACGAGGCCCTTCTGTTGCCATTATCACAGCACTCGTTACATCGAAAGCTTGAAGTTACCGCCCACCAGAGCCTTCAAGACCTTTCGATAGGGTCCCGATCCCTTGCAGACGACCTCATAATGCTGACGTCAAGTGCAGGCGTCATCTTTGGACGTATTCCCAATGAACTCTCCGACGTGGGGTTTACAAAATGGCTTGAGTTGTTCATTGACTACATTAGCCACAATGAGCAAGCTTCGTGGTGGCACACTGATTACTCTGGACCGTGGGCGTGCTATGTCTTCGTGCCTATGAATAAGAGACGCACAAAATGGATGTACCCAAACACGAAAAATGGCAGGTCTCGGCCATTGACAATCCTAGGCATGCTGGATACGTATGCAGAAACTAAATCGTGGCAGTTGAGATTGCCAGGTTGGGAGCATGCTGAGGATAGGGTGGCTGAGATCCGGGGTAAATGCTATGTGCCGGCATTAAGCAATCCGAAACAGCGGAAAAGACGACAAGATACCCAGCATCGCCCAAAGCAGCTGCCACGGGAAGGCTGGAGGCCGTCGACTGAGATCAGGTTCGTTTGGGATCCCGTGGAGCAAATCAGAGAGTTAAGATTGAGGGATCAGGAGTGGACGGATGAGTTGGTGTTGGAGAGGGTCGAGATGAGCTTGATTTGATAAAAAAATGTTGCGGAGTCGATGTAGTAGTATCACGGACTTTGACATGTAAATAGAAACCCCCATTTATCATGAAATCCCTTTTGTATAACCCAGGAATTTGGATCCCAGGGCGCTCCGCCGGGTTTGATTTCGAAGCTATTCATGCAAAACAGATCGTGTAGGAAATCTTCTTCATCCACCAGGCTAATGGCGTTGATCAAGTTGTCGCGCATTTCAGGGAACGGAAATCGATCAATCCATAAGGGATGGATAGTAATGAGCTGCAGTGGCGTCGGATGTAAGGGTTCTGGTATGCCGGGACCAACAGGCTGCGACTTTGCAGGATAACTGGTCGAGCAACTAAGTCCCATCATGGAGCCATTAAGATACAAAGCTGTCCAGACATTCATGGGCATTTCTATCATGGGCGCTGCTCCATTAGTCGCAGGCTTCTGCACAGAAACTCCTATGGGAATCATCGATGTCTCAGGCGAGCGATACATGATGGGCATTTCTACTGCGGTAGATATGCATTCTGAAGGGGGATCGGTGTTTGTGCCCTGGCTGACAGGCTTCTGCTCAGACTCACTCTTTTTGATTTCCGCCAGTCGCTTGCCTACATCTAATGTCAACTCTGTCTTGTATAAAAGAAATCACAGCTGCGGATGAAGAGGGACTCTCGTACGTCTCGCACGTTGTGCCAGGCGGTCCTGCACTCGTTTCCGCTCCCGCCGGTCTTGCACGACATGCCAATTATCAGCGTCTGCCTCGTTGTGGAGGGTTTGGCGCACCATGATTGCTAGAGTATTTTGAATTTTTGCGTGCATCAAATGCTGTGGTGGTGGACAAGAGCAGCCTTGAGGTTGATTGATTGAGGTTTAAGAAAGTCGGCAACGCGGAGACAAAATTAGGCCGACCAGTTGCTGCCTGGTTCGTAAGGCTTCCATTTCTGAGGTAGTAGAGGCAGTTACAACTTTGCCAGGCTTAGCTAAATAGAAGATCCAAGAGAGAAATCTCTAATACTTTTCAATCAAGAGCATGTTAGAATGGGCGACAGGGTCGCTTCCAACAGCATGAGCGTATAGTGAGAAAGGTCTTAGTAAGTATTTATTATATCTGTACATCTTTTCCAATGGCATCGCTATCAGAGTAAATATCCACATACGTGCATCACTGCTGGGTCAAGGCAGCTCTATCACGCCAGAAAATGCACTCTTCCCTAGCCCAAGGGTCGTCACTCAATTCTGCTGTGATGCCTACATCGCCCCCAATAAGTTCATTGTTGTCTTTGCCAAATATCATTGTCTTTGGTTCGTCCTGCTTGTAGGCTAGCCACTTTGGTCGGCTCTGCCACTCGCCAGCTGTTGCGTTTGGATCCCCCTTGTGGCATATGAAGCTTGTTACGTATGCATGGAAAGTCCCCGCAAGATCCCTCTGGGATGCGGAGCGGTTGATGATTTCTTCGTTAAGGGTCTCGTATCGCATATTATCGCCGTGAGTGGCTCCTCCAATCACGCTGCTCTTGGCGGCCCAGTGGTAAAGATATACTGGAGCTATTTGTCTGGTCGAAGCCATATGAGCTGTCTGTCGCGCAGGCGCGGAATAGGCGTACTGTCCATAGGCGGCTTCGATGCGTCTGTATTGTCGTCCAACCCCCGTCATGCCTGCGTGAAGCTTGTAGGTCTGATCTGCGCTTGAATGAGGATCGGGATAGAGTTTCTCGATCATCTGGATATCATCATCGGACAGTTGAGGTAGTAAAGTTCGGAAGAAGTTCGTGAATTCATCGCCAGTCTCCATTTGCTTGTTGACATATAAGGACCCCTCGTTCTCGGTAAATCCGGTTAAGATGGGCACCTTGTAGTAATCATTCATTCGCCACGAGTCCATTGGCGCTCGCGGAATCAATTCGCCGTCAATGACAGGTTGAAAGGCCCATCGGAGTGAGGGGTTGTACTTGTCAAAGACAGCATTCTGGGCCTGGGTGATAGTCTCAAGCGGTAAGGAGCGCAGAAACGGGAATATTTCGTCTTCTGGGATGTCGTTGGCGCATTTGACCTGTTCCAAGAAGTCTTGGAATTGTTGCTCGTGGATTTCAGCGTCATATCGTCGGACAGCTCGAGAAGTGGGCGAGCCTGACTCAATGATCACTCTTTGGAATGGGCCAGGGTTGCTCTGGCTGTATCTCATCATGTGGTGTCCGACCTGTTGTAAGGGTCAATCAATCAGAATACAACAAGTATTTGAATCAGAACTACTCACTGAATGCGCGCCGGCCGAAAGCCCGGCCAAGGTGATGTTGTCCTTGTCTCCTCCAAAGGCCTGGATATTTTCTTGAACCCATTCAAACAACAGGACTTGATCATGTAGACCAAGGTTCAGAATTCCTTCCTTTGCCGAGAGCTTAGAGGGTAGGAATCCCAGTGAGCCGAGTCGGTAGTTGAACGAGACTCCAATGAATGGCGAATCTGACCATGCCACCATCGACGCCGTATTGTGCATTGATGCGCTGCCACGATTGAAGGCCCCTCCGTGTATGTATACCAAGACGGGGAGTAGACCATCATCCTCGCGGGGCACTTGCCGGAAGACATTGACCGTCAAACAGTCTTCGCTGATTTCAAGCTTGGGCCCTGACGCAACAAACACCTTGCCTGGGGCTACTGCTCCGTATTTGGAGGCATCGATGATTCGGGATGGATCTGCGGGAACCTTGACTGGCCGTCTGAACCGGCGGTCTCCGGTTGGAGGTAGGGCATAAGGAATGCCTCGGAAAGACTGCACGGGAGCTTTTGAGAACTCGTTCTGCACAGTTCCTACCACGGTTCCCTGAGCGAGGTGGACTGTGGGCCGAGCGATGCTGCTGCTGCTGCTGCTGCTCACCATGGCGCTTTGGACTCTTAAAGAGCTTCTGCTTGAGTGCGTGTGCCAAAGAGGTTTTAAGGTGAGTGTATTCGACGGGATTTCCGGCGTCTTCTAATTCTGCCGTCGGCTATCCCTATCTCCAGCCTTACATATCAAGTTGGGTGGATACGGCAGCCTAGTGGAAGTATAAAAAATTAAAATCAATTTTAACCAAGGAGTATGTAGTCTGCCATTAAAAATAAACAAATATTAACACCTCCTAAAGTTCTGGGTAGGTTGGTCCCAGAAAGTAGCTTTCAAGCTTAGATCATCCCATTCATCCGAAGGAACTAAAGAAAACGCCCCCAGTAAGTCATCATCTGGTGCAATTGCTGCTCCGTGATAGTAAATATTATGACTGGGTTCATTGCTAGAGTCAACCGGACTAGGGCCTTGGTTTACATCTCGGTATGAGGATTGTCGTGAGCTTTCAGGTGATAGGCCGTTTCTGTGTTGGGAGTCGCTTCTGATTGTGCCAGATTCGACTGTTTTGAGCCAGCCTTCAAAATCAAATGTTGGTTTGAGATTGGTTCGACGTGATGTTCGGTCTGTAGGGTTAAGCTGGCGGAGGTAGTTCATGATTCCATCTTTGATGTCCGCGATATTCATGGTTGATATTGTCGTGGTACCCGGGGACGTGAGAAAGGAGAGATGAGTGAGGTAGTTGAGTTTGTAGAACAGGGATATTTGACGGATCTTTCAAAGTTTTTCTAGCGTTAGTATGAAGCGGCAGATCCGATACCTAGGTAGTAGATACATAGACATACCCAGTGAATGGAGAGGTCCCAATACTGGCCAAGAGAGTTGAAACCTCGCATAGCGATGGATAGATTCCTTCTCGCGGCTCGTTTCGATGTGACATGCTGAAGACTGTCCCATTCAAAAATGGTGAACATGGCATGAATGCTAGCAGATGTGAACAAGCAGAGACCAGTGAACGGGAACGCAGATGGCGCGAGGTCCAGGTCATGCATTTGGGAGTATAAAGTGGCTACAGAATTGGCACTCTCCAGCATCGTTGTTGCATAATTGAACCACCAACCTGGTGGCGGCGCACAGTCTACGGGAAGAAGTGTAGGCCCATCGGCAGGACCTAAGCGAGCTTATCAGAATCTCTTGCAACCAAGTAAGGGGGAATGATAACGCACCGGTATTTGGATCATACGAAGGAGAAGGGGTGAAAGGAAGGTATTCACGATAGAGATATGTCTTTGCGTGGAAGTATAGCAAGAACATCAATGACCAGAGCTGGCCCTGGCCAGCGGCAACAACTAGCGAAACATTTTGAGGCTGGTAATCCCAGTAACTAGGAAGACGCTTTCTCCATGCAGCAAGAGCCTCAGAGTGAATAGTAAAAGGCATGTCCGGCAACCAGGGACACCGAGCATCTTGACGACGGCCAGATCGGCCATGCCATAGGACGATGTTGCCTAGAAGATCGATGATTCGGATGGTGTGAGAGAACAAGCACTCATCGACACCGTCATGCATGTCTGAGAGACGTCCCGTTTTGCGATATCGACCAAAGATGAAATCTTCATCTAGCTGGGGCAAATGCGTGGTGATGTCGGCCGAGGCAAAGGTTGCTATTCGATCACGGCCATTGGCAAGCAGGTGGTCTAAGCAGAACAGACACCAGAACGTCCGACGACGGATCTCGAGCTCTGTGAGTGAATATTCTCGTAGCGCGTCTCCCCAGTCGAAATTTGTGTGTTCCGGATCTTGTTTATGTAGACGCGCCAATTGGGCCAGGCGAGCAGCATGTCCTAGTCGTAACCAAGCTTGATGCTCGAGGCCTTCTCCGACCTCCACAACACAGAGGATTAGACAACATTGGATGTGTGTGATGGACGGCTGATTGCAGAGACTGTCAACTTCTTTTCTAGCCCATTCCGAGTATTTATCGAATGGTTCATAAGAGGAAGCAGAAGCAGAAAACCGTGGTAGAAACCTACCTCGCTCGGTCAGGGTCAGCCATGATAATTGAACCTTTTTGGGGGGGAAGGGCAAACGCACCGCGAAGTCAGAGCAATGATGCACACCAAAAGTGGCAGAGGCAAACCTTCTCCTGCAGCATCTTCGACCAGTTGTTGCGGGGGCAAGAAGCACAGCAGGCTTTTGGCATAGTTCTCACGGAAGAAGCTGATTGCCAATCTCCGCAGCGACAGCGGCGGCAGCCTAATGCAAGAAAGACTTAAGACTTCAACTTACTGATAGGTTTATGCAGTACTTACTGGAACTCCGTCTCAGCATTCGCATGTCCCGGGGTCGACAAAACCGAAGCCGGTGGAATAGACCCAGGGTATTCGCAGTCTCGATCGCGGAGTTTGCACGTTCGACATTGAGGCCATTCGCCGGAACATCGCGCTTTTCGCTGCCGGCAGAAGTTGCATGCAAGTGCAGTTCGCCTAGCTGTGTTGGGCATTGCCTATCTATCAGAAAGCTATGTATGGCAGACGGAAAAGCCGGGATTTGCACTTCGAAAAGTTGGGGAGGTTTGGCTTATCTATCAAAAAGGCCCGCCGGCTTTGCCGCTTCGGCTGTGCCTCTCCACCCGTCGTTCGTCTTCGTATTTGAGTCGCTGGTAGTCGTTTTGATGCTCTCTTCAAGCGTCAAGAACACTCCGTGTCCAATTCGAATACTATGGCGTCTACAGCATCGACTACTGTCGTCCTCCCGGCAAAAATACCTCTTCAGCTGCGCGATGCAGCAGAGCCCGAGGAATTGGAAGAACATCTCGGCCAAGCCGAACGTAATTATGCTGCGCGAAACCCGGCCTCCAAAGCCGCGCACGAAGAGGCATTGACAGTAATGCCAGGCGGAAATACCAGATCAGTGCTTTACTCGAGACCGTTCCCGATTTGCATGAACAGAGGCGTCGGGAATCAACTATTCGATCTGGATGGGCACCAGTAAGTTAGTTGAACTCCGAGGTAAATCAAGGCGAAGAGGCATTCATTGATAATGAAACGTTTCGCGCTTCCCCCTCTCCAAGGTATCTGGATATGCTGGGAGAAATGACGGCCGGTGTCTATGGACATTCTCATGAAATCATCCGGCATGCCCTCATTTCCACCTTTGACAATGTGGGAGTCAACATCGGAGCGCATACCCGCGGCGAAGTGAAACTGGCTTCGCTTCTTTGCGAGCGGTTTCCGTGCATCGAGCAACTTCGGTTCTGCAATTCGGGCACCGAAGCGAATCTGTACGCTCTCGCGATTGCGCGCCGGGTCACTGGGAAGCGCAAAGTTATCGCGTTTCGTGGTGGTTATCATGGCGGAGTCATCGGATTCGCTCACGGTGTTGGCGAGAACAACGTCGATCCACAGGATTGGGTTCTAGGGACCTACAACGACGAGGAAGCCCTCAGGGATCTGTTTGAAGCGAACTGCGATGATGTAGCAGCGGTTATTGTGGAGGGTATGCAGGGCTCTGGTGGATGTTTACCGGCAAGTTTGAGTTTCCTTCAGAAGATTCAATCATATGCCTCTACGGTATGTCGAGTTCTCAAATGCGCCTTGCCCTCTATATGAAGATGTTTTATTAAACAAGTTCGCGTCTCGACAGCACGGCATAGTATTCATTCTAGATGAGGTGATGACATCGCGCCTTCATCCATCCGGCCTGCAGGGAAAATACGGGCTTCGCCCGGATTTAACGACCTTGGGGAAGACCATTGGAGGAGGTCTTTCAATTGGAGCCTTTGGCGGTCGGAAGGATTTTCTTGAAACTTGCGATCCTCGTCAAAGCACTGCTCTGCCTCATTCGGGCACCTTCAACAACAACACTTTAGCCATGGAAGCTGGTTATGCCGGGTTGTCCAAAATCTATACACCGGAGGCGACTATCGCACTCAATGGGCTGGGCGACTCCTTACGCATGAAATTGCAGGCTGTTACTAAAGCCACGAAGATTGTGGTTACGGGGATTGGTGCTGTTTTATCGTTCCATTTCATGGACAACGGTGTCGTTCCTTCGTGCGAGCGGGATATTGAACAGCATGCAATCCCGATGTTGAGAAGGTTGCTTTGGTTCTGGTGCATTGAACGAGGCTATTGGATTGCAGAGAGAGGCATGCTGAGTCTTGTTATGGGGACGAGGATGAGCGATGTTGATTCATTCGTCGTGGTTGTGGAACATTTCATAGCCACTCATAAAAGCTTGCTGCAGCTTGAATAGATATTTTTCTATGTATCATGGAGAGAGAAAAAAAAAATTGACATTTGAGTATAATATATCTTGTTACAGCCCGAATGTCTTTTGGAGAGCAGCTACCACTGTTTCGTTGTACTTCTTCCCGGATTCCAAAATACCTAGCCAAGTCAGTCACAATCAATCCTGCAGTGCGAATGAGCTCCTTACCGTCCAATTGCATAAAAGTATGCGGTGCCCCCTCAAAGCGTATCATATCCACTTGACATCCTGCTTCCCGCATCTTTGCTGCGTACGCCTCTCCTTCGTCTCTGAGAGGATCCATCCCGGCTATGAGGACCAGAGCAGGAGCCAGGTTCTTGAAGTCAGGGGCCAGAATCGGCGATACCTTCCAGTCATTGTCCAACTCTGCCGGTCGTGGATTACCCAAAAACGCTTTGTGGAACCAACTCATGCGCTCAAGAGGTAGAGGCTGTGTGTATGCTAGGTCCCTATATGATGCGTACGGGCTATCCGGTCGTAGTTCACCTTCGGGAGTGAATACATGAAGGTCGACGACTGGGACTGCAAGGACTTGTAGGGCTAATGGGATACTTTCATTGCGACAAACGTGTGCAATCACGGCACTCAGATGGCCCCCAGCCGAACATCCACCGACAGCAATACGCGAAAGATCAATGTTGAATTCATCTCTGAGTGTCTCTCGGATCTGTATATTCTTAGTCCAGCTAACTTTGTTGGAAACTACATCACTCACCCAACGAAACGCGGCAATGCAGTCCTCGACTGGGGTGGGATATGGATATTCCGGCGCAAGACGATAGTCAACATCAAAGGCCACGCAATCCAGATTGTGCACCAGTCTTTTACAAAAGTCAAAATCCGTTTCGAGCCCGCCAAAAACCCATCCTCCGCCATGGAAATTGACGTACGCCGGCTTGGGCTGTAGCCGAGTCTCTGCTGATGAATCTCGCTTGAATGTGCGAACGGTGATCTCGCCGCCCTTGACGGGACATTTCCTGTCAGTGATTGCGAGGCCGTCGGCACTCACTCTGGCGCGTCCATAGGCGATTGCGTACTTTGCCGGGTTTGTGCGGAAGGCTTCGATGGGCACTTGGTGCGTCGCCAGTCGGCCTGCATTGTATTTGTTGTAGTATTCCAGGTAGACTGGGTCGAAAGATGGTACGAGCTCTGCTGGGATGCTGTTGATTAATGGGTGAGAGTCGACGATGGGGTCGACGTGTTCGCTAAAGGCTGCCATATCTAGAAGTCTTGCAATTATACATAACAAGTGCACGCGAGAGTAGTAGGCCAGCACTATATAGTGAGGCTTGTTCAATACAGCCACTAACAGTAGCTCCGATGTGTACGACTGTAGATATCTAGGTACGCAGAGATAGCGAGATAGCGGCTGATCCGACATGTCGCGGCAATTCCGCGACCCAAAGATTGGATTCCGACTATCTTATCCATGGCCAGTGCCTTGCTTCATGGCTCGGTGTTTATATATACCCCTGTCTATGCATCCTCTCGGACAGCATGCACGATATACAAAGGGCAAAACGACTGCAGCCATGGCCCAGTCCAAATTTGCCTCTCTGCGCACCCGCCCCCTCGCTCAAAATACCACTGCCAGCATTGTGCTGCTGGGCACAGTCGGCATCTATGTCGCCATCACCAATCTGGGTGCTGGAGGTGGCAAGGCAAACTCGCTGAAGATGAACTACATTGTCTCCGCGCTCAACTACGGCATCTTTGCTATTGCGGGTTTCTTTTCCGGCTCCGTCATCAACCGGTTTGGGCCGAAATGGGCTCTTTTTGTGAGTATCTTCTGTCTTTGTTCAAGATAAAAAACGGTTGGCTAACACCTAGTCCACTAGCTGGGTTCTCTCGGCTATCCCTGCTATGTGACGGGGCTTCTTCTGTTCGACCGTTTCGACTTGTTGGTCTTCCCAATCATCGGCGGTGTTCTGATTGGCTTCGGTGCTGCTCTCCTATGGGCAGGCGTCAACTATATCGCCATAGCGTATGCAGATGAGACAGAAAAGGGTATGTGTGGCTTGTTGCCCAATAGACAAGCGCGTGCAAACACTAATATGGAGCGCAAAAGGGCGATTCTATGCCATGCAAACCGCCATGACCTCGTTCGGGAACTTGATTGCATCGTTCCTCGTCCTTGGAATCAACATCAATGATGAAGCCAACGATGGAGTTCCGCTCTCCGTTTACCTGAGCTTTATTGGCATCATGTTGGTTTTGGGATTCGCAAGTTTCATCCTGGTCAAACCCAAGGACGTGCGTCGCAAAGACGGCACTGCGCTTGCTGTTTACAAGGAGGAAAGCATAATTACTGAGCTGAAGAATGTCTGCCGGCTTGTCTTCGATTGGAAAGCGATGGCTCTCTGTCCAGCTCTGTTTGTTGCTGAATATCTACTGATTCTGCAACCTGCAATCAGCAGTGAGTGTGCATGATACATCATAAGCGCAAATCAACCGTCTGCTGACACTGTGTATTAGCTCTTTACTTTGATCTTCGAACCCGATCTTTGCTTGCTGTCATTTCAGCTATTGTTGCCCTCTTGAGTGCTCTTGGGTACGTCTTTCATGCCGCTTTTCTTCTCCCCCCACGTCACTCACTTTTACCAGAATGGGAGCTTTGCTTGATTACAAGGGTCTCTCACGTCCGCTCCGTGCGAAAATCGGCTTCGCTATCGTTGCTTCACTCACGATTTCCATCTATGCCGGAGAGGCCGGCTGGCTCTTTAGCGTAATCCCGCCGAGTCAACCGGAAGATAATCCAGCGTACGATTGGACAAGCTCGCACTTTCCTGGTTTCTTCATCATCTATGAATTCTTCCAGATCTTGGGCTCCATTGGTCCCGTCTACGTGGTGTGGACGTTGGCGTCATTGACCAATGATCCCAAGAAGTCGGCGCATTACGCTGGTCTGATCAGAGCGGTCATGGCAGCGGGAGTTTCGGTGGCCTTTGGCATTGCAGCTGCTGGGGTTTCGGAAAGACACCAGTTTATAGTGCATATGGTCCTGCAGTACTGTGCTCTGGTGCCGCAGGGCGTGGTTGCTCTGACGCAGGTCACCATAACAAACTATGGGCTGGAGGGGACGGTCATTGTGCCGAGGGAGATTGCTGCAGCGCTCGGCAAAGAGGATGCTGAATATGTCGATGTCGATGAAGTCGAAGTCGAGGGAGGGAAGGAAGTGTAGTTACCTTAGCAAGCAATAACCACGTATAACACGTGCTGTCCCGCCACGTGATCCGAGACATTCAAACTGAAACAAGAAAAAGTCTCCCTTTGTCAACTCAACTCCTTGAACACTTCACCCATGCCGACACACGCTGTGTTTCATCGCCGCGACCATGGCCAGCTGCCAGCCAGTCACCCCGCGCATATCCCTGTGCGATAGCCCTCCATTAGCCAACTAGTCAACGCTCACAGCCAGGGGACCACGGATCCACGGCACAACTAGTCGAGGCGCAGACCAGTCGCCGAATCAGCGGCGCAAACTAGTCGAGCGACGGTTCACGCGCTTTCAGCTGGAGAGCGAGCTAGTCACAGGCTGGCGATAAAACAACTAATCAATATATAAATACCCCGCGCTCCTGCTGTTCCGTCTGTCTCCCCCTCTCTCTCTACCCTGCTGCCTTCGTCTTTCTCCTGTGTCTGCACTTGTCTGCACAGTTTTTACCTTTTCTCTTTTTTTTCTCTCTCTCTTTTCTCGACTATGTCGTACCAGTACTCGCATCAGGATCACGGTCATCCGCCTCTACCCGCCGGCTGGGCGGCCCAGTGGGTTCCTGACCAGAATACTTATATTTTCGTCAACGAGAACACCGGCCAGAGGACATGGCACCATCCTTCGCAGCCTGCTCCGGGACACTATGGCGGCGGCGGCGGTGGTACTAGGGATGTCGGAGGTCCAGGAGGACCGCCTCCTTCAGGCCCAGGCGGCTATGGTGGTCCCCCTCCAGGTGGCCGGCCTTACGGCGGTCCCTCACCGGGTCCTCAAGGGGGTCCTCCACCGGGCGGTCGATATGGTGGTCCTCCGCAAGGTGGTCAATACGGTGGTCCTCCTCCGGGCGGTCCTTCTCCAGGTGGCCGGCCTTATGGTGGTCCTCCAGGTGGTCCCCCCCCACCCGGTGGTCGATACGGCGGTCCCCCTTCAGGCGGCCCTCCAGGCGGTCCACCACCAGGTGGCCGACCTTACGGTGGTCCTCCTCCACCAGGCCCAGGTTACGGCGGCGGCCCTCCCCAGCGACCGCAGGGCTATAGCAGCCCAGCACCGCCTCCACAGCAACAACAAAAGAACCATAATCTCGCATACGGCATCGGTGGCGGTGTCCTGGGTGCAGCAGTAGGTGCTTGGGCCATGCACGAACATGACAAACGTAAGTAGAACTCTTTTCGTCTCTGGGTTTCCCCCATCTAAAACAATGCTAATGTAATGATAGACGAGGAAGAAGAAAAGGAGCAAGAATGGCGCGATGAAGAGCGTCGCATGCAGGAACGCGAGCGCGCAAGAGAACTCGAACAGCAACGTGAAATTGAAGCTCAGCGCGAGCAAATATACGAAGAGCAGCGTGAGATTCAGTACGAGCGCGACGCCGCTTATGCTGCAGATGTGCGCTACGAGGAAGAACGCCGATGGGACGATCAGCAACGGTATGACGATGAACGGCGCTTTGCGGCGGAAGAGTATGTGGAGGAGAGGCGGTTCGATGATGAGCAGCGTTTCGTCGACGGGCAGCGCTTTGTGGACGACGTGGAGTTTGTTGAAGAGGAACGCTTTGTAGAGCGATGGTGATGTCTTCATTCTTTTCTTCTTCTTTCTTCTTCTTCTTTCTTCTTCTTCTTTCTTCTTCTTCTTTTTATATCTTTTGTATATCCACTAGTCCGTTTCTTTTCCTTGAACATTAGTATTGCCTATATACTACCGACACTCTCATCAACACTATGCTGGTTACGGAATTATCTCGTTGATACCCTTCACTCGCGAATCGTGTGATTTTTTCATGGTCTAACTTGTAGCAAGCTGCATATAAAATCTTTTGTTAACGTCTTGTACAGGAATAAACTCTCAACATTTTTCATTCCATTCACTCAACGACCGGAAGTAACTTCCTAGCATCTAGTCCACAAAGTCAAGCACAGTTGGAAGCATCAGCATCGGCATAAGTCGCAGTGACATGACCCAGGGCAACGGCCTGATTCCCCGTCAACCTATCCATGGCCTCCTGACTCAGGACGAACGAATCGGTCGCGGCATCGACGGCAGTCACGTAGATGGTCGTGCCAGCGTAGGTGATTGAGTAGCACGCGCCGCAGTTGGCACTGTTCCAGCCGCTGATGGTGGGCGCCGCCCCGACGAGCGGATAGCCCGGTACGGCGCCCAGCGTGTTGTAGCCCTTGGTGCCCAGGCCGTTGGTGCCGTCGGAGCAGGACACGCTGTTGATGGATTCCGCCGAGTTGTCGTACGTGGTGTCGTATTGCACGTTGATGCTTGTGCCGGTGCCGGTGGTAGAAGAGGTGGTGGTAGGGGATGCGTTGGCTGTGAAGAAGGCCATGAAGGCGCCGGCGAGGATCAGGTTCATCATCTTGTTGAGATGAGATCGTTTTATGCTAGACGATTTTAGCCGGTGCTCAGTGCATCAGATCCGAAGGGAGAAAAGAAAGATATCTTACGTCTCGGACTGAAATGCTTTGCTGTTCTGTTATCTGACAAGCGAGAGAAGATTGAAAGTGCAGACCATACATACCTGGGCAAAGCCAACCCATTTATAGGTAAATGGCTAGCTCAACTCAGTCGACATGCCCAATACTTTCAGCTTCCACTGCATTCATTGCCCCTTGATTAATTCCAAGACATGCATAGCCTCGGGGCTAGGTCGCACATGTGCGTCCATGGAGTATAAATCGCCAGCGAGAGAGAGACTCGTATAAATTCCGGGGATTTCCGTTTGGGGACGTCCACAGGTGTTTCTTTGTCGGTAGTCGGATTGTTGCTATGTATGTACTATATTTAGTCGGAGGTATTTATCTATATCTATATATATATATATAGTGTATATTTTTATCTGATCTTGAATCCATCAAGAAATGTCTTGGAACAAAGAAATGTATAGATAGATAGTAGTTAGACCGCCGAGCTGAGCTTTGTTTCTGCTGCATGTCTCTCATCGGTGGATCTTCCAAGAAATTTTTTTTTACGAATCTTTGAATGCAAGTTTTGACAACACGTTGAGGCCTGAAACATAATGATAGACATGAGTATTCCTGTTCTGTTCGATATTTCTAAGGGTTGGGGTTGTTCACGTACGACTGTCTTACCACTTGCGTGTATAATAATAGATACTTCTGGAATATTCGACTGTGATACCTCTATGTACACTTCCGCTGAGCAAATAGGGGAATAATACGGTCTCAAGGTTTATAAATAGATACCACGCTTGTCAAGAAGTGATAACTACGTATTCAATCATTAGAGTATAGTTAAGTCGAGTTAGTCATATAATCATGGGTTCGTCTCAGAATTTACAAAACACTACATACATATCATGTGTACAACAATCAATACAGAATCTTCCTCTCCCACATGGGCAGGTGCTCATCATACATGTCCCACTGGATCTTGTTCTTTGCATCCAAGTGCACCCCATGGTCCGATATGGGAATGATGGCGCTGGTATGTCTGATCTCCTCCTGACTGATGCCTGCGGCGTCCTTGGGGATCCACAGCTGCGGTGTCTCGGCGGTAATGCAAGGCTCGTAGTAGGCATCTGCCATTTCCTGTTCTGAATATTCGATGATCACGTTGTTGCGTCGGACTTTGCGCCGCAGGTCGGCATAGTCCTTGTAGAGGTTTGGGTGGAACCATTTCCAGATGCGTCCGTGTGCAGTGGATGCGTGCTGGTAGGCTGCTTCGGCTTCTTGGTTCATTTGGATTTCTTCCTCTTCCGTGTCTAGCGAGCGCGGGAGGAAGTTCATAAGTGGGCTCAGGGCTTCGTTGAGGGAAATGTGAGCCAGGATGGTGAGGATGGTGTATAATGCCATGATTATCAGTGGTCCGATGGCCGCTTTGATGGAGAAGAGCCCTATCATGCAAATCTCGGCTAGATAGATGCCTGTGAGCAGATGCTGTAGCGCTCGTGGATATACTAGGCCCTTGGTGTCAATGTCAATGCCGTACACAAATATGAAGTTGTAGCGGTATGCTTGGTACACGAGGAAAAGCCCGATAAATGCAAAGGCCAGAATAATAGGAGCAATGCACGAATATGTGAGGGCGATGACTCCCATGTTGGTAAAGACAGGAAATACATTGCCCCAGCTGATCCGGGCTAACTGTGTCCAGCGATTGAACAATCGTCGTGGAGTCGTCGCAAAGAACATTGTCAGAATTTTAAAGACCAGAGCACTCATGATCTGGACGACGGCCATTGAGCTCATCGATAGCCCTTGCAATAAAAAGTACGAGATGTAGAAATTCGAGGCCTTGGGCAGATTCTGCGCCAGGAGATCCTTCGCTGACAGGGGATTCTTGATGATCTGGCTGACAGCAGCTGAAGCCGCCGATGTAATGGTCGTCACCAAGAACACTTGCACTACTTGGAAGCAGAAATGAGCGGTTTGAGTGAACAACTCAATCCGCGATAAAGAAGGAAGACCTGCTTTCCGTGCACACACTTTTTTTTTTTTTCAAGTTGACTTAATCTTAGCGCCTGGTCGTTTCAGTAACGAAGAAACAAAAAGTAGGATACGTACGTCGACAGATAGGGGGCACCAGCGACATGAGCAGAACCAAGGCAGCTGATGGCAACAAGCCTGAAATGATACCTTCAATAAACGCAGGAAGATCGGCCAGCCATCCCAGGAACGGAAATAAGTTCGCAAGGTATGTGACATTTGAAATTGTTCCAACAATTGCCGCAGGGATAGACCAGAATATAATCAAAGCGGCGATTCCACCTTGCACCAAAAACATGCGCACAATTCTCTGCCACCAGCTGAGATTCAGAGAGGACCATGCAACTTCACGGGGCGCTATTCCCGTGTAACGAGGCGTCATATGCATAGGTTGGTGGTGAGACAGGGTCTGCAGCGCGACCTGGGCATCCGACTGGCTCTGGAACTCCACAAAGACTGCGGAAAGGTATTTGGCGTCCCCATCGCGGTGTTTCTTCTGCATTGCTTCGACCTCCTGGATGGCTGCAGCCAGTCGTGATCGATAGTATTGAATACTGTCCACCTTTTTTCCAAAGAAGTTTGCACGGTGCATGGGGCGTTTAATATTCGCGAATGTCAGCGGATCCGCCAACTCACAATCATCGCATACATTGACATCACGCTCCTTGGCGGCTTTCAGTCGAGCTGCATTTGCAGTGCGAATCAGCTTGATCTCTGCTCTTTCAAGGCTGTAAGCCAGTTTATCTCGCTCGTCAACCTTCTTGTTCAATTCCTTGCAGTCCGAAGTAATCCAGATGCGACGAATACTGTCACCAAACACCTGGCGAAGCTTCTTTTCACTCTTGTAGGCCTCGGGCACAGACATGAAGAGCACTGTCCGGGACGAGATGCGGTTGACATAGGCCGGTGAGTTGAGATATGTCTGCCGCAAGTTGGCATAAAAGAGACTCTCGCGAGTGACCACGAAGAAAACATATGCTAATAATGATGGTCAGTTCGCTGTAATTTTCTTTTTTTTTACCTTTATAAATTCGGCGGGATTTATCAAGCTTGGAGGGCGTACTGAAAAAGATTATGCCCATCACAACGTGGGCATAATATCTTGTTGGACTGGCAACGTTACTGAAGCTGAATTGGTCCATTTGTGAGCTACCGCCACCGCCGGTGGCATTGATAGGTAGGAGAACGGGCCAAAGAATTACGATGCCCGCGAAGCAAATTACGCACAGGATTCGCAAGAAGCGTAGGAAAAGATACCCATCAATGGACGAGGAGTGAAGGACGTGGGAATCCGATATTTGGAAAAAAGTGCCGAACCAGTTGGTGAAGCCACTGGGGAGTTGCGGAGTGCGTTCACTATACGAGACACGGAAGGCAGATTAAATTAGCTACGCGAAACCACATGGCATTGAACACTCTATAAAACATGCGGAAGAAAGGATCATACTGGTGGTGGAGGTTTGGCAAATGCGAGCGCGGCGAGTACCAGTGCTGCTGACTACGGCGAAAGATGATGAACAGTCCGAACCAGAAGAGAGCAATGACCAGAGCCGGCAGCAGAGTAGACACCAGGGCCGAGTCTGATGTCGAGCCTCCGCCTGTCAAGCCCTCCACAATATCCCCTGAGGTTGTGCTCGCATTTCCACGCGCGGAACCAATATTGGGGTCATTGTTCGGATCCTAGAACAGGCACTGTGAGCCAATGCAACAGATGATGTGTCAACATCACATACGGCGATATTGTCGCGCCTCGACAGGTAGTCAACCATGATGGCGGCGGACCGCAGGCGAGTATGCGATAGCATGAACCGAGTGCATAGTGCCAGGTCCGAGGAACGACGAAGAGGGACATCGGACTATTTAAAAGTGGCTCGTGTGGACCGATTTTTTTTCCCCCATCAAGCCAGCCCAGTGTGCGGATTAGGGGTCGCATTCCCCGCTGCCGACGCCACGAAGAATGGAGGCCAGTGCATTGCAGAGCACGGAATGGCGGATATGCAGATGGCGGATGCCAAATGTGAAGAAAAGCGATCTATCCATTTTGCGAGGCCAATCACGACGGAGGATTGAGAGTAGAGGAGTGCAAGTCGGGAGTGCAGAAGTGAAGTAGTGGCGATCCTCAGGAACGCAGCCCGCCGTCCCGTGACTCCACCGCCTTCCCCTTTTTCTCTCTTCCTCTTCCTACTCTGTCCAGCGTCAACTTCTTCTGACGACAGCCTGTGACTGAACCTCACGTCCATCATCCATCCGATGCAATGCAATGCAATCACTGTTACACACAGCATGCCAGCTGGCGATACGTCTGCAGCTGCAGCTGCTGCAAGATAAGAATAAGCAGCTGTCTCGTTTAGGATCGCCCTCGCGTCGATGCGCTACTTGCTGATAGCGTTACGCACTATCGGACCCGACGAGCTTCAGGGCTGGCTGCGGAGAGACTAAGAGCACTGGCCTCGCGGTCGAGGAACTATTGACGCACTAAATCCCTAAAGTTCAGCGTTCCGGCCAGGAGTCCGATGTCACATTTTTGTGATCGACGCTCCCTACAAGCTATCGCGTCAACTCTTCGGCTCGTGCAACTGGGCATGCAAGGAGGCTGTCAGGCGCCGTCTTTGTGCTACCACATGGCTGTCCTTTGTACACCGCTGTTCATGTTTCAGCGACACAATGCATCCATTCCAGTTCTCAGTCTCTAAATGCATGTTGGTACCTAGCGGGCATATGGATAGAATGGTAATCGGTAGTACTCTTCGGAAATACCTCGAATTAGATGATTACCTAGGTAGTGTAGTTATTTAACCTAGTAATTCTGTAAATATGCTTTTGGTGCAGTGGTTGGTCCTAGAGGTGCAAAGCAAACTTCTCGGGGAAAAGTCCTGTACTGTACATATTGGTTCAAAAATTCGAACAGAAGTGCTAGCCTTGTAGTTAGTCATTCTGAGTGTAGTCATTATACAGATCTTAGTAATAAAAGTTATTGGCTTGTTCGAGGATATCTACTAGTATATAGTACATACTAACATAGAATCTAGGGGATACAAATATAACCTAGAGTTAACTGTCTGATGAGGTTTCAAGGCACTTAAAGGGGGTTAATGATAATCCCTTCACACATTGTTCGCATACAATCATAGCTTTGAATCCCAAGGTATTATTCTATAGCATATTCATTTTAGCTAAACACAGGGGGAATCACGCTTGAACTGGGAGTTGGGCTGGCCCCAACGTTTCTAGATGTCAAATTCGCCAGCCGGGACAAACGAGGGTGCAAATTTTATATCTATATACAAGCACAGCCCGAGAGCATTTAAGGGTCTAGTTTGCGATCAGAAGTATTCCAAGAACCTAAGGCGTCTCTGGTCGTCTGACATTTTCTGAAACACCTCGACTTCTTTCTCCTTCACGGCAATATAGGCATCCAGCAAGCGTCCCGGTATCAGCGTCTTCATCATTTCGTCAGCCTTGAGCGATTCCAATGCTTCTTGCAGACTGGTCGGCATCCGCTCGTCCAGTCTGTACTTTGCACGTTCTTGCTCGTCTAGCGAATGCGGGAACACACGACAGTCCTTCCAGGTCAAATCCATGCTCTGGATGAACCCACTCCAGCCAGCCAGTGAAACCGCCGCGGTAAACAGGTACGGATTGGCAGTGCTGATCATTTATCTTGCGCACTGGCAAGTCGCGGTTTTCGGTGCCAAAGCCGATCCACGCGCCTGCTGAGTCTTTGGTGGTGCGGACGTAACCGTCAAAGTTGGCCATTCCCAAGGCGCAGAGGGACTTTATATGCGTTAGAATACCTGCGAGGAAGTTATCTGTATGTGGTGGTGCTAGCTTGTCAACGGACAGATGCAGATGGATTCCATTGGTTGGTCCATTGATGAGTGGCTTGGGAGTCATGGTTGCCTTGATATAATGTCTGATGAAGACCGTACGGATTGTCTCCTGTGCTAGGATGAGCGAGTCGATGGCGTTGAGTGGCGACTCAGGACTGAGGGAGAATTCTATCTGGTCATGGGTTTCGGTGTGGAAGTGATGGATAGTGATAGATGACTCCTTGAGACAGTCAAGGATCTCCTCAACTGCCTCCAGTGTCTGGCCACGCAGCCCAGCAGTTGTTTGATAGCTGTTCAACCGATCCAGTTGATTGATTGGCGGCGCGAAATTCTGGTCCAGGAGCATGACTTCGATCTCAAAGCCAGCCAGCATCTTTACGCCCCACAGTCTCTCAAGACGGTCCAGTTCACGAGTTAAGAGCATACGCGGACACTTGTTATACTTCTCTTCGGCCTCCTTGTGTTCCACGAAGCACATAACGGAAGCATGGCTCGGTCTGAACCCGCAGCAACGTAGCGAAGTCCAGTCGGGACGTAGCACCCATGTTTCAATCTCATTGCTCGTTGGGAAGCACTTCGGAGCCGTTGAGACTGGGATGATCATGCTCACTTGCGGGATGAGGTACTCTTCCTTTCCCTGAGCTATTTGCAGACATCGAGCAATGGGAACAAAGCGGGCGCGCAGGATGCCAGAGAAGTCGATCCATTGCAGACGAATATCCTTGGTCGAGCGGTTCTCTTGGAGGAACTTTTGAAGCTCCTCTTCGTCTGGAAGCATTGTCGGACTGACGGTGGTGTATATGCTGTGCACAGGCTGAGGGGGTCAAAGTTGGAACAAAGACGGAGAGCCACGTTAGCACATAGACCGAGGTTAGTATGAGATTCAGCCATTGCAGAAAAGAAATTATGGCACTGACGGTCGATACCGCTTTGGTGTAGAAGATTGGAATGGCAATCTACATTGATCTTTTTGGAGACAGCTAGGTATCCTCGCTGGCTGTATACAATTTTTAGGGTATCTAGGGATGGCACCAATGTTCAACACCACGACTTTTGTACCAACCTTCGTCACAAAAACAGAACAGTCTTTTTCCAGTCACTGACCTGGCGCTGCTCGTTTGAAGCACCATGTTATGTATGGTTATTCGTGCCTGGAAACTGATATTGGGGCTGCTGGTGGAAATGAAAGTCTCGGCCGGTGCCTCAGGCTTCCGGACATCATGTTGACAAAAGCAGCGCGCATATGTTTTCCTCGTTCATGGGATATGCTTCGTTCGGCAACTTGATTCATTCATGCCATTTGAAAACTCTCGCAAAGATCCAAGGAGCCTGCCCCAGATTGAGGGAGCTAATTTTGGCTGTCGAAGGCAGAAATTCCATGGATCAATACTTGGACTTCTTGAGAGCCGAAATTAGTGCTGAGGCACTCCTACGCATCACGGAGCACTTCAGAGCATTTCCATCTCTTCCGGACATCATCATCGAGGTTTACAACGACGATGCGACTTATTTTGTGCAATTGGAAATGCAAAGTTTTGGGTGGGAACTGAGAGTGGTGGAAGAGCGTTCTGAATCCGAGGTGGAAGAAGATTGGCATCTCGCTGATGATGACGACGAGGACGATTAAGGATGAGTATGTCATAGTGACTTTTGAGAGGATGGCGGCTTGCATGTAATGGAAGAGAACAAACAACTACAATCATATTCAGGGATATGCATACCTAAGCGCCGGTATGGTATATCAACAGCGAGAAGGCTGAACTTCATTCGGACTATGCGCTTGTGAAGAAATGGATCTCAAACGCAGGGGTTTTATGGCTCAACAAATTTGTACAACAAGTCAGATTCATCCTAACAAGCGTTTGGATTGCAGACAGCACAGCTCGATCATTGTTTTTCCTGGACCGTCTCTGATGTATAATTCTTCTGAGTAATATCCACCTCATCCACCAGCTCCAACGGCGCAACGCCCAAAGCCCGAGCCTCCTGCTCATCAAATGTGCCATAATAATCCACATCATCATATTCCCCTAGTCCCTGCGGCGGGGCAAGTTTATTTAATGCAACATATATCACAAAGCTGATGGCAAACCCCAATGGAAAGGCCAGATGATACAGATCCGTGCAGCCTGCGGGGACAACGACGCTGGTATTAATGGATGCGATGAAGCCCGGTAATTGAGGAGTGAAACCGACTACCCACGCAACAAAGGCACGCCAGTTGAATCCGTGCCAGTAGTAGTATATGCCTCCTTCGCGGGCATGATATAGATCGCTCAACTTGACTTTGCGGGATCGGATGACCCAGTACTCGGCAACCATGAGGCCGCACATAGGCCCAAGGAAGACTGAGTATGCGGACATGACGCTGAGGAATGTGCCCGCGCTGGCAAGGAGGTCCCAAGGACATATGGCGATGGAGATGATCAGGCCGATGTATGAGCCGCGCCGGATGTTGATGAATCGCGGGAAGAGACCACTCAGATCCATGCCAGCGGAAAACGAGTTGTCGACTGTGTTGATGGCCAGTTGGCAGATGACCAGTCCAACACCGGCAAAGAACGCAGCAGCCCGGGACTTGGAGTTGTAGTCCGTGTCCAGCCATTTCAATGCCAAATCCGGGGGGTTCCATATCGCGTCGCCGTAAATCTGGAGGGTGGCAGACGATGTCAGGCAGCCAAAGACGGGCATGAGGATGCCGAAGAAGATGATGGAGAACCACTGTCCGAAGACTTGATCTCCGGGTTTCCGCGCAAATCGAGAGTAGTCTGGCTGGTTGGTGAGGCCGACGGCGATATTGCCGATGACGGTGGTGACACCGTTGACAATCGACCAGCCTAACCGGCTGGATGACATGGGCGTGGCAGGCTCGGAGAGTAGCGGACCACCGCCGTGTGCTTTGGCGAGCACCCAGATCATCATACTCAGCAAGGTGGCAAAGGAGATCACATTCATGACCGCCAGGGACTTGTTGGTCTTCTCCGGGGGCACCCAGAGCATAGGGACGGTGAGGACATTGTAAATGACCCAGCCAATGAACTCCTTGGTTGTAAGGTTAGATGACTCGGGAAAGGTATTTTCTAGATGCTGGAATCCGGAGAAAATGGCACTCAGCACGGTAGTCACGCAGAGGCCTCCGGTCCATGCCTGCGTGGCCTGCCAGATAATCGCCAGGAAGATCCGCTGAACGATAGCAACGTACGAACCGTACACGCCCCAAACCACGCGGGACCAGACAGGGAATCCGATGTGCCATGTCGCCCCAACATAACCGTTGGAGACGGCCACCAGGGCGATGATAATCTTGCCTAGGATAATGGCGATCACGGCCTGCCAAACCGAAAGCCCAATGGCAACCAGAGAAGAGCCGATTTGGAAATTCGATAGGCAGATTTGGTTGATTGCCCAGAACGAGATATAAGAGAGCCTGCCCCAGGAGCGTCTCGACGGCGGCAGGGGACGGATGTCATTGTTGATCAAGAAAGATGAAGCTCCCTCTGCCGTCGGAGCGACGGCGAGTGCGTCGACTAGGGAGCGCAGCATTGTACCGTGAATTCACTTGCATGGTCGAATTGATCGGTGCCTTTGCCATAGTTTATGTAAAACAGTTTGATTACCCCCGCTTGTTACGCAGCTTAGTATATGCTGAGTAGTATATCTCCCATGACTCGTGGCGAAGTCCTTTTCGTCAGCATTTGAGGAGATAGGAAAATGATAGCCAACCTTAGATAGGCACTTGGAGTTTATCTCCGGACGATGTTGGGACTTTGCAGGCTGCAAGTGGAACATCTTCGGAGTAGTCCGACTCGTACTGAGAGATGTAACGTAGATAACGCCGATAGCAGTAAGCTTAATAGACAACTCGTCAGACTATCGGACTTGTTCGAGAAAAGTAAAACTTACCTTACATACCGGTTTATCAGGCCCCGGAGTAGTGTGCGATAGTTGTCTGGAGTCAGTCCTTCGGCATGGCTCCGAGAGGCCCGGGTCAGTCAATATTAATACTTCTTCTCCTATGAGACTCCTGGCTGTATGAAAGCAAGCATATCCGTCCATCCATATACACGCACAGCCATGGCATCGTCGCCCTCGTACCGCGTCGGCGTCGACGTCGGCGGCACGAACACCGATGCTGTGATCCTCGACGTCCGAGATGCCAATGGACCCAAGCGTGGCATCCTCGCATTCTGCAAGACTCCAACGACCGCACCCAATGTCACCGACGGCATCGAGACCGCGGTGCGCACTGTGCTGGAGCAGAGCGTTGTCGCGCCCAGCGACATTGGATGTCTCACCATAGGAACGACGCACTTCATCAACGCCATTATCGAGCATGACGCTCGCCGCCTGGCGCCGGTCGCCATTATTCGTCTGTCCAAATCCTTCCTCCGAGAAGTGCCCCCCTTCTCAGATTTCCCCCCGGCGCTCGCCAAAATCATGCATGGCTACTATGGCTATGTAGACGGCGGGTTGCATATCGACGGATCCCAGGAATCCCCAATCGTAGAAGAGCAAGTCGTCAAGCAGTGCGCTGTGATCCGCGAAAAGGGGATCGACGCCATCGCCATCTGTGGCATCTTCTCTCCGATTGATGAGCATTTCCACCAGGAGCAAAAAGTCCGCGATATCGTCTTGCGCGAGATACCGGGGGCCGACGTCGTTTGCTCGTCTGATGTTTCTCAGATCGGGTTTTTGGAGAGAGAAAATGCGGCTATTCTGAATGCCTCCATCATGAAGTTTGCCCGTCGTACGGTCCGTGGGTTTCGAGCGGCCATGAAAAGGCTGAATCTCAACTGTGCCTTGTATCTCACTCAAAATGACGGCACTTTGATTGATGCACCCTCCGCTGCGCGTCTCCCCATTCGCACATTTTCGTCGGGCCCGACGAATTCAATGCGCGGCGCGGCTTATCTCGCAGAGGGCACGGGAGAGCGAACAAGCAAGATCGTGGTTGATATTGGAGGCACTACATCGGACGTGGGAGTTTTACTGCCTTCTGGATTCCCCCGTCAGGCATCGGCCTACGTGAGCGTTGCGGGCGTGAGGATCAATTTCAGCATGCCGCATCTCGAATCAATTGGGCTTGGAGGAGGGTCCATCATCCGCGTCAACAACGACGACGACAAGGTCTCTGTCGGACCGGATTCAGTCGGGCATTTTCTACAGTCGAAAGCTAGAGTATTCGGTGGTGACACACTGACGACGACGGACATTGCCGTGAAAGCGAAGAAAGAAGAGATCGGAAACCCGGATCTGGTCAAGGATTTAGAGGAGAACATTGTATCCCGCGCCCAGGCCCGGATGAAGCTGATGCTGGAAAAAGTGATTGACCAGATGAAGACGTCCCCTGCACCACTGCCCGTGCTCCTGGTGGGTGGCGGCTCTGTGATTGCGCCCACCGAGCTGGAGGGCGTGTCGTCTGTGGTTTGCCCTCCGTTCCATTCGGTGGCCAATGCAGTAGGCGCTGCCATAGCCAAGGTCGGCGGAACGGTGGACTTTATCCAGAGCAGCACCAATAAACCTATCAGTGAAATTGTGGAAGAAGGCAAAAAGATGGCAATTGAACGTGCCGTCGAGGTTGGAGCAAGTCGCGAGAGTGTGTATGTCGCCGAGGTGGATGCCATTCCACTGCAGTACGTAAACAACAACGAAGTCAGAGTGATCGTACGGGCCGTCGGTGAACTGTCTGACGAGAATGTGTCAAAGATGAAGGAAAGCAACGCGGTTGAGAGTAATGGTGATTCGGAAGAAGGCGGAGATGAGATATATCAAGAAGCCGATAAAACCCAGTCAGCTTCCACAGAAGAAACCACAAAGTCTAGCATAGATATCAACTCTTATAAGCCCAGCGTTGTCAAGAGCCCCGAAACTGGAGTGGACGAGTGGATTATCAGTGAAGTAGACCTGGAATGGCTCTCTGATGGCTGTTATGTACTGGGATGCGCTGGCGGAGGTTCCCCGTTCAGTGAATTCCTGCGTCTTCGAGACCAGGTTCGAGCTGGGTATACGATGAGAGTGGTCGATGCTTCGTCGTTAAAAGACGATGCAATTGTTTACTGTGAGTTTAATTCATTTACAACAGCAACAACGACGACTAACGTTTCTCAGGGGGCGGCCACATGGGATCGCCAGCTGTGTCAACAGAACGACTAGCAAATGACGAGACGGAACAGGCAGTTGTTGAGCTCATGGAATACTATGGCCATAAAAAGATTGATGCATTCATAGATCTTGAGATTGGCGGAGGGAATGGCTTGCAAGGCCTGGCTCTGGGGTCGACCAAAAACCAGGGATGTCCAACCATAGACGCAGATTTCATGGGTGGGTTTGCCTTTTTTTTTTTTATTTTTTTTTCCCTTCTCCTTCATCTGTCTATAGGTCTACAGAGCCTTTGAACTGACATATAGCCTACCTAGGCCGTGCGTATCCTACCTACTGGCAAACCACCCTTTGCGCATTCGAAGAAGCCGCCCTCGTCCCCTGTGCCATTGCCTCTGGGGACGGCAAGACAATCCTAATGACCAAGACAACGAACGATGAAATCGTCGACCGGGCTTTGCGTGCAGCCTGCTCCGAGATGGGGTCGCGCGTTGGCATGGCTGCAAAACCGACCACCAAGCACGCCGTGGTCAACTACTCGGTTCTCAACACAGTGTCTCTGGCCTGGCGAATTGGACGCACCATTGCCTGCGCCCATGCCACGAACACTATCAGCACCGTGGCCGAACAAATGATTGAGGAATGCGGCGGTCCCAACGCGGCCAAGATCTTGTTTCGAGGAAAGATCATCTCCGTTGAGCGGCGTCTGTTCAAGGGCCATTCTCACGGCGAACTAGTCATTCAGCAGGTCGAAACAAGTGAGCAGGAGGACATGAGCGATTTGCCCCTGACACCGGCAGTTGCGAGCGGTGGGGTTCTCAGAATCCCATTCAAGAACGAAAACATTTATGCGAAACATGTCAGCGACGACGGCACGGAGAAGTATATTGCCACGGTTCCCGACCTCATCTCGGTCTTGGACACTCAGTCCGGTCGTGCTTTGGGGGTGCCGGAGTTTCGGTACGGTGTTATGGTGACAGTGTTGGGCATAACGTGTTCGCCACGCTGGACGCAGACGAAGAAGGGATTGGAGATTGGGGGGCCAGCGGCGTTTGGGTATGATATCGAGTACAAGCCGTTGGGAGAGTATAAGGAGCCGAGGAGCGTGGTGTTAGAATATGCTAGCAACTCTTAGCTTTGATAGAATCAAACATATGCAGATTCATCTATGCCAGTGATGAAAAAAAAGCTTGCTCGCCTACCAACGGGTCCGTTTTCCTAATTAGGAAGGTGTAATGATTCGTAACCCTACCTCTATAATACTAACTCGCCTCATTACATCATTCGTTTCTCTATTCTTTTCTTGAATAATAGTATGATATTTGCTTGATTCGACTATATCAATAGCCACTATTTGTTACAGCTCATAGATTTACCAGCAACTACCCGACGGTCGATAAAGTAAGGAGAGCAACCTAAGGAGCATCAAACTATGCCCATTCCTATACACTCTTGTTGAACTCCTCTATCACGCTCCTCGGCTTCTGATAAGGACCAATACTTTGAAACTCCATATCCAGTCCAAACCCCTCAGGGCCTCCCACTTTCAAGCCTCTCGCATCCCCCGTCCAAAGCGGGTGTGCTGCCATAGCAATCACATCCACTTTGAGCCCATATCGCAATTCCTGCGATCCAATTGCTTCTCCATCTGCGCCCAATACGGATATGAGGTCTGGCACAGTACAGATTACGTCGTGCTTTGATGGGTCGTCTGCGCTGGTTGCATCGTTCACGTATGCTGCGTATAGGAATTCGTTCTGGAACGGGAGTACTATGCAACGCTGCTTCTCCTTTTCTTCATCTGTTGGGTGAGTATTGTTGGGTTCTTCTATTTCATCGCTCGTCAAGGGCTCAATGGTACATTGACCCATGGTGTATCCGCGACTGACATCTCTTTTGACGTCGATGATTTTACCACTATATAATAGCTTTCCAGGTGAGGTGTTGAACTGTGAGGAATTCGTATTTAGCACCTAAACAATGAAATAGGAATGAAACACAGAGGAGTGGAGATGATAGACGTACTATCGAATTCACGATATTATTCTTGTTCCTCCGAGCTTGATGGACTGCTCTTCCGATATACCATGCCTGAGAAACAGTGTTCGGAATACAGTATTGCTTGATGATATTGCAGCTTAAAGGAACAGCGGCGACAGCAGCTTTGAGACCCAGGTTCACACATTGAGATCTCAACATTCCTTCGACCCTAGCATTTGATTCGGCATTCTGTGCAATGATGTCAGAAACTGCTTCTGTCACGAAGAGTATCTGTGCGAAACTCACCATCACGACGCCGACGTTCTGCTTAGCATCTGCTAAAACGCAAGGGGTTATCGGATGCCCGTAGACGTACGGCGTTCCTACATATCGGAATCAGATTTGTCTATTGCATGTTGTGAATGGTACGGGCCTGACAGACTCACCATGCTCCATTGTGGGATACGCACGTCCCATCAAGTCGCCGTCAATGACAGGGATATCATAGAAGGCGGAAGTTGGAAATGTTGACATGCCATTCCCACCACCAATCTCATCTGCAATCACTGCCTCAAAATGCGAGTGCTTCGATAATTGAACTGAGTAATCAATGGCCGTCATGATCTCTGTTCCAGCCGGAAGTCTTTCGCTCGAGACACTCGGTGCGCCATACCAGGATCCGAAGACGCATACATCGCTATCTTTCATGTATTCGGGAGCCACGACTCTCATGCGTCCTTTGGATTCGGAAGACCGTAGCCAATGCAGGCACTGAAGGTATTGAAGATACGAAGGGCCTCCTCCGCCCGTGCCCAGAACTCCAGTACCAGTTGCGATGAATTCCAGGTCAGTGGCAGACAGGTACCATACATTGTTGACAACTTCCGGCGCGTAGGAGTCAAGTTGGACAGAGGTGAAATGTTTCGCGGATGAAGACGGGAAAGTCGCATCTTTTAGTATTGCTGATGCGGTATCGCCGTTCGTTTCCTGCTCAGATATCTGCTCATCATCCCTTGACATCCAGTCTGCGTTGAATGGCTGGTCTGATGCCAAGGTCGCTTCAAATTTCGACGTGCTGAGTTTGCCCACAGCTTTGACGACTAGCCTTATCGCCTTGTTTGTTACGTATTGTAGCGGAATTTTCTCCACCTCGACGACTTTGGCGTCATCCTTGTCAGCTCCACGCGCAATAGCAGCCTGGATGGCTTGCTCCTTGGCCGCTTCCAGCACAGCTCTCTCATCCCGGTTTTCCATAATTTCAATAACATCCACCTCACCAGAAACTTTTGCGATTGCGGCTCCAACCGCATTGGCAGAGTCATGGTGAGGTGGAATGATAGACTTAGCCACGCCATTAAGCGATTCCGTGCAAATGATGGAGCCACCACCCACCAGGAGAAGAGTCACAGGTAGATCAGAGACTTTCATATCATCGATGGTGCGTTCCAGGATTCTCCTAATCCTCGCCTGTGCTTTTGCAAGCACCGAGTCGGGAATATGCTTAACCTTGGATGCATCACCAATGTCTGCTTTGCCACTGGCGACTATGATATCCGTGGATGTCATACGATCACCCCCGAATACCAAAGCGTCGCTTCCAAGACGGTGACCAACTGAGTCGGGTCCAACGGCAACAGCATCCAAGGCTTCATCTACTCGGACAAGACTACCTCCACCCAAACCTACAGAGAGCACCTCGGGGATAGAGAATGCCGTCCTGACGCCGCCAACCTCGACAAAATTTGGCGCTTTTCGTGGGAATCCTGACGGCAGCAGCGCACAAACATCTGTTGTAGTTCCTCCAATATCCATAACAAGAATCTGAGTATCTGCAGCGATATCACTGTTTGCTCCTCGATTCAGATTTGCTAGATATGCAGCTCCCATCAAGCTGTTTGTTGGTCCACTGGCAAATGTTTTGATCGGCAGCTCGGCTGCAGTGGCTGCGTCCGTGAGCGTGCCATCGTTCTGCGTCAAGAATAACGGACAATGAAGTTGAAGATCACTCATGGCTTTACAGAAGGCAAGGACAGTCTTCCGGGTCAGATTCAAGATAGATGCGTTGAGGATCGTCGCGTTCTCACGCTCTAAGAGTCCAACATTTCCAATCTTAGATGAGCAGACGACCGACAACGACGGGTCTAGTTCGAGCATTATCTTCTTGCAAGCTTCCTCCTGGGTTCCTTGGTGGTCCAGGGGAGAAAACACGCCAACAAGGGCCACAGTGGAAACTCCAGCCTTTTTGATTTCGGCAACCGCGTTTTCAATCTGCGTGGGAGAGATGGCAGAGATCTCCCGTCCATCTATTTCAAGTCCTGTTGGAGTGGGCAGTCAGCAACTGTACAGCATGCAAAGGTCATTTTCACTTACCGCCGTCAAGATAGAAAGTCGGTCCTTCCATGATCCCACGGAGTCGTTGTGGGAAGTCGCTGAAAGGAGGAATCTTTCAATGACATGTCAGAGATCTATCTTCTATAGACTTTTTGGACGAAAGACTTACGGCTTTGGTGAATGGGCCACACAGTCGAACCACGGCGACTTTGCTGAGGCGACGAGGATCAGCCTCTACGACAGCATTGACGAAGTGCGTCGTGCCAATGGCGACACTTTGAACATCTTTTCGATTGACCTGTGACTTGGCCAACGCATTGACAATGGCTGTGTATATTCCGGAGGTCACATCTGGGGTGGTCGGTGTTTTGCAAGACGCGCAGACACCCCGTGACGGATTGTCGGTAGCTGTCACGTCGATTATGGCACAGTCGGTGTTTGTGCCGCCCACATCGACGCCTATCCTGTATGAAGACATAGTTCTGGTGATTCAGATGATTTTCAAACTAGCAACCTTGGAAATTTCCGCGGTTATCGGCAGTTGGTGAAGTATGATATTTATCATGAGCGACTCCGTATGCCGGACTTCTCCGAATTGCAACTAATCGTATTCCCGCCAATCATGCGGTGAACAAGCCGAAAGCCTAGATTGTCTCCAGCGGCTGCTATCATGGATCTCTGATTCCTTTCGATAGTTCTGTTAGACGTTATATTCCTCTCTTGAAGTCCGCCAATCAAATCGAGCCTGTGCTCAGTTCCACCAATCACGATGCGCAATTTCAAGGAGATAGGGCTATGCTTATCTCTCGCCGTTATCAGCATAGCATCAGTCGTCCAGAGAACTATCCATACATCGACATATATCGACATATATATAGATATATGCATAGGGAAAAGGGAGAGCATTCGCTGAGGCATGTCTGCTGCCATTGCCTTGACATACATATGTCGCTCTTGAAGAAACTCGAGGTCCCCCACGAGGGCGGCACCATCCCTGATCCATGGATCAACAACGATATCAAGCCTGTCGAAACAGCGCGACGCAAATGGGGGTTTTGGACGTTCAATAACTACTGTACGAAGGGCCTCACAAAAATGAGTCAATTGACTAACTGACCACTTGCAAAATAGGGGTGCTCATCAATTGCAACATCTCAACCTACATGACCGGAAGCTCGTTGATTCCCTTGGGTCTATCCTGGTGGCAAGCCGTTATCGCCATTGTCGTGGGAAACGTCCTCGCCTCTGTTTTTATTGTTCTGAATTCGCTTCCGGGTGCATACTATCACTGTAAGAGCCTTCTTCCCGACTTGTTCTTGGCCCGACAGTGTTGACGATGACCATGCCATGTAGTGGGATTCCCTGTAGCAAATAGATATGTTTGGGGAATGTGGGGATCGCAATGGGTTGTTTGGAACAGAATCTTCCTGTCAATCAGTAAGTTCCATTTCGAAGTCGCTTTTCGTGCCGATGCTAACAGCGTTTTATAGTCTGGTGTTAGTTATATTGCCTGCACACCCGCCCTTCAGCAATGAAGCGCTTTCCTAACGAGACCCCCGTAACAAACAGATTCCTTCCAGGCCTGGGTCGGTGGTGAATGTGTGTACGTCTGTTTACAGGCCATCTGGCCCTCGCTTGAAGATCGAATCCCAAACCATATGCCCGCGTCAACCGGTATGACCACAGCCGAGTTCGTGGCGTATATTATATTCATGGTCATCTCGCTACCTTTCGTCTATGTGCGACCACACAATCTGCAGCAGCTGTTCTATATCTCTGCCACTATAGTGCTCGTCTTCGAGATAGTCTTGCTCATCTGGTCACTTGCCACCATGGGGAGCAGCGGGTTTGGAGCTACCATGTCATCTACAACAACCTCATCCGGCTGGATGATCGCCTACGGCATCATCAGCACTATCGGCAGCATTGCTGCTGGTATTTTGAACCAGACCGACTATGCACGTTTTGCGCGGAGACCGCGCGATGCTATTTACGGGCAGATTATTAGCGCTGCACTCTGTGCTATCGCGTCCAGCGTCATCGGCATCCTTGTCACTGCGGCCACGCAGAACCGCTACGGCGAAGCATTGTGGAATCTGCCCAATCTCCTAAGTGCTGTTATCGAAACCGGTGGTTCTCGCTCGCGTGCTGCGGCCTTTTTCGGGGGAGTGGCTCTTATAGTTTCACAGATTGGCGTTAATGTGCCTGGTAACGCTCTTTCCGGAGGTTGTGTTTTTCCCATCTTTTGATTGTATAGCACGCTTGACTAACAAATGAAAATTAGGATTCGACTTCGCAGCGATCTGGCCGAAATACATCAATATACGTCGTGGAGCCTACCTAACAGTCCTCATATCTATCGCCGCCAATCCTTGGAAGCTAGTGAACACCGCAACAACATTCATAACTGTGTTGAGCAGCTATTCCGTCTTCGTAGGACCCATGGTTGGGCTCATGATCTCTTCATACCTTATCGTCAACCAAGTCAAGATCAAGGTGCCGGACCTGTTTGTTGGAAATACAGACAGCATCTATTGGTATACTTATGGAGTCAACTGGCGAGCAGTAGCAGCGGTATGTTATTTGACCCATCAAAAACATCTGCCGTTTCTGTTACTGACATCTTCATATAGTGGATTTGTGGAGTTGTCCCTTCTCTACCTGGTTTCGTTGCGTACGTGAACCCAAACGTCTCGGTTCCAGTCGGATTGACACATCTGTACTACATTTGCTTCTTGAGCGGAATGTCCATCAGCGGTGCTGTATATGTTGCTCTGCACTATGCTGTACCCGACAAACGACTCCAAGCTTTCGTCAACTCTGCACCTCCAGCCCGGCAACTGATGGCGGAGTATCGGGAGATGTACGATGATCCGGATGAGGTGTCTAATGTGGAAGTAGCACAGGGAAAGGTGGATATCTGATCGCAGTTGGCTGTTGTTATTTTCTACATAATCTCAATTTTTTCACCATTGGTCAAGGGACATATCTGTCTCGCCAGGTATCAGATAGTCTAGCCACTGATCGAAGCTTAACATGTCCAATGCAACCTCAAAGTCGAGAGATGTAGAATCATTGACGGTCGTAAATGAGTTTTCGACTTCAATATCTGGACGTTCTATACCCGAAGGAATCGTATTGTTTGTATGTCCAAAGTCGGACTCTCGCATTGTGAGTGACTGTGCTATGTGTGTGGGAGCTACATTTGTCACTGTAGCCCTAGTAGAACAGAGGGTATCATGAGACTGTTTCAAATACTTCTTCGCAAGCTCCTCTCCACCAAAAACAGCCGCAATCTCTTTGACCAAAGAGATACGCGCCTGTGAGTCCTGTGCGTGTCCCTGCTCAAACAAGTCGAGCATCTTTCGCAGCACCTTGACTCCATCGGCCAGCATAGGTCTGAGATCTACCTGTTCTAGGTCCGATATAACCATTTGGACGTCTTGGATCATTGATTGTGAAGATAATCCCGGCAATGACCGTTCCACTAGCAGAAATGCTGCCACTGCTACAGCAGCAGTATAGACCTGGTATTCAAGCGAAGTGAATTGTTGCGACCTCAAAAACCCAGCGACATTAGCCTCGCGCATTCGTCGATAGGGGACGAGAATATCCTGCGCGGCTTTGGCGCAGACAATCCACGATTCGCCAATACGCGCATGCAGAAAGGGTCTATTAAGCCGAATGCGCTGTAGACAGATGCCAATATGCAGAATATTGTGCTGGTAAAAGATCGTGTTCATACTTGACGCGTGGCAAACGTTGATCTCGTCATTGATCTGGAAATACCATGGGAGTCGTGATACAACTTCCTGAATCTGGCGATCGATAGACCAAACATGTTCATAGGACGATGTATAGGCACCGTTGTCTTCAAAGAGTCGACGGAAGACGATATAAATCTCGATGTGCGCAATGCTAGCACTCATGTCGGTGATTTCCTCCATGGGACGTGGTGTGATGTTTGTTTCAGTGACATCAACGTCGTTACAATGCACTGGCTTTGGTACCTCGGAGGATGAAGTATGGATTAGAGGTGGCCGTCCCAGACACATGGCCTGATAACTGAGGATGAGGGCAGGTGAGCATATATAAAAAAGAAAAAGTACAACTCGTACTTACGTATCATTAATTACGAGTTCCCACCAGACACGACGTCTAAGTTCGGTATCGAGGCGGTTTTTGCCAGGCTTGTTCCTGTCCAATCCGAGAGCCTGAGCATTTCGTACTGCCTGCCCTAGAGCTCTAAGATTATTGTACTGTTAGCACCATTCATAGCATAGAGGTCACCAAAAACGAATAATCAGAGATCTGATATAGAGGGAGCAGAGGGAAGAGGAAACGACATACGAGTTCAATATTTCATGATTCTTGGTCTCCAACCAATATATCTGAGTGCACACAAACACCTGCAACTGCGTCAAAGTCGGCTTCAACTCATAATCTCCGGCATAAAGCGCCTGTCGAGAGGCTTGATGCCAGACATGGGCCCAATCACGAGCTATCGCTTTTTTCATTCCCAACATTTCCACGTATTCCTTTGAGGTCATGAGCGCAGCCACGGAGATGACTGTCAGCAACAGAGCCAACCATACGAGATCGATTTCAGCAGTGTTCAGGGACCAGAATTCCTCGTATTGGCGCTGGAAGCTTGGGATATGGATAGTGTGATATATGAGGTCGATATTCTCTACATAATACGATACGAGTCTATCGCACAGTTCGCGATGCGGTAGAAGTGAAACCAACTGCACTTTCCAGAATACTTTGGAGTCGATGGGGCGAGCCATTGGCGATGAATCGTCTCTTGCCGCTTCATTTGAGATTGACGCCGTAGGCATGGATACTCGGGGTAGCAGGACGGGCAACGCAAACCGCGAGTGGAGGAACATCATCGTATGTGCAGGATCCAGTCGAGTGTTTGATTGACTAGCTTCCACAAGCTCTGTGATCGAGTATCTTGTCGGATTGCTAAGGACTTCTAGCATGAAATCGCCTCTTAGCTTAGGCGCAGGCGAGCATCCCGGAGCAATGCTTGGAGGCAGCTGTCGTGTCGGCGTGCGCACAGAAGCAGATGGCGCAGGATTTCCTTTACATTGATTTTCTCTTTCATATCTAATGCAACTCTGGCAGGGGATCTGGCGGTCACATTTCAGCTTGTGCTTTCTGCAGGGATAGCAGCTCAGTGTGCGCCGGTTAGCGGGTTTTCTTTTCCTGGAGGTTAGAATCTGTGAAGCAGCACTTCGATTAGGCACAGTCATCTCAGTAATAATTGCGACTTTAAAAGAGAGCTTCTTATGAGAAGACACTGTTGGAGATGCGTGACTCTTGCTTCTTGGTGGATGTTGAGTGTCAATGAGTATAGAGTTTCAGCTGATGCATGTACCGAGGAATTATATCCGGGCAGTAGGAAGCGTCCTTATTGAAGACATAAGTAGCGATTGACAGGTGACTAGTATAAAGTGTAAAGGATGAGGGTATTGAGTATATATCTTTGCTACCTAGGTAAGCGCGGATAAATAATGGCCCGACTATGTACGCCCGCTTCTTTCTTTCCTCTTCCTCTTCCTCTTACTCCCACTGTTTAACCCTCCACTGTTTGTCAGATCTGGTCAGCATATAATGAGCATCGCCAAAAGCCCCATTATGACCCTGGATCACTGTCTGATCTGGAGGACGTGGAAAGCCTCTGCTAATTCTCTGTATTACGATATGCACAGCAAAGGACTGCCCATATTGAATTGCCAAATATCTCTAGAGCATCATACGCCAAAAAGCTCCTGAATTCTTCAAACCAATATGTCTGGAATATCACGTGATAATTTCCAGACTGCTTTGGAGGCTGCAGTTCATTAAAGAGAAATCATCTATCATGGCTTCTACTCATTACTCTTGAGATGGGAGGATGACATGACCAATGCAAAACGCGATGCTACAAACTTCAGAGATCTAGTTCGCTACCTTAGATTTTCAGGACCACAGGAACACAGGAAGATATTATTCCTGATAATGAACGAACACCGGCGTTCGAAGTCCGAATGCGTCTTGATCGTATCTTACATGAAGCGAAACAACAAGAGGGTTGGTCCATTGTTATAATACATTATGCTGATCATGGACGTGAGAACGCTAACAGCGAACTTGACTTACATAATGAAGGAAGAAAAAGGCAATTAACGCAGGTCGCTTTATCAGCGACTATGCTGATGAAAGTCTTATGTCATTCAATACACTCCAGATTTCATCACCAAAAAAGAAACCTACCTTCTCTGTGAAACTTGGCCTTGGATCTTCTACTATTCCTCTCATTAAACTACCAAGCTCTTTAGCCTCCACAGGCCGTTCCTCCGATGAAATACCTGGAATGCGCGCCACCTTTTTAGTTCATGTTTCTCATGACTTCAGTGACGATGAGCTAAAGGACCTTGTTAAGTGGCTGTATATAGCACCGAAGTCTGGCAAGTCTTCTTTAAGATTTGAAAGTGTTAAAGCCACAGAATCCAGGCTTTTTATATTTGAAGGCAGCCGTCTAATGTTTTACCGCATCATGGGTCTTCCAGAGGTTAGTCTCATATGTGGGAACAAACCTGTAGTATTTCTTGTTCTCGGAAACCATGAATTCTACAACGGGATATTTGCATGGGGAATTGGAAAGGCCAGACAACTCGAACAGGAACCTTTGTTTAATGGACGGCTTATCGTCCTTCACCGCAGACGGTATGATGTTCAAGACTTTGGTGTCACTATTCTAGGCTGCGACTCTGTGGTCCAAGATTCCCTATGGATCGAGGGATATCGTACAGTCGAGGATTAAAGACTTCGAGAAGATCCAGGGCTGGACGATCGAGGATCACAATACATCCCATGATTCGGATCTCGCCTGGCTACGGAATGACATACAGTCGATTCAACAGGAGAATGAAAGAACAGTGGGTATAAAAAAGAGGGAGAAGAAGAAACAGTTTATACTAGTAGTGAACCATCATGCGCCTTGTCTTCAGAAGACGTCTAGTCCGCAGCACACTCGGAACCCTTGGAATTCGGCCTTTGGATCGAATGTCCTTTCGCAATTGTCCGCTTGGAATGAAATCAAGGTCTGGGTGTTTGGACATACCCATTACACGACGGATTTCAGAGAGGGAAAGGTGCGGGTGGTGAGCAATCAGCGGGGATATGTGCTTCCTTGGAGTGATGCAAAGAACGCAAGAGATAAATTTGATGTTAGGAAAGCTGTCCATACCTGATTCGAGTATTCGCATATATATCCCCTCTAATAGGTGGGGTAAGGAAAGGAACCTCTTCGAAATGCGTTTTGTTATCCATGGATCTATGCGGTGGAATGGGTAGTGTCGACTTTCAACCACCTAGGTATTGAGTAGTTAGGCTCCTTCATTTATACGTCTCTAGAGACAGATTTGATCTACTGATCGTAGCCTAGAAGATAGAAAACTCTGGTCCAGTACAGCTTTGATCACAAGGTGAGCTAGAGCTAGTTAAACTATGAAATACATAAGTCAACAGGATCAATGTTGATAAACAACTCCAAAACATTGCCGTGTCTGCCAATTGATACATCATTTATAAAAAGCCAAACGACCGGTCATTCAAAGAGGGGGGTAAGAGAGGAAAGCAACTAAAGGCCAAAAAAGAAGAAATGTACATGTATACACAAGAAGGTAGAAAGGTTGCGGTTTTCGGTCAGAAGTGGTAAAAAAAAAAAAGGAATATAAAATAACGACAAGAGTAGAACAAGAAAAGAGATGCCCGTCTCATCAAGATTAAAAACGACTCCCTTTGCAAATGCTCGCTCATAGATCAAAAGATCAAAGTCGGTTTTGCAAGAATGCAAGCAAAAGAGTATAAAAAAACAGCAAAATATTACGTCATCAGGTCATCTCGAGAATACTTTGACAACACCATCGCCGCCACCACTGATAACCCACCGGCCATCTCTGCTCCAGACGACTGAGCATACGCCTTCGCCACGCATCAGTCGATGGCTTGTTATTTCTTGGGTACAACTGCGCTTTTCTAACGACCAAAAACGTAGGCTTGCATCGTGTCCTGCGGAAACAAGTTCTCGACCGTCTGGTGACAGAGACAGAGATGATATAGCGGAAGGATGAGCAAGCATGGTGTATGTGCATTGTCCTGAGGATTAATTTATATTAGATGAAGGGCCAATGTACGGAGTCTTTTGAGTCACTTACCGCTGTTTGCATCGAAAAATCGTATATATCGGTCCTCATAACCACTTATTATAACGCCCTCTACTCCGCCACTTGTCCCTGTAGCGCCGTGTACGACAGCCTCTTCCTCGGTCAATGCGCGATTTGGATCCAGACTCGCTGTTCCATCAAATCCAATGGTCGACGTCACTACGGAATTAACTCCTGTCGAAGGAGTTCCATCATATGTTTCCAAGCTGGCCATGCCGACAACTTCCTCGCCCGTCCGAGTGTCATAGATGAGAATTGAAGCATCCGCATAGGAAACCACAAAGTTTACTCCAGCAAGAGACAAGGGGCTAATGCAGGTCGGGGAAGGCGATTCTGTTCGGACAATATGATGGACGATTGTATAGTGAAATACTGTACTCGTAGTCGTGTGAGGCTGTGGAGAGGACGGGAAGTTGGACCCGGACGAAATGGAGTTGGCTCGTCGGCCACCTGCACCTCGTCGACCTCCTGGTTGAGGTGAAGTGACTTGTGGCGGTGCACTCACTGCCCAAATAATAATGCGGCCATCAGCGCCGCCAGACGCCAGCAGAATGCGATCGGAACCACCGTAATTGCTGCTGAGATCACCGAACACGGACCCTGAGGTTCCAGGCAATATGCAAAGTCCCCAGACGGTATCCGTGTGTCCATCAAGGGTGGCTTTAGGATCAACTCGGCCACGCTCCCAGACACGAATGCTGGCGTCTTGTCCACCAGAAAAGACCCATCCATCGCCCAATGCTCGACCGCCATTAGAGAAAGTGGGGGAGGCAGGGCACGCGGCGAGAGAGGTAACAGCGCCAACGTGTCCTCGATGTGTGAAATAGCTCGTAATGTCCAAGTCATTGCCTGCACCGGGCCCAAAGCTACCGTAAGAGGCAGGTAATATCCAGCGTTTAATCGTTCCGTCGTCACTGCCAGTGCATATCTCAGGTTCGGATGGACTACCGCCACCAGTAAAAATAACCGATCGCACAACGTCGAGATGACCACGAAGAGCAAACCGCACTTTGAATGTTGAGTCAACATTTTGTTGTAAAAAACCCGCCTCTCGACTGTCTATAGCGCCTTCACTCTTTCGTCTCGTTGCTCCTGAGCTCTTGCGGCGATGAGAACCACGTGGAGGCGACTTGGTGGGCACGAAATTAGCTTTGGGAAATGCATCGGTGTCTGGCCGATGATGCGGCACCGCTTCAGCGTGTACATCAGGAGTTGCAGCAGGCTCTTCGAAGTTCCAACCACCGGTCTCTGCAGGAGTATCCTGGGCTTGTTGCTGCCGGGCACTTTCGCCCGAATTGCTTGCCATTGCCAAACGCGATAGGCTGGACTCGTCTGCGCGATCCTTGTTGTTCATTATATCCTCTGACGCGAAGTCGCGAGTATCAATTGCATTTGATGAAGGTTGGGACATGAAGTTTCGGCGGTCTGCTTGTTCAGTTGGAATATTTGTTCGGTTGTTCTCCGCATAGCCTGCCGGTATAGACTGGTGATTTTGCATTGCAACTTCCCGAACCATCATATTGTTTTGTTGTTGTTGTTGTTGTTGCTGCTGCTGCTGCTGTTGCTTTTGCCTCTGCTGATGATATGCCTCCTCGAGACTTTGCTGTGGGAGCTGCTGGTCTCCGTACAAATTGCCTTGCAAATCCTGGCCAGTGAGCTCTAGAGGCGGGTGCGAAACGGGTATAACGTGATAGGAGACCTCTTGTGCACATTTGCTCAAGTATACACGAGACTTTTCGCGTTCTGCATCCTGCCGGAAGTCGGGGTGGATGGGATCATTATCCAGCTCAGTGTCTAGGAAGGCATTCGGGGCTTTTTTAGCTATCAACACAAACACACATCAGCACCCAGTCAGAAAAAGTTCGGTGGAGGTTAGAAGAGAGAGAGAGAGAGAGCAAAGACTGACAGTTAGCAAGACTTTTAAGGCTTTCCTTTGCGATCTCTTTGGGGTCGCGAATTTCATCTACTTTCTCCCCATTGCGTAGGCTGCGAACTACCTCGCGCTCCTTTTTCAACGCCAGCTCCAGCATTTTAACATGCTTTCCGAGGGACTCATGTAGTCGCTTGCTGGTCCGTATATCACCCTCGAGTCGACCAATGCGAGACTTCATCTCTGCACGTTCAATTTCCCATGCGTTACGATCTCGCTCATGGCGGTGCCATTCAGTCTGAAGAAAGCGCATCACTCCTGTAAAGAGAAAAGCATGTCAGAAAAAATCGACGTTTCCGTGGGAGACCTGATTTCAGTGTTCCTCTCATACCTTGCAAAGTGTACTCGGTGCCTTGTGGGTGAGGATGATTCGCAATCGCCTCCCCCGGCGCACCGCCGAGTCCTCCATTCCCAGCCATGGCAGATGGAGACTGCCAGGCCATGAAGGCAAGTCAATCGAGAGTGTATATCGGAAGCAGGCAGAACGCTGTGGGACACGGAACAGCACAGACGTGAAGAGGCGTGGTACTCGGCGCGCGGAGGCGTAGGTCGGGAGAGTCTGGGGGGTTTATTATTAACTCAAGCCAGCCCTTTTGCCGCTGGGCGTAATGTGCATCAGCAACGCAGCAGGCAAGCGAGCGCAGTCACAGAGACCGGAATGGCGAGTATCCCGAAAAGGAAGAGCGCAACACAGGCTGTCGAGAGCCAAAGCACCGCGACGAAGGGGTTGATTGATGGGGGTTGGGTTGACTTTTCCGGTCCGACTTGGACGGGGAAGCTGTCCTCCCGTGCTTCGCGGCGCTTGCCGTCTTAGCTTAGCGGCGGCTGCTTGCCCGGAGCAGCTTAGCCGCTGTTAGCGTGCCGCTCGGAGCTTCTTCTAGTATCTACACAATTAAGACACTGACTGATACAGACAAAGGCTTTGTGCAGGTCTTGCGCCGACTGGCAGGTTCCCGTCAGGCATTTTCGTCGGGGGAATTACATGCGTGGATTTAGTTTAACCGGTGCGGCTATAAGAGGGCATCATGCAATCATTATTTACTACGCAATATGAGTTACCAGGGACGCACAGCTCCAGTGGCGAGAGACGAGTATTCGGCCGCTCGGTACCTGAGGGAGTCTTCGTAGGGCGAAATATCCCGGCGTCGAAAGCGAGTGTATCGAGAGTAATGAGACTGATCATCGCCTTCTTCCAATTCGCGTTGCACGAGGGCCGGGTCCTCCTCTCGGTCCTTGCCGTACAAAACTTCGCACACCCCGCCCACTGGTATATCCATAACTGCATCTGTACTCTCCGCCCAGACCTCTTTCCACAGGATGCCTCCCCCGCCACCATTGCTGCTGGATGATGCGTGCATCCTTCGGTTTTGCGCCGCGGGCATGGCCTGGCTAGTTGCTGAGCCGGGCTTCATTTTCTCGCTGCCACCAGGCCGGCGTCGCCCTTTGCCATCAATGACGGCTATGTTGGCAGCCTCGTCAACAATGTTTTCAATAGATGTCATCGGGAGCGTCAGATATCCGGTGTTGTAGCATGCCAGAGCAACGTATATATAGACCAGCGTCATCACAAGCCATGCGGGTATGGCAAGAGACCACCATCGATTCGGATAATAGTAGATGCCGAGCTGATGCAAGAACGGAGAGGGAAGATACGACCATAGAAGATACATTACTAAGTGCGATTAGTTTTAAGAGCATAGGATGGAACGTGCCTTCGGACTTACAAAACGCGAGGGAAGATGTAAGGTAAAGCACAAACCCATAATATTCGTAGGTCGGCACTTTCGGACTCGCCCTGGGCACTGTTGTTGCGATTCTCGCGGATTTTGCGACTGTTGCCTCGGTGTCGTTGGGTGTCTCAGCATCAGAGGTATCGGGTGTCGTGGGCCTCGACGTCGTTGTTGAGAAAGGTGGCCGCAGTAACGAGGTCAAAGACGGAGATGGTGGTAGTGGAGTGGGCGGTCGATTGTAGAACGGCGGTGCAAATGCATTCGGTCCTGATAAGGACGATGAGGATTGCATAAAACGTCGATGCATATTAACGCCATTGTTGCCATCCTCATCAGCATGGTCTTCGTCGCTGCTCTCATCGTCTTCGTCATTGAATTCTTCCCCGGTTGAGTCGAGAGCCTCGCCTTCTACATCCCCCAGAGGCTCATTTTCCAGGTAGTACTGTGACTGAAACTCGGCATCCGAGCCTTCTTGGACCTCAATGCTAGGCGATAAAACCGGTCGCGCGGTAGCGTCTTTCGCGTCTGTTGATGATTCCGGTTCTGGCTCGGTTTTCGGCGACACTGCGTCTGATGAAGAGCTTGTGCGTATCGTAGAGTGTGCTGTACCGGCGCGGCTGCGCAGTGGCGCGGACTTCATGTGTAGCACGTCGTCGTCTTCATCGTTGACGGTTGGTGTTTCGAGAGCATCATTCTCGTCCTCTTCCAACAGGGGGAAGGGGCTGATGCTGTCGATTCCAGAAGATACGGGCGACAGACCATTGCTACTACGGGACATTTCTTCGTGAAAACGGCGATGCTAGCATGATTCAAGATGTGTGGAGAGGCGCATACCCCTGAGGCTGAAGCAGTAGACCAGAGATGGGAAGGAGGAAGCTCACCGCCCGCTTCATACGTCATTGCATTTTCGACCTGACAACCTCGCTTACTCGACGAGATATCATGCTGTTAGTGTATCCGAAGTACTCGCCCATGCATTTGACATGTGCTACGGACTAATGTAACAACTTTCGTCGCTCTTCCGATGCCTTCTCGGTTCTGGCGGTAAAGTCGGCTACGTCTGGGGGTTAACAGAGCGCGCATCGCCGGGACGCATCGCAGGGAGGACTCAACGCTGAATACAGTTCTACTCGACCTCAAAAATGTCTCAAACATTACATATTGCGAAGAACCTCGCATCGCGGTACCCATGGGTTGCAAAGCCTTTCCTTGTCAGCGCTCCGATGCGTGTCATGTCCGGCCCAGCATTGGCAGTTGCAGTCTCTGGCGCCGGCGGCCTGGGATTTATTGGACCAGGCCTGAAAACCCAGGATACCCTGGCAGATTTGCAGGAAGCGTCGTCTTTAATCAGTAAATCAAACCTGTTGTCGACTGCCTTTTCAACAATTTCCGACTCCGCCGATCGGCCGCTGCCTATTGGCATTGGCTTTCAGCTATGGAATGACGATGTCGAGGTCGCCGCTAAGGCTGTGAAGGAGTTTAAACCTTGCGCTGCCTGGCTTTTTGCTCCTAGAGACGGCCAGAAAGACCTGGATAGCTGGTCGCTTGAGATCCGCACGGCGTCGCCTCAGACGCAAATATGGATTCAGATAGGGACATTAGCCGAGGCACGAGAACTTATCCGCAGCTCTGAGCTGCCAGATGTAATTGTGGTCCAGGGTGCAGAAGCCGGCGGCCATGGACGTGCCAGGGATAGTCTGGGGCTTATGTCTCTGTTACCAGAAGTGGCTGATGCGATTGAAGGAACTCAGATTCCGTTGTTTGCTGCTGGAGGAATTGCTGACGGAAGGGGCGTTGCCGCGGCTCTTTCTCTGGGTGCCTCTGGAGCTGTGATGGGGACTCGTTTCCTTGCTGCCAGCGAAGCACGCATCAGCCGTGGATATCAGCGTGAGGTTGTACGAGCCGATGACGCCGCTGTCAGTACGGTGCGTACGCTGCTTTACAACCATCTTCGAGGCACGTTCGGGTGGCCTGAGGAATACAGTCCTCGCACTATAATCAACAAGTCGTATCTTGAGCAACAGGAAGGGGTATCATTTGAGGAGCTTAAGAAGCGCCATGATGAGTCACAAAAGGCCGGTGATCATGGCTGGGGCCCAGAGGGAAGACTTGCAACATACGCCGGAACGTCCATCGGACTTATCCACGAAGTTAAAGATGCAGCTACAATTGTTCGCGATGTCCGGGAAGGTACTGCAAAACGGATTGCTGCGCTCGGCGATTAGACACTGTATTTCTGACTGCGACGAAAAGATTGCCGAGGTAGATACTGTCTGAAACCATGTGTCTAAGTAAATTGTAAAATGCATTGTCTAAATACGGGGTATCTAATAAATATGCCAACCTATACTTACCTAGGTACTGACAGCGTCGCCGTCAAAAGTTTACAAAGCTAAAAGTCATCACAGCTCCAACTCCTCAACCTCCATTCCACAGTCCACACAAGTCTTCACACTCATTCCTGTTTCGGGATTTTCTACCAACCGACCCCATTGATGCACATGCTTCTTCTTACCGCCGAGATCGTCCCCGAAATTCCCGCCAGCTGGGCCCTGGCGATTGCGACGATAAGCTTCGACTCGAGTGCGTTTCTTGAGGTCGGTTAGTTTCTGTTTGAATTTGTCTTCTCTTCGGCGCTTCTTCTCGGCTTCTCTGCGCTCAAACTCTGCATCGAGGGCCTCGGGGGAGCCCCATTTCTGCGATGAGAAGGCGTACTCTTCTACTTGGTAGCGCAAGTAGAGCATCATATCATTCCACGATGATTTGTGAGGGTTGGGCTTTTTTAGGTGTGGCAGGAGCTCTTCGTCTCGAAGTTCGGCTGTTGTGATTCAGTCAGTATTTTATACATGGGAAATGTTCATTCCTCGTGCAAATGCATGGGGGAAATAGAAAAACTCACGATCCGTCAAAAGGTAGTCCTCCTTCGCTTCAGTCTTCGTCAACATACTATACTTCTCCGGGTACTTGTCCTTGCAACCACTGCACACGCAACACTTGAATGCCTCTTCCCATTTCCAGTCAATCTCTAGACTACCACACTCCCTGCACGCCTTCTGACTAGCCTGTTCGTCGAGCACACTCAGTCCCGGCTCAAAGGGGCCCGCCTTGTTTCTTCTCAGGTTTTCTAAAAGCTGTTTGCGCTCCCACTCTTTCTGCGTCATATGCGCTGGCTTCTGTTCCTTTCCGTCGCTCACATGCAATGCTTTATTATGCGGGTCGTCCTCTTGCGTCAAAAACCCACCCTTGGTATCCGTCATCTTACTGAACTCGTACTCGACATATTTGGAAAATGCGCGCGCAGGCTTTATGCTCTCTAGTGGCCGGTTATTCGCCGCGTCGCGGAGCGTGGAGGGTCCTTGGGTTGCTGTCATGGTATTGTACGATCGCTTTACTCCAGACACTTTGGAAGTCTGGTGAGATGCTGCTTCGGCTTCTCGTTGCTCGCGTATGGCTTTTGCTTTCATGCGGTTGATCTCCTAGTAGTCAAAAGGTATGTCAGCTAGAACAGCCCCAGAGTTGATATTAATGGACATATGCTGGAATCCTACTATTCGACGCTGTTGCTCTGGAGTGATAGGGCCCCGGGGGAGCTGGCTCGTTTGTGCCCCGGAAGCAGGCGGAGCTGAGGGTCGCTCCATAATGTATAAGTGGTGTGTTAAAACCAGGGCAAGTATAATGAATATCGGTGGTAGAGAAAAGAACAAGTTCTTGAAGTTGGAATCCGCCACATGCTGATGCCTGCAGTATGGCTGTATGACCCACCATAAAGAAGGCCGTCGAAGCTGGTCTCCGATTGGTCAAAATCCTACATATCATCATTCCATTTCATGAATTTGATGAATTGGCAAAAGAATGCCATTGCATTATTGAGTCATCTAATACCTACAATAGTTAATTGCCATCATCTATCAGCTAGACTGCGCAGCGTCAGCCTCCCATGCCCTCTTGAAAACCCCCGTTAATCTCAAGGCCTCCACAGTGTCCTTTGTCCTTAACTCCAAAAACCCTTCTAAATCCTTCCAGAAGCCCTCTGTTTGCAAAACTTCGGATCCGCTTGGACCCTGTGCTGGCTTGGAATGGAACGGCTGAGTCTCAGTTACCGCAGCGCCTGCACCGACGGGGGATTCTGTAACTTCCGGCTTGATTGTTGCGCCTCCCAGAATCATAATTCCAAATTCGACCGTTTTCCCCCCGCCGAGGACTTCGGGCTCTGAATCAGATAGAATCTCTGCCATCGTTCTTTCCGTGCTTCCACCAACTGGTTTCTTTTTATACAGGATCTTGATTTTGTCGGCGGCTGGCGGCTCCTTCCCGTCGCCTGCAACGACTCGCTGGCGCACGGCTTCGCGCAAGTCATGGATGGTTGTGGTTGTAAGTGGGACATTGTCCAGTGATAAGTCGAGAACGGGGTTTCGCGCCGACTTTAGTTGAACTTTTACGGATTTCGCAGAGCCGGGGGCTACCGTGGTTTTGATCTTCTTTGCCATTGGTGGATGCGGCGCTTGCAGGCGGGGGAGTGTATACTACGGCAAGAAAGTATTAGCATCTATTCAAAAGTGAGGGACTAGAAGGAGAGATCCGAGGAGCGTCAGACTTACTGGCACTGGTAGCCGCATCGTCTCGGGATCGGCGACATAATCGTATGGTATCTTCAGAGGCTTCGAGTCCACCGCTTGCAGGAAGCTCCTCGTAAACGAAAGTTCCGTCATGATGCTTGACCAGGTATCAATGCCAGCTTGCTAGAAAGACCTGAGAGGAATTATGTATAGACGTGACAATCCAACAACAGATGATGCGGCGGGGACGCATCAAAACAGCCCGAAGCTCTGGCCTTCTCACCGCCCATGCCCGTGGGGCCCATTCTGCCAGATCACACCGCTTCAGCAATTATCAGAAAAGAAAAAAAAAATGTTTGTCCGCCAATCGCTCCGGCACTGCGAAATACATCGCCCACCAATTGTCATTTTTAACCTGGTAAAATGGGCGTCGGTCGTCGAATGAAGAAGCAGGGTCCTCCTGCCCCACTGGATGAGGCTACAATTTCTATGATCAAAAAGCGAAAGGCTGCTGAGGCTGAAGCCAAAGCAGCAGGCGGAAAAAAGCGACGGAAGGCCGTGGTCGAGACAGAGCCTGAGTCGGAGCCTGAGACGAAGAAAGTAAAGAAAACAAAGACGAAAACCAATGGTGCTACCACAGTCACGAATGGAAATGGACAGAAAACGCCTGTTTCTGCGGCGCCGAAGAAGACTGAGAAAGGCAAGAAGAAGTCGGCAAAGAAACCTGTTGAGCCAGAGCCTGAGTCCGAAGAGGAGGAGGATGACATTTCGGAAAGTGGAAGCTCCCCCGATCTCGACCAATTAATGCAAGACGAGTTCGATGAATTGGACGGCGTGAGCGATGCATCTGGCGATAGTGGATTGGACGAAGAGGACGCAAAATTCGACGAAGGATCGGTATTTGATTCGGAAGAGGAAGACCACCCACGAGAGAAGATGTTTTCGGACGACGAAGATGAATCAGATGCTGAAGAAAAGCTCACAGCTGCCAACATTGCGGGTCTCTCACGGAAACTTGACGAACAGCGGCAATTGGAGGAAGAGGAGGCCAGGCAGGAAATGCAAGACTCGGCCATGCAGACCAATATCGCCGGTGACCGACCCGATATTTTTGGTGACGCTGAAGCGGCTGCAAAGGCCGGCGTCGCTCCTAACATGCAATTGCTACGTACTCGGATTACTGATACCCTGCGAGTCTTGGGCGATCTAGCAACTCTTGGTCAGCCTGGAAAGTCTCGCGCGGATTACATGCAACTTCTACTTGACGACATTTGCACCTACTATGGATATACTCCATACTTGGCTGAAAAGCTAATGTCTCTATTCACTCCTATGGAGGCGTTTGCGTTCTTCGAGGCTAACGAAACGCCCCGTCCGGTTGTCATCCGTACAAACACTTTGCGCACGAATCGCCGCACGCTTGCGCAGACATTGATTAACCGAGGGGTGGTCCTGCAGCCAGTCGGCAAATGGTCCAAGGTCGGTTTGCAAGTGTTTGAATCCGCGGTCCCTCTGGGTGCTACCCCAGAGTATCTTGCCGGTCACTATATTCTGCAAGCTGCCTCATCTTTCCTCCCCGTCATGGCTCTTGCCCCTCAAGAAAACGAGCGCGTGCTAGATATGGCCTCGGCTCCCGGTGGTAAAACGACATACATCTCTGCTTTGATGCGTAACACCGGTATCGTGTTGGCCAACGATGCCAGCAAGCCTCGTACTAAAGGTCTGATTGGTAACATTCACCGTCTGGGCTGCAAGAATACCGTCGTCTGCAACTATGATGCTCGTGAGGCTTTCCCCAAGATTCTCGGTGGGTTTGACAGAGTTCTGCTTGATGCACCCTGCACTGGAACGGGAGTCATATCCAAGGATCCCAGTGTCAAGACAAACAAGACAGAGCGCGATTTCCTGGCCATACCGCACATGCAAAGACAGCTCTTGCTTGCAGCTATTGACTCTACAGACCACCATTCCAAGACAGGTGGCTACGTGGTGTATTCGACATGTAGTGTCACGGTAGAAGAAAACGAGCAAGTGGTGCAATACGTCCTCCGCAAGCGTCCGAATGTTAAGATCGTTGACACTGGTCTGGGCAGCTTCGGTTCTGAAGGCTTCACAAGCTACATGGGCAAGAAGTTTGATGAGAAGATGTCACTCACACGACGCTATTTCCCGCACAGGGAGAACGTTGACGGTTTCTTTGTTTGCAAATTGAAAAAGACCGGTCCAAGCCCTGGCGCCAGCAAGACTGCTAGCGGCGCTGCTACTACTACAACAAATGGCGCGAAATCTGATAAATCAGCGTCGGGCGCTGAAGATACTGATGGCGAGATTGTCGATAAAACACCTATCACGGATGACGATGGCGTCGCTATTGGTGAAGAAGCCTTTGGTCCTTTCAACGACGACGAAGACGCCGAGCTCATTGCTCGCGGTGAACGCAATCGGTTGAGAAGGAAGGGTATCAACCCCAAGGCAGTGATAGAAAAGAAGGGGAAGAAGCAAGATTCAGTCTCCGCATTCGATAACGAGCCTTCTTCTTCAGAGGGGGAGAAGAAGAAATCCAACCCTGAGAAGAAGGAAAAGAAGAAGTCTGAATCTGATACCAGTTCAAAGACACAGACACCGGCAGCAGCAGATGTTTCTTCTTCGCCTTCTTCTTCAAAGTCCAAGAAGAACAAGAAGGGGAAGAAATAGAGTCTTTATAGAAATATTTGAAAAAAGTTTTCATTCCTAGTTTTTTTATTTCCTATGTTATTCGCTCTTTCTCTTTTGAAGCTGTATGTATGTATGTATGGGCATTGGGTTGGGCGTTTTTATTTTTCGTTGAACTGAAATCTCTTTCTGTACATCGATTTCACTCAATTATTACCTAGATATTTTTGAGTCAAATACAAAATTCCTTGCATGCAAGTTCAAGGCACTAGCAGACTACCTAGTTAGGGGAGATATGATTTTTAAAAAGAAAAATATTGACAATAATCCGGCTGTTTCTTGAATCCGTACCATGGAATGTCGGCCGGCGGTCCTCCTGGACTGAGCTACCTACTTCCCAAAAACGGTAAAAATACAGACAGCGACTATGAACAGAATCTAGAAACGAGAGTAAGAAGGTTCTAGCAACGAGGTGCAGACCAAAAGAAGTACATATAAATGCAGTGACCGGTTGCGAGGGTGGAAGTTTACGGCCTTCCTCCGTGACAAGCCTGATTGTTCTGTTCTTCAATGTTGGCAAGACGAACCACCGCGCCTCAGTGTTGTACAAGGGAAACTGTGACAAGGTGCCCTGTTTGAGCATTGGGTTCTGAGGTTCCATCTGCTGATCAATATTTGCTGGCTGCCAGCAATTCTGGAATGGTATGTATGCCGGCGTTGTCTACAGGTAGAGGATGTATCTAACGGCTGAGATACCTAGGTAGCAATACTTAGCTGCACCGCCAGTCAGAGTAAAGACCAACCATACAATGGTGACCGGTGGCTCGATATTGGTGCCCCCAGCGTCCGCAACAGGAAGCTTTGGGTCGTGAGCATCTATGAGTATTTGTGAAATGTATTTTAAAGCAAATACTAGCGAATATGTCTTAAAAAGGAGACTACCATATAATCCCACTGCTATTATCAAACGGGGGGGAAAGGAAGTGTAAGGAAGCTTTGATATTTACACTCATGACCAAAAAAAGGAATATAATAAAAAGGTGGATCTATTTACAACATAGCTTTCGGAAAGCCCTTCACAGCCTGTCTGACCCCCAAATCGGCCAGAATCTCCTCCGTCCCACCAAGGATAGAATCAAATTTGTACGACCTGTTGAAGTTCTCAATGGTCCTACCCATACCGGACTGGGTCAGACCACGACCGCCAAAGATGTTAGTTGCAGCGCTGGCGATGTCGCCGGCACATTGGGTTGAGTGGGATTTAAGCAGGGCGATTGGGCCGGCGAGGTGTTTGGCTTGTTGGGCGTAGTTCATTTGGCACATGTTGTGCGTGAGAGATTCTAGCCAGGCTTGGTTTGCTTCTACTTGGGAGATCATTTTGGCGAGTCTGGGAAATACGTTAGCATGCTGTCACTCAACGTGAGGGGGGAAAAAAAAGAAAAAGAAAACATAAATTCAAGGCGAATGGTGAGCATACTTCTGACGAATCGCTGGTTGCTCGATCAATGGCTTTTTAAAGACGATGCGCTGGTTGCACCATTTCAGACACTCTTCGACAATCACACGACACATACGAATCACCGCAGCTGCCATCATGTACCGCTCGTGGTTGAAGTTGCTCATAATGACCACAAAGCCCTTGTCTTCCTCGCCCAGCAGGTTGTCAACAGGCACTTTCACGTTGTCGAACTGCACAAAGGCTGTGCCTGCGGCTGTGGAGTACGATGTCTTGATGATGGTGGTATCGACCCCTTCGCCGCGCGGAATCAAGAGCACGGAGAATCCTTTCTTGGTGCGGCATCCAGTCACAAAATAGTCTGAGAACATGCCGTTTGTAATCCACTTCTTGGTTCCGTTGACAATGTAGTATTTGCCATCGGGAGTCTTCTCAGCTGTGGTGCGAAGCCCGGCAACGTCGGAGCCTGCAAATGCCTCTGTGATGGCGAGGCACATTTTCTTCTTGCCGGAGAGCACTTCTTCTAAAAGCTGATCTTTGAGGGGTTTATTTCTCAGCCATTGCTTCACGGCCGTCAAGCTGATAGCCATGCCTGCCATGTTGCCATCTTGGTAGCCTGGGACATTCCATTAGCCTATATCTATCTGCTTGGAACAGAAAGTTAAAGAGAGAAAAAAAAAAAAGATACCTCGTGCACTTGATCGAACCATCTCCTGGGCCACAATCATATCATGAAAGGCATCGAATTCTTTGCCATCCACGACACCACCCAGCAATTTGCGGTTGTGCAGATGCTCTCCCGGCCCCAGTCGCATAGCAAGAACATTGGCTTCCGCCATGCGATCAATCAGCTCTTGGCTAATATACGTGCCATCCTTCTCCTTCTGCTGGGCTTCCGGAGTCACGTATTTGTCGGTAAACTCGCGGATTGCCTTTTGCAGACGACGATGACTATCCTTGAAGTAAGGGCTACTGAACTCCGGCCGCAGCCAGAGAGGCTCTGCATAGGGCACGGCACTCAGTTCGCCGGGTGTCTGTTCGATGACCTCGGGCGTTTCGCCTTCTATTGTCCCTATGCATAGGTCTTGGTATCTGGTTAGGACTTCCTGGCGGTGGAGCTGGTAGAAGTCGGTCGTGGCGTCCTTGCCGGCGACTTGGGTGAGAACCACATTGCCGCCGGGGTGCGCATCGAGAAAGTCTGTGAGGTCGTAGACTTTGTGGTCGATGATCACCCAGCAGTCTTCGGCCGTGTTGTGTTTGGCGACTTCGGCTCGGGTCACGGCGGCGTGCGGCATGGTTTATATACACTCTCTGAATTTGGGTAATTCGAAGGAAATGAAAACTAGAATGACAGATATGTATAGCAAGAGCTAAATACAGAGAATGTCCCAGCGACGAGAGGAGAAAGATGAATGAATGGCTGTCGCCGAGCCGGGCATAAGCCGAGGCATTCGGTTCAGTAATCGCAGCTCTCCCATTGGCCAGTGCAGCTGGCCTTAGTTAGTTCTGCAGGGATGTTTATGCGTCTGCTATGGAGGACTGAGAGGCATAAAGCGTGAATAACTGGATATTGACCTGTTCATTTGTTCTGCTTTAGGGCAAGACAAGCTTCCTTACTAAGTCGAGGACTCCGCTTGACGTCGGCCGCTAAGAAATATACATACATAACCTTCCGAGCGCAGTGAGCATCAATTTCCCTTTTCACGCATGGGAATATATATATACATATATATTATATATCCTTGAAAAAATATAAAATTACTACACAGACCTATGCATCGTATTTCCTTTTGTGGTTGAGTTTCAATTGCTAAATTATTGACGGCAAGACCTTCCCACTACATTCTACTTTCTCCCCGCCGCGGGGCTGGCTTTCTTTTTTTTTTTTTCTTTCTTCATCACCTGAATTCTAACCTCTCAGCCACTATTTCGAACCACCTGAGCAGAGACACTAACAAAACAAAATGGCAGCTACACAACCTTCGCACACGCCTACAACCACGTCCAACAATGCCATTGACCAGCCGCCGTCCTCTGCAACGGCTGCCGTTCTCGTGGCCTCCACGCCCGTACCAGACGATGTGCGAAAAGTGCGCGGCGTCGATTTCAACAGTTATCAGGACCGCGATATCACCGTGCCGGAACTCGTGGCGAACATGTCGACCATGGGATTCCAGGCCAGCGCTATTGCCGACGCGGTGCGCATCATTAACGACATGCGCGCCTTTCGCGACCCGGAGACGGGCGAGCGCACGACCATTTTCCTGGGGTACACGAGTAATTTGATATCGTCGGGTTTGCGGGAGACACTACGATTTTTGGTCCAGCACAAACACATCTCGGCGATTGTCTCGACGGCAGGCGGCGTGGAGGAGGATTTGATCAAGTGTCTTGGGCCGACGTATATGGGGGCTTTTAGTACACCAGGCGCCGGACTCCGGGCACAAGGGTTGAATCGAATTGGGAATTTGATTGTTCCGAATAGCAACTACTGCGCTTTCGAGGACTGGGTGATCCCCATCTTGGACAGGATGGTCGAGGAGCAGGAAGCATCCAAGGCTTCGGCCGCCAAGTCGGGAGATCCGGATGACGAGCTGCATTGGACGCCGTCGAAGATTATTCACAGACTTGGGAAGGAGATTAATAATGAGGACTCGGTATGCTATTGGGCGTGGAAGAATGATATCCCCATCTTTTGTCCTGCGTTGACGGATGGGTCGCTGGGCGATATGCTTTACTTCCATACGTACAAGTCGTCGCCGAGCCGACTACGAGTGGACATTTTGGATGATTTGAGACAGCTGAATACAATGTCGGTGCGCGCCAAAAGGGCCGGGATGATTATCCTCGGCGGCGGGCTGGTCAAGCACCATATTGCGAACGCGTGCTTGATGCGAAACGGCGCCGAGAGCGCGGTCTATATCAATACAGCCCAGGAATTCGATGGGAGTGATGCCGGAGCACGACCCGACGAGGCCGTCAGTTGGGGGAAGATCAAGACTGGCGCTGATAGTGTCAAAGTGTATGCCGAAGCCACCGTCGCTTTCCCGTTGATCGTTGCCAGCACCTTTGCGAGGGCGAGTCGCGATGGCGTTGCCGCGTCGAAGCAGGAAGAGGCACAGAATTGAGCATTGCTAGCCTAAGATTTACGTTTCCTATTTGGCTTGTGCTGTCGACAGCCCCCTAGAGCGAGTAGCATTGTACTCACAAATCCCACTTCCGATCTAGCTTATCGATGTGGACCTTCGGAAGACTACGGTTTCACCCCTTACTACCGGAAGACTCGTGGCAAACAAGGTGGCAATTGTCAGAAGGCTCTGCACCGGCTCTATCCATATCCATATCCAGATGAATTTCGACAGTTTATATCAGAATACACCCAAGAACGGAACGGATAAGATCTGATCGAGGGCAGCCCGGTGATTGGTCCTTGCGAAACCTAAATAGGTTGGATTTGCCACAATACCGGCCGATACCGGGTTTGTGGAACAGTGGATGTATTTTCATATTTGATAGGATGATGGACTGTCTCTACTCCGTACTATCTAGATATTTTTGTTGAAGCTCTGAACAGGTCGGTAATTACGGAGTGGTCAGGTACGGTCAATACAATGATACGCCACCGAGCTAAAAAGTCGGACCCGCAGTTCTTATCGATACGGAGCAAGGGCTCAATTTCAGCATCCTCTGTAGAAGACTGTATACAGTAATGGAGCACAGCATGTTATTTCGCAATTTGGTCTTGCGCTCATAATCCAGGCCAGCGAAGACTATACCACCCATGAGATTCCTGAACGTGTCCATGCCAGCAGCATTCATGCATGCTCAATTCTAGGCACGTGATCGAGTCCGAAGCCGTTGCCACCGCAAGGCGGTGTGCACGAATGGGGCCTGTGGGGCACGGATTCGTCGCTCGCTCTCAGGCGGTGTCCGTCTAGAACAGCAGCGTCTTGCGAAAAACCGGATGCTAGAGCCTCATCGGCCAGGATCTAGGTTAGGTATTGCTAGCAGTCTTTGCCTGGGCGAGACTGTTCCAAGCCGGCCTGGTGTGATGGCCTGATTATTGATGCCATGGCCGGCAGTCTCGTGCAATAGCTGGCTGGTACAGAAGGGAAACGACAGCCAGCTCGACGCCTCACTTTGACGATTGCTGCAACCGCTGGGCCGGCCAACTCACAGACGGCGTTTCCACTATAGAAAGCTGCTACTAGACACGTTGCCAGCTACATAGAAATGCATTCATTCTATCTATGACATTGATGGAAAGTAGCCTAGCAGTATCTATTCTTCAGTAAGAGAACGTCTCAATCGATGTGCTTTGAGGCAGTGTACTCGGTAAAGAAACGTGCCTGGTTGTATCGCGCAGTAATTACGGCGTATTTACCTAGGCACCCGCCCCAACACGGCAAATCCCCGTGCTCCACTCTCCCTATCGGCGAGCCTAATCGCCTATCGGTCGTCGCTGCCCTCCTCCCCCTCCTGCCTCGTGCTTCGTTTTCTTTTTTTGCTTTCTCTCCTTTTTCTTTTCTCTTCTCCTCTGCTGCTCTGCCTTGTCGGTCTGTCTTCAACAAGAGTCAGTTGTCTCTCTATTCATACACCATCACCCAAGACCAACCAACCGTTGGTTCTTTCCTAGCTTCTATAGAAATCTGCTCTGCTGGCAGATTGCATTTCCCCGGATTATCTGCTTGTGCTTTTCTTTTTTGTGGTCTCCAATTGGTTTTCAAGAGCACCTGTGAGATCTCGAAGACATATCCAGTCATTTTTTGAATTTTGTTTCGTACACTGTCATTTGTTTGTTGCCATCATGGACTCTGTTTCAGAACCCTCCGCTGCTCCCGGAGAGCCAGTCCTTCCAGTCGTTCAAGTTACCACAGAATCATCCAACGCCCCGGACCGACCAGAAGACACCTCCCAAACACTCGAGCCGCCAATGGATACTTCAGAAGACAATGCACAGCCTCCTCAGCCACCGGTTGCGCCGGAGACAGCCAATACCGAGGAGCCCCAGCAGCCCACTGCTGAAACCCCTGAGAATGTCGATGTTCCAGCAGGAGATGCCCCAGCTGAGCCAAACCCACCACAGAATGACGATGCCCCTGAGCCGCCTGCGCCAGAATCCACTGAAGAGTCGGTTCCGGCACCTCCGGAGGAAGAACCGGCCACCTGGGCAGGCCTCGAAGAGGACACTTCCTCCCCCGATGAAGAGGAGCTGAAAAAGATTGAAGCCAGCGATGGTGATTATAGCGCTATGGAGTGTATGTGATTCTTCACAGTGTTTTATTTATCGGCATTGCGGAACTGTTTTGTTCGGCTGACACACTCACCCTGTACACAGACGATTATTGGGAAAAGTCCTTTTATAGCGAGGTTGACGATCCGGAATATCGGCCGGCTGAGAAAGCTCGTCTCACATGGAAAATCAAAGGCGTGCGAGGTACCAAGGAGAAACCCAACCGAGCCAAGATCATGCGCTCGCCCCCTGCGTACGTTGGAGGATTTTGGTGGACTATCAAATTCTTCCCGCGAGGAAACGGAAGTCAGTCCCTGAGCATATACGTCGAGTGTTCCAAGGAGATGCCTACTCCAGACGAGAAGTTGCCAGAGACCAACTTCACTGTCCGCTCTGGTGCTCCAACGGACGACTTGAAGGAAAGTGACCCAAAAATGGATATCAAAATCCCTGCTTTAGAGAACTCAAAGGAGTGGTTTGAGAATTACAAGAAGTGTTACGGCTACAGTGGTGTTAATTGCGAGTCTACGGATGCTGCTGCACAAGGAACCAAGCAGGTCTGGCGGGTCTCGGCACAGATCGGGGTTATCTTATACAACCCTAACGAGCCTCGCACAGGCTGGATGCAGTCATCTTGCCATCAATTCAATCCACACAACCTAGATTGGGGTTGGACTTACTTCCACGGTCCCTGGGAGGAGATTCATATCCGCCACCAAAGTCAACGCCAGGCCCTTCTACGTAACGATACTTTGGCGTTCGATGCCTATATACGAGTCTTTGACGACCCTACCTTATCTCTCTGGTGGCATCCAAGCGATTCTGAGCCGGTTTGGGATAGTCTTGCTGCGACGGGCTACCGCCCGATCGGTGATTCTGTCATCAACCACAGCGCTGAGGTTGCCGGATTAGCCTCATGGATCAATCTTGCACCTTTCAGGAAAATCATCCAGAGTGTTGATGTTCAAGAGCACCGCCACAACTGCAATGTGAAACCTCGTCCATTATGTGAAGCTCTACAGGAGTTTCTATGGCGTTTACGCCACCAGGACCCTGAAAGTCAATGCGTCGACACTGACAAAGTCACATCGACTCTGCGCAACTTGCACGAGTATTCAAGCGACGTGGTAGAGTTCTGGGAGAGGATGCGCAGGACCCTGGAAATAGAACTCCAAGGTACTAGTGCTGTCGAAGAGCTCGCTCGTATTTTTGATAGCCCGCCTGTTGCAGTGAGCGACCCACAGGGATCAAATGTGACACATACTTTGTCTTCCCAATCTCAGCTCATCACCAGTATTCGCATTCCGGTAGATAAAGAGAAGAACATTCAGGGTGCTCTCAACCGGTATTTCAAGGATCAGTCTGGTCGATGGTCCTTGCCCCCTGTGCTTCATGTGGAGCTAAACCGTCAACGCTTCGATTACTCTGCCCGTCAGTGGAAGCTCCTTTATAATCGCGTTGACCTCGACGAAACACTTGATTTGGCGTCTTACGTAGCGCATGGGCAGTCTGGTGGCTATGACTTGTATGGGTTTATTGTTCATCGTGGCCGCCGCACATCCGGCAAGTTCTTCAGCATTCTGCGGCCGGGAGGCCCTGGCTCAAAATGGGTTGCTTTCGACGACGGCAGCCACAATCGAGTCGAGTGTTTGACGCGGAAGGCCGCGTTGGAATCTCATGTTGGTCTCGAAGAAAGCAAGCTCAAGGACGCCAATGACAAGACCGGCCATGACTTTGCAGTTGCGGCTCTCTATGTACGACGCGATATGATTTCAGAGTACCTTCCTGGCAAGCTGGAGCCATGGGATGTCGCCGAGCCACTTCGTACCTACTTTGAGACTGGATCCTATATATCCAAAGAAGACGCTTCGGAGTCCGAAGCGAAGATTGAGCAAACAGTCCAAGTTGAGGTCTATGGTCTCCCTACAATCGAGGAGTCACTCGAAAGCATCTTTGATACCTATGACTTGATGTCTCAAGCTAAACGCACGGGCAATGTCAAGTATTTTACTCTGCCAAAGAGCACATCGATTGCCGATTTGCGTCGGAAAATAGCATTTTCGCAGACAAGTGAGACCGAACAGATTGGTAATCACCGTGTCAAACTTTGGAAAATCGGACACGCCAAGAAACAACTTGGAGCAGGTCTTCTCTTTGATCGTCAGGATGACCTGACGGAGACCTTGGCAAAGGAAGGAGATGTGGTGCGATTCTGGGCGCACGTTCTGTCTGAGGACGCAGCCAAGTCCTTTGGCCTTCCCGAACCAATTGCCGTCAAGACCGTCGAAGACAAACCTCAGGAGACTGTTGAAGTCCGTGATGCTCCGGACTCAGACGAAGAAAGGCCAACAGGTGACGGATCTGGATCTTCACGATTGAATAATAACCCCGCTACTTCGTCATCTCAACCTCAAACGGAGCCCGTTGAGCGTCCGGAATCATCAAACTCAGCAGAAAACCTCACAGTTTTGACTGCAAATGACGGTGAGCGAATGGATGTTGACGGTACGGCGTCATCCAACGCAGGTGTTCCTAGCACTGAGCAGGTATCTGCTCATGATGTCCCGCAGGACACAGTCATGGAAGATTCGCCATCTGAAGGTCAGGAGTCTAGCCTTGAATCGGCTCACAGCAATTCTACCGATGCTTCCTCTGTGGACAAACCTGAATTTGTACCTCATATCTACTATTTTATACAGATATTTGATACCGAAAAGCAGTCACTGAAGCCTGCCGGTGCTTTCATTTCGGCTTTAACCGACAATGTCAAGTCGGAAATTCGCAAAAATCTAGGGTGGGAAGCTAATAAGGACTTCCTCTTGTGGTCTCGAATTGACAACACTTCCGTTGTTACTGTTTCGCCTAGTGAGACATTCTCCGTATCTGTTGGGGATGGTCATTGCTTCATTGTGGGTGATCGACTTAGCAAAGAACAGTAAGTTTTCTCCCACCTCTTGAAAATTCATAATGATGCTAACTTCTTCTTCTTCTGCCAGACGTGCCAAAGTCGGTTCTGCTGGACTATTCACAAACCCCGATCGCCTAGTTCAATATATCTGGGCCTGCTCCCGCAGGCACCCAACTCGGGCGTTCACTGGCACTAAGACCATCGATGCCACATTCAATGGCGACTACTATAGTGGTGAATTCAGCAAGGGCTATTACCATGGCAAGGGCACCCACATCTCGGATACTGGTACTACATACTCTGGTGATTTCATCTTCGGACAACGCCATGGTCAGGGCAAGATGGAGTACCCATCTGGCGACTCGTATGAAGGTGACTGGGTCGAAGACCAACGTCACGGCCAAGGCACTTTCATCGAAAGTAAGACCGGAAACAAGTATGTTGGTGGTTACAAAGATGGCAAACGCCATGGCAAAGGTATTAGCTACTGGGAAGTTGCGGATGAGGAAATGGATCTTTGTCAGATCTGCTACGGCGAGGAACAGGACGCGCTATTCTACGACTGTGGCCACGTTTGTGCGTGCGTCAACTGCGCGCGCGAAGTTGACATTTGCCCGATCTGTCGCAAGAATGTCCTCAAGGTAGTCAAAATTTACAAGATGTAGGCTTGCACAGCCTACACTATACAACGGTCTCCCCTTTCTATGCCTTGTCATTGTTTAGAAGAATACCCAAGTCGCGCAAAGTCCCGTCGCTGGGACGTGGAGTTTTTTTTTGTGTGTGTTTCTTTCTTTTTTATTCAACTGATTCCTTAATTGTTTGTTGAAGTTCGGGTTATATGATTGATAATCTGTGATGTCTGTTTTTCATGGTTTCGATTCATTTTGTTTTTAGACAATTGAGTTGGGAATGCCGTTGATAGGTAGTCTAGATAGTCTGTTTATTCTATCAACTTTGTAATCTTTGAACCGATAACTTTTCTAAAAATATAAAAGAAATTCTTAGGAGAGGGGAAGGCAGAATTTCGAAGTCGACTGGCAATGGGTATTCCGAAGGGTAGGGAGCATTTGTTTATGCAGTTTGTCTTGAATAGAAAATATATATCACATCAAGCTCGTCACATGTGGCGAATAAACAGGTAAACCGACGGGCGGTGTCCTGGGCATATACATATTTCATAAGTATGGAGTATGGCATAAGTAAGTGCTCCATCAATCAGAAATTCGCCGACCTCATCATGCATCTTCAATAGGAATACGTAGCAGGCTTGTTTCCTGTGTTTAAATGACACGGAGGGCAGGCTGCATTAAAACAGTGGAACTACTTATCTACAGCCTGCAGGCGGCAGGGCCAGGGTGTCCGACCTAGCCCGATTCCAGCCTAGCAGGGGCGGGGGTATGCGTTGGTTTCGGCTTCGCATCTCGAAAAACACAAGAGAATTTGAACAAAGGTAAAAAGCAAGACCAAAAAAAGAAAATAAAAAAAGGACCACGCCCGCACGCGGCGCAGGTGCTGTGTGTCACGCACAGACCGTCTTCAAATCACCATCGAATCAGCAGTCAATGCAGATGCAGTACCCACATTACGCACACAACCATATCCCTTTCAAGTTTCCACACACCAACCCCCCCTGCAGCCCATCCACTGATTTTGAGGAGGACCCACCCACACCAATCAACGTCACATTGACCCCGTTCGATTGTGATTCGAAATCTCGAAAAAAATGCATAATCCAAGCGGGCCAATGGGAAGTTGCGCTAGCACAGAGTGAGCACCCGGCGATCTCTTTGGTCCACCCCTTTTGCCCCACTCTTGAATTTCGAGGTTTTTCTTTTTTTGTTTTTGGTTTTTTCCTTGAAAAGGGCTCGCAACAGTTTTTGTAGAGGGAAGGGGGGAATGGAATGATTCCGAGGTGCCCCCGTTTAATTGTCGTCGGCTTAAACCTTACTGAGGGACACGTTTTGCTCGATTTGCATTTTACAGTTTCCACATACTCTCTGTACTTGGCATCCTCTGTACACCGTTCTGTATTCTTGATTATTGTGCACACTAAGTCCGCTTGAACAACAATCATAATTAATGCTACGTAGTTATAGTATTGAAATGTTAATAAGCTTCATTATGCAGACGACCTGGTACGATGGACGGCCGCACGAATTAGAATTACGTACGTCTGAAATCGGCGGCCACAGGCAGAAACGCCAACGGGGCTAATCGTTAAAAGGCTTAGAGCTATTTCTAGTGATCTTCTTAGCCTGTGATCATAGTCTCTCTCCTGCTAACTCCCATCACCTACGTATTCGATTTTTTCCCCTCCACTCCCTGCATTCAAGACCCCCCTCGATTGTCCGGAGTGTCCGGCACGTTGCTAATAATACTACTGCTCCATTCTCCGAGGCAATCTTCTCGTGTTCCCTCATTCTCTTCGCTCTTTCCCTTCTTTTTATACTTGGATCAGCCATTCGCCTCTTTGCCTGATCGGGAGTTCGCACCCAACCGGATTCGATAGTCTTTCTTTTTGTCGTCTATTACGTCCTACACTCTACGCCGCAGTGGCAGCTGACGAAAGATAATACAATACGTATCTCATTATTTTCGGCTTATTTGTGCGACAGAGAATCATCACCGAAAATCTTGAAGGCAGAAAAGAAAAGACACCCGCGTGCCACGTCTCCCAACTGTGTCACTAGAGCAGAGCGTTTGGTCTTTTTTTTTTTTTTCCAATTTTCTTCTGCATCAGGCATTTCACACACTCCACTCACCGAGATCGTCCTTCTGGAACCACGTACTTTGTCGCCTTGGATTCCAACGATACGACCGTGCTTTTTGTGTTTCTTTACGCTTGATTACGCCTCAGTCTAGAACTTGGCAGTTGTGTTTTGCCGCTGGCGTCTGCGCTCTCGGCTGCACTAAACTCCAAACAGCGCCCTTTTCCTGCCTGAGGAGTCAGCACTACCGCCCCTTTCCCTTCCCTCCCCAGTTTCAAGGTCCAACGTCACGTGCCCGCGTCCCGTGATTAACCGTCAATCCCAAGCCAATAGTTCGTCTCCGTCCAGACCATATATCTGATTCTTCAAATCCCTAGCAAAAAAAGACACCCTAGGATCAATTGTGATCCGACCCCCATCAATCCCGCTATAAGCGGGCTTTAGCCTCTCGTGTGTTTGGGTTTAGCATGTGCCGGGCATGTCCTCGCGTTTTCCCCTTTCATCCGGGTATTCTTCCCGCGGCGACCGTTCACCTCCCCAGCGCTATTCAGACCGTCGCCCTTCGTTGCCACCGGGTCCGCGAGATGACCCCAATCTCACGCCATTAGGCCGTGAGCCTCCACGTGGTCCTAAAGCATTGATAGACCCTCCCCGTGGAGGCCTGTACGGTGGTCGTGGCCGAGGTTATCCGCCGCGCAATGACTTTCGTGATCGCGATCGAGACCGAGACAGAGATCGCGACCGTGATTTCCGGGATGGACCGCCGTTTCGTAGAGATGACCGCGACAGGGACTGGAATCGCAGAGATCGCATGGATCGCATGGATCGTGATTTTGATATCCGCGATGGCCCACGTCCGTTCAGGCGTTCCCGGTCTCCTCAACCTCGCGATTCGCGAGATTTCCGAGACTCCCGTGACCTCGGTCCTCCGCCTCGAGATGGGGACATTGTTCGCATGCGTCGCAATTCTCGGGATAGCCTAATTTCAAGTTCATCTAATCCTGGCGATGGCCCTCCTGGCAATCAGAACATGGGTCATCCTCCTCCCATGCGAGGTGGCGGCCTCGGGCGCGGTCGTGGTCGAGGCGATTGGGAAGGTGGTCGAGGGCGTGGCCGAGGGCATTATATGGATGATCGAGATGCGTTCCGCCGTCGAAGTAGATCTCGCGATGGATGGTGGGATCGTGATAGAGACCGAGACTTTAGGGATCGTGACCGTGATCGGGATTTTGACCGGCGCGAACGGTTTGATCGACGAGACGATGATAGACGGCTAGAACGCGATGATCGTGATCGACCCCTTGAGCCGTGGAAGAAAGATATTCCTCCAATCCGTGCTGAGCCCCGTGTCCCTTCTGGCCCGAGGAGCAGTTCAATTCCGCCAACTGGTCCGTTGGTTCTCCCTAGAGGCGAATCCAAAGGTCAAGATCAACCAATCTCGGATCCTTCTCGCAAGTCTTCTATGTCTACAACGCTACCACCTACAAGAGATCCTCGTCGAGACTCTGATCGACCAGAGCTTCCTATGTCAAGAACAGAAATGCTTAGAGAGTCTATTGCGCCAAAGGGGTCACCGCCACCATCTGCACCCCAGGTTCCTGCTTTTGGGTCTGTCACTCTGCCATCAAGTCTTTTATCAATCGAAAAGCCAGCTCAGCAGCCGTCTCAATCCCAGCCAGCAGTATCTAACAAGCCTGACCGGAGTCGGACAGATGCCATATCTTATACGACTGCCAAGGAGGCTCCTAGAGAAGCCCCAACGGAACCCAAAGCTCACCGGGCTGATATCAAGACTCATTCTGGAATTCCTTCTGCCAAAGAAAGTGTTTCCGACTCTTGGTCTTCACAGGATGTACATTCTCGTCCCGAGAAGTCAAGCCAGGTTGTTTCTCCTCCTACTGCACCGGCGGCTTTACTTAAACGAGAACCTGTTGCCTCTGCAGCTGTTACCACTACTGCTACAGGAGAGTCGCGATTGCACCACGAAAATACTGCCAGCACTTCGCCACCACTGGGTCCAGCTCAAGCAACTTCTCCAGTACTTTCACGATCGCAATTACCACCCGCAGGCCGCGGGGGCTCTCCACAGACCTCACCACAGATGACTTTCACCAGTGTGCCTACGGGGCCTCGCGCGGGAGTCAGACAGCCTGTTCGTGGTGGACATGCGAAGAGCAAACAATGGCTTCGTCCTGGTTACAACCGTGTCGCTCCGACAGCTCCCTCCCTAGGCAATCGGCGCGAGTCGCATGAAGACAAGGAGTTCCACGCGCCACTCCTACCGGTAGATGAGAAGAAGGAGTTCAATGACGACCAGCCCGGCATTGAAGAGAAAATTGCGGACAAAGACACATCAGAAAAAGTGGAGACACCCGCCGCCAATGAGGAAGTACCCCATGATGCTATATCCTCGAAGTCTCCAGTTTTGAAAGATTTGGAAGTGGCCGAGGAACAAGAACAAACCGTGGATTCAAAACATGAGACGGAAGACAATTCCACACTGTTGCCTGATTTCACACGCTCAAGTGACGAAGAAGAAGAGGATATAAACGAAGTTTTCACAGAAGATTATTTGCGGGAGCGAAAAGAGCTCTTTGAGAAGAGTATGGATGCTCTGCGAGCTGAAATGCCGCCTCCAATTTTGGAGGATCCTGTTATCGTCGAGTTGCTCATGAAGGTTCAATTGCTAGGCATGATAGTAGACGGCAGCGTTCCCGAAGAGCCTGAGCCGTCTGCTGTGGAGGCCAATGTCGATCGCTCAAAGAAAGCCATTTCTGCGGAAATTTACAAAGAAGAGATGGACGTTGATGAGGGGGTTGCTGCAAGCCCTGTCAAGACAGCTATGCCAGCTGATAGTGTTGACAAAGAGTCTATCACTGTCGACAATTTACCGTTTTTAGTCTCTGGTCCTCCAACGCCAATTTCGGAACTGGATGTCTTTCAGGAAAACATCAAGACCCACGAACGTATCCAGGAAGCGATTCGCAACACAGTAGCGAAACAGCGCAAAGATGCATCAGAAAAGAATAAACGCTTACGAGAAGAGTATGCTGCCATCTACAGACCCTGGCGATTAACTGTTCGCGCGATGGATCACAAGAAAGACGAAGAGAGGAAAGGCAGTACGCCTAGTGCAGCCACGCCGCCCGTGACGCCCGCTCCTACTTCTGTATCTGAGAGCCGAGCAGAAAGCCGACGATATAAGGGAAATAGTGAACTTGACTTCCAGAACGCCCTTAAAGCGTCTGCTATCTCCGCTCAAGAGGAGTCAGAACGTCGTCGTCTTATGGAAGCTACAGCACGACCTGATCTTGAAAAGGAGGCTGTTATCCCGGATATGTACGAAAAGTACCAGGTTGAAGCGGGTATCTTCAAAGATACTAACAACAAGGTTGACCCTGCCGATGCCTTGGTCGTTTACGGCTTCTTACCACCGCCAGATGACTTTACGGTAGAAGAGCACAAGCTGTTTACTGATGCTTTCATGGCTTATCCAAAGAAGTGGGGCAAGATTGCTGACGAGCTACCGGGACGGACGTATGCACAGTGTATTAGTCATTACTACATGACCAAGGAGGAGATTAAATACAAAGCTAAATTGAACAAGCGATGGAGATCACAACGACGCGCCAGGAAATCAACTACCCGACCCAAGTCTAATGCCCTTATGTCTGATTTGAAGGCGAATGGTGACGATGAGGAAACAGTTCAGATGACGGAAACTGGTCGTCCTCGCCGTGCAGCAGCCCCGACATTTGGAGGCGACGCCACCGAGGCCGAAACTTCACGCCGTGGTAATGCTAAAGAAAGCGACCAGGGTGAGAAGCCTGCTAGCAGACGAGGTAGAGCCGGCGCCGGTACGCGTGGAGGACGGAGAGGACGAGGAGCTGCTGCGGCTGCTGCTACAACACAACAACAGCAGCAGCAACAGCCACCTCAGCAACCTCAACAGCAACCACCTCAGCTGCTACAGACTCCCTTGCCGATACAAGCACAACATCCTGCTGCAATCGTCTCTCAACAACCGCTTATTTCGACAACAATTGCTCCGGGTGTCCCGCTCATGGCGAAGCAGGAGCCACGGGTGATTGATGGCGCAATGGAAACGGCAGTCCACGTCAAAGACCAGGAGCGAGAGAACGAGGAACTTCTTCCGAAGCCAAGATCATCTCGTGCTCGAGGCAAAGATGCTATCTACGTGTTTGATGCCGCTGGCGATCCAGAAGCCGCTGGTGGTAAATCCGAGATGGGCTATGGCTCTATGCAGCCAACCAGTTACTGGTCGGTTCCAGAAGTGCGAGATTTCCCAATTTTACTGGCTCATTTTGGACGGGATTTTGAGGGTATATCGAACTTCATGAAGACCAAAACGCCGATAATGGTAAGCAAAAAAGCACAATTCATTCTTCTTACTCCGAACCTTGTGCTTTGTAGAGTGGTAATTGGGCACGGCCCGTCCCGCTCAGTTTGTGACGTGGTCCACCAGCCAGCCCCGTGCGTGAGGTCATTAGCGTATTGCTTTGTTTTCATACATGTTGTTCTTTTTTGTTTTCCTTATTTTCTTTTTCTCCCGCTTATTTTCTTGATTTTCTGGCTAACAAAATCTTTCATTCTCTTCTGTTAGGTCAAAAATTATTACCAGCGCAAGATTGACTCAGGCAATAATGAATTCGAGGAAATTGTCAAGGTTACTGAAGTCAAGAAGATGCGAGGCGAACCCACTGGCCCCTTACCAACACCAAACCCAACTCCCAAGAGGCGATACGAAGCTACTCCATCTGCAGTCCATCGACCACTCGCCCCGCACACCGACATGGAACACGCCGAAGATGGTCGCTTGGGCCACAAGAAAGCTTCGGCTACCATGTCTCCTCCCGTCCAGGTGCGCCCTGCTCCAGAGATTGCCACCGATCGGAGCTTAAGTAGATACCCTTCACTGGCTCAAGCAACTGGAGGGCCGCCTTCCACAAGTGCGATCATGCCGGACGACCCCTTGCGTAACATGCGACAGTCTGGAGCTCCCCCTGCACAACCTCGGACCTTTCCGGGTCCTCGCATGGGATACTTTACAGAGGATCGGCGCGAAGCACGACCGTCACGTGTCCCTGAGCTTCAGCCTTCTCCACGAGTTGCCCCTTCCACCCAAGGCCCAGACATCAGTCGTCCTGAACCTTTGCCTCAGCAGCTCCGGGCACGAAGAGATTTCCACGGCCCACCAACACAATATCAACCTGCACAAGTGTACATGCAAGCCCAGCAGAGTGTCGTGGTGCAGCCGTCTGCAATGTCAAGCTCGCACTCTCGACACCCTAGCCTTACCGGATCGACAGCACCTGGTTCCCCTGCACAGAACATACAAAGACATACGCCCGACCTATCGCCGATTCGTCGATCTTCATTCGGTCAGGGCCAATCTCATCCAGGTTACTATCCATATCCTTCTTCCAATATTCATCCGAAAACCACTGTTTCGCCTGTCAAGGAGACACCGGCATCGCAAGAGGCTCCGCGTCAAGTGCCTGCTAAGCGATCGAATATTATGAGCATCTTGAATGACGAACCAGAAGAACTTCCACCACGCAAGCGGTTTGCAAGTGAAATGATTTCGTCGCCTAGGATGGCCTACGGTCAAGCGGAACCATCAGGTCTTCGTCATGAGGAGAAAGCATCCTACTTCTCTCACACTCAGCAACAACAGTCTTCCCAGGGCCCGCCTCCACATCAGGCTCCTTCGGGACGGCCATCATACTCAGAGTACTCTTCGTATCAACCATCGTCTCTTGGAAGTGCGTCTGCTGCTAGTGGACCACCGAACCACGACTGGATGGCCAGGTTTGACCCACGCAGCCAAACTCAACAGTCTGCGGAACCCATCCGTGCGACGCCGACGCCAGCCCCTCCTGCGCAGTATGTTGCCAGTGGTGGATACCAGCATTCGCAAGCCCCGTCGAATAGCCAACCTCCTACTGCTTCTCAGAGCAATGCTTCAGGGGTAGGCCATCGTGGCTATCAAGGTTATCCACCTCCACATGGCCAAGGTGCACCCACACCGCCACTAATAACATCGAATGGTCGCGAGTCTTCGAGTTCGGCTTACCGTCATCAAAGTGTTGCGTCTCCGCCACCTCATCAAAGTGTGCTGTCATATGGACCGCGTCCAGTGCAGTCTCCAGCGCAATCTCCTGCCACCCCGTTGAACATTCTACCGCCTCGCCAACAATCCGGTCCTGGTTCTTCATATAGCTCAACACATTCGCAGGTGTCTTCCCCTCACCCCTTGTCATCTCAGCATCGAGCAAGTCATGGCGGCCATCATTCATACCAACAGCACGTCCAGGCAATGGTGAACGGACAGCAACCGGCATCGGTGCCGTCTGGAGGGCGAGCATCGATGAGTATAGCTGGAGGCGGCCCGCCTAATACTGCCTCCCCATACATAACACCGGCTCACTTGCCGCCTTCACAGCAACAACAGCATGGAGGTGGTCCTCCTCCTTACCGTCCTGGCCCTGGCTCACTTAGCAACGCTTCTCCATCGTCAACCCTTGGTATCGTTCGGCCTTATACCCCACCGTCAACAAGTACGCTAGGCGGAATTTCTTATACCGCCAGCGGCCCCCATGCTCCTGCTGCTACTGGTGCGCATATACATCACACTCCATATTCGCATCCTCATGACTCTCATCCTTCCGCCACTCATCATAGAGTATACAGTCAAGGAGGATCAGCGCCTTCATCACGGTAGATGAATATATAGGGATTGCATTGTGTGTTTGTCTTGTTTCTCTTTGCTTTCTTGCAAACTTAATATACTAAAAAAACCAACCCCTTTGTTTCTATTCCTTTTGTTTGTTTTCTTTTTCATTCTTGGTTGTATTCCAGATTATTATGTCATGATATCTTATCACTTTTTATGCTTGTTCTTTTCTTTCTTTTTGTATCTTTGTGTTGTCTTTTTGGGAGGAGGCTCATACTTCTTTGACACGTCTGGGGGGTGTAGAGTAGTATTATTGTACAAATATGGAATGATTATTACGATGAGTTATAATTTTGGGACCAAGAAATTGTATAATTCTATGTATTCTCTATAAATACATAAAAGACGCTGATGTTCATGTGGATGTGTCTCCTAAGTATAGCTTGGTCCAAGCAATTCCCGAGATCCTTTTCTGACTCGTATATTAGATCATATTCTGGAATTGACTGGATACGATACTTGCTGGATCATTGGGTTGACGACATCATGTTATGTTTACCTTGTTGGAAAAGAACCTAATTCGGACTACGAACCAGGCAGCTGGGAAGAGGTTACATACAGTGAGCATGCATTATAATAACCTCGGAGGGCTGAAGATAAGGTAACCGCTTGTCAGATTGTTTGCCTAATTCGGTAATCTCGCGCCGGCGGGAGCCCCCTGCATAACCCTAACTCCCCTAACCACTAGTCTTGATGATCCTGCATCCGAAACGACAGTTCGGGCGTTTCTGGGCTATTATATGACATATTGTGAAGCGTGTCTGGATGCAGTGGAGCTGTGCATACAGGACGCCATGAACGGGTGCTCGTTTATCATGGCTGATGGTCGCTGAGACGATTTTCCTCGGCCTTTGAGTGCCGGACGGCTATATGTACACAGTGAGCAGCAAACTGAGGCTTCCAATGTGGATCACTAAGAATGTTCGTACAGGAGAAGTGCGGAGATAACTATTATGGGATCAAAAATTGAAAGAGAAACTAGAGCTTATCATGACTTGCGCTCTCAGAGGTATTTTAATATCGCCTGACGAGCAAACAGGCAAGCTGCAGCACCAAGCTGTTTATTTGATTCTAGGTTCTACATATAACCTTGGTTACCATGTAGACGGAAGATGTTTCAAACGGACCCTGATTCTGGAATCTGGAGGACACGAGTGACATTCACGACGGAAAGATCCCGGATTCAAACAGATATGTCCGATCAAATTGTTTGCTAATACAGCATGCCCAAGCCCTGCATAAACCATCTGTGATTCAGAATGTCTGTATTGGATATGGTCTGTTTTTCTCCCTCTTAAATACCTCACTTGTATGCATGCTTTCTTGCACTAAATTGTCATGCTCATTGCTAGTCATTGCACTTCCTACCATTATGAACCATCCACCAGAAACCACTGGCAATATTGTTACCTCATAATTACCTCTGATAACGCCCTTCACGCCGGACCCAATATGCAGCACTGATTATTTCCACATTAACACTGTCCAGCTCGATGATGTTCTCATTGGTTACGACCCGAACTTCGTCCTTCTTTTAGCGTCCACCACTGTTCCATGTCTTCCCACTGAAGTCATGTCTTGGTATCGTTCTCAACCGCCGAATGTTTACACAGAATCGAACTCGATAAAAATCACACGCTTTTCGACGGTGACCAGTCTGTTGCCTCTGAACTACCCGGTTGGCTGGTATACCGCGCTTACGAGCGTTGTTCGGCCGTCAAGTGTGTAGGTTACATGTTGTCCAAGGTCGGCATACATTATTATATTGCATTTATACTGAATAGCATTGGTTTTTCTAACTCCCTGATAAATTGACAGTGGTTACAACGCGGACCCCTTTCAAGACCATGGAGTCGGGGCTAATTGCGTTTCAACACTACTTCCAGGACAAACTATCGAATTTATTCCCTCCACGAACACCGATGTACAGCCCACAGTATTTTCCAGTCCCGAAGTCGTTGCGGTCGTTGCGATCAAAGGTTGGAGTGTCCAAGAACCTTCCCAAGCCTCAGTGACTTCCATGACGAGTGCTGTATCTTCCGTATCAGAAGATTTCTCCGGAGATACCATCGCTGCTATTGTTCTAGGCAGTCTTGCTAGGGTGTCACTATTAATTGGGCTTTATTTTCACGCTTTCACGGCGGAGAAAGGCGACACGAGACGCAGAGGATCAGTCTACAAATAATCAAAGCAGTACCGTATACGATGCCATCCCCCAGAATCCAACAGAGTCAAATGTTTTTCCAAAGGATAAACTGCCAGCAGATCAACAGACATTTCTATTCACTGATCCAATTGAACAGTCTTGAGCGTGGTCAAAGAATATGTACAACAAAGCGTTTTCTTGTTCTAAAAATTGGACTACGTATGAATCTATTTCAGGCCCCATTGACTGCCCCTTGTCCTTCAGTTTCAAAATTGTTATATATGAATCGAAGCGAGGGCCATTGAGAAGAAAAGACTTTTCTCTATAAAGATCTTCAGATGTCCTAACTTCCAAAGGCTTAAAGTATCTAATACATCAATATCAAAACCTCATATCACAACACCGTTCTTTCTGCTATTTCACCGCCAACATGAAAGTATTCTCAATTTTCTTTGGTATTACACTCGCAGCTCAAGCTGTCGGTCAATCCGCAATCCCGTTTTCTGGACTGCCCAGTATGTACGGAGCCAACGTTGTGGCCGGGTCTGTGGTTGATAAAGGCAATTATACTTTTGCAGGTGCTAAATTCAAAGTTCCTACAGTAAAAGCTCCTTCCGGTGGCCTTTCTCACGCTGAATACTGTACTTCTATATGGGCCGGGGTTGGCCACGGAGGTGATTTGAGCATACAGGCCTGTTTAAATGCTTGTATTCTGAATGGGAAAGCTACCTATGATGTATTTTTCCCCGAGCCCGGTCTATTTATCGACGGTTCTTCAGCGAAAGCTGGTGAACAGCTTCAGATTTCTTTCGACCCAACCAACGAAGGCAGGGCGGCAATCACAGATGCTAAAAAGGGAAAAGAGTACAGCTATGGAGGGGCTGGGACATTATGGGATCGAATATACTTTCTGGTGCAGAATAGGACAGAGGGAATGGCTCTTACGAACTTTGGCACACTTGAATTTACCGATGTTTATGCATATATCAACGTTGACTTGACTGATTTTAGTGCATCCACCGACTTGAAAGACAAGCCGGATTTACAAGGGGCCGCGCTCTATGGTCTGAGTCCTAACGGCAAGACATTGGTGAAGAGTTCAAACACGGACACAAAGGTCACTATCGAATACGTCGAATAAAAGCTTCGAGGTGGCATAAATGAGTCGGGCACGAAAGGGTTTAGTATATTTTGCGATACCTAGGATTCCTATAAGAGTTGATGAACTTGGTTTACCGTACCTAGGCATCGCCGATTTTACATACTGTATCCTCCTTATTTATGTCTAACGTTTCAGCGACATGGCCGCATAATTGCATATCACCCTGGCAATTGCGCAACAGATCTATGCGTATTTGGTAGTATCTGAAGACCTCTTAAACCTCTGGTGTGAGTCCCATCAAAACTCCTCCGACGGAAATTCCTATGGGTGAACAAGACAGTCCACCCCGAGCATAGGAGTGCTTTCCTTGGTCACAAAACGTACGTTGCATCCATCATATTCGATTCGCTTGTATCCTCGGGGAAATCCAAAGTAGTTAGCTGCGCCAACTTGGAGACGCTTTTCACATCGCTGGATGTCGTCACTGCCATTAGTCTCGCATTTGCAAACCCCAGTACTGTTGACAGGACCTTTCTTTGGAATATGGTTCTCTACAAGAACTTGGTGTCAATGTCTTTACTCTTAGTGTGAGCTGTGAGACGAGCATAGAACTGGGATGTCACGTAAGGACAATCCAGGGAGGGAAAGGAAATGTTCCAAACTCCGATCTGTCTACCTTTATTTTCGTTTCTATGGGAGCTTATCATTTAATTCTAGGCACGGTTTAGGGATAGCTCTTAGGGGAGAGCATCTGTAGCACTTGGGCCGAGTGAACTTAGGGCTTTTTTGACCCGAGATATGTATTAATGTACCCGATACCCGAGATGTAAGCTCAGAGGTGTCAAATATTGTTTATATGCGATAAATTGATAGACCTGGAGGAAGAGAGATAGAACCCAATTACATTTAATTAGCATGAATTGATATATTCCGAATCGTCAACGGTTGGGATTGATAGTTCAGCCATACGTGTGGTCCTCGCATAACTATGAGCAGCCAAAAGCTTCTCAACGTCCTTTTTGCACTGATCCAGAGAAAGCGATTTCAAACCGAGGCCACGACCCCAATTTTTAATTTCATAACACCAGACTCTTATTATATTTCTGTACTTGGGTAGCCAGCGCCGCCGACCTCCTGGCAATCTGGCCAGCTCTTCGAGGAATACTTGTTGTCACCTACCAGGTGTGTCATCTGAAGTATAGAAGCCAGGTTTTGTCCGAGGTCTAGAGGTGTTCCCTAGTCCAAGGTACGCTAGTCGCCGCTTATCCCAAAGGCAGAGGCCGAGATAACTAGGAAACAAGGGACCGTTTAGGTCGAAACAACTACTATGAACACACCACTCCCATTCGGCCCAGTAATATAGCAAGTGGGCAGAGTTCGCGAGAGAAGTACTGTTCATATTTTGGCCCCATAGCGTAGCTTGCGTACCTTCTAATGGGTTCGGTGCTTCAAATTGCCAGTGTACAGTATCCTTAAGAACAAGTGAGAACTTGGACAAGGCTTCTTAGACCTGAGCATTGCGCTCCTGGTTGGTAAACGCAGTGAAAAAGGTGCAAGGCACACAGCTTAAGAATTCACGAACTGCAGCTGATACGCAAGCCATTTCTCTGGCTACATAGCCAACGAAAGGGTTTTCTGTATCAGGTCCAATACTTTTTTTTTTTAGTGTATCGACGGAACATATCTTCATCGGTATCAAGCTCTTCATCTGTTACCCGAATGTTCCAGTAGATAACAAGCATCCAGAGCGCCCGCTCAATCCGAAACTTCTCGACCCATGACGGAGACCACCAAGCGGCTGGGTTAAAGTAGACACCAGGCCGGAACTCTTTGTAATCTGGGTTGGGACCATCCTGAAGAAAAATAAGCTCGTGGATGCTCTGTAGAAGAGTAACGAAGCAAATATGCCTAAGACGTTCAATTCGGCAAGCTGTTAGCAATAGATAGCGAGGTCCCGGCGTCCCAGCGTCCAAAGCATATGACGGAGAAGCAGTAGTGAGCACATCTTCAGGCAGAGAAGCGAGTTTATTGAGTAAGAAGTCGAAGTTTATATCCGATCGGGTATCAGGACCACTCTTGATATTGAGAGATCCCAGAATACTCACCATGCGAGCTAAATGCTTCAACTGTGGTATTGAGCGATCAATAGCTTTGTCCAAAATAGGAGCTGCATCAAGATTGAACGCTGCATTGGCTCGCGCGGATGCACATATGAGATTGTAAAGGGACGGCAGGTCTGTTACGTTGTGAAGAATAACGAGCAATACTTCCAGAGGAAGGCGAGAAAACCCACTGGCCATCTCTGCATACGGAAAGTCTATAGTTGGTGCTGTAGCTGCTGTAACTTTCGATGCTGTGATTGTTCGCTGTAGCTCTGACATGCGCTTTAGGGTTCAAGGTCGTGACTGAAGATATTGTAGACACATAACCAAAAAAGGGCAGTTTGATGCCTGCCTGAGATGGATAACGGTGACCGAGGTAATCCTGCAAAAAGGAGGCATTCCATACCTAATCTGTCCCAGGTTCCGCTAGGCCTAAAATGGTGTGTTGTATACTTCATAGTACAATCTATACTATCTTGAGAGCTTCGGTTGTTTTCGTGTTGATACATATGGAATACTTCATAGTGTAGATTCACACTAGTGACCTGTCTAAGTAGGTAGCCTTGGTCTTTTTATGTTGATACACATTCAACATATGGAGTGCTTCATGGTATCCTTTACGTTATCATGTTGATATTCATGCAATAGTTCTAGTTTACAAATAATATATTATCGCCTGTCCCATTCTCTCTCCCCTGCCCTCTCTTTCTTATGCTCTCGCTCCCTATCTCTCCCTGTCTTTCTGCTCTTTCCACCTCCCCGATGCACATACTCTTTCTCCTTTTCTCTAGGATCAATGACCATCAGAGAATCCACATCCTCCTGGTGCTTCTTTTTCCAGTTTAGATCTTTGCCCAGGGTGTCTTTGCCGAATTGCAGGCGGTGAGACATCCAATCCATTGCGTTGTCGTCCTGATCGTGCCGGTCTGCACTGAGCCCATCGGCGGTTTGATCCCAGTTTTGGCAGGATTTGCAATTTGCTATAAAGTGCAGATCACAAAGTTGTGCCTCCTCATCTTCGACTTCTTCCGGCAGTTTTGTGTCGTTGCGTGTATGTTCTTTCGTCTTGGTATCTTGATGGCTCTTTGCGTCGGAGTTTTCGAGCTTTGCTTTAAAGGCGTTGAATAGTTTTAAGGCCTCAGTGTCAGCAGCTGAGCTGTAGCCTTCACCAGCTGTACCGCCCCGACCACCATTCTTGCCTCCGCCATTCATTCCAACGCTTCCTGGGGCCGGTCGCTTGCGTCCTCTTATAGAAGTTTCCGGTATCATGGCTTCTAGAGCTGACTTCTTCCTACCTGTCTCTGTCAGGATTGTCACATCCCGTCGCATTGACGCTTTGAGAGATGCGATTTGTGCGTTTGTTCGCTCTAAAATAGATTGTCTTGCTGCTGGAGGTGGTGTCTCAGATGGTGATCTTTCAGGCTCTTCGGGATCCTTCACGGGAACTTGCGCATAAGGATCTGGACTTTTCGGCCGTGTTTTCTGGACTTTGTTATTTGCACTTGGTAGAGGTGCCGGTGAGAGCGATCGTTTTGTGGGTTGTTTCTTTTCTGTGGTGGAAGCTCTGCGGCTTACCGAAGTTACCTTGGGGTCTAATTCTAATGAATCTCCGGCTGAGACGAGATTGGTATTGAACTTGGGCTTCTTTGACTTGACAGCAGCAAAGTTCTCCTCCCCTTCCTCTGCTTCATCCACACCAAAGCTAAGCAATGTCTTTGAGCCTTTCCCCTTTTTCTTCTTTTTTACCGTAACTGCTTCGGGTTTCGATGGCTCGATTGCCCCTGCCACTTTCTCTCTCTTCTTCAACTTTCCTTCAAACGGTCCCATCTCTCCAACCTCGCATCCCGTGATTTTTATCGCGTAGACCGGGCGCTCCGTACCCTCTACCAACTCTGCTTCGGCAATTTTGACTACGTTGTAGATGCTATCGCCTTCAATCCTGCCAAACATGGTACACTGTCCATTCATCTGTCTCTCGGTATTGGCCAGGGTAATGAAGAACTGGCTCCCGTACGTCCCATCTTCGCTTTTTGCCATCCCTACTAGACCCCGCCGGTTGAACCGTAATCTACTATGGATTTCATCATGGAAAACAACTTTCTCGTTCGGGTCACGACCCTCGGGGTCATATTCGAACTCTGGGTCTTCGTATATTGCCGATCCACCTGACCCGGTCCCGGTAGGATCGCCGCCTTGAATTACAAAGCCAGGGACAATGCGATGAAAGACTGTGTCTGTGTAGTATCCATCGAGGCAATGTTGGATAAAGTTCTTGCATGCGAGTGGTGTCTGCTTTGCGAAAAGCGAGATGTGTAGAGGTCCGATGGTGGTGTTGAGCGTAACCGATGCAGTCGGTGGCGGTTCCGTATTGTAGTGTGAGGACATGGTGTTTGGAAATCAAGTATCAAAACTGAAATAGGAATAATTGGGGGGCGTCACCCGAAGATATTGGGACGCCTTTCCATAAAACAGTCTCTTGTGTTCGTACTCAGTCTCCCTCTCTCGACGAACGTCAAGGTGGCGCGCCGAGATGAGGCTGCGTTGTGAAAAGCCAGATGAAAACAGAATTTAGTTGGTGAAACTCAGGACTCGACCTAGTGATTAGTTGCAGAGGGTAAGCGCCCAGTAGTGAAGTGAGAGTTGGAGAGAAGAAGATGCAAAGGCGAGAGAAATCGTGAGGTCAGCGGAGGAATAGCTCCGGCAAGCTTTTGCTTACCCGCCGCCCTGCAGCCAATGACTACAGATATTTGGATCTAATCTTATCTGATCATTATCTCCGCAACAAACAATCCATCGATTCACCATGCAAACTGGACTGCGATGCTGACTAGTATTCTCAGAGAACGAAGATGATTAAATTTGGATTCGGGTTCAAGTTGAACGTAATCTAAGATGAAATGCTCTTAACACCTTTCTATCAACACAGCAATATAAAAATAAAAGCCAATCGGAAAATCCCGAACCTACCGCCAACTCCACGCAGATGCATCGCTAGGGTTACAATGTATTGTAGTTATAGAAAGAGAGAGACAGAGAAAAGCAAACAGGTGTTTGTCTCCCCGCAGCTACGCAGAACATAGCGCTAGCGGTCACTTGGCGGTAGAGGATATGAATAACGATTTTTATCGCCATTTTGATTTTGGGAAGTAGATCGTTTTGGAATGTTGCGGGTACTTGAAACAGTGCGAGTACTTTGCATGCCACTTGAAGGAGGTGTTGTTGATTCATTGACCCCGTTCAGAGGGGTTTCATGGCCCAAGATGTCAGAGGAAGGCCACCATTTGTGTCCGTTGACAACGGTAGGGTCCCGGATGCTGTTAGGCGGCGGAGTATTGTTGATTTCGTACATTGCTGGAGCATCAAGAGATAAAACAACCCCATCTAGTGTGTTATTACTCTCGTCAACACCATTTGGCTGTATGGATTGGTATGAATCAGTCTTCAAAACTTTCGTGTCCGCCGATGAGACGGGACTGGAAGAAAGTCTGTTCAATCGCTCGCTTGATCGCGTTCGACGCAATGACCTCGTTCTTCCTGATGAAGTCTCATTGGATGCTGTTGAGGCTTTAAGAGTACCTGGGGCTTCTAGGCGAGGGGAAGCATGGCCAGCAGTAGTTCCCATGGTAGCAGCCGCGATTTGTGACGTGAAATTGCTGTCTAGGAGGACCCTTATGTTAATTATATTTTGGTCGTTACTGGTATTTCCATTATAACCACCATAGCAGGGATCACCTCGTGGCCATCCTCGCTGAAAGGGCGAACTTGCGTCCCAAATCCGTCCGGCATTTGGGATTGGCGGATAGTAAGTAGGGTGAGATGGAGGATACTGGGGGTATTCCGGAATATATACAGGCTGTGAATTATCCATACCACCTCCATCCGTCGGTCCTGATGTATGAGATGGACGTGAGGTGCCCGTGCCAGTTGGGTCGTTGTACACACCGTCAGGCGACACCTATCAATGAGTTAAAACTATCAACCTAGCACTCATATCAGGAAGGGGACTATACATTCGATGAATAGGTGCTACCTGGCATGTTGACATAATCGTCCAGTGAGTTTGCTAAGCTAGCAAAGTTGAAGCCTTTTTCTGAGTCAACAGGGGTGAAGCGCTGCCCGAACTCGTTGCGAAAGTTAACGGCTCTCTTTGGCAAAGGCTGGTAGTTTGGCCTGTTAAGCCACCAATTAGGGTAATTCCCATACCAGGCATCGATCACAGGATCGATTTCCAGTCTGAACAGAATCCTGCTGTCAATGCTAGGTTTTTGTATTAGCATGACAAATGTGAATTCCCTTGGCAAGCCTGATCTCTGCAAGCCATTCTCACTGAGTGACCACACAATTTCGCCGTCTTCAACGCCAAATTCGGGGCCATCGGGGCTTCGCAATGTTCTACATGAGCCTTGAATCTTCATCATTTCGTAAAGCTTATAGGACGCACTTTTAGAACCCGAAGGGTTGAACGATGCGGAGACGGGACTTTCAGAGATGCCTAGCGAGCCGGCCAGGCTGAAAGTCCACTGCAAAGTCTCGGGAGATACAGCACCGTAGATCAAATGAGGTGCGTGCATTAGAAACTTTGGATTCTCTTGTGGATAAGGGTAGGGATTTTCAGTACTACCACCCATGGGAAGATTCTGAATAGTCGCTTTGATCGTGGCAGCTTTAAACCGATGTTTGCTAGAGTCGCCAGGGTGCATGACAAAGTTTACACCTAGGAAGTCCACACAGGGGATCTCTGGATCCGAGGTGTTTTTGCTGTTGAAAAAGCCATGTTGGAGACGTTCGGCGTGCGCGGTGACATAGGCATCGCCCGGAAGTTGGCGCTCGTAAATGCATCTTCGATTGACTAGCAGCCGTCCATCTGTCATATTAGGATCTGTCGACTTCCTTTTGACCGGAGCGGCTGCTGCTGGACTCTTATTTCCCTTTCCCTCTGCTGGCGAGTGCGAGTTGGAAGAGATGTGAGGGCCATTCCCTTTCTTTCCGCCTAGCATTCCGGAGCGATGCTCCGTCGAGGAGGCTTTGTTCGTTCTTATAGCGAGCGAGATTGATGACAGAGTTCCAGGTTCTTGGTAGACGCCAATTTGTCTGATCTGCCGATCACTTGGCAGCAACCCTTGTGACGGGGTCAGCGCGAGTCACGATTGAAATAAAGAGAGACTCGACCTCAGCGCCGAACCGGGGTTTCTTGACAGGCTCGTATGCTTTGAGAAGAGCGTGTTCTCGTATAGTATCCAGCCCTAGGGCAGTGCAAGGAGTCACTATGGAAGCATGCATTTTGTGATATGAATTGAAGGTTCGAGCTCCAAGGCTGAAGCGAGTCTAAGTTTAGCCGCGTCACTTGCTGCGGAACTGGGGGCCTGAGGGCCTGAGGCACTGCGGCTGATCACATGGCTGGATGTTTCTTTCACCTCACTTCTCACTCTTCCAGCAGGTACCGAGAAATTGTTCTCAGCCTTGTCTCTTCGCTGGCATTATTCCGTACATGGCGGTGGAATCTTCTTTCTTCGGCCTGCCGATCCTTACTTGCCCTACATATGGTCAACAAGTGCATGTATTTGACTATAGTGTCTCTTACCTCCCAAAAAATCGACTGTCAGCATATTAGACAGGAAACGGACCACTGGCATTGGCATACTGACCGAAACGGAGGCCTACCGATGTACGCGACTGTTCAGCTGCTAATATCGCTTCATGGACTTGCTACAATTACTTAACATTATCTAGTGCAAGGGACTTGAAAGCTAAAATTACTACTGATACAAGCCTTTGGATTCGGGGTCTTAGACTAATATTGTACATGCATAGAGTCACCAACGTCCGACATCTATTCTGATCCATCGAGACACGAAGCTTTATCAGCAACTGATATCATCGGGGACGTTTTCGCATTTCTCGCTTGTCTTTCCGCCTGTCACGCTCACTTCAGTCCAAGTCCAATCCTTGCAGCTGCCCTCACCGCACAGGAGGTAGATTTCTGTCGCGTCGCTCTCTACGGTTCCTTGGACATTATCCATTGTCACATCGCTGATTGTGATACCGTTTGTTGGTTTTCCGGTCGGACTGCCGTTTTCATAGTCCTGCTCAATAACGATGCCATAGTCGGTGATTCCGGACAGAGTGATGTCCTTGTAGGTGATTCCACTGACCGAGCCAGTGGCACCATAGACGGTTTTGATGCGGACACCTAAGTTTTATCAGTTGACTGGTTATCAATTAGATAAGGAAGACACGAAACATACCATTCTGGGAGTTGACGATCTTGGAGCTTTCAATTTTAACATCAGCAACAGTGTTGTCGTCTCGTCCACCAACGGATCCAATGGAGAGACCGTGACCACCGTAACAGTAACCGCCAGTGAAAGTGATGTTCTAGGAGACGTTGTCAGCAAACATTCTTAGTTGACTGTTGTATTGACGTGGGCACTCACCGTGCCGGAGTTGATAGCCATGCAGTCGTCCTGGTTATGGACAGTGGCACCAGAAATGTAGATACCAGAGCTCTCGCCGACATCAAAAGCATCGGTATTGTGAGCGCCTTCGTCGTCACCATCAGAGTTGTTGATTGTAACATCAGAAAGCGTCAAATCCTGGGCGTTGTCGATGCTAAACACCTGGACCGGGGAGTTCACAAGGTTCAGGCCCTTGATAGTCGAGGATATCATCTTGTGTGCGCTAAAGAACTTGGGCTTGGTTTTTCCGCCGTTTGAGCCTTTTCCATCCCACCAACGAGAGCCGTCACCATTGATGGTATGTCCGCTAGCACCGGTGACGGTGATGTCGGTCCCAGAAATGGAGATCAAGGGCCCCTTCCACTCTTTGTAACCAAAGGTGGTCGTGCCCTCGAAGATAACCTGCAGGAAGGCTTAGTTTGGTGTAGACAGGAAGGGGCATTGCCCTGAAATCTTACCTCGGTGCCCTCTTTCAAGTCAGTCAAGTCCAGGGTTGTTCCGGATGGCACAGCCACGTCGGACAGAACAATGGTCGAGCAGGACTTTTTCGATGCGATGGCTGAAGATGCGCCGCTAGAGCCGGAAAAAGTGCAACTAGAGGCCCGCTCTTGAAGACTTGGAGGAGTAGTAGGTACTGGTGCAGGCGCTGCCTGCACAACAGCTGAGAGACTCAAAGAAAGGGCCATGAAAGACATGGCAGAAGAGAAGGAAGGCATCTTGTGCGTAACGAATGGAAGTTTTTTTTGGGAGCGGTTCAAATAACTAGAAAACGAGTGTACTGATGAACTTGAAGTCCAAGGAACATCTTCAGCGAGTTGATGACGGGTCGATCAATGGATTTTATACATAGCTGTCCCCTTTTCTATCATGGTCCCTCGAACAGGGGCCGCATGTTTCTTTCTCCTTCGTCGATCCCAAACAACAATCCATAAGTGGTAGAAAGTCAATATGTAACGTCCCGTTGTGGGCCACTGTTTGTTTCATCTATATTCCAAAGCCGCGTTGAGAACCTGGTTCCGGGTCTAAGCTCGAAGAAGCATAAATTAAAGTGGTTCTTCTTACGAACGTGAAAGTGATATGTTGGCTGTATAAAGTTTTCACGAGTTTCACATTCCTACCATTTAAGTATGGCAGACTATCCAAACGGGGGACTCCCGAACCCTTCTCCCCTCTAAACCATATATAGAAGTGCTACTCCGAGTGGCAATTTGTGATGCACAGTGATATAGTTACATTTTGATTGCAGCCTTCAGAGACTCAACTATTTCCTCCCAGTAGAAATTGTATCTGCAGTATTGAACCCTGTCAAGGTTCACTTTAGTACTCGGTGATTCTGAATATATTAGAGATCTAGACGAGTATCAAGCAACATCATATGAACTTTTCCAGCTAGCCGCCCATATTATTACCCACATGGGTCCATGTTTCTCTTCATCAATCCAAAACAACCTTGGAAGAATACATGTATACTAACGTCTCATTGGGCTACCGTGTCACCTAGCCCTAACTCTATGCGAAATTCATATCATGTTACGTGGATACTTTGTGTAGTTTCATAAAGCCGGATACAGGCGTTGGATCAATATCAATCCGATTACAATTACAGACACATTATTCTTGACATGTTCTTGTCTTCACAGCAATCCATCCTCCAAAGTCCTAGACCCTCTGAGCCGGCCTACAGCCATGCCCAACAATTGTGTATCTTTGCTGTACCTGACGCTTGAAGCAAGTCCTCACTGACGGAGATTGCAAGCCTGGTAAACTATTCAATAAACAGATTGCTATCTTGCTAAATCTATCTTCAAGGTAGTATACTCATCTTTAGAAGCACGAACCTATGTACGACTATCAGGGCTATATCATAATATTAACGTAGTAAGCCCTAGAAGTAATCCGATTTTGTTGAAAGGTACCATCAAAAAGAAGAAAGGCTGTCTTCAGACTATAGAATAATTGTCGGCCAGTTTCATACTGATCCTATAAAGAAGGCTTTTTGTTGGAAGACACCGCTGAAAAGGATGAATCCTTTGCTACTTCTTTTCTTTATCTCTATACACATAAATAGCGAGCATTTCTACTTTGTGAATCCCTTCCTTATTACTTGTCACTCAGAAGCTACCACGGCGTTATACCCGACTCTCGGTACTGTGCTGTTGACCTTGCAGCGATGGAGCTCACCACACGGCTCTACGAGAACAAAATTGAGCATGCTTATATTGGTGGGTATGCTACTAGTCTTCTTGATCAACTGCGCACCACGGATGTAAGTTCTAGCCTTATTTCAACACGCACTAACGATTGAAGCTCACACGCAAATAGGATATCGACGTTATCGTTGACTCCAGCCCACAAAAAACACAAGAGCTTCTCAGTAGGTATCCAGCTTTCCACGTTGGAAACCATCGGCTTTTCTTCAGGAACGAGGAGGAACATATATCCGTGAAATGCGATGTCTTAAGTGGCGGAGCGAAAGAGCACATGCGCTTGCCATCTGCGGCCACCTGTCAATATCATGCGCCTTGAAGGTCGTTTGAACATCTCAAGTAAGTGCACCTTGCCAAGAACTAGTTCAATCGTGTTCTTTGTGTGTTGTTGCTGCAACTTGGTAAGCGACGCTGAGAGTTTCATGGTCGTAATAGTCCCGATTGTTCACCCAACGATCATGATACTTACCAAGGTAAAGCGATGCGTCCACTTATGTACTTCTCGGCGACCTCAATCCACAGCGAAATTAGAAACAGACCTCACTGGCATCAAGACCCAGCTAAAGTGGATTACGGACCGAGGAATGCACATAGACTCTGCTGGTTACCCGGAAAGACCAAAGACCCTCAGTCTGGATAACGTGAGCGGTTTGTACAAAAACGTCGAATCCGAGCAGAACGACATCAGAGAACTTCTGGAGCAAGCCCTAGAACCTCATGATCTGGCAGCTGTGCTTGCGCTTGTGGCATCTTCTCAGGCTTGAACGGGGCGTTGAATTCTACCGAGGAAGGATTTTGATTCATGGGGTTTGTAGATTGATAAAATTAGAACTTAACTCCTGAAGAGGCGACTTTTGCATTCAATGAAACATTCGTTCTTCAAAAATAACGATAATCGTTTCAAGTCTTTCTTTCCTGCCGGGTTGCCATGACGATTGACGATTGCCACTACTCATTGAAAGCCATTAAGGTCAGTGACAGTATTGAAGACTACGGCGATATCTCTCGACGCTTCCCTTCCTATATTCTTTCTTATCCTGTACAAGATATCATACCGCAGTAACTCTCTCGACTCTAGCGTAGACTTCCAATATGCCGTGTGACGGTACGCTTCACGACTGTTCTCACTATTCAGCTAATACACCCACCGATCTCTCCCAGGGATCGAGTCTGTCACTCCTCGCAAGCGGGTCATTGTATTTGGTCCTCTGACATTGAGGCCACCATGAGAGCTCTGTCCGAATCCTTTTCCAACCAAGACACAACGCCACTGGTACCCATTCAGCCGGAGACCTTGCAAAGGGAATGGCGAGATTTGAATCGTGCGTTGGGCGCTCTTATAAAGAAGGGTATTCCGGTCGTGGAATGGGGAAATTCTATAATGCATCGATGGGGCTTGGTAGAGATTCGTCCGGTATGTGATCAACCTCATCTCTCGTTCAATCAAGCAGAACAAGCGACTGACTGCGCAACCATAGGGCGTTGAATGGGGAATTCCTGACAGTCTCTGTCAACTTGCTTCACAAACTCTCGTTGAGAATGACTTCCCAGTGGCCCCAGAGCGAGAAAACTTTGACCGATACATGGGTGGATGGATAGAACTGTGCACCTCCCATGACAGATATCCTACTGGTCAAGAGCAGATACACCTTTACCGCCTTTCAACTCTACGAATTAGTTACGCTCAGACGGTGTGTTCAACCTTCAACTTCGATCTGCCGATCCTTACCCCGTGTCCCAGCGAGTATTGGACTTCACTGGTTTCTTACCTTCAAGAACTCGATTCTCATGACCCGAAGCTATGCCGCGTAGAAGGTGATCTCGGGGCTTTCATTAGCCGTCCTTGCGATGGCCCCCCTGCCAACACGCAATACTATAGTGAAGAGGAGGAGGAGCTTGCGGATAGGGAGTTTGAGGAAAGCATACCTATTGGACAGGCCAAGTTGGACCACTGGCATTGGCACAATGACCCAAATGGAGAGCATCTCCGGAGGGCTAAGCGGATTGTTAGTCGTCCAAGTACGTTTTGGAAGACAATGAGACGTGATGCGAGCAGTTGGTCAGATCCGGAATATATCTTATAGTTGGCTTTTTTTCCTGTTACATGTCTCTTTTGTGGAGTGGAGTGGCTGTAGTTAGTAACCTTCGAGTGCGCGCGAAGGGGATCATGCCCTAACTTACTACTTACGGTAACGGTTGCCTAGAAGGGAAACTCATCTCCTTTCCCCCCTAAACGACACGGAAGAACTGCTCCGGATGAGCAATCGCAGTCCCTGGCAATTTAACTAATTTAACTAGCTAGAAGACTGGTGGAATCTGTAGCCATGGTGTTTTTGATGTTGATTTAAAGTGTCCACTGCCTAAACAGAATTCTAGTCTGGCGCCGCTGGTTGGGGCTATTGGCACACATATGTAAGCCTCCTGCCCCGCCGCGAATTTGGAAGAATGTAAGGTTGTTTTCAACCTCAGTCATGGTTACTTTTGACATATTCTTCTTTTCTTTTTTTAAGGACAGTGGTAAGAGCTGTGCCTGGTACTGGCGAGTGAGAGCTACTCCTCGTACCTTCGCCATTTCTGTTTTGAGTTTTCGCTCTGTCTGTTTATTTTCGAAAAAGATCTAATCGACTACTCCGATTAGTCCTCGAATTCATTGAGGCAAAACCGACGGTCGAACATCAACAATGTGTTGTTGTGAGTGCTGCCATGATCGGTATGGCCTGGATATAATCGCTTATTGGGATGCCTGAGGCCAATGATTGACATTGCCATCGTCGGTATTACTATCCATATTCGGTATGACTATATGCTCCAACTCTCCCCTCCCCTGTCATTGTGCACGAAGCACGTCGAGGTATTTCGCCATTATTGCCGCAGGATTCAGCTAAGCTATTAGTACTATGCAAGCCTTATCGCTCACCGGCGGCCGTCCACATTGGCGAATAAACCCCGAGTCTTTTTTCCTCCACATTGGCCGGACATCGGAGAGGAGCGAGCGAATGGAACTCTGGAGACTAGAGACGACGCCCATCTACCCCGCGCACAGCACGCCCAGGTCTGGATGGGCCTGTGAGGCGGTTCTCCGAGGAAGAGAAAAGCAAAGATTTCCGCGGGTGCCGCAAAGTCAAAAGGGCAAAGTTCGTATTCGTGAATCATTGACTTGCACGCATACATAAGATGGCTGCCGTGCCCCTCTTTGTGCCGTCTCAGCCAGACACAACTCAACTGTCTTCACAACATGTATTTCAGACTCGACAAGACGGCTCTCGCTGCTGTGGCCCTGGCGCCTGCCATCCAGCTCTCGTCGGCCGAGACCATCCTCGGTGCGTATGTCTTCCATCGACATGGCGATCGCACCCCCAAAAGCATCCCGCCTGCGTCGCTCACGGATCTGGGCTATGTCGAAGTCTTGGACCGCGGCACTTACTACCATTCTCGCTATATTGCCTCGGACTCGCCCACTCAGATCCTCGGCATCCAGAGCGAGATCGTCAAGCTGTCGCAATTGGCTGTCACTTCACCCTCTGACAGCGTCCTTCAGAATTCCGCCGCGGGCTGGCTCCAAGGTCTCTATCCTCCGGCGGGAGCTGCATCAAACCAGACCCTACGCAATGGAACCACCATCGAGGCGCCCTTGAATGGGTTCCAGCTGATCCCCATCGCTATCCAGAGCTCGGGAAGCGGGAGCGAGAGTAACTCATGGCTCCAGAGCGCGGCAAACTGTCAAAACGCAGACATCAGTAGCAACGAGTTCTTCTCTTCGGATCTCTACAATTCCTACGAGTCTTCCACCAAGAGCCTGTACCAGGGTCTCTCGCCAGTCGTGAATGCGACATTCAGCGAGTCCCAATTGAGCTTTCTGAACGCCTACACCATCTGGGACCTGCTCAACGTTGGCATGATCCACAACTCAACCACCACTTACCCGGCTCTGAGCAATGTCAGTGACGATACCATGAACGAGCTATTCCAGCTCGCAAACATCCACGAATTCAACCTTGCCTACAACGAGTCTAGCACTATACGCGCCATCTCCGGTATGACGCTTGCCAGCCAGGTTCTGACAGCACTCAACAAGACCATCACGGGCAACGGCAAAAGCCCAAGTCTCAACGTCCAGTTCGGCGCCTATGCTACATTCCTGTCCTACTTTGGCCTTGCGAATCTGACTGCCGTCAATGCCGACTTCTTCGGAATCCCGGACTACGCGTCTAGCATGACCTGGGAACTCGTCACCAATGCCACCGTGGCTAACGCCTCCTCCTTCCCATCTACGTCGGATATCAGTGTGCGGTTTCTGTTCAACAATGGCACCTCCGCTGCTTCGGATAATTTGACGGCGTTCCCGCTATTCGGCGGCTCGGCTCTCGAGCTTCCCTGGGATGATTTTGTCACTAGTACTCAGAAGTTCGCCGTCACAGGTCAGGAGCAGTGGTGCCAGGTCTGTGGTAACACAACGGGAATCTGTGCAAGCAGCAGCTCTTCAAGCGCGTCTGCCTCGTCTACTAGTAGTTCGGGCAGTGGCATGTCGAATGCTGTGGCCGGTGTGATTGGTGCTATGGTCACTCTGGGAGTTGTGCTGGGTCTTGAGGTTCTGGGTTTGTTGGCTGGTGGGTTGAGGGTGGTTAGGAAGAGGTCTCTTGCTGCTGCTGGTGCTGCCGCCTCCTCGAGTGCTGTGAATGCTGGTGATGAAAAATAGAGTGCAAGGCTCATGAATTATGAGAGCAAAGCGTGTAATGATTGACGAATCGTGCCTGTCTGTAGCTACCGTGGGAAGGGTTACCTAGGTAATGAAGCTATTGAACTACAAGAAAGATAGGAAGTGATATAATCTTAGGGATACCCTAAATGCAGTTGATTTGAGTCGTCGTTCATCATAAGATCAATAGGTGTACTCCTGCTTACACAATTAAGATTCAAGATTCCATCAACACCCCTTTATCACCCATAATCTCACAGCCATTTCGTACAACCCCGACAAGACCTCCAGTCTGAATCGCCTCACTGCCTCCACCGGATAGTCGCCACTCAACTTCCGCCAGTCCCTCTAACCAGCTGATTCGAGTCTGCGCAGGGACTTCCAACGTCTGCAATTGTTCACCTAATGCGCTCAGAATATCTGCTAGGGCAAGTCCCTGGTTTGTCTTGATAGTGTTGATAGTGTTGAGGCATGACGTGACGTCGCTGGTTGATAATAGTGTGGTCATGATTTCGCGGATATCAGATGGATGAGGAGCGGCAATGCAGTTATAGATCGTTGCGTCGGTGACTAATTCGTGCTCTGGGGGCGGTTGGTCTTTGGGAGCATTATGCATGGGAAGTGGGATGCCTTCACCAATGGCCAAAGAATTTAGTCAATCATTCAACCTAATAGCTTATCTTGGTTGTTAACTTACTGCTGGCATGGCAAGCCTGAAGAACGTTCAACGCCCGTCGCATATCGCCCTTGCTAAGTCTGACGAGGCTCTCGGTTGCCTCGGGTTGTATCCGCACATTCTCCGCCTCAATGACCTTGTCCACCAGAGACCGGATATCTGCTTCCTTCAGCGGACTGAACCGGAACCTTGTACATCGCGACAACAGGGCCGGCGAGAGCTTGTGGGTGTAATTCGCAATGATACAAAATCGGGTATTGGCAGTGTATTTCTCCATGATTCGGCGAAGCGCCATCTGTGCAGTGGCCGTCATTGCGTCGGCTTCGTCTAGGATGATCAATTTGAAGGCCCCCAAAGAATTCTTGTTTGCGGCTGGGGCAGCAACGGAAAAAATCTGTTTTGTGCTCGCGAATGTCTTGATCTGTTCTCGAACCACGTCAATGCCTCGATCATCGGACGCGTTTAATTCTAGCACCATCTGGCGCATGTTTTTGCTTCCATAAATTCGTCTCGCTAGGGCCAGGATCGTTGTGGTCTTTCCAGTGCCAGGAGGTCCGTAGAGAAGAAGATGCGGTAATCGCTAGTTGAGGGATCAGACCCAACGTACTTTGGTACAATGATGTTTCATCCACTTACATGTGTGTCAACAAATCTGTTGATCGTAGCTAGTATGTCCTGGTGTCCATGAACCTCGTCCAGCGAGCTCGGGCGGTATTTCTCAACCCTGATTGACCGTTCAGAACTTGCTTCGTGTGCTTGGAAAAGGAGAAGGCCGCGCTTACCATGGTAGATTATCCTCAGCGCCAACAGGCAAATCTGCAACAATTTTCTTCCCTTTTGTGTTGGTGTTATCGGAGCTAAATTTCATTGCGGTGCCTTGTGCCGTGGCATCCATGTCGATATCATCGTCATAGTCCGACATTCTGGAGATATTCCTTCTTTATAGATGAGATTGATAGCTCTTCGGCCTTTTCCAGTGCAGATAAGTATCCACGAAGACAATTCCTCTGTATGGCTGATGTCCGACGCGTCAAAAGACGGAGAGCGCGTAAAGAGGTTCCTGGAGCTGCTAGCGCGGAAAATAAGCGGACTAGCCTTGTACGGCTAGCTTCAGACAGGCGGCTACAGCCCGCACTGCTCACTCCGTCATAACAGCTGCCTATCTAAACGTCTACAAAACATACGCCCTCCAGAACCTCATACACACTAGAGCCGCCCATCAGATTCTTCAAAATGCCCGTATGTGATATCTGCATATCCGCAATTGACCGCGCAGAACTAACCATATCCATTCAGGCATACCATTCGATCTTCCTGGACGAGGCCGACCTCCCTGTTATCGGTATGCAGATGCAGCCCTCCCCGCATACTCCAGGCTCCGAACATTGGACTCTCGAATAGTTCACTCCAGACAGCTTGGGCAACATGCGTCTAACATTAAATTCGTGCCAGGAAACTTCCCTCTCCTCCCTCTTCGCACTCGCACTCGGGGCCCCGCATACGTTCTCCCCGCGCTTCCTCCCTCAGTGTCCGACCTTGATATTGACCCGAACAGCGAGTCGTACGATTGCATCGATGAGATTCTTTCTCTTTTCCGCGCCAATGTGCTTTTCCGCAACTTTGAAATCAAGGGCCCTGCCGATCGCATGTTAATTTATGGTATACTCTTTTTGAGCGAGTGTTTGGGAAAAGTCAAGCCGGGAATGGCGGCTCGAGATGCTGAGAAGGTAGAAGATTTTGGTTCCTTTTGAACTCGAATGTCTATAATTTGTTTGATGGCTGACCTTGCGGGAATGTCTAGGCCTTGATTAATGTGGCCCTCGAACAATTCGCTATCCCCGGCGACGTCTCGTTTCCTCTGAATCAAGCTTTTGAGCGTCCGCGCGACAGACAAGACGCCGAGCAACTCCGACAGTACGCAATGAGTCAAGACAGTTATGGTTGAGAGATATGACTGACCACAACAGATACCTTTCTCAAGTCCGACAAGAACTTGCTATCCGACTACACTCTAGATTATACCCCGGTGGTGAAGGTCCTTCCAAGGTTAGTCTGCCCCTTCTCCATTCTCCTTGTATCCGTTGCACTTCAACACTGGATCGTCTTGATTTGTATACTGACTAGAACTTATATAGTTCTGGCTTAGCTTTGCGAAGAGAAAGTTCATGGGCAAAAGTCTATAGATGTTAATGTTTTGATGTCTCGCCTCGTTTTCTGATATGAATACCTAGGTAGTATAAATGTGATTCTATTTCTCACTTTGCAATATGCAGCCGATCTGTTAAGGGCCCTTTTTCTACTAGATTGCATGCACCTTTCTTTCGCCACGTCTATAGTACAGTAAGTGGGCTTGATTTCATGCAGCGGCCGGTGTCGGTACATCTTCCGGTGTGCCGGTGTCCAACTTTCGCTTTTTACGATTGGAAATGCCGCGGGCCTGTATGCGTCCTGATGGAGGAATCACTCGGGTGCCGTGAAAAATGTATCCCTCTGCGTTACCTCGTCCAGTCATTAAAGGATGTGTCCGGCCTGGCAACGCTTGCCATTCCCGGACACGCGATGTTTGAAGCATGGGCGCTAGGATTAATGTCGGATCAAGAGGAAATTCCGATGAAAGCTCAGATTCGATCGATGGTAGATCCACGTCCATATCCTCGGTGTTGATGTTTTGTCGCTCTTTTTCGAGTGCCGTCTTTCTGTTTATATACGCTGCGCGGCGATTCGATGAATACTGGTCCATCAGCTTGGTGAGCTGCTCGACTGTCGGTGAATATACTACGACAGACGCTCCACCAGTGAGCAGCGGAACAGCGTGCTTCAGTATCGAGTCTGGATCCATATGACTGGCAACAATCAATCCGTCATATCCGCCGGTGCGTACCTCGTCAACAACCCTTTTTACTCGAAGCCACCGGGCGTGTTTGCGATGATATGTTCCGCGCTGCCTCGGTTTGAGCGTTTTCAATTTCTCCTCGCTGAGAGTCTCCGGCTCCTCTGAGTACATGTTATCAGCCCCCGGTTCGACCAGTTGAAGCCAAGATACGGTTTTCAAGTGATCATAGAGGGGATGCGAGCTGTCGGGTTCGTCTATATCAAAGCCAAATTGTTTCAGGAGGACGAGGTTGGCCTGTGAATAAGGATGGATAACGGTGATAGTATTTTCCACCGCGGCCATGCCCTGTATTTTTATTCGCTGCGAGACCTTCGACCCCGCCTGGCGCTCTCCATTGTCTTCAGTTCCGTTCGTGTTGCCTGATGTTATGTGGTCTTGTTCGGAGTTATCCCCATTCTCCTCCGCATCACTGGACTGAGAAGGGTAGAGAATGCCCATTCGTTCAGCCATGGCGGCAACAACGAGACCTCCAGTATCATCCGCCACTAGATATCTTCCACTCGGCTTGAGATTCTCGAGTCTTGAATTTCCGCTGTTATGCACATTTCCCCAGCATCCAATTAACCCAATAATTTCGTGTCGCAGTTCCATGGTCCGGTTCAGCTCCTTTCGCTCTAGCATGTAGTCTGTCAGAAGATTGACATCCATAGGTAACACCGTAAATCTTTTAAGATACTTCTTCTCTTTACGCAGCTTGTATTTTGCTAGTGAGAATACCGTTTTCTTGTCAATAGCGGAGTGGGATTCCAATAATTTCGCAATAATATCCTCCCCGGCGCCAGTGGAATTTTTCTTCAATTCTTCAATCTCGTCCAGGGTCAACGTTTGCGCCGATCCATCATCAACAATGTCACGGTTTGTACGCATGGGCTGCTGTTCTCCATTTGCCGCATCTGTTTCCTCCAGCATACCATCTGCCTCTCCAGAGCCCTCGGTGATGAGAGCTTCAGCATGGAGCTCGGCAGCTGGCACGATACGCAGGCTGTGGCCATCTTCGCTTGGTTCGTTGAGAATCTCGTACGTTACATGAAACGGACGGCCAATGATCTGGTTTGCTTGAAAACTACCGAATTTCCCCAGCGATACTGATCTGAAATCCATTAAGCAATCAGCCAACGGCTCTCCAATCATGACTTGAGGGGAAACGAATTATTTTAAACTCACGTATTCGGTGTGATCGCCACCAACTTATACATGCCGGAGGGCAGCCGCAAAGCAATCTGCTGCTTTGGCAGGACAACTGAATCCATTGTTTATTTTTTTCTTTTTTCTGTTTCTTCCTCGTATCCGAAGTACCTTATCACCTTGTTTGTTCTCTCGCCATGTCGACGGTAGGTAAAATTTAGGAATTGTTCTAGATTCGCGCAATCTGATTGGAAAGCGATTTAGCTTGCGAACCACCTTCCCGGCGAGATATAACTCCGGCTCCGGATAAGGCATATCTTAGCCGCCGTGGGCAGCGGGCACACGTCACGCTTGGTCATCCAGGCATCCATACGGTACGATACGGTACGAGACGATACGATGCCCGTTGGAAGTTGGGACTAAGACGCAAATGGAATAGGTATTTTCGACCTCGAACCGCCCGGCCAATGAGGGCGCTGTGCGGTCTATTATTAGCTTGATTGATAGCTCATCCGCGCACGGCAGCAACTTAGCTTGCATCTTATGCCTGCGGGGGAAAAATGGCAGCCTACGGAGGTGACGAATCCAAAGGATGTGTTTTTCCTAATACCCTGTGACTTCTGAACGACGTTTTTTCGTGCTGTTGAATTTGTTTATTCGAATCCGAGACTCTATATATGTATCTCTAGCACGGGCTGCGTTGCTTACTACTCAATTACGACAGCGTCCTGCGTGGTACATTCGGACATCCGACCGACCTCACACAAGCGACAACGCTTGTGTATAGTTTCGACTACACCATTATCGACAATCAGCCAGGGGTGTACATGAGCTCTCGAACTTGGAGAGGAATGTGTTATTTGTCTTCCGCAGAATAGTACCGGCAACCCCCAATTAGCACGGCATAGAAACCGCGAGTCGGCGAGCGATACTCGACAACCACTCCCTTTGAATAGCGGCATACAGTGCTGATGGTGCTCCGAAAGAATCCTCCGCCTGGAATTAGTGTTCCGTCACGAACGAGAAACGGCTCAGACCCTCGTTCTCCTGTGTCGCGCAGCTCTGCATCTCCCCGATCAGCCACTCAACAATCGTCTCGTAAAGATAGCTGGGAGCTGGATACAGACTCGATATATTCACCGGACTTGCATACGTCTCCTGCATTTGACCTGATGCCTCTAGAAGAAGCGCAGAAGTCCCCAGTGGCTGTTCAAAGCCCATGGGAGGATGAGCTGGTGGAACGGCCAACTGGGATGACACATGTGGCTGCGACCACGCAACCTGGAGCAGCAGCTGACCAGATGTTTGGGAATCCGGACGGAATAAACTACCAACACACAGGCTTGAGCGTTCCGTCGGTTGACGATCCTCAGAAACAGTTAAATTTTGGAGATTCGGTGTCTGGAACATCCCCCCAGCGATTTCGCTCTAACAATCCTTTTCTCCGCTCCCGAAATCCAAGTCCCAATCCATGGGACGATGCCAGTCAGCAAGGACAGGTGTCGCTGCACCCAGGGCATGGAGCATCAATATCCAGTCTTCACCCAGATGCTTCTGAAAGAAATAGCCAGAGTAAGCTTCCCATGTCACTCTCTTTTTTTCCCCGTCAATCTGCTCACAGTATGTAGCTTCAGGTATCATCCCAATGACTGCACGCTTGTCAATATTCGATGAACCAGAGGAACCATGGGGCTCATCAAGCCATCAATCAATCGCGCAAACACAGACATCGCTAAGCTCCGAATCAGCTCTACGTGTCTCTTCCGAAAATGGGGGGTCATCTCTTCCTGGAGACAGTGGCATGTCAAATCAATATCCGATAAATCAGGCTGCGCAATATTCGGGTTCGAACAATCACTGGCAGGGAACGATGTTGACGGGCGCTTCAAATTCTATCAACGGCTCAAATGCGTCTGCATCACAACCTATTCCCCGAGCCCCGTCACCACAGCTCATAGATCTTGGTGATACACCGACAAACACACAAGTCGATCCTTGGTCTTCGGAAAATCAAGCCCCTACGCCTCATAATGACCAAAATAAAGATCGGCCTAAAACTTTAAATGCGCCTGCGTCTACGTCTGCGCCATTGCCACCAATGTCCGAAGCGGAGTTGAGGAGGTTTCAGGAGAAACAAGCAGAGACATATGCGATTCGACATGTAAACTGGATCGACCACACGGGAAGTTTGCGCGAGTCTCCAGTGCTCGTGCAAAGTCAAAACGGGCCATGCCCTTTACTTGCACTTGTCAATGGACTCATCATGCGCTCTGACAGAAATACCCAGCCGCCGATTGTTAGAGCCCTACAAATAAGAGAGCACATTTCTCTCGGGCTACTTATTCAGGCTTTATTTGATGAGTTGGTCACATACTCAAACGACGAGCTTCCTGATATTGAAGCTCTAAGCCGGTTTCTAACCATGCTACACACCGGAATGAATGTGAACCCTCGTCTTACACTAGAATCTTCAGCGGCAGTCGGATCATTCTCCGAAACTAAGGATCTTCTATTATATGACTCCTTCAAAGTCCCCTTGATTCATGGGTGGATAGCCGCACCAACAAGTGAAGCCCATGACTCCATGGCCCGAGTCGCCGAGTACTATGAAGACATGCAATTATTACATTTCCGCAAAGAAGAGCTCGAAGACCGTGTCATCCGCAACGGCTCCACATTATCTCCTGTTGAAGAGCGTCTTATGGGTGATATTCAGAAAATTATTCACTTTGTCAGCGTCGAAAACGCAACGCAGTTGACTGCGTTCGGATTAACGCATTTGGGCAGGACACTTTCACCAGGCTCGGTGTCGATCCTTTTCCGCAATGATCATTTCTCGACTCTCTATAAACATCCTCAGTCGGGTCAACTATTCACCTTAATCACGGACGCCGGATACGCTGACCATCCTGAAGTCGTCTGGGAATCACTTGTCGATGTAACCGGTTCCAATGCAGAATTCTATGCAGGCGACTTCCGACCAGTCGGCCATGGCCCCTCTGGCTCGGGTCCTGCTGTATCATCTCATTTAGTTGCAGAACGAACATCAAGTCGAAATAATGCCACGACTACGTCCAGTACTACATCGTCGCAGAAAAATACCGAACAGGAAGATGCAGACTATGCATATGCACTTTCACTTCAGTTTCAAGAAGAAGCGCGACAACAGCAGCAACAACAACGACAGCAACGTGGTCGGTCTTCCTCAAGTCGATTACCTAGCTCTAGTTCTGCGGGCAACAACACGGCACTGCGATATAGCCAGTCTACCGCCTCTGGCTCATTGAATAGACACCACACTCCATCCGCGTCTCTGCCTTCAATTCAAATCCCCAATCGAAGCAATGAAAACCACGTCAGCAACAACGACTTCAGCAACATACCCCAAGATGCACCCGTAGACGGTAATGCCAACGACGATATAGCAGACGATGCACCTCCCCCTTCCTACGAGCAAGTAGCTCGCAACAAGGCCGCTGAATCCCTGAATCGGCAGCAACAACAATCCCGACAACAGCAGCAGCAGCAGCGGCGGCAACAATTATCTTATACCTCCTCTTCTGCTTCGTTACCACATACGGAATACGGTCGACGAAGCCAATATCCCGGTGCAGCCGTGGCTGCAACTGGTCGAAGACAACCACTGCAAACCTTACCGGACAGAGAACCACGGAGTCCAAGGGATAAAGATTGCATTGTGATGTAGTTTGTAACCCCAACCCATTGACTGACTATATATGTATGATTTGATGACTTGTACTATTTCTAGCCTTAGCCCTAGCTTTTTTTCCTTTCTTTTCTTTTCTCCGTTTCTTTCTCGCATATCATTTATTGGATTTTTCCTCTCGGGTTCATATTTGCTTGGCAATGCATACAATTAATTCTCAGTTGAATTACTGGTTACTTGAGAATATGTGCTGATATGCCTTGGGTTTGTCAATACGTACTTGCATGATATTCAATTACATCTAACTACAAAGAGGTGAATTTATTATGCACTCTAGTCAGTAAAGTGAATAGCTAGCTATCTATGAACCTGCAATTGAAGGAGTTACCTAGGTCGTATACACACTAGGTATTGTTTGAGCAAAGAAATATTTAGCTCTGTGAGAAGAAAATTAAAGTCATTCGTATACGTTTCTCATTACAATATGTGTATGTATTTATTTATTCGTGTCGTTTCAGGGTAATGCTGCAAAGAAAATAAAAAAATCTCCTTCCCATATGATGAATCTTTGTTCAAAAAAAGAACCCGAGAAATAACGTCGTCAACTTATCAGATCTTCTTTCTTCGCTTTGGGCTGTGTATGATCGATTGATCGGATACGTTGATGCCTGGGTAATTCTCGTCGACTGTGTTTGAGGGACTCGTTTCTTCGCTATCGGTAAGCGTCTCGATGATGCGTCCTGGTTCGTGTGTGGTCGTTGCGTTCCTCTGGTTATTATTATTGTTTTTGTTGTCAACAGCAACACTACGACCGCTGGGGTCGTCGGATTTGGTGTAGTCTTCGTAATTATCAAAGTAGCTTGTCGGCGCGCTTGTTCGTGCGTTGTCCCCGAATAGATCGGTGTCTCCTACACCAACGCCGAGGTTGTCGAAGTCAAAGAGCTCGTCGTTGGCACGTCGATCGTCAGAAGTCGTTTTGTAGTTCTGGGTGGGTTCTGAAGTTGATGAATTCCCAATGTCAAAATTGCCTTTAGTATCTAGGTCTCCCATATCCGTGAAGTAGTCGTGGCTGTTGAATATTTGGTCAAGATCAAGTGTAGGCGGAGGTACGTTGCCATCTGCAATGCCGGGGATATGTCCAGTCGGGCTCAATGGCTGTAGTAGGTTTGTTAGGTTCTGGACGGAACGGTCCTGTTCGGCTTGCATCTTCATCAAGTTGTCAATCTCATTACGAGTACTAGCAAGTTGAGCAGAGTAGTTGTCTGGCATGGGAGGTGGAGTCGGTGTTATCAGGGCATTGTTTGATGAAGCAACAGACGGATCGCTAACGTTTGTATCACGCGCCATCTGTCGTAACATATCTGCCCGCTGCTTCGGTGTAAGAGCCGAATTACCACCGGACGTTTCTAGAGAAGAAACAATGTTGGGAAAGTCGCTAAATGTGGTTTGAATGCCGTTAGCAGCGTTGGAATTCTGGATCATGGACATGATATCACGCTGTGGCTTGCGCTGGTCCTGCGGGGGTCGCATGGGTCCTGCTGGTTGGGGACTATTGCTATCGTGGATCTCTTCAATATTCCGTATCGGCGCAACTTGTTGACGGGAAAGCTTCCGACTCGAGGTACCATCGTAGGCACTAGTCGCTGGAGACAAGGTGGTTGCACGATCATTAGTGCTAGCGTCAGCCTGTGGAGGGGCCTTCAACAGCAACGGCTGTTTCTTAAATCGCGGATTTGCTGACGCCAGATCGTTGCTTAAAGTACTCAGAGCATAATCATCGCCGACATCAACAACATTGCCTTGATCTTGGGATATGATCCCGGAGAAAGAATTGGCAAGATTCTGGGGGCCATCATGTCCCTGAAGGCTGCGGTTATAAACTGTAGCAAGAAAGGTGAGAATCGCGTTGATGGAATTTTCATGGCGGCTGTGCTGTTCTTGGAAGTTGGCGGCTTGAGCATACAGCTGCTCATGTTCCCTGCGAAGTTTCAATATCGTACTTGAGATGATTTGCTGTTGCTGGCGGATATTTTGAAGTTCACGGTAGACGCCGGCCAATTGATCCTTTGGTAGGATTTCCTCCCCGCTGGTTATGGCAAGTTGGCCACCATTCCGCGGGCGCTCATCGCGGCCACCATCTTCGGCGAAGTCATCAGCGTCATGGTCTTCGCCATCCTCCGTCTTGGTCTTGGCTCCTTTGCCAGCCCCCTTGCCACCCTGACCAGAAACATTTTTGGGTTTCTGAATCAGCCATAGAAGATCGGGGTGGCCGCGCTTAAAGTACGGGTTGGCGTATTCACTCGGGCTCTTGTTCTTCCTTTCACTCGCGCGCATCGAGTTGTCAGACAGGCCGACCTTTTTATGGAAGCCATACATATTGAGTTGGCGCACGAAAGAAGCGTATTTATTATGTTTAAACAGCTCGGGAATCAGCCTGCGGGCGAATTCATCTTCATCCAGCACGATGAATGAATTGCCATCGTCGGACCATCGTATAAAGTCGGCATATTGTGGTTCATCGAGGAAACTAAGTCAATGCATTCATCAGTAAAAGTTCCTATATTGTAATGATGGTTGATCATACCTTCTCAGCTTCTGAACGAAAGGGGGGATTTGTTTCCTCTTCGCCTGCGCTTCTCTCTTCGCAATTAGCGCCCTTTCTTCGAGTTCTGCCAGACTCTCTCCCCAGCCATCACCGCTGCTGGTTTCTGGAACCGATGAAACAGACGACTGCTCAAATGAACGGTTTCTATTTATAAGCTGATTCATTGGCCTTCGGGTGAGCTGATTAGGCGGTTGGTTAGAGGCCACTGCAACTTCTTGGTTTGTAGCATACGGCATGGTGTTATATGCGGTCGAATCGATGGGAAAGGCCTGCGTCGTGGCAGGAGCATGAGGGTCTTGGCCCCATTGAAGAAATTGATCGTCAGAAAGCTGATTTGCAGGGTCCGTGTAACTTGGAATCGATCCAATTGGGCCATGTATCACGGGCGACGTGCCTGGCGCTGGCCGTTTGCGTGATGGAACTCCTTGAGAAGTCATCTTCAACGATCTTGTGCTATCAGTTCGGCGTCGAAAAATCGCACAGCCTGTTGTGTAGAGCAATATAAGAGGACCCAAGGGTCACTCTCAGTTGTTCGGTTTTCTGTCACTGTGTGTTTTTTTACGTGGTGTAGTACTGAAGCTAGACGCTCTTGGTGGCATTAAAAGCAGCGCTTTGGTTATCCACAGAGGGAACGGCGCCAGTAAGCGAGGATGGTAGACCGCGTGCTAGCCTCTATTCCTTGGTATTTTCGAAGATAGATTAGGTGATATGATATTCACCGAGAGGGGCGCTGCAGAATTATCGGCCGTTCGCGTCTGAAATAGAATGGTATGTAGCAGAGCAGAAATGATGGGATTTAGCGGTAGAACAGAGTCAATGGTATTTCAAGTGTAAATAGATGCTCGCATGGTACCCCAGGAAATGCTTGACGTTGGCGAGCGCTGAATCGACAAGGCTAGTTGCCTGCTGCAGAGCGAGCAGCGCTGTGGCGGCAGAATAATGTCAGAGCCGGCGATGTAAAATTCGAATGAAGAGAGCGCGTAATGCAGGGAAACACTGGAGACGGGCTGCTAATGCGTTTCCTCTCCGGCGTTGCAAAAATTCTCAGGACCTGCGAATTGGACTTGTTTTTTTCTTCTCGTGAACTTTCCAAGCGCTTGCCTCATCCCGCCAAGCTTAAGTGAAGTCGACGGGCGGAGCGGGCCTATTCCCGATCCGTAGACGCACGTGACTGCATAACTTGTTCATTGTCCCGACCAGCGCAGCACAACCAAACCTGACACGACAATGCTATTGATTCGTATTCAGCAAGGAATCTTACGAGGTTTTGCGGCCAGAACAACTGAATGATTCAACAAATGTGCGCATCAAGCCCTAGAAGGCCTTTTCTACAGACGTCTAGCCACATGAACAAGAACTCCGCTACAAATTGGTCCGACCTTGATTCAGCCCTGCCTCAATACAGTGGCTAGTATAGACGCGTTTCTAGGCCTAGGGAAACAATAACAAGACCATATTCGATCTAGGGGTTGCCCAGATAACTCGGGACTCTCTTTCCAAGGCTATCCCTGAACATGATGGGCGCGTTCATGTCGCTTCGTACCCAAGTTCTCCCTTCCCAATAAGCTTCATTGGGCTTTCTTCCTTCAGCTTGAATGCGCTCAGCCACCTTTTCAACCTCTGCCCATACTCGGAGGATGTTTTCGCCGGCAAATTTGCGAAGCTGCTCGTCTGTTGCTCCTCGTTCCATCAACAGCTCGACTAGACGGGGGTATTTTGAAACATCCTAGAGAGAGTATTAGAATATGGATGAGCTGTTGTCGTCAATTGAATGGTGAAAAGGAAGGGAAATGGAAACTGACCTCCAAGCCTAGTGGAGTGACAGGCGTTCCGTCGAAGTCGGAGCCCACGCCCACATAATCCCATCCAACAAGTTGGGCAACATGCCATATATGGTCGACAACGTCGTGGATTGTCGCCGCGTCTGGATTGTCCGGTCTCAAAAACCGATTGACGAAAGTGATCATGATGATACCTCCCTTTTCAGCGGTTGCTTTTAAGACATCATCAGGCGCAAATCGCAACACCTTAGAAAGTGCATATGCGCCGGTGTGTGAAAATATGACGGGGGCTTCACTGAGCCGCAGTACGTCGCGCATTGTTTCATGAGATACATGTGACAGATCGAGCATCATGCCTAGGCGGTTCATTTCGGCAACATACTCTTCGCCAAAGGGAGTGAGTCCCTTGTCCTCCCGACCGGCCGTCACAGTACTGGCTGCAGTACCGAAGACGTTGTCACAGTTATGTGTAGTCGTGATATATCGTGCGCCGAGGTCGTACAGCTGCCTTAATGATGCAAGTGAATTGCCGATTTGATGAGCTCCCTCGATGCCAATGAAGCTGCCGACTTTGCCGTTTGCAAAGGCCTCCCGTGCGCAAGTTGAGTTGGAGCAGAACTGGAAGATATCCGAGAATTCGTTAACAAAGCGTTTCGTTATATCGATCTGCTCGAGGGTGTCACGAAGTGTCCACTAGTCACGGTCAGCGCGATTTCTGGACGTAGTCTTTCGGGGCTTTATATTCATACAGTGGGTTCGTCCAGCGGGACATCCTCCTTCGTCTCACTATCCTTGGGGCAATGGATATAGCATGACCAGAACTGTCCTCCCAGCATGCCATCTCGCACCTTCTGCCGATCGGTGTTACTTAGAAGGCCCGTGTTGAATGTGAATTTGTCATTGTAGATTTGATGCTTCAACTCATTGCGGATCAAATAAGGAAGGTCATTGTGTCCATCGATTAGTGGCGTTGTGCTGAGGACATGCTTCGTTCGCGCAGCGTAGTCTGTAGGGTCGATGGGAGCCGGGGCTTCTTGTGTCGCTGTCCAGGGGCTAATAAGTACGCTTGCGAGAAGGATACCCAGGGTGCCGATGCCAAAGAGCCAGCCTCGTTGAGATCTGGACGCCGTCACTGCTCCTGACAACACTACTGCTTGGTTGGATTCCTGAGAAGTAAGAATATCTGAAGCCACGGCAGCTGCTCTGGTATTCAAAGTCTCCATGATGTTGATAGAGGACGAATGCTGCTGTATTCAGTGAAAACAAAAACAAAGAATGCTGAGAATATTTTTCTCCTTTTCTTTTCCCCTCACTTTTTTCACTCCATATCTTTACTCCTACTAATTGCAGGTCCATCTCGGCCTTACCCCGGTCCAGAGCGGGAAAAATGTAGGCATCGCCAGCAGCCGTCGGCGTCTCACTCGGCGATTCGTTTATCAACCAAACGTCTAATTCTAGCGTGACTCCGCTTGGCTGATAGGCTGCCAGGCCCGGCGACTGATTGAATTGATTCTAACGATGCTACTGATAAGTAGCGCAATCGCGACGAGATACTCGGAGATGTCCGATTACAAGCAACCAAGTATTGCGTCTTTATTCTCTGCTATGATCACATTGCTTCGCTTCGCTTCACTTCGCCCATGCTATCTTCGAATGCTTGACTTGCTGAAATGAATCACAAGCCTCATGCTAGCCTATATAGTTAGTATGTTGTAACTAAATCTACCCCCAGACCCAGGGCGCCAATTCAGGCGAACCAAATTGGCCGTCAATGGGCATCCACCCATTCTCCATTTGAAAGGCAATATCACTTGTGTTTCTAGGGAACGACATAGAATTATCATATGCTTCGCGTTCGTCGTGCGGGGAGGCCATCGCGAGAACGGACACTGGGACGGAGGGCTTTGGCTGGAAGAGCATCGCAGCAACCCTCCGCAGCTTATGCTGGATGACCTTCGAAAGCGCCCAAGTCTCATTCGACGACTTTAACAGTCCAATAAGGAGCCGTACGCGGTCTCGGTGTTGCTCCAGACACTTCTCGCCGTCAACTCGAACATGGGCGATAAACGTTGAGCACTGCACGACGCCGCAGAGGCTCAGGCCAAACATGAATAAAGGACTATGTTTTTGCATCGACGTGCAAATGGAGAAGAGATTTGAGAGGCGCTTGGAGGCCTCGGTGGCTTTTATACCATGAATATGCCGCGTGGACGAGGGTGGGAGTTTGTGCGCAATCGGACCGCAGAGAAGATTGTCAACGTTGCTTGCGTTGGAGTCGGCACAGAAATCCAGAATCAAATTACTTCGTGGGAAGTGCAGCAGAATCGCGGCAAGCTGCACCATCATATGCGCCTGCAGCAGCATCTCATCGATCTCGCCATACGCATTTACAATGTCGGCCTTGTTGGAAGGTAGATAGTGCGCCCAGCTAGCCAGCGTGTTGTCCACGGCTTGCGCTTTGTCACGATGTGCCCGATTCGGATCCCTCACAGCAAGAACGCGGGCGAGGAGATCAATTGCATCAACGCGATATGTGAACGACGAGAGCGCTCTGGTTTCGGAATCTACTTCTGCGAAAATACGGGACTCCAGTTCCTGGCGCGACGCAGGGGGGGAGATGGAGCGACCCTCTGCATAGATGCTTTCTTCGCAGGGCATCTCAACATCGCAATGAACCAAGCTCAGTCGGAGGCCAGAGGGTCCCCTGGGATCGAGAGCTGTCAGGTAGCCGTCAAAAACATACAGTTCCCACCACGTTCGTCTCATACTTTCCGCTTCCAACCCGCTCCCTTGTCGGGTGTAGAAGTTGGCAAACTCCCTCTTATTCATCCCCACCGCAAGCGCCATGTCGATTGCCTCGTGCAGTCGTGTACGGGCCTCTTCAATCTCTCCATTGCCATGCAGGGCGATGGCATATAGCAGCCTGGCCTGCACAACCTGCGGCGAGTTTTCGCCGTTCACCGTCTGAGCTAACTCGGTGGCGGCTAATTCTCTCAAATGCGCCACCGAGATCACAGAGTAGTGACTACCGATATACTGAACGACAGCACTCAAGTAGCTTGGATACCGCCGGCCCCTGTCGTAGACATTCTTGGGGAATAGGATGGGATGCGAGCGGTGAAAGTTTTCGTAGTAAAGCTCAACTAGAGTCTCCTCCGCGGGGCCGCGGAGTACACCGTCACTGTCTTGCGTAACATGCTGTCCTTGTAACGAGCGAAGCGACCGGGGGGACGATGATGTTATTACATCGTTGGTTCCAGTGGCTTGGCTGATACTCGTAGCTACAGGGACATCAACTGCTGCTGTGATATCCGGCGGTAGAAGCGTCGTTGCCGGCCTTGACTGATTCAGATATATCAATGCCGCTGCCGGCGATGTATCCATCCACTGCCCGTGACTTTGCGCGGGAGACTGCTGCTGTGGCACAGCAGAAGTAGAGGAGGAAGAGATCCGCGACGAGTACTTGCGTTTTCCGCCTCGTTTCGACTTCAGATAACTACAGCGGAAGCCCACTTCGTGGCAGCGTGAGCAGACTGGTGTTTTGGCGTCGCACTTGAGATGTCGCCGTCGACATTCGGTGCATGCCAGAGCAGCGGGGCGGGGCAGTCGGCCCTTTTCCTGCGAGAGGGTTGGCGGCATATCCTTACAGTATCTCGTGAGACTAATATTTATCATGTAGATGCGAGGAGGAGTTTTCGGGGACTGATCGGGAGTGGTAGAATGCCATCGGCGACCCAACCGCAGCCATACTGAATACTATATATATATACTATGCTATGCTATGCTACGCTATGCTCATAGAAGAGTTTGCATCACGCCATGATGGCTTCGATATCGCCAAATTAAGCTCTCCGGCCTGTGATTGGCCCATCCATCTATATCTTGCGCGCCGGCTATCTAGCCCTAACCCTAAGACCTCGATTTGCAACTCTTCTTCGTCCACAACATTCAATCGGCCCATCAAGTCGGCAGAGTAAATTCGCCCCGAGGGATGAACTTGGCCAACGTGCTCTTGGGCAGCGTCGCTTGAGAATGCTTACTACTGCCGCCCTCTAGGGGATCGGCCAAGGTGCCTGGCGCGTCAGGACTCGAGGGGAGAATCTTAAAGTGGGCAATCAGATGAAGAAAAGCGAGGTATAGAGCGTTATGCGCCAAGTGCGATGCCACACACATTCGCGAGCCCATGCCAAAGGCATACTGATGCGCTTGTTTGGAATCTGAGTTGTCCAGCCAGCGTTCGGGGATAAATGCAAAGGGGTCTTCAAAAAGATCGGGATCTGTTTCAGTGAGCCATCATTCAGTTTATGTCATATCAAGCAGTATAGTTATGCATACCTCGATTGCATGCCCATGAATTCAGAAGAATCATGGTTCCCTTAGGAATCATCACGCCGTTGTAGACAACCGGCGCCGTGGTCTCTTTGGGCATGGCAACACGGAGGATCGTGTAGTATCTTCCCACTTCTTTGGTGAATGCATTGATGTATGGCACTTTACCGGTCCCAAAGGGGTCGGTGTCGAGGACATGGGATTCTTTGATTTCTTGAAATGCCTTTTCTTGTATTTCTGGGTTATGTGCCAGGAAATTCACGGCCCATGCTACTGAGGGTGCATTGCTATCGGCGCCTGCCATGATGCTAAGGCTAACACTTAGTCGTTCAAGATCGCTCAGATTTCTGGTCTCTGGGTTTTTCAGCATGTTTCCTTGAATGCAGGGCTTGTCGGTCTTCTCGCGGATTTCTGTCTTCAGCGCCTCCAGAAGAACGGCATGGTATCTCAACCGTCGTCTTCCAATATCCAGGGCCTTTTGAAGCGAGTTTCCAGGAAGTAGGAGCATTAGCGGATCGAATAGTCGCAGCAACGGCACGTAGTTCTTGATATTGCTTGATGTCGACCGGTATTTGCCTACGTTTGATTCCACTTCCCTGATCTCTGTGATCATTGGGTTGCCATCGAAGTCTTTCTGGTTTGCGGCTCTGCCAGTATATTAGTACTGAGGCAGAGACGATGGCGGATGTCCGTACCTTGTTCCATAGTTCAGAGTCAGAGATAGATTCATGGAGAATCGACGGGCATAAGACATGAAATCGATGGCTGTGCGACCACTGTCACATGCTTTGTACAATTCCTTGATGAATTCGCTCGACTCCAGCCTCAAGATCTACCAAAAGGTTACTAAACGAGCATGAGTAGGATTATAGAGTAAAGGCTTACCGGAGCATACGAATCTACCTGGACAACGTTCAAGGCTGACGCGGCTGCTTTTCGTCTCTTCTTGCAGCTATCGTTCCAGGGACTCGTCCCAATGCTGGTAATTTCTTTGCTCACGAATTTGTGGAACACATAGAAGAGAGGACGAGAAATAAACGATCCACTCTCGCGGATCAACAAATCCTTAGCGACTGCAGCGCTATTGATAATCAGTACGGGCTTGTTTCCCAGCTGTATCTGAAATAAAGGACCGTATTTCGAGGCCCATAGTCTGTATTGCTCTGATGGTGAGACATTTTGGATTTGGCTCAGGTTCCCAACGATGGGAAGACCCCTGGGACCTGGGATTCCTTTGACGCGGATGGACCATCGATACAGCTCGTTCGCGAGGAAGAGCAGGACGATGGTAAAGACAGCTGTTTCCAGATACAACACCCAGGATGTGTTGGCTGCAGCAGGGATGTGAATTCTCATGTCGTCGTGAAACTCTTTCAGCCTGATACCTCACTGTTGATAAATCAGGTATATTTCTCGCCAGAGCACGGCACTCTCATCCACAACGAAGTTCATGGGAATAAGTAACCTAGCGGAGTAGAAGACAAGCCAAACACGTGGAAATGGAGACGAGTCTAAAACCGAGATCCACATTCCAAATGAGATAATAATCAACTGCAATTCGATCATATCGATCAATCGCCATTTTCATCCCGAGTCGCCGACTCGGCGACTCATGTTGGCTGGCCTCCATCGTGAAACGGGAAAGTAAGTTGATTTTTGATGGGCTTTTGACATGTTGTTTCTACTCAGAATAGATATTTCGGCAGCTATCGTATGCTTTAGCTGGTTTTCTGGCGCATTACGACATCTGTGTGTAAATTGCGCGTGAGAATGGCCATACAATTTCCAGTTTTTTGCAGATAGAGCTCAAAAATAAAATGCTCTATTCTTCGCTGACACTCCCGAGCACTAAATAGATGTATATTTATTAGGTACTTGCCTGCTCTAAACATGCAAGTATTTGTCCAGTCATTCCACCAACGTCACTGAATCTTTGGGGGGGGGGTTTTTTCCCTTCATTCCAATGGCTGAAATCAAACCGGACAACACGCCGAGCGTGCGGTCTATGCCGTCCGACCCCGAAAAAGATGTCAACCTTACTACAGTAGATAGGGATGAGTATATCGATCCCAAGATTGAGAAATCTCTGGTGCGCAAATTCGACCTCTTGATTTTGCCAATGTGCGGTGAGTCTCTATGCATGCATGCCATCCATGTTCGGCCGTGGGCCAGAGCTAACCCTAACTTCTTCATCTAGCACTGGTCTACTACAGTCATACACTTGACCGCGCCAATCTGGGAAATGCAAAGACCATGGGCATTGAGACAAGTCTACACATGGTGGGCAATCAGTATTCACTCGTGCTCATTCTGTTCTATATTCCCTATGGTCTGTGCAATATTCCTGCAGCTCTGTAAGTTTTTGACTGGTATTCTTCCTCAGAAGAAGTTGCTGAATGAGTATTTTCTTTTTGCTCAGATTGGCCAAACGCTTCAACCCCGCAAGAGTGATTCCAATTATGATGGGTTGCTGGGGTTCGCTCTCGATGATCACTGCTGCTACGACAAATTTTGGTGGATTGGTAGCGTTGCGAATCCTCATCGGGGTCGTGGAAGCAAGTTTCATGCCTTGCGTGTATCTGTATTACTCTCTGTTTTACAAGCGAAAAGAACTTGCTCTGAGGTCGGCAGCTTGGGGATTCACGGGTTTCATAGCAGTATGTCTTCATGTATCAATCTTGCTGTGTGATAAAGACTAACAGCGTATAGGGCGCAACGAGTGGTCTTATCTCCTGGGATGTTTCTCAGTGGCATCGATCTCTATCTGTACGTCCATACGGTTTTATTTCCTCATGTTCTTTCGAAGACTAACCAGAAATAGGGCTGGCAATATCTATTCCTGATTGAGGGCGGCATGACTGTCGGCCTCGCAATCATCATTTTCTTCGTCCTTCCCCGTGACACAAATTCGAGATTATTCACACCAGAGGAACGGCGCGTTGCACAAATCCGACTGCTCCGTGAATCTGAGGAGGAGGGCGCAGGTGAAATCTCGTGGGATGTGGCTTTCCAGGTATTCCGTAATTGGCAAGTATGGGCTTTTTCTGCCATGGCATTTCTTTGCGGAGTGGGCGTTGCGAGTGCGTCGAACTTCCTCCCGGTAAAGACTCTATTCCTCTCTTGTAGAAGCTTGCGCTCTCTCTGACATATGAGTGGATAGACTATGGTGAAACGCATTGCGCAATCTACGCCTCAAGGGAATCTTTATACCGTCGGGCCGAATCTCGTTGCAGCGTTTGTGCAAATTGTTTCTTCGTGGATATCTGACCGCTACCAGCAACGTGCTCTGGTCGGATTCTGTACACTACTCGTGTCGATGATCGGGTTTATCCTTCTTGCTACCCTCGACCTTGTACATCACACTCACGTGGGCTATTTCCTGACTTATTTGATCACCTTTGGCACATATATGCCGGAGCTGCTGATGCCTATTTGGATGACCAGCAATCTGACGAGAGCCTCTGCGCGAGCCGTTGCACTCGGTATCTTCATTGGTGGGCAGAATATCGGTGGTATATTGTCAAGTGCGGTTTTCAGGGAGCAGTATGCGCCTGTCTATGCGCCTGCTTTGATCACCGTGGCAATTTGCCAGGGGCTTTTGTTAGTGGGTTTGCTCGTCATGAGGCAGTTTTATGTTTACCAGAATAAGAAGCTAGCTCGTGGAGAGTTGGCGCCACCCAAGGGCATGGAGAATAACCCGGACTTCCGATATGCTTTTTGAGTGTTTTGCTTTTTGTCTTTGTGGTCTGAGAAACCCTGTTGATGGTCGCTTGAGCAAGAGATCCTTTGTTGTATTATTCTTCCATTAGATAGAACCGTCTTGGTGACGTAGAGATTGCTAGTTAATGAATTCTATCTTTAATACATCTTTAAGTAGTAGAAACTAGCGTCGCTGTGCACGCTGCAACCCCATTAATCAAAGATAGTGTAATGCCTTCCTATATATATATATATATGTATATGGTTTTTTCATGCCCTTTCATGAAAGCCCCTCGGGTGAGCTAGAGCTAGATTTGCCAGGTACTAACCTAGGTGGCAAAGAAAAGTTTGGGGTTCCTAACTTTCTCAGGTTATACTACTAGAAAATACTCCAATCCAACAGAATCAAGTCTTAAGATACTACGTCTCTGCGGAGAAGTGTGGGGATGCGGGGTTACTGGAATAGGAAATTTTAGGGCTCACCACCCGCCATGCTTTGCTTACCGCCAGTTTAGGCTTGGGGTAAGATACTCTTATGCATTCTTTTCCTTGATCAAGGCTTTCCGTGAGAAAATCCACTGGTCTACCTGGTAAACATTTGTCTACGCGCCCACCCCCCAAAATGTCAATGCGTCGGTCTATCCCATTGTGTCTCGTGATATTCTATCTGGGTGTAAGGAATCAGGATATTTTGGGAGCTGGATGCCGCCGCTAAACTATCTGGACGGATTCCAAGTTCACCCCCGCTGATGATCACGGTTTAACTAGTGGTGGGAATAGTAGCATCCGGATAAATCTAAAATTCCATCATTGGGAATTCGTTATGCAACACAGATGCTCGGTGCCTCTTCCCCGCATGGCTGGAAAATGTTCGAATGATAAATAGGGGAGGATGCTTGGCTGCTGGTCAGGCCTTTATTTGATATCAACTGATGCTTCGAATATGGCATCCGGTCTCTTTACTGGCAGGTCTCTGCTCCTATTTCTCTTATCAACTCTCCTTTCCTCTGTTTCGGCTGCAGTTCTTGGATCAAGAGGCAACGACAATGTGCCTCAGGGAGCACCAACAGTAACTGCAAAGAATGGCAGTTACTATGGCCTTTATAATTCAGAGTACAATCAGGATTTCTTCCTGGGCATGCCCTATACGCAGCCGCCCCTGGGTGAGTTTCGTTTGCAAGTGCCCCAGTCTTTGAACGAGACTTGGACCGGAGCAAGGGATGCAACTGCATACAGCCCTGAATGCATTGGTTATGGTAGCGATGACTGGGTCCTAGGAAATATCGTCTCAGAGGATTGTCTGACGCTCAACGTCATTCGGCCGAGCACTGTGAAAGCAGGGGATAACCTGCCTGTCATTTTCTGGATTCATGGTGGTGGCTATTCCGAGGGCGGGAGCCGTGATCCCAGATACAACCAGTCGTTCCTCATACAACGCTCGGTAGAGGTTGGAAAGCCCATTATCGGCGTCAGCATCAATTACAGATTGTCAGGCTGGGGCTTCCTCTGGGGAGAAGAAGTTGCCGAAGCAGGTGTCACCAATCTTGGTATTCGCGATCAACGCCTGGCGTTGCACTGGGTTCAGGAAAATATTGCTGCTTTTGGTGGAGATCCATCCAAAGTGACCATACACGGCGAATCGGCCGGTGCAAACTCCGTGGGCACACACCTTGTCGCCTACGGAGGTCGTGATGATGGTCTCTTCCGAGCTGCTATCGCGGAATCCGGCGGCCCAACACCATTGAGTTACTACGTCAACGCCTCAGCCTGGGAGCCGAACTATCAGAAAATCGTCCAGCTGGCTAATTGCAGCAACGCAGCCGATACACTTGCCTGTCTGCGGACGCTGCCAACGGAACAGCTCAGCAACGTCTTCAACTCGAGTGGTGTTGTCGCATACACGGATCCCGTCATTGATGGAGATATCATCACCAAGTCGACTACCGCTTTGACCAAGGAAGGGAATTTCGTCAAAGTACCCTTCTTGATAGGCACCAACTTCGACGAGGGCACCTCGTTCGGCATACAGGGTATCAACACCACTGAGGAATTCAGGGCATCCCTTTCGGAGAACACGCCCATGCTCACTGAGGAAGCCATTGATAAAGTCGCCGAGCTATACCCGGACATTCCTGAGCTGGGAATTCCTTCCACACTACACAGTCGCCCCCCTCCAGCCTCCCCTTACGGCAGACAGTGGAAACGCTCGGCTGCGTACGGTGGCGATTTGAGGATGCACACGGGGCGACGAATTACATCCCAAGCCTGGGCTAAGTATGGCGTGCCGGCGTACACATACCAGTTCGATGTTCTCGTCAACGGTAAAAATGAATACATTGGCAGCACACACTTCCAGGAAGTAGCCTTCGTGTTTGACAACACCAATGGCTACGGATATGAGAACGCGGTTGCTGTTGATCCGTTCGCGAACGAGCCGCCTACGTTCGACGAGCTGGCTAGCATTATGTCCACTGCTTGGATTAGTTTTGTGCATGATATAGACCCTAATAGCAATGCGTTCAGTGACAAAAGGGGCATTAATAAGGAAGGCTTGGAGTGGCCTGTGTATGGCATGGAAAATCCGTCCAATATGGCGTTCAATGTGAATGTGTCTGGTTTGGCGTATATAGAGCCTGATACATATCGTGGATCTGCTATTGCTTATATGGCTGACAATTTCGAGGGAGTATGGGGTAGGTAGTGCTATTGACTAAGCCTAAGGCTTTTGAATTATAGCACCTATATAGTCAAGATATGAAGTCTTGAAGCAGAATATTTCAAGGTCTGATTCAAGGTAGCAATTAACGGTTTGGTTTGAAAATCATAATAATCGCGATGTGTACGATTCACTTTTCCCTCTTTTTGGGCATGGTGAGAAATATCATGCCTTCTCTCCAATCAGACGCTTGAAACTGCTCAAAAGCCCTTGCCAGTCTTGTTGATGCTCTTGACTAAATTTCTCTACTGTCGAGACCGCAGCAAGATCTACTTGCATGTGTATCTGGCTCTTGGTGCCGTCAAGAATTGACGTTCCCCCCAGACTTAATACGAAAGCATACAGAGCGGCCGCATTGCTAATTCCAGTCTTCGTGGAAAGATGCTGCACTGGTTCGCTCTTGACAAGGTCTGGATTAGCCGTCAACGTCCAGAAGGACTGATATATAATATCATTCTCACGAGCAAACGAACGCAATTCCACGTCATAGTCGTATGGGTCTTGTACGAAACGGTTCTGCACGACTGCAGGCTTGATTTTGAGCTTGGGGGAAGCACAGAGCGCTTTGAGTACTGGGAGAGTGCAGTTAGAGATTCCAAGGTTGCGAATAGAATTGGGTACAAAGCTCTCGGCAGTAGTCCAGGCTTCTATAGTCTGCTCTATAGTTGGGAGGGGCGTGTGAAGCACAAGCGTGTCAATGTAGCTGCCTTCCCTGGTCTCGGCTTCGGAGGCACAAAAATTGACGAGTGATGAGTTGATCGAGGCTTTGACTTGATCGCTTATACTCAGGTGGGCATCGTAGGGCATGTTGTTCGGGTCTTGCGATGTAACGGGTGTGTATTTGGTTTGAATCTATCCATCCCGATGGACCCAACCGCACATTGCGTTAGCGGGGTAGAAGTTCACAATCAGATTGGGAGATGCACTGGTTGTTTTGATATCATGAATTGTGTCGCTTACATAGAGATCCTCCCGTTTGACGATGTTCTCGGCAATTGCTCTCCTCATGGCCGCCCCGACCAGGTCTTCGCGGTAATGCCTGGGCTGTGCAGCGGTGTCCACCGCGCGAAATCCGGTTTTCAGGGCTGTGTACACGCATGGCGTTGTGCTTTCTTTTTTCCATGCAGTTCCATAGATCAAGGTTGGCATTACGGACGGAGTCGTATCGAGACCAGTCGGCCGGAGAGTAAGGCATTTGGCAGGCATTCTGAGACAGGCTGTTGCTCTGGTCATGGACATATGCTGCCCAGGTATGCAGTATACAGTGTATTATCAGTTGCTTTCGCAATCTGGAGTTGGTTGGATGACGATATAGAAAGAGGATGTTCCCACCCCCCGACCCCGGGCACCAGCCACAGCATGAGGGTGCGTCAGCCACTGTGGATCTGCAGCCCAGCCACGCTCCCGCCGCCGGCACGTGAGCCCCGATGATGTTGAACGACTGACTTCTCCTTGTTGGATCACACTTCTATTCACGAATACGAGTAGGGAGTTGAGCAATAACCACCTCGTTCTAGTATTACGGACTCCGCAGTACAGAGCCCGACTAGATTCTTCACTCGTCGAGAGGAACAGGTTACACGGGTTCATGCATATACTTACTTCCAAGGTTACTCTGTAGGAAGCATGCACATACTGAGCAATCATGTGCAGCCAAAGAAGGGAGCAACGATCTACAGCTACTACGTAGTTACGTGTATGAGCGAGCGCCCCTTAATCGGCAGTGGGATGTACATTCCAATAGTTTTATTAGTTGTTTATTATTGCGGACTGAGGCAGCAAAGCCAGAGGCAAAATAATTCATTCAATTCGGCTTAGCGATGGGCCTAAAATAAGGAGGAAGGCGCTCCCCACCGGGCTGCTCCTGCCTCCCTACTACTAGTAGTAGTAACCACGGAGTAGTGCCCCATCACCGCCTTCCCTCCCCTCGCCCTCTCTCCTTCTCTCCTTCTCTTCCTCTTCTTCTCCTCTCCTCTCTCTCTCCTCCCCCCTTCAGCCGTTCTCTTCTTCTCTTCCTCTCCCCCTTTTTTTCTTCGGCTTCTTTTTAAAAGAGAGAGAGAGAGAGAGAGCCATTTCCTCCTCTCTCCCCTTCTTCCCTTGTCTCTGCTGCTTCTGGCGCTTTTCCGATCCACTGAAGAAAAAATAAAAAATAAAAAAACAAGCCCATGTCTTCTTGCGTGCCGCTGCTGTGAATCCCCCCCCCCAGTCTTCTCCCTGCATTCTCTGCAACGTGCGTGATTACATTTGCTGCCTTGTGTTATTTTTTTGTATTTTCTTCCTCTATCTCATACGTCTTGTTGCCTGCTGTGTTGATTGATTGATGTTGTTGCTCGGCGCCTTCGGAAATTAATTAGTGAGCGGGAATTTTGCATCCTTACCTTGCGCGATCGATCCCTGGTCAAGAACATTCTATTCTATCCGATCCTGCATCAACGTACAACCAACAAGCGCCCCCATCTCTTTTGCTTCTTCGCTTCCGACGAGTTTTAAAAAGCCATCATCTATCTACACACGCGGGGTGTTCAAGAGTCTTCGCGGTTTACTCATTTACTTGTGGTAGCCTGCGCCTATGATCTTTTAACCGGAGGGGTTCTAATTTTTTTTTGTCCCTCTCCTTTCCCTTTTTCCATTTTGGTCTCGCGTCTTTGATTCCCGCTCCGACTCACAACCATGTATCACGACAATCCTTCATCGCGGTCGCCGGGATCGCAACGTCATCCACAAACCCTACATAGACAGCCGTCACGTCAGTTCGACGCGTACGGTCCGATGCCCTCGAATCCATACGATGACCCGCTGGCCAGGTACGATACCACTCGTCTTAATCCACTGCACGGTAGCACCAATTATGCCTATGAGGTCTCTGGCTCCCAGACCTGGAATCCCACCAACGGCTTCGCTGGCGCACACACTCTTGCTGGAATCGGCTCTGCAACGGGTAGGATGAAACCCACTCGAGGCCGAACTGGCCTGCCATCGGTATGTTATACTGTTTGTGCTTTTTTTCAACACGTTCCCCCCCTCCCCTGAATAGGCCTACTCACATTTTATATGCGTATAGCCTTGGCTCGATCAACAGCCTCAATCTTTGGCTGGTTTGGCTCCAGGTCCGCTCGCTGCCACACAGATGCAATCTTCGCCCAGCCAGGACGGCGATGATGAATTGATCCCGACTGCGATCGTAATCAAGAACATTCCTTTTGCGGTCAAAAAGGAGCAGCTTGTGCAATTAATGACTGAAATGAATCTCCCCCTTCCGTACGCGTTTAATTACCATTTCGACAACGGCGTCTTCCGTGGTCTGGCTTTCGCCAACTTTACGTCTGCCGAGGAAACAGCTACTGTGATTGATATGCTCAACCATTTTGACCTGCAAGGGCGCAAGCTGCGCGTTGAATATAAGAAGATGCTTCCCCTGCAGGAACGCGAGCGCATCGAGAGAGAAAAGAGGGAACGTCGTGGTCAACTTGAAGAGCAACACCGTCCTATTGCTGCATCCCAGCTGCAGACCCAAAGCTCGATGTCTTCTCTGGCCTCGCATATTCCAGCTACGTCACCATCGCCGGTTTCTCAACGCGGACCAAAGCTTGGTAACTATCCCCATTTCCCGCTCTATTTTCTGTCTCTCACGTGCAACTAACATGACGACCATGGCAGACGTTGATCTCAATGATAGCCAGACGCTACAGTTCTATTCGCAGATGCTTCTTTTCAAAGAAGATATGACTCGGGAAGCCTTGATCTTTCCGTCCAATCTCACACCAGTCCAGCGTCGCACTGTTCACACTCTTGCGCATAACATGGGCTTGGGCCATGCATCTCGTGGAACTGGCGAGCAACGTCAAGTACACGTTTTCCGTCCGGCGCCCGGTTCTAATGTTAGCCCGCCCTTGTCTTCGATTCCAGCAACCGTTCATGCTACGGAAGCATCACGCCGTGGACTCAACCGTGCTGCAACTATTGATTTTAGCGAGTCTCGCAGTGAGGGACCTGGCCCGTTTAGCACAATGCGCGGGCAATCGTCGGCTTTCCTGGGGGTTCTGGAATCTCCAGGCGGATTTGGCAATTCACAGAACTTGCGTGCAGCCAAGTCCTTTGCCGATTTACGTTCCTATACTCCATCTCCGGCACCGTCATCTGCGAGTTTCCCCGCAACGTTGCAAACCAATGGAGCGCGTCTGCAGCAAGGTTATGATGGCACAGCCAGTGGAACGTCCAACACTCCCACACTAACTCCCACTCCATCTGGTGCCTCCCTTGGTATGCAGCGGGATGAGGGTCTCCTCGTCAACAGCCTTGGTGGACTCTCCATAGGCACCAGTCTCGGCGGTCCTTCTGGTAGCCCTCGACGACTACGTGGAATGTTTTCCTGGGAACAAGAGAACCAAGGTGCACCTGCCGGGGCAATTGGAAGCAACCGGTCTATCGGAATTGGATTTGACAACCAGTCTCAAGAACGGCTTCCGTTGAGACAGCCTCGCGGACCAGCGCCTGATCGAGGAACTGGGTTTCGACGCCAAAATGGACATCAGGCACGCGGCAGCGACGAACTTCGCACGGGATCTGGCGTGGAAATAATCGTCGAGTAATTATCTCAATCAACACACATGAAAAGTGCAAAGATCCGAAGAGAATGGCAATGAAAATGACAATGATAAAAGATATTATAGCAAGTTTGAAAAGGAGAGGCGATGATTACGACAATTGTAATTTGATACACCAAGGTCGCCGATATATCGGCCGACTTGTTTTCATTATAATGATTCGATGATGGACGACGAGATGACTCCGAGAAGAAGAATCCGAAGAGAAAATATGTTGCGTTTTTCTGTGATGAGCTCATAATCCTATCTATCCACCTTGAATTTTATTTTTCTCTTCGTTTATCGCCATATGATTTATTGATTTTGTTAGATATATTCTCCTTGGGGCAGCCCAGCATGAACAGATTATGAACATGATTGGACGAAGCAAACGAACGATCCGAGTTGATTGAATTGACTTGTGTGATAAAGGGTTGAAAATTGGCGGAGTATGCCTTTTTTTCACCTATTATTTTTTTTTTTACCTTTCTGTTTTTTTTACCTTTTTTTTTCCCTTCTTTTTGAAATAACAAATACATCGAGCATGAGCTTGCACATGAACATGAGCACTGGACAGTTGAGCGTTCGTTTTTTATAACAAAAAACAAACGATAACGACAGGACATACAAACCGATCGATCATATACCTCGAGAAGCGATGCTATGGGGTGAGATAGGAGGAGCAAGATATTCAGACTGAGCTGAGCTGAGCTGAGTTAAGCTGCGAATGGGGGGAGAAATCAGACAAACGCAAAATTGTGAGAAAAACAAAAAAGAAGTGAAGGGAAAACCTAGGATAGGGGGGAACGAAAGCGTGAGGGCGAGTTTCTTCAGAGAAAAAAAAAGTCGAATAAGAATAACAACAAGAACCGAAAAAAAAGAGAAGTCTGGATATTTGGCATATATATTTTTTTTTATTATTTTATGGTGGAACTAATTTGAGCTTTTTTATCTTTTGCATTTTAAATCTTTTGTTTTTATACTGCTATAGGTCGGGTTATTGTTGAATTGATTCGTTTCATTTCATTCATGTAAATGATAACTACTACTGTAGGCAGGTTATTTACTATGCTATTATATCTTCACGTAGTTGATCTTTGGGCAACTAGACCCCAAGGAAAGGTTTTCAGCAGGAGGCACATGGAAGAATACCATCGTCGTTCCTGTATCATACATATACTTTATGGAGACAACACGAAGAAATCAATCGTAGCCTATGCTGTCAGTCTTTTAATGGTCTTTTACAGGGAAAAAGACATGGAGAGATAAAAGAAGAAAATGAGTAGAGAAAAAGGAGAAATAAACATATAACATATAGCAGATAAAATATAACCCTGTTACGTGAACACCGCCGTCCTTGTGATCAAAAGTCACCGAAACTGAACTGAAAAGGGAGAGGGAAAAAAAGAGGCGAAACAAACGTCAAAAGCGTGATATGGAAAGAAAAACCGAGCCCAAGGATAATGAAATGAAAAAAAAAGACATGTAAGGTGAGCAAGTAGGGAGAAAGAGAGGGGAAAAAAGGCTTAAGAATCAATCTTGCCCTTCTTCTTTTGTTCGACCTTGAGCAACAGCGCGCGGTTGATACGAGGCAGCACACCACCAAAGGCGATGGTGGCGCGGATCAGAGTGTCGAGTTCTTCGTCACCGCGAATGGCGAGTTGCAAATGACGCGGTGTGATACGCTTGACTTTGAGGTCCTTGGCTGCGTTGCCTGCCAGCTCGAGGACTTCGGCGGTTAGGTACTCAAGGACGGCTGTGACATAGACGGCAGCTAGAAGAATAAATAAATGACGCGTCAGTTTTGGCTTCTTCTCTTTCTTTTTTTGGGATGATATATTTTAGAATCGCACCTTTGGCACCAACGCGCATCTTGTTTTGTGTGTTGTTCTTGAGGAAACGCTTGACACGACCGCATGGGAACTGTTCCGTTGGTCTGGGTTAGCTTCTGAAACGCTGGAGGCATAAACAAAAACCCCCAAAAAAAAAAAACGACACATGAGCTCTATCCGATAAGAACGCGCGACAAGGTTGAACAAAGCGGGATATTCCTTTTTGCTTCTTTGGAGTGAGTGATGCGATGGCCATCATGATCGCAGCGCTTGGTGTTTTGTCCTCGACGCGTAAATCGTGATAACGCCACTCCTCGTGTCGCATGACAGCGAACATCTCAAACAAGTTCGAGTTGCGTATAAAATAGACGCATGAAATGGGGGGGAAATAATAATAATAAAAAAGAAAACTAACCTGCAAGCCAGCCTTTGCGCTGTGAGACTTTTGATTCTTCCCCGCCGCATCCTTGCCAGGGGCGCCCTTTCCACCGATGGATTTTCCTTTACCGCCAGCCATTTCGATTCAGTATTATTTTTTTTGGATTTCTTCTCTGTTGCGATCAGAGTGTTGTTGAGTGGATATCAACTGATGATGCGGTGTGGGTGGGATGAGCGGGAGAGCGCGCGTGTTGGTTCCCTTTTTTGAGTTTTTTTTATTTTTTCTTTTTCCTCGTTCGGTCTGTTTTTGTTGGAGAAAACTGAGAAATGTCCCAAAGGCTGGCGGTTAGGCTAGGCTATTTTATTGGAGCCTGGGGCTGCCACTGCCCGCGCGTGGATCGGCCAATCAGCGCGGGGCCACAGCCACCCTTGCCAATGTAATGACGGAGATGGACATGGACAGGGCAGATGCCACGCGCTTGTTCCATGGTAGGAATATGCCAGACTGGCAGAGAAGTTGCTGTCAGTCTGCGCCTTTCTGTTGTATTAGTAGTTAAGTGGTTAGTGATTTGTGGTTGATCATGCCGGCCTTTGCTTCACATAGCACAGACACCAGACACAGACATGGATGAGGAACCGACATGATGTTTAGGCACGAGAGACGATCCGGGTCCTGTTTGGGCAAGCGTTGATCACACGAATGCAGAGTATGGCCCGGCGGTGTGTTTGGGCTCATTGCGTCCATAGGGGGGGTTTCTGCTGGCATTCTTATCGTCCTCTGGCTGGCATGGAGTGCTTCTGCTGTGCGCGGGTTTTGCCTGGCAGCGCACAACACCCGGGGGTCACGTGACCCAAGTCATGTGATATTGGTGCCTCAGGATCGAGGAGCTCAACTCAGTTGCGCTCAGATCATGATTGGCGAGCCACGGTCACAGTTAGTTTTGCCTATTCATGCAATAACAACAATAAGAATAAAATAACCATAATAATACAAGACACACCTCTGTTATAGATACGAGATTATGCTATCTGTGGGGCGGCTTCCAAAACGTTCGATGGATTCTATCGGCTTGCTTGCCACGCGCTCACGTGATCAGTTTCCCCCAACGGGCGAGCTGTCCCTTCCTCGACTTTTCGACCTGCATTTGCGAATGAATATTCCGCTCTGCCAGTCCAGCCCTTTGCTTGCAGCCAGGCCACTTGCATTCTGTTCCTTTCGTTAGAATTACGTTTTGTCACGTTCTATATTTTTTGTTCGTTTAAATTCTTTTCCTCATCATGTCTTCTCAAGTGTAAGTTTTGTGCCTCGTCCTCGATCCCCTTTTTCTTTGGCGCCTCCGTCCAAACAAATTTCCTCGGGACCTTGTGTACTGTGTTCGCGTTGCTAATTTGCTTTTTGCAGCACCAATCTCGTCATCGTCCTGGGTATGATGCAGGTCTCCAAGCGAGTTCCGTTTGACGACCCCGACGTGCTGCTCGGCGTCCGGGTTTTGTACGTTGTGTCCAACTTGGTCATTCTCGGCATCTACCTCTACGTCCAGTCGGTGATCAACAAGAAGAAGGGTAATATACTCCCTTTCTATACTTTGATATATATATTCTCTAACTGTATTTGCTGCCGCCACAGACCTGACTACGCTCAAATACGTAGAGCCCTCCCAACTAGGCTCTGGCGAGGAACCACGCCCCGTGACGACAACCGTCATGGAGTATGACAAGCAGCAACTGCGCAACAGCTTCCGCTCGCAGCTCATGGGAGTCGGTATGATGGGCGTCATGCACCTGTACTTCAAGTACACCAACCCTCTCTTGGTCCAGTCCATCCTCCCCGTCAAGAGCGCGCTGGAATCCAACCTGGTCAAGATTCACTTGTTTGGCAAGCCCGCCACGGGCAACCTGCAGCGGCCCTTCAAGGCTGCTGCCGGTTTCATGGGCATGGGTCAGGGCGAGGTCAAGAGCGACAAGGCGTCCGTTGAGAGCGCGGAGAAGAAGTGGCGGGGCGGTGTCAAGGAGGAATAAGCCTGTAACATTTATATTTTTTTTCCCTTCTTCTTCTTCCTGGCTAATATATCTGCATGCTCAAAAAAGGGGCTTGAGGATACATGGTCCGTACCTACTAGGTATGTAGGGGGTTTTCTTGATTGCATGATTGGGTTTGCCCTTGGTTGTGTGTTGGAATACCCGGATTAATAATATACATATTCCATGATTTATGTTCATACGCTAGATACTCATATGCTCATATACTCCTGCTCATATACTCGTACCCATGGCTACTACTAGCAACGTGTGATTTGAGCTTCGAAGTGGAGGCAACGGATGATGCCTGGCCCCAGGAACAGAACAACAGGCCATCCATCCATAACCTTGGGAGCAATAGCCTAGGCTAACTGGGCGCAATTATCGTCGGCTCGGAAGATCAGCCAACGCCAGATGAAGCACGAGAGACGATACCAGGGTCCCTGATTGGCCGAGCGCAGTCTCGCAGCCAGAAATGCTTTCCTGTTTTGCCCGGTGTATGAAACCGGCAAAACGGCATTGCCGGAAGCAGGCGTGCAGTTTAAATAGGGCAATAGTCATCGTGGAATTGTGCTGCGATGCTGTCTAGTAACTCAGAAAGAGAAACCAAAAAAAAAGAAAAGCAAGCAAGCAAAACAAGCAATACCGTCGCAGTTTAGCCTGCACTCCCGGTGAGTGAAAAGCGTGACCCAGTTGTTGCGTCAACCGATTCACCGAGTCTACCTCTTTCGTCAAAGCTACCCCGCCAGCCCAGCCCTTTAAGAAAAACCTCGCCGCCGCCTTCCTCTGTCTCCCTCTCTCTCTCTTCTCTCCTGACTGTGTCTGTCTCTACTCTCATCCCATCTACAATTACAGCTACATCCGTACTGTGAGTTCCCGACACTGCCGCTGCCTCTTGTTGTGCTGAGCTCTTGGCTGATGCCGCTTACCCCGCCGCAGCTTCCATCCCACAGCAAACATGGTTACCAAGGTAGGCCGCCCGTCTCTCACTTAATTCCTGTCACGGAGACTGACTGGCTTTCGCTTGGACAGGTTGGAATCAACGGTTTCGGCCGTATCGGTCGTATTGTAAGTCGCCCATTGCCTGGTCGTATGACGTAGCTTGGCTAACTGCTCTGGACAGGTCTTCCGTAACGCGTATGTCGTTTGTTGTTGAGGATTTCCCATCATACGCAATTCTAACACCCTGGTTCTGTATAGCCTCGAGCACGGCGAAGCTGACGTTGTCGCTGTCAACGACCCTTTCATTGAGACTCACTACGCTGTATGTCGCTCTCCTCTCCCCCGCTGCATGCAGGGAGGCCAATACTGACAACCCCTCCATAGGCCTACATGCTCAAGTATGACACCCAGCACGGTCAGTTCAAGGGTACCATCGAGGTCGACGGCCAGGACCTCATCATCAACGGCAAGCGCGTCAAGTTCTACCAGGAGCGCGACCCCGCCAACATCCCTTGGGGCGCCACTGGAGCTTCTTACATTGTCGAGTCCACCGGTGTCTTCACCACCACTGAGAAGGCCTCTGCTCACTTGAAGGGTGGTGCCAAGAAGGTCATCATCTCGGCTCCTTCTGCCGATGCCCCTGTAAGTGTCGTCACCCACATCCACTTGCTGGCCGTTGCCAGACTAACCGGAAAATCCCCAAGATGTTCGTCATGGGTGTCAACCACGAGTCCTACAAGAGCGAAAACACCGTCATCTCCAACGCCTCTTGCACCACCAACTGCTTGGCCCCTCTCGCCAAGATTGTCAACGACAACTGGGGTCTCGTTGAGGGTCTCATGACCACCGTCCACTCTTACACTGCCACCCAGAAGACCGTCGATGGTCCTTCTGCTAAGGACTGGCGTGGTGGCCGTAGCGCTGCTCAGAACATCATTCCCAGCAGCACTGGTGCCGCCAAGGCCGTCGGCAAGGTCATTCCTTCTCTTAACGGCAAGCTTACTGGAATGTCCATGCGTGTGCCTACCTCCAACGTCTCAGTTGTCGACTTGACCTGCCGCACTGAGAAGCCCGTCTCTTATGATGAGATCAAGGCTACCGTCAAGAAGTACGCCGAGGGCGAACTTAAGGGTAAGAAAGATCTTCTCGGGCGTCAATTATGGTGCGATCGGTTTTGCTAACTCCTTCTATCACAAACAGGCATTGTCGGATACACCGAGGACGACATTGTCTCCTCCGACTTGAACGGTAACACCAACAGCTCCATCTTCGATGCCAAGGCTGGTATCGCCCTTAACTCCAACTTCGTCAAGCTTGTCAGCTGGTACGACAATGAATGGGGCTACTCCCGCCGTGTTGTTGACCTCATTGGTAAGTCTATATCTTTCTCTCTTTTTTGAACACTGCCGCTCACTCTCCATAAAGTCTACATCTCCAAGGTCGACGGCAGCGCCTAGGAATCAGAGCCCACCTTGCGAAGTGTGCTGTGAGCGCAAAGCAACAATCCACCTTATGGGCGCACTAAACCAAATTTTTTTTTTCTTTCATAGAAAATGGGGGAGAAAATGAATGAAAGATGCCAGCCACGATTCCATCTCTTTCCAAAATTTTGATCTGATACCAAGGAATGAGAGAGTCCAATGATGAAAAGGCAAGTTTTTATGATGTGCTCGGATCGACAGTTAGAGACGAAAATAGCTATCTATTCCTTCAATGACAATAAATAAATAATTTAATGATTTTGAACTTTTTCATCACTGAGTGTATGTCCATATTGCATGGAATATGTCTGCGCCCGCATTGAGACGTATGTGTATGACGATGGTTATATATACAACAATTCCCTAGGTAAGCAGTGTAACGTGCATACGCCTAGTATTGACATGCTTCGTGAACACTTAAGTAGACGCATTTCCCATGATTTTTTTTTTTTTTTTTTTTTTTTTTAAATTTCCAGAGGCATACCAGCTTGTCATATCAGTCTCGAACTCGCAGTAGACCCGACTATTGTTTATTCTCAATTCTATTTCGGATCCTCATACTTGCGTTGGCCATGGTAGCAAATACAATCCTGTATGTAACATACACACATACATGTATACGTATCACGTGCTTCCCGAACTTCCCAATTAACACGGAGCTTCTGTCTCTGCCCTATCTTGCTATCACTCGCGACCAAAATACCTTGCTCTTGCTTGTTTGCTTGCATACAAGTCTTTTAAAGGGATCATATTTATTTACTTGTAGTTGTCACATCACGGCAGCCGTGCGTCTTTGAGTTTTAAGTGTCTTTGTTTTTTTTTTCCCTTTTGTCTTGTCCTCGCCTTGCTGTTTGGTTTTTTTTTTTTTCTTTTTTTATTATTCGTTTTTATTGCCTTTACCTGTCTTCTGCCCTATATTTTTTGGTTTTTTCCTAAAACTGAATTGTGAAAGAGTTGCATGTTCAAAGGCGAAAGAAGAGAAGAGGAAGACTGTCGACTTGGACATTTCTCGGACGGATTCAAGGGAGGCAGACCATGAGGGAGTAGTAGAGCTCTCGACGGCCTAAGAACGAGCCCCCCCCCCCGGCCATCTTCAATTCTGTTGTGTTGCGCGCAAAAAGAGAGAAATGGAGGAAGATGAGGACACGGTGATGCGGGATCCTGGATCTCTAGCAAATATTCCTCCTGCTGCTCCAGACCATCCTTCTACAGCAGCTACTGAGCAATCACATCTCTCCAACAATACTACCACTACAGACATCCCCTCCTCTCATGCTGCTACTTCCATAGCTAACAACGAGGGTCTGTTTGGAATGCCGAAATCCTCTTCCAGCTTGCTGTCACCACCACCACCACCACCACCACCTTTCCTCAAGCCATCATCAGCAAGCTACAATGGGAACTCCTCGCATAGCTCCACAGAAATCCCAGGGTTGACCAAGTCCATCGAGGACGAGGGGCTGCACCTGATGGTCAAGTCCAGCGAGGAATCCGACAGTCTCATGGAAGAAAGCTCGGACTGGTCCGTTGACAACGACGCAGCTATGTCTGTCGGGTTGCCAGTCGCGTCTTTGGCGACGGGGCTTTGCTACGATATCCGAATGCGCTATCATTGCGAGGTGCGCCCTGCTGCTGATGTGCATCCGGAGGATCCTCGTCGCATCTACTATATTTACAAGGAGATCTGCCGCGCGGGTCTTGTGGAAGATCCGGAGATTGTCGACACGCCTAAGCTGCTTGCTCCGATTCCGCTGAAGCGGATTGATGTTCGGAATGCGACGAGAGAGGAGGTAGAGCTGGTTCATACTGTTGAGCATTATCAGTTTGTGGCGGATACTCAGAGTAAGTCTGTCCATTCGCAAGAAAAAGCGTCTCTTGTTAACACATCCATATTAGACCTCCCTGATGAAACTTTGATCATGCTGGAGGAATCTCGCGATTCTATCTACTTCAATCGACTGACCTTTGCCTCGGCGCTTTTGTCGGCGGGCGGCGCTATTGAGACGTGTTTGGCCGTGGCTACGCGAAAGGTCAAGAATGCCATTGCCGTCATTCGGCCACCTGGACACCATGCTGAGCATGACCAGACTATGGGATTCTGTCTGTTCAATAATGTGTCGATTGCTGCTAAAGTTTGCCAGCGTCAGTTGGGGCAAGCGTGCCGCAAGATTCTGGTTGTTGATTGGTGAGCTCTCTCTGTCCCTTGTCTTGCCAAATTTCTGCTAATTTCGAGAGTAGGGATGTCCATCATGGTAAGCATTGGACAATATCTATGATTCTATTCTCTTATAGCTAAAGGTTCAACCAGGAAACGGAATCCAAAAGGCATTTTACGACGACCCGAATGTCCTGTATATTTCCATCCACGTTTATGCCGATGGGAAATTCTATCCCGGTGGCCAAGAAGGCAATTGGGACCATGTTGGCGAAGGGGCTGGTCTGGGGAAGTAAGTCTCTTCGATCATTTGCCCAGCAGTGTGGCGCGCGTATGCTGAGCTCGCATATCAAGAAACATCAACATTCCATGGCCATCGCAGGGCATGGGAGATGGCGATTACATGTTTGCCTTTCAGCAGCTTGTCATGCCGATTGCCACTGAATTTGACCCTGATTTGGTGATTGGTAAGTCATCTCTCTGTTTGCAGTGCCGCTCTTTTTTTTCCCCCCTTATGTAGAGTCATGCAAACAAACAAACAATGGCGAATATCCACCTAACATGAGCATCTTCAATCCCAGTGGCCTCAGGATTTGACGCTGCGGCTGGCGATGAGCTTGGAGGCTGCTTTGTTACGCCCAGCTGTTACGCTCACATGACCCATATGCTCATGACGCTGGCTAATGGGAAGGTGGCTGTTTGCTTGGAGGTGAGTGCGCCTTCTTCTCTTTTGCTATCCCAGCAGTCTGTCTGACTGTTGTCTCGGTGTATAGGGTGGCTATAATTTCCGTTCTATTTCCAAGTCTGCTCTGGCAGTCACAAAAACTCTTATGGGAGAGCCTCCCGCGCGACTACTGGCCACGACTCCATCCAACGCAGCGGTGCAGCTTGTACGAAACGTCATGACTGCCCAGTCCAAGTATTGGCGGTGCATGTACCCCAAGATTCCAGCGCAAGAGGGGCTGTTCACAGACAGACTGCATGGTAAACAAGCAACCAACCTCGAAAGATTGAGTACTTGATGGGCAAGCAGAGCTGACTGCGCGATGCCAATACAGATGTCATTCGTCAATACCAGGCTAAACAGCTGTATGATAACTTTAAGCTTACTAGTCTTTGGATCTATCGCTCTTCAATCTCAAAATCTTTCGAGAACCAAGTCCTGGCTAGGTGAGTGTCAACCGGTTGTCTGGTCGCTTTTCTTTTTTTAGGGTATATATATATGAACTGACAAGAGATAGTCCCAACTACGACAAGACGGTACCTTTAATTGTGATTTTCCATGACCCGTGAGTCTTACTTACCCTGCCGCCTCCTAGTTGTGCTCTGCTAAAATATCAATAGACCTGATCTCATGGGCGTATATCATCCAATCACGAATAAATTGGAGGCGCATAACTGTTGGATGGTAGGTTCTACAGACCCCTCGACGTAGTCAGATTGCTAATTTACATTTCGTTTGTCTGGAAAATAGGCGGATGTGGTCAAGGACTATATTGCTTGGGCGAATCAGCACAACTTTGCCATTATCGATGTCAATATCCCCAAGCACGTAACATCAGAGGCGGTGCGTTTGTATCATAGCTCTTGGGAAGACGGAGTGGCGAGCTAACGGAAATATTTCTAGAACGCCGGTAAATACGAGGAGGATGATGAGGATCGACCGAACCAGACTGAGGAGTTGGCTGGGTACCTGTGGGACAATTACATTGAGTATGTGTGGTTATGGGACACTTAACATCAGGACAAGACTAATTTATTTATTTCTTGGATTAGGCCAAACGAAGCCACCCATGTCTTTTTCCTTGGCATTGGTGATGCGTTTTATGGAGTGGCCAATCTTCTTATCAACCGAGGTGAGTTTTTTTTTTTTTTTTTTCCCTTCCCTCCATACGCTTCAAAGGAAAGGAATGAAATTAAATAGTTGAGCAGATAGCATCTATCAGCGCGTCAACAGCGTGATTTCTTTCGTCGCTGAGAACCCAGTCCGGGCTGTGGCATCGACGACACAGACATGGCTCTCGAGGTGGTACAAAGATGTAAGCCATATTTTCCTTTCCCTCCTCGTAGCACACGGTAGTACCGCTATTGACACCTACAAAACACCAGAACTCGCTAGTCTTCGTCTCCTACGCTCACGGTGTATGGCACAATACGGAGAACCGCCGGAAGCCATCGAAGCGATACGGCCGATTGCTGCGGTCTCCCAAGGCGGGACTCAACGAAATGCTACTTCACCACAAAAAGGAGGTATACACATGGATTGAGCAGCGGGTTAATATCCTCACGGGCGACGAGACGGAGGAGGAAGAGAACCTGCCGAAGACTGAAGCTGAAGCTCAGTAGTCTCTGGCAATGGCCGTCGAGAAGAGAGTTGACGGAATGGAGAAGAAATATCACCACCAAGCTATGCTTGTATTCATGTGATTGTTGATCTGAGTTGATGTTGGGCTGCGCTGGCACCATTCGGCCGGGGACATGTTGTCTACTATTAGCTGCATGACTAGTAGGATAACTAACTACATCTAAAATTCTTAAGTAAAGAGAGTGACCACTGTATATATACATATGGATGTGAATATACCTGCCAATATTGTGTTTAATTGCTGCGCAGTGACTCCGTGAGGTTTGGCCCGTGGCAGTACAGTAGGTTCCACCTCCTTTTGCCTCTCCTTTCTTCTTTGCTATCCATCCATCAACTGCCCTTTCCTTTTTTTTTTTCTTCTTTCTTTCCCCTCTCCCTCAATTAATCCACCAGAATTCTTCTTTTTTTTTCTTCACATCCTTTATAGATCGATCCTGCTCCGGGCCCGCTCCCCCCTTTCGCTCTTCTGAAGAGGCGGTGCGCATTCTCCTCTGCGCAGAGATCGATCGCTGCGTCGAAATAACTAGCGAATACCCTTGCGTCGACGGATGCCTCCAAGGTCCTCCTCGTGTATTCATTTGATTTTGCGTGCACTGCGGAATGCTAGCTTCGTGATCCGCGGTCAAACTGAAGGAGGACAAACAAGACAATTCTTACAAAACAGGAGGCTTGGATTTGTCAGAGTTTCAGCCTCGGCTTTGACGACAGCGACAGCAACAGCAAGCCAAACCCATACACATCCTCGTTATCCCCCCTTTCGCGCCCCGTTGCGAAATATCGCTTACAGTTCCTCGTCGATTCGTCGATTCTCTAGCTCGACTAACATGTCGGGAGTCACGCATGTCACCGACCGGCTGGAAAAGCCCGAGTTGGACGATCGCTCGTACAGGGTGATCAAGCTGGCGAATCAATTGGAAGCTTTGCTGGTTCATGATAAGGATACAGACAAGGCCAGTGCTTCGGCGAATGTCAATGTGGGAAATTTCTCGGACGACGATAGCATGCCCGGCATGGCGCATGCCGTAGAGGTGCGTGAAACTTGCAGAAGCTAAGAGATAGGGAAGAAGACATACTTATTATTATCATCGTTTGCTATAGCACTTATTGTTTATGGGAACTGAAAAGGTGAGTCGACTGCATTCCCCCTGAACAAAAGAGAAAAAAAAAAAAAAGATGCTGATACTTGTTCTTTCACTAGTACCCTATAGAGAATGCCTACAATCAGTACCTTGCCGCCCACTCGGGCTCTTCCAATGCGTACACCGGAGCAATAGAGACCAATTATTTTTTCGAAGTCGCCGCAACCGGAGAAAGCAAAGCAGACGCTGCCAACGAGGCGGATGCATCAAATGGCACAGAAACTTCTCCATTATACGGTGCGCTGGACCGGTTCGCGCAGTTTTTCATTGCGCCTTTATTCCTAGAATCGACGCTGGATCGAGAGTTGAAGGCAGTCGATTCGGAGAATAAGAAGAACTTACAGAGTGATGTGTGGAGATTGATGCAACTGAACAAGTCCCTTTCGAACCCCCAGCATCCCTATCACCATTTTTCAACGGGCAATCTGCAAACTCTGCGCGACGATCCGCAGAAACGCGGTATCGAAGTGCGTAGCAAGTTTATTGAATTCCACAAGCAACACTATTCTGCCAATCGCATGAAGCTGGTCGTTTTGGGGCGCGAGTCACTCGACCAGCTTGAGAATTGGGTCGTGGAGTTGTTTTCTGAGGTCCAGGATAAGAATCTGGCACAGAATCGATGGGATCATGTGCAGCCCTTTTCGGCTGATCAGCTTTGCACCCAAGTCTTTGCGAAACCGGTTATGGACTCGCGTTCGTTGGATATCTATTTCCCCTTTTTGGATGAAGAGGATCTCTATGAGACGCTTCCCAGTCGATATATTAGCCATTTGATTGGCCATGAGGGTCCTGGTAGTATTCTGTCCTATATCAAGGCAAAAGGTTGGGCGAATGGATTGTCAGCGGGCGCCATGCCGGTTTGCCCTGGTTCTGCATTCTTCACCATCTCTGTGCGTCTCACCGAAGATGGTCTGACGCATTACCGGGAGGTTGTCAAGACGATTTTCCAGTACATTGCTATGATCAAGGAGCAGGCGCCAGAACAGTGGATCTTCGATGAGATGAAGAATCTCGCCGAAGTCGACTTCCGGTTCAAGCAGAAATCGCCTGCTTCTCGCTTCACTAGTCGATTGAGCAGCGTAATGCAGAAACCTTTGCCGCGGGAATGGCTGCTAAGCGGCAACAGCTTGCTGAGGAAATTCGATGCTGGATTGGTCACCAAAGCCCTCTCGTACCTGCGCAGTGACAATTTTAGACTCATGATAGTCGCACAGAACTTCCCCGGCGACTGGGATGCGAAAGAGAAGTGGTATGGCACTGAATACAAGGAGGAAAAGATCCCGCAAGATTTCCTCAAGGAAATTGGGGATGCGTTGGCATCGTCGCCTTCTGAGAGGATCCAAGACTTGCACATGCCGCACAAGAACGAGTTCATTCCTACTCGTCTGTCGGTTGAGAAGAAAGAGGTCTCGCAGCCAGCCAACACGCCCAAACTCATTCGTCTGGATGATCACGTGCGCGTCTGGTATAAGAAGGATGATAGGTTTTGGGTGCCCAAGGCTACGGTGCACATTACTCTGAGGAACTCGCTAGTCTGGGCTACCCCGGCGAATCATGTCAAGGCGAAGCTCTATTGCGAGCTGGTGCGGGATGCTTTGGTTGAGTATTCGTATGACGCTGAACTGGCCGGGTTGGACTACAACCTATCTGCTAGCATTTTTGGATTGGATGTCTCGGTCGGGGGATACAATGATAAAATGTCGGTGCTCCTTGAGAAGGTTGTTACTACGATGCGCGACCTCGTCGTTCTTCCCGAACGCTTCAAAATCATCAAGGAGCGCCTGACGAGGGCTTACCGGAATGCGGAGTACCAGCAGCCGTACTACCAAGTTGGCGACATGACCCGCTATCTTACCGCTGAGAAAACCTGGATCAACGAGCAGTATGCCGCCGAGTTGGAGCATATCCAGGCTGACGACGTTGCAGCATTCTTCCCGCAGCTTTTGCAGCAGAATCACATCGAGGTCCTCGCTCATGGCAACTTGTACAAGGAGGATGCTTTGAAGATGACGGACATTGTCGAGGATATTGTGCGTAGCCGTCCATTGCCACAATCCCAATGGCATGTGCGCAGGAATATCATTTTCCCGCCGGGCAGCAATTACGTATATGAGCGGCAGTTGAAGGACCCGCAGAACGTGAACAACTGTATCGAATACTATCTTTTCGTGGGCAGGATAACAGACGATGTGCTGCGGGCCAAGCTTCTCTTGCTGGCGCAAATGACCGAGGAGCCGGCCTTTGACCAGCTCCGAAGCAAAGAACAGCTTGGGTATGTTGTCTGGAGCGGAGCACGCTATTCTGCAACAACCATTGGATATCGTGTCATCATTCAGAGCGAGCGCACCGCGCAGTACTTGGAAAGCCGCATTGACTCATTCTTGAGCCAGTTTGCTCAGACGCTGGAGGACATGACGGAGGAGGAATTCGAGAGTCACAAGCGTAGCATTATCAACAAGAGGCTCGAGAAGCTGAAGAACCTGGGATCTGAGACTGCGCGCTTCTGGACGCATATTGGCTCGGAATACTTTAACTTTTTGCAGCATGAAATCGATGCTAGCACCGTCAGGACCCTGACCAAGTCAGACCTGATTGCTTTCTACCGCCAATACATCGATCCCGCATCGGACACACGCGCTAAGATCTCGATCCATCTGAACGCGCAATCCGCTGACACGGATGATCTGCCCGTGGACACGTCCAAGACTGCCGAGGGAATAGAAGCATTGCACATCCAGCAGACGAGCAGCAAGGACGAAGTTGAGGCCGTCAAGGCCGTCCAGAAACCCGTTTACATTACCAATGTGCCTCAGTTCAAGGCCCGGCTGCCTGTTAGTCCTGGACCGAGTCCGGTTATGGATCTCAGCGAGTTTGGGGATTTTGATTCGAAGCTGTGAGTTGGCTGTGTTGGCTTGGACTGTATATTTATAATTTACGTGGTGCATAGATGTAGAGTCATAAAGCTGCACTTTTGGTCTTGCAAATGTACGTAGTTTGAACGTATAAACCACTTTTTATATTACTTTAATAGGGATAGGCTTAGTGGGGCATGCAGCCTCGTCTTATTGGACGGAGCTCTCATCAACTTGATCCTCACAAAGTCCCGCGGAGGTCAAGCATTGCTCCTCCAGCAACTACGCACGAACATTTCAGTCCTTCTGGATTGTCCCACTTATTGTCTGGATATTCGAATATACATAGAAAACACATTCTCGCTGCTGAAGGAACATCCTTCCATCATGTCGACCGTCACGGCGACTGCCATGCAGAGCTCGAAGCCGTACGTTTTGTCCCCTGTTTCTCTGAATCAAAAGACAACAGCAACCAACTCCAATCTTACCACGCACTGGAAATACCGAAAAAAAAAATAGGTTGAATAATTCATACTAATTTCGTATCTGAACAGCCCCATCATCCCCAAATCCTTCGACGCCAAACAGCCACAAACAATTCGTCTCTACCCTCTGTCCAACTACACATTCGGCACAAAAGAGAACCAGCCAGAAGAAGACCCGTCGGTGCTTGCGCGTCTGAAGAGGCTCGAGGAGCATTATGATCTACATGGGATGCGCCGGACGTGCGAGGGCGTGCTGGTTTGTCATGAGCATAACCATCCGCATGTTTTGATGTTGCAGATTGCGAATGCGTTTTTTAAACTGTATACCTTCCCTCCCTCTCCTACTTCTAAAGGGAAAAAAAAGAAGAAGAAGAAGGAGAAGAAAAGAGTTCTAATTCGTACAATAGACCAGGCGACTACCTACACCACGACGACGACGAAATAACCGGGTTCAAAACCCGTTTGAACGAGAGACTGGCGCCCGTGGGCTCGCAGTTCAGCGGCGAGGGCGTCAACGAAGACTGGGAAGTAGGCGATACGCTGGCGCAATGGTGGCGGCCTAATTTCGAGACCTTCATGTACCCGTTTCTACCGGGGCATGTTACGCGTCCGAAGGAGTGTAAGAAGTTGTATCTTATCCAGCTTCCGAAGAAGAGTGCGTCTATCGTCTCATTTTTCACCCAAAAAAAAAAGGAAAAAAAGAAAAAAAAGGGGCGGGTAGCTGACTCGTTTGGCAGAAGTATTGAGTGTGCCCAAAAATATGAAACTCCTCGCCGTCCCCCTGTTTGAGCTTTACGACAACACTGCGCGATACGGTCCTCAATTATCGGCTATTCCGCACTTGCTGTCACGGTACAATTTCGAGTTTGTCGATGAGAATGACAATGTTGTTGCTGTTACGCCGGGCACGCCGCATTCGGGCATGGACGAGTTCAAGACCAAGATCCTTGCTGGCGGTGCGGAGGGCGAGGATACGGGCATGGAGGATGTTCAGGGAGGAGGTGGAGGAGGAGCTGCTGGTGGTGATGTGAATCAGTCGGAGATTAAGCAAGATGATGAGCAAATCTCGTAATTCTGCTTTTCTATACAATGTTTTCTTTCTTTTTTTAGTGGTCGGGAGCTTGTTCAGTCTTTGGTAAAAGGAAACGAAGAGGAACTTTTTCTTGTTGTTCTATACTCTTTATGCTGCTGGTGTTAGGGAGTGCTGTCTAGTTACTTTGTATACAATTTTAAAGATATGAATCGTAATCCAGGTCTGGGTGATCCGTAAGCGTAGCAAACTGGGACAACATGTTACAGTCAGCTTGAATAGATAGGCATGTCACATTCTGTTCTATTATTTCCGCCTGATACTTTCACGCGTGTAACTAGTACAACAGGAACAGCTACTTGGGTGTTGCACTAGGTAGTATTGCGTTCATGACTGGTGACTTAGTCCTTAGATATGCGGAGAATTGAATCGTTGCACGTGGCTTGAGGTACAAGTAATAGGCATACAGTATTTGGTGTAAATCGCGGACATTTTTGGAATGCTATGTTATCCCTTGCAAGCCCTTGGAAAAGTACTACGAACTTCAGAAGAATTAATCCACCCTCACAACTAAACACAGGCGAAGACGGGGAGCATGTCGTTAAAATGCATCATAGCTGCTATCGGACTGGCTGCTTCAGTCCTAGCAGGGCTGGCATCGCGTGGTAAGAAAACGCCTACGGATTTGAGGACCTACAGATTAACAGCACAAAGATGTCTCGCAGCATGTGCTGGATGACTTGAATCTCTTCGAACAATACTCGGCTGCAGCGTACTGTGATGCGAATGATAACGCTACAAAAGGCACTGAAATCGCTTGTGTGGCTGGAAACTGCCCTCTCGTGCAGCAAGCGGACGCCACATCTGTCTATTCGTTCTCAGAGTGAGAAGAAAACCATCCAAGAGTTTGAATTCTTCGTTCCGTATGGAACTGACGGTGTTGAAAATAGCACTGGCGTGGGCGATGTAACGGGTCTCCTCGCCCTTGACCACACCAACAAGCTGATCGTCCTAGCCTTCCGTGGCTCTCGAAGCATTCAAAATTGGATCACTAACCTTGACTTCAAGTTTACGAATGCATCTTCGCTCTGCGATAATTGCGAAGTCCACGATGGATTCCTAGACTCCTGGCAATCGGTCTCGGACACGCTTACCTCCAAACTGTCGGCTACCGTCTCTGGCAATCCTGGATACAAGATTGTCTTTACCGGACATAGCCTGGGGGCGGCTTTGGCTACCGTCGCGGCGGTACAGTTGCGAAATGCTGGAAACAACATAGACCTGGTAATTCATTCCTGTGACGAGATGAGAGAGAGAGAGAAAAAAGACAGCTGACAAAAAGAAAATACAAGTACACCTATGGAAGCCCTCGCGTGGGCAACCTCGACTTTGCGACTTTCCTCACCTCACAGCCAAACGGCGTCAACTACCGAGTCACGCACACCGATGACCCTGTTCCCAAGCTGCCGCTTCGCAGTATGGGGTTCAGCCATCCAAGCCCGGAGTATTGGATCACAGCCGGTACGGATGAGGCGGTGACGGCGAGCGCGATTACTGTAGTCGCAGGGATTGACTCCAAGGGGGGCAACGACGGGACGGACGCAGGGCTGGACGTCGATGCTCATCTCTGGTATTTCAACAAGATCTCTTCGTGTTAGTTAGTCAGTGATAGTAGAGTGAGTGAGTTAGCAGCAACAACCAACCCCCTTTTGAAACGAGAAATCCTGGTCCTGGTCCTGGTCCTGATCATCCATGATCCACATGGAAACAAGTATTCCGAGCTCCGTTTTGGTCTTCGTGCAGTCGCGGCGGGCCTAGACGGGACGGTATTTTTAGATCCGCCGCACTCCGGCGTCGCACGCAGCAAATGAAGCTTGTGTAAAGCTGTGTGTGGCTTGGAGGGAGAGAGTTCTAGACGAGACGGACGGCGAAAGGAGAAGAGGAAGAAGCAAGAGTGACATGACGATCCGAGGGGCAAGCGCGACCCACCGGGAAACACGCAAGCATTCTTTGCTCTTTCCTCTTTGGCGCTCTCCCCTTGCCCTTGCCCTTTTCTGCTTAAATACTCTCGTCATTCTCTGTCTGCCACTGTACGCTGCACACATACAGATACACACAAACACACACATACATATATGTGTATATATATATTCTGTTCCCCCAGATGACCCAAGCCTGCCGTCCAACTTAACACTTGCGTCAAGAGTCCAGACCCAGACCCAGACCCATGAGCCTAGACGCATCGCCCAACTAGCGCCCTCCTTGCCGCATGGCTCTTCGCTCCGTCGTCTCAGTCGCTGTGAAGCCTCCATCGCGCCGCCTGCGGACGGCCGTGCTTGCGCTCTTGCTGCTGCTCACCTTCTACTGGGTTGCGACAACAACTGCCCTGCCATCGGCGCGCCCCAGAACGCGGAAGGGGGCCATCCATAGCGATGCCCGGTCGCCGCAGTTGGAGGCTGTCTTGCAGGCCCCCGTGCCTGCACCTACCAACATGAGGTCGCATATCGAGAAAGACCTGGTGGTGGCAAGTATGGTCGGCGATAATACCTCCTGGCTGACCGACTCCCTTCCCGACTGGCACAAGAGCATATACGTCGTGGACGATGACACGGCCGAGCTGACTGTGGCAAATAACAAGGGACGGGAATCCATGGTCTATCTTACGTATGATATCTGTATCTTTTTTTTGGCGGGGGGGTGGAAGTTGCATGTGCTGATGAGACGGCTACAGATATATCATTGACAACTACGACCGCTTACCCGACTATATGCTCTTCATACATTCTCAGCGATATCAATGGCACAACGACGATCCCTATTACGACGGGGTTCCGATGATCAGACGATTCCAGCTGCCTTATCTGGAGAAGATTGGTTATGTTAATCTGCGTTGTGCCTGGGTGCTGGGGTGTCCCGATGAAATTCACCCCATGACAGATAACGATCACGATGCGGTTCATGCAGGTCCATACTACATGAATGGGTTCAAGGAGCTGTTCCCCGGCGTCAAAGTTCCAGATACGGTAGGAGTGTCTTGCTGTGCGCAGTTTGGAGTAGCGCGGTGGAAGATTCGCGAACGGCCAAAGAGTGATTATGAGCGATACAAGCGGTGGCTCCTGGGAACTGATCTGGACGACGCCATGAGTGGCCGGATCATGGAGTATTCCTGGCATAGTAAGACTAATCCCCCCTTTTTTTCCCCTTCATTCTTGTCGAACGTGGGTTAATCTTTTGTCTAGTGATTTTTGGGATGGACCCGGTTCATTGTCCCAACGCTGCCGAATGCTATTGCAATGTCTGGGGTTTATGCGACCTCAAATGCTTACAAGACGAATGTGAAAATCGATACTCACTTCCTCCGTATTCGACTCTCCCTGACGGATGGCCATACATAGGGTGGAATGGAGAGCCACAGGATCCAAGCAAAGGGGGCCTTCCCTTGGCCTTGGTTTCTTGAGTTGGATCTCCATTTCGGCTTTTCTCTCTTTCTCTCTCCCTCTCTCTGAGAGACACACACCTACACCTACACCAATACATTTTTCTCTTTGCATTCAGGGCGGCGCTTTGTTGTTACGGTGGCATTTCGGTCTAATTCTAGCATTTCAGAGCGACAGCGTGTTTGATTGGCGTTTAGCAGTTCATATTTGGTGTGATTGCACATAGAATAATAGATATATTGCTATAGTCGTTGTCAAAAAAAAGTAAAAAAAAAAGAAGTTCAAATCATCGTGAATCGAAAGAAGCTTCAGAAGTAGCTCCAGTAGTTTCAATATTTCGCAGGCCTCGGCTCGGCATAGAAATAGTTGATCCGATGACGGCACTGCACGCCTTCCTCACATGCTTCTATCCCACTTGCTTCTACAATCACTTTCTCAACGACTAGTTCAACACGAGATAACAAGAAGCAGAAAAGAAAAGAAGAAAAAAAAAAAGAAATGCTTATCATCGGACTCACCGGCTCTATAGCCACCGGTAAATCCACCGTCTCTGCCCTCCTCGCCTCGCCTCCGCACAACCTCCCCATCATCGACGCGGACATTCTCGCCCGCAAAGTCGTCGAGCCTGGCACCGCAGGCTACAAAGCTATAGTCAATTACTTTGGACCGAGCACACCGGAGCTCCTCTTACCGGCAGATGCCGAGGGTAAGCGCGCGCTGAACCGGCCAGCGCTGGGGAGGCGCGTATTCGGCGATAGCGAGGAGCGCAAGCGCGATAGGACGATATTGAATCGCATTGTGCATCCGGCGGTGCGCTGGGAAGTCTATAAATCTTTACTGTATTACTACCTTCGGGGCTATTGGGCTGTGGTGCTGGATGTGCCGCTGTTGTTTGAGTCCGGCATGGATGTTATATGCGGCACGGTGGTGGTGGTTGCGGTGCAGGATCCGACGGTGCAGATGGCGCGATTACGCCAGAGAGATCCGCATTTGAGTGCGGAGGATGCGGAGAATCGTGTCAAGAGTCAGGGTGATGTGCAGGGGAAAGTGAAGAAGGCACTTTATAGGAATAAGAAGGCGTCGGAGCAGGATACGGACAAGGGCTCGAGAGGCGTTATTGTGTGGAACGATGGCGATAAAGATGCCCTGGCAAAGGAAGTTGACCGGGCTGTTCTTACGATTCAGGATAATAGTCCTCGGTGGTGGTCCTGGATACTCTTGATTGCGCCGCCGGTGGGCGTGGCTGCTGCTGTGTGGAATATGGCTGCGAATTTTAGTTCGCAGAGGAGTTGGGACCAGAAGGTCAAGAGAGAGAAGGCTAGGTTGTAGCATAGCATAGCACACTCAATATATATTCTTCGAGACGCTACTACCACAACTGCCAACGTATATACACACGTGTCGTCTAGCATTTCATTGCGTCGCGGAAGGACAGGACAGCACAGGCCAGGCTCGAATTCCATGCGTACCTAGGTACAGCTACTTGGTCTTGATCGATCCGACAATCGGTTCTTCGGTGGTGGCATGTCGTCGTATCCAGCTGGCATGGAGAGAAGAGAGAGAAGCAGTCGGTCTGAGAAATACGCTGGACCAAGAACGGATGGACCGCCCGCCCTAAGAAAACCGAAGGGGGAAAATTCAGGCCGACTCCATCGCCAGCGTCGATAGTTGATGGTATAAACCGCTGCCACGCGCGAGCAAGCCGGTTCCTGCACTGTCGAGAGAGAGAGAGAGAGAGAAAGAAGGGGCCGCGATGGCCGAGAGCACATCCGCGTAGAAGGAAGGGAAGGGCAACCCCGGAAGTAGTAAGCCTCCCGCGCTCTTTTACCTCTTCTTTCTGTTCAGCCATGATGAACAAACCGCCTATCTGCCATCCTCACATGCCTGTCTCCAGGCTTATGCTGCTAGATTGGTGTGTCTGATCGACAGTCTCCAGTTCCCCAGAGCCGCATGAACCGACCTGTTATTCTCTTCTTCTCCTGCCATCCGGACATGCATGATACCATGCCATGACATGACATACAGGACTCGACAACTCCGACGACCGCACATAGATTAGACGCCTGGTGGCTGGAAGAAAGCAGTCATTCCAATGATACACCTGGTCAAATACTTGCCAATTGCGCTGTCTATCCTGTGTCAAAGCTGAAAAAGGCCCCCGCCATGCATCCATATACTCCATATAATTCTGCGGGCATGAGCCCGGCTCCGATATTCTCGACGTCCTCGTCCACCCAAGCAGGTAACAAGAGCTCCAGAATGAATACAGGCGCAGCAAAGTCTCTCACGTTCAAGCATTATACATTCACCCCTGCTTCTCAGCAACACCAGATGCCTCCGTCCAAACGTCGACGTGTTATTGAGCCATCAGATGTATCAACAGCAAGTTTCCCGCCAACCGGCAGCCATTTAGACACCGCGCAAGACGGGGTGAATAGTTTCTATCATCTAGATTTTGCAAAACCGCTGCATCAGAATGTCGTATCACAGAATGCTGCTTTAGATACCGCGGGCTCGTTCTCCACACAAAGTACCTCGGAAAGATCATCTCGGGGAGATTTGGATTCCGATTTTACCAGCCGCAATACGCCTAACACCTCAGTGTCAAATACGTCGCCATGGCCTCAGATAAAGGCAGATTCTCCGGCTGCAATGTCAACGGCACCGGCACCAACGACGGCGAGTGATTCTCAAGTAGCCCACCCCCCGAAGCAGCTCAACGAGACGGAAGTCGATGCGCCCAACTATGAAGAATTCAAGCCACGTTCTTCCATACCTAGTGGGATCCCCGGTCCAGTATATGCTCAGCAGTGTATAACGGCTGCATATGCATCCCGACTCAACCCGTTTGCATTGCATAAGCGTGAACAAAAGGCACTACAGCATCATCTATGCCATCTGCATGTCACGACGTACCTCAATATCCGCAACGGAATCTTACGGCTATGGACTCGCAACCCGATGATAAGCGTGACCCGTGAGGAAGCGCTTGGCTGTGCTAGGGACTTCAGATGGATGGGCCTTGCAGATTTTGCCTATGAGTGGCTAGTGAGAAACGGCTACGTCAACTTCGGCTGCGTCGAGGTTCCGCAAGCTCCTATTTCTCCCAAAAAGGGTAGGCGAAAGGATGATGGGCCTGTCATTGTTATCGTCGGAGCGGGTGTAGCTGGCCTGGCCTGCGCCAGACAACTGGAAGGCTTGTATCAGCAGTACCGCGACAAGGTCACATCATTCAAAGTGATAGTTCTCGAGGGTAGGCGGCGCATTGGTGGGCGGATCTACTCGCATCCTCTAAAAAGCCATAAGAATGCCTCATTACCAAAAGGTCTCCGGCCGACCGCTGAGATGGGTGCTCAGATTATTGTAGGATTTGATCGAGGGAATCCATTAGACCCGATCATTCGTTCACAGCTGGCATTGCGTTATCATCTGCTCCGAGACATATCTACGATTTATGATATTGACGGCTCAGCTGTTGATGAAATGCAAGACGCAATGGATGAACGCCTCTATAATGACGTTCTCGACCGTTCTGGGAACTATCGGCATAAGACAGTTATTCAACATACCGCAGAAGGCGATCGTGAGATGATGAATCATGGCCGTGACATTCCGATTGACGACGGGGTCACAATTCATCAGTACGAGGAAGCGCGCGCTGCAGGAACCCATCACCTACTGCTTCCTGCTGCACGATTTCGTCGCGGCATTGGGCACCATGCATCCCGGATTCTGCCGCCTTCTGATCTAGACCCAGACGAAGAGCTGCCAGCGGCTATGGAATGTCAAAGCATGGGGTGGAAACTACGAAATGGCGTTTCTCCGCAGGCCGACCTGCAACTCGATCAAGTTGCCAAAGCGTCCCCCCGTCAAACGCTAGGAGCCGTGATGGACGAAGGCGTCAGACAATACCAGGCTATGCTTCCTCTGACGCCGAAGGATATGCGGCTTTTGAATTGGCACTATGCAAATCTGGAATACGCGAACGCCACCAATTTAGGCAAGCTGAGTTTGTCAGGATGGGACCAGGACATGGGCAATGAGTTTGAGGGCGAACATAGCCAGGTTATCGGGGGGTATCAACAACTGCCACGAGGACTGTGGGCATATCCTACCAAACTAGATGTCCGGACCAACGAGACGGTGGTAAACATTACTTACGATGCCACTGGCGAAGCCAAGAATCGCAAGACAATCGTCCACACCAAAAACGGTCCTATTTCAGCCGACCATGTTGTTTATACGGGCTCCTTAGGTACTCTTAAACATCGCACAGTTGGGTTTACTCCCTCACTACCAGAATGGAAAATGAATGCAATCGATCGTCTCGGATTTGGGGTGTTGAATAAAGTCGTGCTAGTGTTTGATCATCCTTTCTGGGATACCGGTCGGGACATGTTTGGTCTTCTTCGCGAAGCAGAAGTTCCAGGCAGTATGACTCAAGCAGATTACGCCAAAAACCGGGGCAGATTCTATTTGTTCTGGAACTGTGTCAAGACATCAGGTGTACCGATGCTGATTGCGTTGATGGCTGGAGACGCAGCACATCAAGCGGAAGAGATGGCAGACAAGGACATTGTCACAGAGGTCATCTCGGAACTGCGCAATGTCTTCAAATCCGAAACTGTCCCAGATCCACTGGAAACGATCATCACGCGCTGGAAAGCAGACAAATTCACCCGCGGCACATACTCCTACGTAGCAGCTGATGCCTTGCCGGGGGACTACGATCTGGTTGCGCAGGCCGTTGGAAACCTCCATTTTGCCGGTGAAGCTACGTGTGGCACGCACCCTGCGACTGTGCATGGGGCGTATTTGTCGGGGCTGCGGGCTGCAGGGGAGATTATGGAGAAGATATTGGGACCGATCGCGGTGCCTTCACCGTTGGTTCCGCCTTCATCCAAGGGTAATAACGGTTTTGCCAGTAATCCTCTGCGGTATTGGAACAGCAGCACCACTCCGACAAAGCAAAATTCTACGCCAAAAGCGAAAACAAGCAACAAAAAGAAAGCCCCAGGAGTGACAGCTCATACTACTACTACCACCACCAAAGCAGAACAAGAACAAGAACAAGAACCACAACACCCGCAACTCCATCTCTACAACCAAGCACTAGAAACCCACCTCCACGCAACCATCGGACCAGCACCGCCAGCCAAACCCGCCAAAATCGCACTCAATCCGTTCCTCACATTCCAAAAGGACTACTGGATTCGCGCAAAACAGCAATGCGAGGCGAATAAAAGACAGGCAACGAACAACCCAGAAGCGAAAGCTGCGCGCGACGAAGTCAGGGCGGTCCTGGGACAAATGTGGCGAGAGGCGGAGGAGGAAGTTAAACGGCCGTATCATGAACAGATGGCTGTCAACAGGCAGACGAATGATAATATGGCCAAGGCGTGGGCGGAGGCAGTGAGGGAGTATGAGCGGAAGAGGGAGGAGGCTGTACGGGGATTTCCTGCGTTTGAGGCATGGCTATCGTCTATGGACAGGTCTGTATAACGGCCATGCTTGTTCTTATTATCTTACTACTTATTATATTCAATACAAATTTCAGTCAAGTCTCGAAAAAGAGAGATCGGATTCGGAGTCCATTATGAGCTTTTAAATACACTGAATTGTATTACCTCCGGCTTTTCATTCTTGATCCGTTGTTGGGAGGGCGCGCTCACACAGCAATTTTATCATCATACTTTGCAAAAACATCAACTTCAGCCTCCGCAAACTCGCGCATAATAGTCTCCTTCCTCGCCTCGGAGCGCAGCCTCACCGTGCACGGAAACGGCTTTGGACAAGCAACCAACCCTTCAATATAGCCTGTATCCGGATCGACGTCAGGCTCACTCCGCTCCCCGCTTATAGGGTCAATTACGGGCTGCTCAAACGCAAAGGCCCAGAGCAGCATTGACATGGCTATAAAAAGGTCGCGTTCGGCGAGGTGAATGCCCGTGCAGAGGCGGCGGCCGGCTCCGTAGCTGTAGTGATCGCGGTTGTTGTAGTCGGCGCCGCCGTTGTTTGCGTATTCGGATGCTGGTAGCGTTCTGTCTTCGAAGCGGGTTGGGTCGAAGAGGTGCGGGTTTGGGTATTTGGTTGGGTCGTGGTTGAGGCCCCAGATGTTGAGGATTAGGATGGTGTTTTTGGGGAGGAAGTGCCCGTTTATCCATTCATCTGGCGCTGTTTTTAAGTTATGTTTACAAACAACAAAAGGAACGGGGAAGGGAGGAGGGAGGAGGAGGAGGAGGAGGAGGAGGAGGGATACCTTGGTCAAGAAGATGCGGCATGCCCAAAGGCGCCACAGGCCTCCATCTCACGCACTCCTTGACAATAGCGGCGACATATGGGAGACGACTATAATCGGCCCAGGTTGGAGTGCGGCCCTCGCCAATGACTGAGTCGATTTCCGAGTGTGCCCTTTTCTGGATCTCGGGCCATTTGGTCATGGCCTGAATGAACGAGATGATAAGCGCTGCAGGAGTCTCTGAGCCACCTTCGACAAGACCGCCAGCGAGGAAGGATAGTTGGTGATGGCTGAAGCCTAGTTTTTCATTGTCCTTGAGGAGGTTGTCGACGAATGTATCCTTGCTGCTGCCGAGTTTGGTTCGACGGTTGATGACGTGTTGGAGCATTGTTTCGTGTAATGATTCCATTATGTCTTTGACGTGGGTGGCTTTGGTGATCCATTTCCCTAGGAACCGTTCGGGGATGTATTTCAGGAATGGGAAGAAATCGACTGGAGGGGTGGCTCCTAGTTCTAGCAAGGCTGTGAACTCATCTAGCATTTCGTATAGTCGGTCCATGTAGGTTGAACGAATAGAAGGGATCCGCACGCCGTACACTATTTCAAGAATTGTCAATGTACAACGGCCAACAAGCCAGGTGGGTTAGAGTGTTATACCGATGCTAGTGAGAATGCTATTACTGTACCTCCTCGGATGAAGCATGTAATCCTCAGGCGCAGCAACAAAGTCTCTGAGCATCTGAACGCCTTCAGCATGCTGCAGATGGACATGGTGTTTATCACACATGGATTCCATAAAGCATTGATGAATCAACTTGCGCTGTACTCGCCAGGTGGGACCATATTGGAGAGTCAGAAGATGATCTCGCTGGCTGACAATCTCCTGCACGATGTATGAAGCAGGCCTGTTGCTGGCAACGGAGCCCTTTTCTTCGAACAACTCTCGCGCGATTCGTCTGTCAGTGATTACGGCTAGCGTGCTGTTGCCGACTTTGATTGTGTACAGGCCACCGTAAATCTTTGCGAATTCTGTGTATCTGCAGTTGTTCTTGTTTAGGCATCTATTTTTTATAGTGGTCGGATCAAGGAAAACTCACTTGAGATGCGCGCGTCTCCTTGGAATCTGATGAGCATTTCCGATGATTGGGAGCGTTGGGGGCCCTTGTTGAGTCAGTCACCCTATTTTCAACGTGAGATCAGGACAAGGCCAGAAAATACCAGGTGGCAGGCATGCATCTCTGCTGCCTACGGTCAGGATGATGTATGCGATGCCTGCAACGGCAACTGCAATTGCAAGTGCAAGTGCACCACTGACAGCCATGATGGTTGAGCACCAAGTTCTGCTTTAGATAGAGTAGAAAAACTCGAGGAAAGCGAGGTACTATTGTTGGTCAAAGCACCTTTCAATGGGAATGAAGATCAAGTCTTTGTGCGAGAAGCAATGCCTTGTTTGAGTGTAGCTTTGTGGCATTGTGCGGAGATTAAAAAAAAAAAGAAACAAGAAAGAAAAAGACGTCGCTGGATATTCTTTGTTCACATGGCCTGCCTTAGGGTGGCCTGGAAATCCTGGCACTCCACATCTAAAAATACATGTATACAGCAATAAACAGAAGATATAACTATGCTTAGCTTTGATTAGATGCTAAATGTTTCACAACCCTGATCTTCGGCTCCAGACTCATCTCTACCCAATATCCCCCGGTCAAATAGCGTCTCGCAAATCCATCTCGGATCTTTTCATAGCATTCAACTCCTTTGTCGCCGGCGAGCCATTTGATTGCATCAATTTCGATACTACTGCTGTGGAAATGGTCCCCAGTACGCAGCTGCGGCTGTTCGCTATCGGATGGTTTGATCAGTTTGAACCCGGCAAATCCGGTAATCGTGTCTATGACTTGCCATGACTCAGGGTCCGCAGAATGGGATCTGAGCTCCGCGAGTTCATTGTCTTCGACGAGTGCGTAGTCGATGTTTGACCAAAAAGTCGGTGTGGACTTGAGAGTCGAGTTCTCGGTTTTGTCGTAGGTCCATTTCGTCGTTGCTGCGTCTGTGTCTTCTTGTGGCTGTTGAAGGAATCGAGTGACTCCGGTTTGACAGGCGAGATTTCCCATGTATAGAACGACGTGTGACGGGGTGCCCTGGCCGTGGAAATGGACTCTCTGAATGGCCTGTGCACCTGGATAATTTGCCGAAGAGATTGGTAGAAGGACGAGGTTTGATACCACGAGGGAGCCAAGTGTTGATAGGACTAGTGAAAGGGACAGAATACGGTATAAGGTTGACTTCCTACGTCGTATCCATATGTATGCCGCGCCTTGAGCTGCGGCCGCCGTTAATGCGGGAATGATATAGATGATGAACCGCCATTCCTTGTGAGGCTGTATACTGTAGATGGCAACAAAGACCAACGAAGGGACGAGTAGCGATAAAGATGTCGGTCTTGTTGCATCCGCTAGTAGAGATACAGGGATACCCACTAGCCAACTTAACGGGTTTAGGAGAAGACGAGGAAGAGCATTGACAAAGTAAAAGTACCAAGGATCGACACCCCAGGCGGAGGCTTGCCCGGACACGACATTGAACTTGAATGCGTTGAACTCGGGCCAGAGGGGAAATTCTTGCCAGAAGTACGAGTCAATGACAACAGTTGCCGTGAGGCCGACGAGCAATCCAATGATCCCTGCTGGCAGAATGTCTTGTTGGATGCGAATGCGTCGGCTAAGGAGAAAGTAGGCGGTGTTTGTTGCTAGTAGTAAGGCAAGCTCGGAACGAAATATGATGCCAGTCACGGTGAAGAGAATGAGAGAGAGACGGTATCTACAGTTACCAGACGAGGTGGAAGACTTGTTGCTGGCATTAGGGCAGGGGAGAAGAAGTCGCAACGCAATGGTGGCTGTATTGATTGTTAGACCCAGTAGGCATCGAGCAAATCATTCAATCCGCACAGACGTACTCAGACCAAAGGCAAACATATTTGACAACGTCCGCGATGCATAGTAAGCGACATGGAACTGACTGGCCTGGAAAATCAGATACCAGTACGCCGTCGCACTGCCAAAAGCCTTCTGCAACCCACGCGCGTAGGAATTCAAGGACAAGGCATTGAAGAGGCCGAGAATGGCGCGGGCTCCATTTTGTAGATTCCGGTTAGACTAAACTATGATTACGTGCTGCTGTAGTTCACACACCTAGAAATTGCCGGTCAACATGCTCATGGAGCCATACAATAGGCCACGACGCACTAGCGAGACCTAGCGCTCCAATAAAGGTCCGGGGGACAGCCCCTGGGAAGCTGAAATGGTCATAATTAGACCTGAATTGGCTCGCAACAGCTGCAGAGTCAAGACGAAGAGGCGAAGGGATCCCGTATGTTAAGATGTCGTGCGTTGCCTGGATGTGGAACGACTCTTCGACTTTGGTGTATGGCGCGGCGAGCAGATGTATGAGGATGACGGCGGGGAGAAGGGAGTAGAACACGACATCTGGAGATGGATTCAATAAAGAGTTCCAGCGGTGACAATTCAAAGCAGTAATTTACCTGTTAATCTTGCCATTTTGTCATTGCATCGTTGCTACGTGTAAGCTGGACGAACGTGAACATGAATGACTATGAGCTCTTATCGATAAGCGCAACAAACAGAGCAAACACGTCATCCGCAACCAACCTGGCCAGCTGCGCAACCACAATCAATGACTGAAAAACAATATCCAGCATAACTATTAATTCTCTCTCAGCCACCTTTGCCTAAATAAATGCAACTCTCCTTCGACTTTTGAATCACAATGTTCCTCTTCGGCTTTGGCAAGCTCATATACGGTCCGCATTTCCCACACTAGCATCTGATTCGTTTACTGACTGACTGACTGACCGATCGGAATAGTAACGGTACTCCTCATAAACGCCGTAGCGGTATTATCAGAAGACAGATTCCTTGCGAGAAGTAACCTTGCCCGCTCTCACCATTTGGTCATTCGTCTCTAATATGACGTTCTGTTTAGTTGGCTGGGGTCGCGCACAACAAGAGCCCGGTTTCGGATCGAGTTACGACAACACGAGCATAAAAGCGAGGACGGTTAATTTGATTACTAGTGTGAGAACGGTGATGCGAAGTATGTTGTTTTTTACCGATGCTAGTTGAGTGTTGGTCGAACATATGCTAATCTTCCGTTGAATAATGTAGTACCGCTAATTGTGATAAATACGGTCATCATTATTTACGAGTTGATATTGGGATGATCATTGCCGAGCGTCAATCAGTTTATACATCGAGGATATCATGATCTAGTCCATAGCTTAGGACTGTTTATGTCTATTGTCTGAAGCGTTAGGGTCTCTGTTCGGTTGCCACCTCATTGCGTTTTCTTCTCCGGGATGGCCTTATGCGCATACCCAGGACTAAGTGAACGAGCATAACTATTTTACGGCCTTGATATTGTCAGATGATATAATTAGGTACAGGCAGCATGTTAATCCTTAGCGAGGGCAGGATTGAACAAGGGTTGTATGTGAGGTCGAAAACTATATATCCAAATTCATGCATAGTTCAGTCCTGGGTAATGGCTTCAACAATAGCTTTTGCTGTTACCTCTGGGGCCAACGTCGGTGCGTAATGGTGTTCGTCGATAGTCACCGTTGAGACCTTCTTTGCATTTCTCTGCTTCAACTTTTCCACCCATACCTGCTGGTATTCAACTGGAATGATATTATCTTTGGTAGTGTAGATATAAGTGACGGGAACATGGTCGACGGCCGTATAGTTTGGCGGATCAAGGAAACTCAGGGTTGACTGGCACTTGAGTTTTCGTGCCAGATCCAAAGCCACATCTGAGGGCAGTCCTGGGAAAAAGACTGGGGCAGCGGCGTCTGCGTCGATATGCATGAAGTCTCCCTGGAATAATGTCAGTTTCATAATCATCCTTTACCTAGGTATACAATTTAACATGCTCGTAACTAAGAGACAGACTCACCAATATTTTGATATTCTGGCCTAATTGACCTCCCATAGCCTCCAAAGGCGCCTGTCCAATATCTGGCAAGACAGACGCCAGATACACCATCCTGACAGCACCGCCTGCATCTGCTCCTGCTGCTTGACGCTCCGGCTTGGTGACAGATTTGACGCTCTGCGTTGCCACAGCGCCGCCAAATGAGTGACCAACAATGACAATGTCTTTGCCCTGGCTGGACAGGGCTTCAACGATGCCACGGAAATAGGCGGCATCTTCTTGTAGTGTAGCTGGCTTTTCAGGCGGGGATCGACTCGCGGATTGTAGTGCGCCCACGATGACTTCGAAGCCGTGCTCCTTCTGGAGGATGGAGGAGAGAGAATCATAGAATTCTGGGCCGGTGAAGGAACCGGGTACGATGACAATGGCAGGTTTGGACATTTTGGCTGCTTCTTTCTTTGTATTGGGCTTTGGTTTTATATATTGACAATTCATCAATCAATTGAACCATGAGCCCTATTTATAATACTTGTTCTACCATAGTTATTACAAATCAACTGGTAATTAGTATTCGTCCTAAATAAAAACATGTCAGAAATGTAGCTTTTTTCAACCTCAATTGCCAGATAATGTATGTAGCATTTGTCAGCGGGGCTTGTTGTGCTGCGGGCTTTCTGACAGACTGACATGTCAGAAAAATTTCCGTTTCGGGTAATTCTAGGTACATGCGAGAAATTCTAGTGACAACGATGCTGAACTGACAATCTCGTGTTGAGATGCGATAATATTGACTGCTGAGAGGCCTCACAAGGAGATATCCTGATCACCAAGGGGTGCTTGAATACATAGTTCAGTATCTTAATGATAATAAAATAATTCTTCCGAAATGCAATACATTGATACATAAGTTACATACGTGCAGCAACATATACCTCGTACTATATTTTTCATATCTACAGCTCAGTTGCCCGGAATAAAAATACCATGCTCCGCTCTCAGAGCATACAACTGCTCGCGAGGGCGGCATTTCCTCACATCCTTGAGGCCAGTAATAACCTTAGACCTGGTGCCATTTGACAGCAGTGTCTGCTGCTCCATGGTGTCATCTGCAAAGCACAGAATAGTCTATAGCACCCTTATTAGTGATATTCACAACTTCAACTGCTGGAGGGAACGTTAAATACCTGGCGAAGGTAGTCTAGACAGTGCGGCCAATGCGCGTTATCGTGAAAGTCCATGCCGATGTCGATTCCTTCTTTTGACTGCTGCAAGGCATGTCGTATTGATCCGAGACAGTGCAGCTGATGGAACCTGTTGATTGTTAGATGGCATGCATGCCTGTCCAGCACTGTTGTTGTTCCCCGAAGAAAGAAAGAAAGAAAGAAAAACCCACATGCTAATAGACTCCACCTTGTCAGAATCATCTGTTTTGACAATCGACGAATTGCCCGTCTCCGACCACAAATGGTCGAATGCATGGTCTAAAGTCATGTATTCCTCGCTGGTCCCGAATGCGTTAAGAATCGAATAATCTTCTTGCTGCTGCTGCTGCTGCATTTTCAATGCGGATTGACCCCATATAAACAGACCGACACAGGCCAGTATCAAGGCCAAGTTGAGCAGGGACTGTGAAATTAGAGCAATTACCAGAAGCCGCCGAGATATAGCATCTGAAGGCTGAGGCCCGTCATTTAGTAGGGCATCCTTTTCGGCACCGTCGAAGGAACGGTCCTCGTCGGATTCTGAGTATCTGAGATTCGACATGATAAAACTTAGGTTCACAAGGACTTTTTTTTGGAATTATGAGTGCATACTTGTATGGAATTGAATAGTCGAAATCCTCTTCGCAGCCGCAATCAGTAGAGAGGGGGGTTTAATCTAGTTTTTGAGACGAAGGAAAAACAACGCGTCCGCCTAGTCCGGCGTTGCATCGACTAGCGCTAGAGGATTGTTGGTATATGACTATATATGAGTGTTATTAATAATAGTAGATAAGTAACCAGCGAGCGAATGCTGGCTATTTAAAGGCCCATGTCTTCCAGCTCAAGTGCTTCTTCTCAAGAGTGCCGTCTGTCTATCTACACCAAGTCAAACCCGAACTATAAACAAATCATACCATCATGCAGTGGCGTGTACTCCTTGTCGCGGGGGCATTGATTTCCTCGGCTGTTGCTGGCCCAATTCCTCAAGGTTGGTCTTCAACATTGATGTTTGTTAATTCTAAGTTGGAATACTAACATGAGGATAGAGAAACGAGGGGATGAGATGGTGGGATATGTCACCGGCTACAAGGAAAAGCGAGGGGACGAAATGGTGGGCTACGTCACTGGATACGAGAAGGAGAAGCGAGCAGATGAGATGGTGGGATATGTGACTGGCTATGAGAAGGAGAAGAGGGACGATGAAATGGTGGGATATGTGACTGGATACGAGAAGAAGCGAGGAGACGAGATGGTAGGATATGTCACTGGCTACGAGAAGGCCTAGAAATAGGGCAAAAGCTTGATTACATTAGTCCCTGATTATTGCGGAGACAAGACGACGAAGTTGATGACTTTTGATAAACATCGCATTGAGATTCTCGAATGAATGCAATGGGATATTTACAAGCCCAGACTGCGAAAGGAAGGTGGTATTTGACTATTAACTATTGTCGCAAGTAAGCAAGAGAGATCGTCGAATGTAATAGTTTGGTTGGTGTTGGTGGCGCTTTTAGTTTCGCCTCATTTGGATGATTTACGCTGGCGAACATGTCATTGGGAGAATGGCGCACGATTCTGTTGGTATACCCACAGGTAGATAGATGATCACATAGTAGAAGGGGGTTCTGCAACTCTGCAGCCCTCTACCTAGGTACTTGTCACAAGAATGCCCCATGGCATGACGAAAGTTGAATATGAAGCAATCACAGGAAGAAGACAGTATTCCATTTCTTCAGCCTGAAGATAGCGGCAGTACGGAGAAACATACCACTCACCAGACACCTTTCAGCCGTACCTACTGGCTTTTTGGCATCATCGCTATCCTTCTCGTCACCAATATCATTTCATTATTCGTGGGTAGTCGACTATACCTATGGAGGGGAAATCTTGACCGGGTATGTGCGATTCACACATCACAACACGAAAGTATGTCAGCATTGCGTAGAACTTTTCGCAGATATTCATCTTCTATTAACTAATATTCTTCCTCTAGCCACGCTCCTTCGCGACGTCCATGTCTCATATTCCTCTGTCCCCTTCAATGGCTCGTTCTCAAAGGAGACTATATACCGCCAGCGACCTAGTCCGGAAGTTGATGCGGCATGGCTGGACCTGGGAATTGAATGTAGCTACCACCAGAACCCCCTAGAAACTAAAAGTACTACTAAAAATGTATAAAGATGACCCCCTGATCGTCCCCGATGAGGATGCAGACGCCGCCGGCATCGAGAAAGACCGCTTCCATGTCTCTGAAGTATACGGCGGACCTGGATATCCAGCCTTTGTGGCTGGATTGCACCAGTTGCACTGTCTCGTGGGTTCTGTCTATCCGGACTGTGGTTGGTGAGTTAAACTAATTTCAATGATACTACGCAGAACTTGCTCCGGAAAAGCCTCTATTTCAACGTCGACTATTACCGAGCTCTGCATCGCAATGAGTTCCTGAATCGGGAAGAAACACTACAACTACATATCGGTGTGTATACAACACGTTTCCTGTTCGTTGTTTAATCCAGTAGCGTGGAAACTGAACAGTAGAATGTAGGGCATTGCATAGACGTTATCCGCCAGAGACTGATGTGCACTGCTGATACGGAGTTGCATCCCTACCTGTGGGCTGGCGACCCTCCGCATGTCACACCGGATTTTAATCGAATGTACAAATGTCGGAATTATGATGATATCAGAGAGTATGCAAGACTGAAACAGGCGCAATGGGGGCCAAATGGACCGGATGTTGTGCCGGAGAAGGGAGCCCTTGTGCTGGACGCTATTCCGTGAGGTCTTTTTTTGGGGGACAGTTACACTCTGCGCGTCATGTGACTATGTTCACCCGCAAGCGGTTAGCAGCGCTAGCACCCGGCTCGTCCCTGGTGCACGTGACATCTTGTGACCCTAAAGGTTTATACTAGTGCTGAATTAGGAAGGTCTCCTTGCAGAGCTATATTTTCTAAGAATCCTTATGGTTAGTACTATGTAGTAATTGCAGTCTAGATTAGGAAAAAGTCTCTGATAATCTCAAATATCTTATCACGAAATCATTGCTATATTCAGACATGTTATGGCGTCTGACCGGTGGAGGGTGGAGCTCTTTACCGCGCAGTTGTACGGAATAGCTCCATGGAAACCTGGGGTCTCCATCTGCAACCCCCCCAGAGCTCGAAACGGCGAAAGGCCTCGTCAGCGGCGTGGCACAAGAAGTTGTTGTCGAGCCAAATACAGAGACCTCCAAGGAGCATGCCAGCCCGGTCTCTGCTGACAGGTCCCCGTATAAGGTCAAGGAGGAGCCCCTCCGCAAGCCCAGGAAGACCAAGATCATTGCTATTGCCAGTGCCTTGAATTTTGGACACGAAGTCAACGAGGACAAGTTTCGATATTGATTACGTTTGCTACGGTAAAGAGCCCCATCATCGGCGGGACGTGGTATGAGAATCGCTGTCCGGGATGAGCCTGTGACATCCCTTCGGTCTGTTACCAATTCTCTTGGGCTTCTTCTCCAGAATGGATCCTTTTGTGAGTGAGCCCCCGGGTAGGGGCTTGTTGGCTTCAGCCCGCTGATTGCGCATAGCTACTCCGGAGCTCGTGAGATCCACCGGTACTTCCTGAAGGTTGCGGAAGACTTCGACCTGCTCAAATATTGCCGCGTCAACATCCTAGTCGCGGGGTGTTTCTGGCAGGAAGAGTCGCAAACTTGGCGCGTACGGGTACAAAGAGTGGACCAGCCGGAGATAGTATTCAAAGTACCTAAGTGAGTACCACGGAATCCCTTCCCTTTTCTCGGTCATAGTTTCTGACGGAACCTCACAACTAGCGTCCTTGGGTTGCTCAACCTGTAGCCAAGCGGAGCAGTCTTTACCTGAACGCTGACAGAGCCGAGATAAGGCAGGTCTGGTCTTGCGCCTCTATAACTGGAAAGTCATGTCCTCGTTCCATGAACTGAAACCCTAGTTGGCAGCTCGAGCTTTGTCCGCCTACATATAACAGTTGCTCTATCGGCTGCCTCTTCAGACGTAGATCACAATGGGCCTAGACAACACTGCAGTGCCCGAAGAGAAGAAGTTCGCGGTTGAACCGATTGCAACGCCAACAGAGATTTCCGCAGGCTATTCCATGAAGGCGTAAGTGGAAGACTTCGACGTCGATCCGGCTCTCGAGGCCACTGGCGGTGCCGTCAGAATATTCCCAACGGAGGCAATACCACTTTTGGAGGCATTATTACCAACTCATTCGGCTTCGATTCGCGCACCTCGCTACTTCTTAGTGCTCCCGCCGGCGCGGTTGATGTCGGCAGCAAGCTACTCTTCCCTTGACTCTCTCGGACTACTCCAATAGACAGGACCCTATTCTCCGGCATTGCCATTCTCCTCTCCATGCTGGACGGCATCCTTATGATTGTCATTCCGCTAGAGCATGTCGGGGCCCGCTCCTTTTCGGCTACTATCTGATCGCCACCGCAGACGCGTCATGGTGTCTGGTTATGGTTCTCATATCCAACAGCACCCTCGGCTATACCAAGAAGGTCACCGTCAATAGCGTCCAAATCATCTGCTACACAGCTGGCCACTGGATTGGCCCGCTGACCTTCTGCAGCAGTGATACTCCTGAGTATCGGAACGGCAAGACCGTAGGTGCATATGTCTATGGGGTGCCCGCCCCTTGTCCTCGTAGCAATCTGCCTCGTCAATATCCACGAAAAATAGGCGTCGCGATAAGCTTCAGGCTGAGTCGGGAGTGGACTCGACGGATTATTATAAGCCCCATTTTCGCTATGTCCTGTAAAAGCCGCTCTCTCTTGGTGCCGCCATAGTCGCTATTTATCTCTCAGCAATACGTGTGATTGAATATCTGGTGCCCCTGGAAAGTCGTGTTGTTCAATGGTTTTATATTACTGTGTTTAAAATATTCATGATTAATATCCACTTCTGGTGGCTCTGGCAGAAGAAGATACCTTTGAAGCCTCGCAATGACATAGATCTTTATATAGGGTTTTCCTGAATTCATTTGAGAGAGCATGCTAAAAACTGTAGCTAAAACCAATTGGGTGTTAGTAATGAGGATACCTAGTGTACATGTGTATGCTCCAAAACCGACTCAAGAATGCATACCACAGGGACAATAAACAAGATAGATAATAAAGGAACCCAGTAATCGCGCATACCAGATGCAGAGAGACCCGTATCCTAGAACGCCGTAGTGATGAGGCTCGGACTGTCTTCAGAACCGAGAGGGGTGAAAAGTATGGTAGAGAGTATATAAGACATGATCGCCTGCACAACGTAGTAATGCATCGATGCTATTTTGAAGGCAAGGGAAATAAACTCCATCCAAGTGCAAACAAAGTATATACCAGAATCCAAAAGAAAAAAGACCAAAAGTCGTCATTTTGCCATAACGGAAGGACTAGAGGCAAGTCAACCCAGCAGACTCATCGATTTTTTCCTTATTCCAAACCCCTTCCATTTGTGGTTTCCTTTGTCTCTGTCCGCTTTACCTTTGGGAGGAGAAGGTTCGGGAATATGAGTGGCAGTTCGTGGGATCTCTGGAAGAGCAGCTGACGTGTCTATAGGAACGTCTTCCTCAATGACATGCTCGTGCAGTCTCATATCCGGAGAATTGCCATTCTCAAACAGAAGATCCGAGCGTGGGAATTCCGACGACGCTGCTCTCTTGCCGTTCTCTTTCGGTGACGCAAATCTCTGACTCAAGCTCTTGCTACTTCGTCGGAACCGATTCAAGCCACCTGCCAACATCTTGTGTTGTCCATTCGAGTCCCCGTTTTCTGTTTGGGCCTTTCGGTCTTCTTCGGCCTTCGAGATCTTGCTAAGCTCGCGAGCGGCTTTCAGATCCGCATCTTCGCGTTTGATGTCCTCTCTGCGCTTTGCATCCATCTCCTTTCGCCTTTGCTTCTCAGCCTTTTCTTTCTCCTTCTCAGCCGCTTTTCGTTCCTTTTCTTCTTTGACTCTCTCCTTTCGAGACTGTGTATCGTTTTTCTTCGAAGTCGAGAATGTGGCTGGGTCCAACACTGGCGTCTGCGGGGGAGCTGGAGCCGGGGGACTTGTCGAAAAGGCATGCTCAGGATGAGTTGACATCTGAGGTGCAGTCGGAACGGTTCTCAATGGAGTAAAACGATGTGCTTCCTCTTCGTCGGGCGGGCCCTGGTATGTGTGAATGTGGTCGAGGGGATTCTCATTTCCTTCTCTCAAATCAGAAACACCATTGACAGGGTTGCGGCCTTCTTGTTCTTGTTCTCGTTGCACTGCTTCCAGGGTAGTTTCTTGATAGAACAAGACGTACGCGCAAGCAAGTCCCGGTCGATCCCCGAAAAAGTTTAGCACGTAGCTCTTGTCCACAGGCTCGACCATTTCGTCATCAAACAACAACCAGCCGCGATCTTCAGTCTTAATAATGGATACATAATGTCCGTGATATGGGCCGCCCCCAATATGCACGACGATTGCATAGAGCTCATAAAGACGGTCCGGATCTTCGGCATCGTCTGTAGTATTGAATAAGCGTAGGTGGTACGGATAGACAACGCGGTGAAAAAGCTTTTGTAATCTTTGCAAATCTTCGGTGTACTTGAAACGTTTTAAATGCAGAGCAAGGATCTTAGGTAGTCTCTTTATCTTCATTCGCTTCTCGGCCTCTTGCAAACCACCGCAATTATCGCAATGAAATTTATTCTTCTCGCAGAGCATCTCCTCGGCGGAGAACTTTCGCAAACCAGACGTGACGGATGAGTGCTGTTCTAAATCGACCGACAAATCTAAAAACACCTCGTCTCGTTGGGACACATTTTCGCAAGTCAAGCATTGTGTTTCTGAAGTTAAGGTGCCTTCAAACAATTCATGAACCCAGCGACTTGTATTTGGCGTTTTCGAACCTGTGGAGCCGCCCACTTGAGTAGACGTGGAATATGTAGACGAGTCTGTAACAGTTACAGTCTGCTCAGAATCGGTATTATCGAGGGCAAAAGGGTCATGTTGCTTTGATGATTCGGCTTCTACGTTGGTGACCACTTCGTTCAGCAAAAGGTTCAAAAACTCGTGGGCATCCTGGTGCATCGCGCTACGGAACATCTCGTTTTCACGGCGGAGGATGTCGAGGAAATGCTGCGGCCGAATGACGCCCATTTTCGACTGGCTTGCCACTATGGATTCAAAAAGGTCTTTCAACGAGGTAAATAGCGATTCCGGCATTCCATAACTGGCCGAATTATTTTTGGTCTCGAGAAGCGGCAGGGTCTGAATTGCCACTTTCTTCTTGTATTCGGGGGAGTCTTTATCTTCAGGCTTCTGTGGCTGTGTCGGAGTAACGCCTGCGTTGCGCGATGATGATGGACCAGGGCCATGTTTCGCTTTTGCAGCGGCGGCTTCGGCTTCAAAAAATGCTTCTGGATTTTGGTACTTCAAATTCTTCGCAAGAGCCGTCTCTAGCGATTCTATCGGGGTGCGCTTTGGATAATTGACGACCGATTCTCGAAACGGAACGGAATAATATAGGCATTGTAGAATAGAGTTGCAGTAACTATAAGGCAGATGTAAGTAGAAGGACGCAAGCAAAAGAACAAGTAGGCGGCGCGTACCATGTGTTTCCATACTAGAGCGTTCATCGTCAGCGTGATACTTCAGATAAAAGAGATCAATTGTTAAGCATTATCACTCACATTTTCCATGCCAAAAAACTTATCGCTGCCATCGTTTCGCACGGGACCGGAGTCCATCAGCATTTTCTCGAGCGGGGTGATTGGTAAGGCATGGCCGTCCTTTTTTGGAGATGATATAGTCGATGTGGGTGATAGCGGGCCCTGTGTGAAGTTTTGGGACGAGTCAGTAAATGCTGTGCTCCCTCGCGAAATGAATGTCACAACAACGCACTGCCGCTACAAGGCATGGCATAGACGAGTGCTCAACGAAGAGGGTAAGCAGCCGGGCAATTGAACATACATTGTTGGACCTCAGATTCTTGAAGAAAGACCCCATCTTTTTTATCCGCTTGCCCTTAATTCGCACTCATCGAGTATGTGTTCCAGACAGCACCAGAGGTCGGGCGTCCTCAACGGGTAGGTGTGGTTCCGCGATGGACCGCGCGGGCTGTAGGCTTCGGTGTTTCAGAGCACCGCACCAGATAGACGCACTCTGGCAGAGCCGGAATGAGACAAGGAAGGGGGAGAGAAACTGGCCGGTCGCAGACAATGAATATATGGCGGAAGGGGGGGGCGGACAGTAGAGGTCCAGCGAGCAGTGAATGGCGGGCGGCCGCTCGAAGAATGAATGGAATGGACGTCGGCTTCGTAGGGATGCGCGGCCCTGGGCTGGAGAGCTTTCCGGCAGAGTTCCGTGAGGGCAATTCAGTAACAGAGGGGAATTGGGGCGCGATAAAGATACAGGTACAGAGGGAAGCGATGCGAGATGCGTATATGGGGAGATGAGAAGAAAGAGAGAGCGAGGCAGAGAGATACGGCGCAGGTACTCTCGGCTGGCAGGCGTGGATGGGATGGGGGAAGGAAGGCGGCGTGCAAGCCCGGACATAAGCACGGGGTCCGGAGTAGGCCTGCCAAAATTAATTAAAATCCACAAATACTTGGTAGGGGAAATACGGTAACTTAGTTAACTAGTTAGTTAACTATGATTGTTAATACGTATTAATACACAATTGTATCGAAGTTTTCCTCTGGATCCTCTCGTTCCTATCATGCTTGCATACACATACATAGTCAATACAGGGAGGATCGTATCACGAACTGTGAAGACGAGCCTCAACGAAGCGTATTCGGTACCGCGTCGTACGGGCCGGGTGATGTCTCTCCACAATTCATTTGACCTTGACACTACAACTTCCGCGTAAGTAGCTTCGTCGCATGCTTCGTCGCATGCTTCGTTTTCTTGCAGTGTAACTTGGAGTTGACGGTGACGACAGAAGCTGCCGATCTCTTCTGGAAAGGCGCCTAACAACGGCTATACGAGCCTAGTGTAACCCCGCAGAGCGAGATCCGACACGACTCTATGCAAATGCCAGTGGCTGTAGCGCTGTCAAATGACCCCGGCAACGAACACTCAGTACTCAATAATAAGCAGCGGTCAAGTCGAAGTAAACCAGATGCTTCAGGATAGTGACAAAAGCTCCGAGCGCTGGCACTAACCAGCCGGGCGGGGCATGGCTGAGGCGCGCCTTGCCCGATCGGCAATGCCACGCGAGACACATGGGTGCTGGGCTGCGGGCGGTGCGCCGTGATTGGCTGGCAGCTTCCCAGCCTATCCTTAGCCTGGACGTTACGGAATTCTCCGTCAGTAAGTATGCCTAGTCAGAACGCATAACGTACGTACTACTTACTGTAGACCTGACCCCTCACTTCCAGCTCCTGGATACCACCCTGCGTCCGGAACAACAGGATTCCATCTGCCGGCGGCGTAGACCCTGACTGGAGAGAACGGACAAAAGGCCTCAGCGGCTAACCGTTTCCTGGCTGGCTCGACGTTTCCGTGAGCCACGGGAAGCATAGGATTCAGTAGCTCGTATATCCAGGCGTCGGTAATTACATTATCTGCGCCGCTGAAACAGGTAGGTAGTTTCGTCTACCCCAGCTTTTTGGGTCAATCAGCCCAGGATGATACAAAGGGCCGTTGCTTTGATGCGGGGTCATATACGACGTGTAGATATTTCAGGGTAGTCTGTCCTGTCTTCGCAGCACGTAAAGAATGCTGGAACTTGCAACGTACGTCGGTTTGAGTACGTTCCAAGTTGGCCCAACTTCAGCGGATTCAAGGCTGGCTAGCCCTAAGCCCTAACTCCGGGCCGCATTGGTCAAGGCGGTCTGCAGACCAGCCAGTCTTGCCTGGGGGAGGAAAATGAGTCAGTCGGGCAAGAGCATCAAACAAGAAGAGTCAACAGAGTCTCAATTGTCTGCGACCACTCGCACTAGCAAGTGTTCATGCGGTGATTATTTCGGCCATCTCCCCTGCAGCTTCAGCTTCTCCGTTTCCGGTCAGCCTCTCGTGCGCGTCCCTTGTATATGCAGGCCGTGACTTCGTGCGTCGCGCGCAGAACCAGACCTGCTGCTGCCCGGTTTCGGTGGGGGGAGGCACTGGTGGGGTCAAGAAATTTTGGGCAGAGGGACAACAACAGAAGAACCATCTCCCTCTCTGCTAACCCCTCCTCTCCTCCAGACCTCACAATGGGCAAAGAAAAGTCCTCCTTTAACCTGAAAACCCCCAAGGGCACCAGGGACTGGTCCGGGGCCGACACCCTCATCCGCGATCGTATTTTCACCACCATCAGCAATGTCTTTCGACGTCACGGCGGGACCGCCCTCGATACCCCTGTTTTCGAACTGCGAGACATCCTAGCGGGCAAATACGGCGAAGACTCCAAGCTGATCTATGACTTGCAAGACCAGGGTGGCGAGCTCTGCTCTCTGCGTTATGACTTGACCGTCCCCTTCGCGCGATGGCTGGCCATGAACCCCGAGGTGCGCAGCATCAAGCGCTACCACATTGCCAAGGTCTACCGTCGAGACCAACCAGCCGTTGCCAAGGGACGCATGAGGGAGTTCTATCAGTGCGACTTTGACGTTGCCGGTGCCAATTTCGACCCCATGGTGCCTGACGCAGAGGTCTTGAAGATTGTCAACGAGGTTTTTGAGGATCTCGGTTGGAATGGGAAATTTACCATCAAGATCAACCACCGAAAGGTCCTCGACGGGCTGTTCGAAGTGTGCGGTGTTCCCCAGGACAAGATTCGACCGATTTCGAGCGCTGTCGACAAGCTGGATAAACTCCCCTGGGCCGACGTGCGGAAAGAGATGGTGGAGGACAAGGGTCTCCCCGCCGAAGCTGCGGATAATATTGAGAAGTATGTTAGCAAGAAGGGCAGAAAGGACCTCCTCGAAGAACTGCTGCGTGACGAGGCTTTGATGGCCAATGCGTCTGCCAAACAAGGTATCGAGGAAATGGGACTCTTGATGGAATATCTCGAAGCGTTCGGCGTGCTAGATACTATTTCCTTTGACCTGAGTCTGGCTCGTGGCTTGGATTACTACACAGGTGTCATCTATGAGGTTGTCACAGAAGGCTCGGCACCCGCATCGTCGGCGCGGGCAGCACCGGAGGCGGAAAAACTACAAAAATCAGGAAAGAAGGCCAAGGCTGCCTCAGGCGATGATGATGATCGGTCTAATGATCCGACAGTCGGCGTTGGCAGCATTGCAGCCGGTGGTCGATACGATAATCTCGTGGGCATGTTCTCTCCAAAGGCACAGATACCTTGTGTCGGCATTTCATTTGGAGTCGACCGCATATTTTCCATCACCAAGGCTCGCATAGAGCGAGAAAAGAATACCGAGGCTCGTAACAACGAAGTTGACGTTTACGTGATGGCCTTTGGAGGGAAGGGATTCACGGGCATGCTTAAAGAGCGCATGGATATCTGCAAGACGTTATGGAGTGCAGGTGTCAAGGTAAGTTTTTATATCTTAAGCTGTTTCTCTCGCTGCCAAAGGACAAGTCTTAACGATGTGATTTACAGGCCGAATTCTCATATAAACTCAAGCCCAAGCTCCCGCAGCAATTCAAGGCTGCCGAGACGTCAGGAATCCCCTTTGCCATCATTCTGGGCGAAGAGGAACTGGCCGCAGGCCAAGTGAAGATCAAGGAAATGGGTCTTCCCGAGGGCCACCCAGAGAAAGAAGGAGTATCAGTCGATATCAAGAACTTAGTTGACGAAGTCAAGCTACGAATAGACAAGAAGAGCAAGGGTACAACGACAACGAATGTCGTTGCAGACGCCACTGCGGCGGTTGCAGATTTATCTGTGAAGACGGAAGATGCAGGCGTTTAAATAGTTCTGTGTCCCAAAGTCAAGCTTTTTTTTTTCTCTCGCATATACCATACCATTACTCATGACGTGCATGGACCAGTCAGATGAAAAAAAAGAAAAATTCAAAGGGAGCCAATGATAAACAGGTGCAACAAAAAATTAGCAAATAATCAGGTTTAATTAGAGTAGGTGCGTGAACTCTTAACTAGTTAATAGTATACAAAAAAAAAACACTATGATACAAACCAACAATAGAAAGGAAACTAGGGCAGATTAATCAGCCTGCTTCATAACAAACCCCTTCAACCAAGGCACGCGATCAATGATATCCAATCCCACACTTCGAGCCATAGCCACAGGCCCATTACCGGGGACATTGTACAGTTTGTGAAGCAAATCGCACATTCCGCCTATCTTGGTGTTGGATGCGTAGCGCGCAGACATGTAGGGTTCAAGGGATAGGTAGTCGCCGATATCCATGCCGTGGTTGATAGCGTATTCGATTGTGTTTGCGAGTGCGCTAACGTCGCCGATACCGAGGTTTAGGCCCTGGCCGGCGAGCGGGTGGATGACGTGTGCTGCGTCGCCGACGAGGGCGATGCGCGGCGAGATGTAGGAGGAGGCGTGTCGGAAGCGTAGGGGGAAGGATGCTGTGCTACCCCGTTGCACGGATGTGACTAGCGGTGGAATCTGGGGCGGTTGAGGCGTGTGCTGGAGACGCCAGTTGAGTTCGTTTTCGTGCTGGGTTTCTGTGGTTGTGTGTGACGACGACGACGATGATGGGTCGAGGGAGAGCATGTAGTTTAGATCGGTCATTGACAGGCGGAATGCTGCATTGATCATGGCTATGAATGCTGCTTCCGGTAGGGATTTTAGGTATGCTGCGTTTTCAATTTTGGTAGACCACACCAGTGTCGCCTTGTTGTTGGGGAGTGGGAGTAGGGCAATTGGTCCTCCAAGCGAGGGAAGAAAACGCTGGTATGCGGTACGAGGACTGCTACTTTGAGAGACTGAAGAAGTGGCAGTGGTAGAATCTTCTGCAAGAGATAATGTTGCGACAACTCCATGTCGCTGGTAGTCCCATCCGTTGGTTGTTATATCTGCAAACGATCGCACGGGGCTGTTGATGCCATCTGCACCAACAAGCAACCGGGCGGCGATAGGACCAAGTGTGTGGTTCAAGGGAGACGATGACGAGGGAGTTGCAGAAAAAGATACAACAGGCCAGGCGGACAGATCCGGGCCATCTACACTCTTAGAGCCGTTCTCAATTGATGAGACCATGGTATTGGAGAAGATTGACAGAGAGCCACTGTCTTGTTTCTTTTCTTCTTCCAACTCCTGAATCCGCGCGAGAAGTCCACGGACAAGATTTGCATTCTCCGTCATCGTGGCCACGGAGCGAACATCTTCAAACGGCGATGTGTCCACGGACCAGTCAAAGGATATCTTGGACCCGGTCTGCCCATCCCAGACTTGCATTTCCTGGTATGGTTGAACGCGAGAGCTATCGACATGTTTCCAAGCGCCAATTTTCTGCAAGAACGAAATCGAGGTTGGCGTGAGACTGCTGCACCGATTGGAGAAATCGCTAGACGGGGGAAGATTCCAGGTTCGCGATTTATTCAGGTCCTGGCCCTCGACTAACGCAATTCTGAGCTTGGATGTGACCGGCGACGCTCCTTTGAGTTTGTTAGATATAATTTCCTTTTTCGCTTAGTTCAATTTTGTAGACATCATACGGAGAGCTGCTACTAGAGCAAGGCCAGCAGGGCCCCCGCCAACGCAGACGACATCGTAGATGTCGGGGGTAGTTGTTTGGGCATTGGCGTTGGACGAGAAAGCTCGTCGGGCGCCTCTTTGTATATTAGACCGGCATGACGGGCAGACGTAGCTGCGTAGCAGCGATTGATTGAGTGCCCGCATCGTGAGTCGCCGTCCGGTGTTTGTTCTAGTTGAGCTTTTGTTTGCGGAGATTATGCGGTGATGCCATCAGGTGATGTTCTGCCTGAGGCAGCACTCTACCCGCCAGCATCCATCGCCGTCACTCCATTTCTTCCCTTTCTTCTTTCCTTAACTGCGCCAGACAATCAGTCCCTTCAACTGCCATCAAGTCAGCAAGTGCTGGTGATATCTAACTATCCTCTTTGCTGCATCATCTAGTGCTTCACTGACTCAATACAGCTAGCCTATCTCATCGATCCTAAATAATTCACCGAGCTGAAAAGACCTAAAAGGACTTGCATATGATCCATGCAGCACCCAGAATATGGACGTATGCAATCCCGAGATTACACGCCATTTCCCCTTCTATATTTAGATGCTGCCAGCCTCCAGGGTATGAGTTTCTCAGGTAGTGTTCTAGGACTGCTGACACAGCCACCGCACTTGGCTATGCAACGCCTCGCCTCTATACGGAGTACATATTCAACTACCACATGTCTGTCTGCATGAATGGCTGCATGCATGCAAATTTCAGGTTCGACCATCACCGCTTAGGTCTGTTTTTTTTTTTTGTCGGGCGAGGATCGCCCAGGCTTTAGCTGTTCCAATAACTTGCCACCAATTACCCATCCTTTATATACACACCTGCGACCTCATGGGGCCGGTTTTTCCTGCCTCTGTAGATGAAGGTTCATTTTGGATTTCTATATTTACCCTACCTAGCCCAGCTGAAGAGTAAGTATGCTGCAGCTCATGCAGATTCGTTCTATTTTTGTCTGGCCCGATATTCTTTGACTGTAACGATTCCTCGTCTGCTACATAGTCCATGCATGCATTTATATAGTGGTTACTGCATGAAATATGCCCGAAAGTAAGTGCACTGCATGCACTTTGCAAAAGGTGGCATGCACCGTAGCGGCATAGCCTATGGCCGATGTATTCTCCGGAATACCCTCACAATACTCTAATCCATCGACGTGTTCACTTGGGAAACGATAGCGAAGCAAACATTTATTTTATAAGGCTCTGATGTTCAGCCCCGGAAGTCAGCTTGAAAGAAATGTTAGAAGATGGATTTTCGACCCATAACTACCTAAGCCCTAGTCCAAGTTTAGGCAGGCTAGCCAGGAATATCGCGTCACAAAGCGACTAGTATTCGGTCTTTCTGTTCTATATTCCTTCCAAATCATTTTACGTTGCCAATCGAGCAATGGACAGGCCAACTCTGCACTCGAATTTCACTGGACCGTTCGCCGACAAAAAGACCACCACATCGGCGGCCACCGCTACCACAGCAGCCACAACAGAAACTACCACAAGCTCACGGGCCAGTTCTAATGCTAATGCAAACGCCAATGTTCTATCTACATCAGCAATCCAATACGATCACGAAACCTATCTGGAGCTCTTAGCCGGGCAAAGTACTCATGTCGAAAAGACAGCTAGCCAAGTATACAGAGAGGTTAGTGCTATATTCCTCCCTCCCCTCATCTTCAATATAGATGCGAAAGCTTTGAATAAACCCCTTTACGAGTCAATGGCAAACTTTTTGTTGGTTTCTTTCTTTTCGTTTTTATATTGTAGGAACGCGCACGCAAGTTGAGTCTGAGAGCTCAAGATCCGGCCGTTTTGACGGGTCCGTTGGATTTGGAGATTGATGTCTTCGGGGGCGATTCGACGCGGTATGCGTATATGCATGGGCATGGGAAGGGGGATGCGAACAGGAAGTAACTGAGATTTGGCCACTCTTTAAGTATTGGGGGAATGGGAGATTAAATGCCTTGGTAGGCAACCGATGCCCATTGTTTAGGGCTAGGAGGTACAATATGAATGACTGCTGATTAGCAGAATCACTTGTCATGTAAAGCAGATAAAACATGTACTGAAACGAGAATGAGAATATTATTATTAATCGAGCAAGGGTACGAAAATTCAACAACAAGCCCATCATCATGATGCACCCTCGCTTCTACCTCCCAAGCCGTCATCGCCAGCCTCGCCATCCATCTCCGAGATGAATCGTTCCCAGGTATTAAGAACACCTTGATAGAATTCTATATGACTTTCAGCCAGACTTCCGAGAGAGTCTCGGAACTCAACTCCTTTGATCCGCTCAAAGTCAGCCACCTCACGCACAACTTCTTCGTCAAACATTTCCGATGTGGTCTTTGCAGAATCAACCTCTCGCGTCAATTCGTCAATCCGGAGTTCCAGCTTGCGTATTCGCTCTCTTCGAGCCTGCTCATGATCAACGCCACGCATATCTTCCATCTTGGATCGAATAAACGAGGCTGGCGACGACGTGAGTGGGTTGGATGCATAATGTGAAGACGGGTTGTTGACCAGGGAATCGCGGTCAGACACGGCCTTGTTGCGGTATTCTACAAGGGCCTCGAAATCTAGCTGCTTCTGCTCTCGTGTTTTGAGTAGCGTCTTTAACGACAATATGTATGCCCCCATGTCCCGGAGCGATCCGAGATAGTTCTGGTCCGTGTGGTCTTTGAGATCTCTCAGGCCGCGCGAGGTTTCGTCCACAGAGGCTGCAAATACTTGCAGTGGCATTTCCACCTCCGGTTCCAAGGGGACTAGTTTGCGAAACTGGGTCGCCAAATCAACATAATCCGATTCAAGATCCGCCTCGCGCCGTGCAACCCGAGCCACTATCTTCTCCACATGATTGAGGTCTTCGTCCAATTTATCGGCCTTTTCTCGCACTTCGATAAATCGTCGATCTGGCTTGTGAACCTTTGTGAACGCATTAACAAAGGTGTCGGCAAAATTATCAAATATACCACCAGAGGTATCCGTTGTACTAGTGGAACCGCGACCTCCGTGCAGCCGCATATGGGCATTCCAATCCGGTGACTCCAGGAAGATAGCGAGCAACGGCGCCCGGCGAAGCACCGGATGCAATGTTAGGCGCTTGATGAATCTGTGAAGGGACCATGCGCGACGTTGGGTAAAGTCCGGGCCGAATCTATCACCGGTAACATAACTTTCTACTTTGTGTTTGTCTGGCAACGGCGGAACCGCGCAAGCCGGATATTCTCGGTAAAGGGTCTTGTAGAGAAAAAAGAAGTCACGAAATCGCCGGCGGACTGTAAAGTCCGGTTTCTGAAAGGTCTTGAAATCTGTCTGATGCATAGAGAAGAAAAAAGAACAAAGAATAACGGTAAGCTCAACGTATCCCGACGAGGACAGCAGCCAGATCACCTACATGAGTTGTGACAAGGTACGAAATATAGGCATCCTTCGTTCCATCGTTCTCCTTGAGCGGAGCGTCTACCGCACATTCCAAGACACCGTCTCCGATGCCAGCCAGGTCGACAGCATCAGCCAGTGGCCCTGCTTGAGTCTCTTCTTGAGCCACGCTCATCCTGCGTTTCCCATTGAAGTCTCGATCAGACCGAGCTGTGTCTTCGGCGTCCGTTCCCGATGTTGTTGGCCGCGATACATCACTGCCGGGGTCATTTCTCCAGGAAACGCTGTCGAAATCATCGTCCATGGCTGCTGTGATTTCCCGCACCTAGACAGGCGCGCGCGGGGCAGATTGCAAGATGCAGCACGCAAAATGCAGAGGAAGAGGTTATGTGGTCAGAGATTTCGACCTTTTGGTAATCAAGCTCTATCTCTTCTGTTCTTGTTCAGTATATGCGCTCTGAAGGGGGGTATCAACACAGACAGGAAGGCAGGCAGGCAGGTTAGTTCAGAGGTCGGACTAGTTAGACTGCGTCATTTGGGCCGCTGCCGAGCTCCCCCAGACCATACGGCGATCGTCCAATAAGAGATGCCGGCTTAAATCCGGCCCGACATGCAACTGTATACTACTATTACTACGATAGCACGAATTATAGACATTGATCAACCAAGTATAAAGCCACTGCAAACCTGGAATGTTGTTTATATACGACCATAAAGGTTTATGCATATATATATTTATGCAATGATATATCCCAGAAACACAGAGAGAAACAGTAATCAGACGCTCCATACTCCGCGACAATGGCTAACGATGGAATTTATTTCACTTAAACCCCAGAAAGAGAAAAGAAAGGGAAAAAAAAAGAATAAAAGAAAAGAAAATAAAAGCACATGCAAGAACGTCAGATATTATGTAGCTGTCCCTCATATTTCAGAATCGCCCTTTTCTCTGAGGTGGTCGCGAAACGGGACTTCATCATCGTCGTCATTCTCGCTAAGGAGCTCCTCGTCGCTTTCCTCGGCAAAGGCATTGTATAATTCGCCGCCTCGACGTCTTCGTCCGCGCCGGCCAGCCAATGGCACTTGCGCGTCGTCCTCATCGTCAATAATCTCGAATTCGTAGTCATCATGCGGGTTGTTTCGGAGTCGGTTGCGGCGTTGTACGTAGAAGTAAACGCCTAGTGCAATGCAGAAAATAAGGATGAGGACAATTGAGGCGTATATCCAGACTTGGGTGTGTGGTGTCGCTCCAAATGTGGGTAGGAAAGACGGTAAGAAGCTTGAAGATGCAGTCTCAGTCGGCTCTGCCGTGGGTGCCGTCTCCTCATCCTCGATTGGAGTAGGGACTTCAGGAGTGGCAGTTGGCTTGGCCTCAGTGTTGGTGGGTTTCTGATTCACCGGACGCTCGGCGTGATCCGTAGCAGTAGGTGCCGGTGTTGTTTTCGTATGTGGCTTAATACTAACAGTAGCGTAGACAGCATCTTCAATATTATGATCGTCATCGTGTTCATCAGGCAAGGGGTGCGGCTGTTGAGAAGCGGCATCGGCGGAAGCCCCCCAGAGATTGAGACGCCAGTCAGTGAATACTCCGTGATGTTCATTGACAGCTGTGTCTTTAACAATCACGGTCCAGACGCCTTCGCCAGATTCGCCCCTAAAAGAATAAAAGAAAAGGATCAGTTATTGCTTTGGATAGCATATAATAAGTAACAAATTGAGCTCAGAAGTCTCTTACCAATGTGCGACGGACATAAAAGTCCAGTCTTCATAGCCTGTTGGAGCGTTATCGCCCCTCCTGGCAGTACTGAGATGGCTGACAATTCCCTGAGGACCGCGCAACTCAACACTTAAATCACCTCTCCGAGTATGCTCAACATTCATAGTAACAGTGACATGTTCTAACTTATCGAAGTTTGCTTCTTTCAGCATGTCCGAGGTAACTTCGAAATAGCTAGCCAAGCCCTGCTCGCCCTGTGGAATCTCCTGCTGAACTCGCAGCCAAGGCGAAGTGTACCAAGCTTGTGGCTTCACAAGTTCCCATTCTTTGGCCTTCTGTACAAATGAATAGGTGTCCACTTTTCCGTAGCCATATTGATGGCTAAACTCCTTGCCGATTGGGGTCAACTGCACCTCATCACCTTCTGCATGCACAGGTATAGAGGTTTCGAGTAACAGATACTGGACATCACGCCAGGTCAAATCTGGTCGAACACTCAGTGCAAGAGCTATGGCTCCTGCAGCCAGAGGACCAGCAGCCGACGTACCGCCATGAGCGCCCGTACAGGTTTCGGTGCCTACGTCAGTCGTATGAATAGCATCACCTCCACCGCTACTATAGGCAACGACCAATTGTGCGGAGCAAGCCTCGGAATAAGATGGATGGTTCCCAAATCGGTCAAGGGCCCCTACAGTAACACTATAGATACTGTTGGTATAGCCATCAAAGTTGCAATTATCGTCATGTGCGGCGCCGTTGCCCGCTGCAAACACATATATTGAGCCTTTGCCATCGCGTCCATTCACAATGCCGTTCACCATTGCTCGTTTTACGAGGATGCCTGGCGCTTCCATGGTCTGTCCGTCATCTCGAGGACCCCATGAACAAGAGTAGATGTGATTTTGCTGGAAGCCGTAGTTAATTGATGCTGCCTCGTCGGCGTCATCAATCGGCTTAGAAAGGATTCTAATGCCAGCGACCTTGCCGTCATATGCCATACCGACACCGCACACGCCATTTCGAACTGCCGCCACCTCTCCAGCACATCTAGTGCCGTGTTTATCATCGAATAACAATGGCTTTGGTTCTTGGTAATTCTCATTAAAGTCCCATGATCCCTCAGCAAAGTAATTGTCTTTTAAATCATTGCTGTACATATCAAGGCCGTCGTCAACGATAGCAGTGACAACCCCTTTGCCAGTTATGCCTTCCAGCCACACACCCGTGACATTCAAATCATTGCCAACTTGTTCTGTATTGAACAAGTGCCATTGTTTCTGAAACTCCGGGTCTTTGATGGCTAGGTTCGACGCAATGAGCTTCTGCCTGTCGACGGCTTCTGGCGCTGGGCCTGGTGATTGCCCAGTCCTCGAATCCAATTCTATAGGGACGCGCTTGTGCAATCGATCCTTCAAAGCAAGCTTCTGAGACCAGAGGATGCCATCAAGGCCGTCCTCCCTCTTGTCGTAAAGCGCAGGATCTGAGCCCCGTTTCCGTCGCACTTTCAGTTCATTCAGTAGCGATTCAACCGTCGACGCTTGACCATGAGGCAAAGAGAACTTGTGATGTCCTGGCAGACTTCCAATCTGGCCTTCATGGTGGGCTCCCAGAGCCTCTGCGACGTGTTCTGGCTTTAGGGAATCATCGAGATGGAGGGCAAAAAAGTCGTGAGTGTCGTAAGAGCGAGGAAGTAACTCCGCAAGAGAAGAGGTAAATAGCAAAGAGAGCGCGGCTATGGATTTCGTAAGACGCATTTTTGGTTTGAATTCGGGGTGAGAACACCGGTCAAGGTGCTTTCACGATATATGCAAAGGACAGTCGACAGGCAAGTTTGCCATTTAAGGGACGTCGGTCACTCAATCAATAGGAACAGAAGAAAGAAAAAAAAATCGAGACTCGATTGGAAGAGCTGAGAGAGCACAATTTCAGCCTGACTCCTTCCCCTCGTGTACCGGACTTGAGACGTGAGCTGATACCAAAAAGAGGACAGTTCTCTCTAAGGAAGGCGGCGGAAGGAAGCTTATCTTGCGCTTGGCAATCACGTGGTGGGCCCGCATGCATATCAGCCAAATCCGGATTAGCGCGTTGCTTACACTTAGAGCCTTTAGGGTTTCTCTCGCAGTGACTGGAGGCGCCCCTTTCGGGGACGCACTGCCGGAATGAAAGTAAATCCGAGGCAATCACGGGACTGTCATCACGTGATGTCCCGGTTAGGCCATTTTCTACCTCGACGTCCAGGCACCGCAGACATTTTTACCCTCCATTTCATTCCGGCAATAGCAGAAACTCTACGAAATGCCAGTATCCTGACACGTTTCTATTCTCTATGTTGCAGACTACTCAATACTACAAACACCATAAACTTCATTTTGTCGTCCCGAAAGACTATGGCTACCAGCACTGAAAGCCAAACCGGGTCTAGGAGAGTTTATACTATCGTCAAAAGTTGAGCAGAACGTGTGGATAATTAAGAGTGGCTGAAGAGCTTATCCCCACTCAAACAAAGGCTTGCTATCGCTGTAAGGGTAGACTCGGCTGTTTCGGTTTAGAAGACAACTTGCAACACTTTCATGTCCTTGCGCTTTCTGCTTCTCCGCCAAGGCAATACTGGGCACTTACAGTACTGTCCGTTCGCAAAGTGTGGATCAGCAGTCCATCTCGTAAGGCGACGATAGAGCATTTCAAGATTTCTGAAAGGTTGCAGTTGATATTGTCATCCCAAGAGCCATGACCGTGAATCTGAAGAAGTATCCAACCGACTGCACGCAGGCTTGCTGATCATCCTCAATAGAACCCAAGATGGCCATCAGAGCAGTCACCCAGCTGATGCCACACTCTGCTCCGGAAAGCCCTAAAAACACACTGGATACCATGAAGGCGACGAGACTTCCAGGAGTAAGAGCAAGGCGGCGCCCAGAACAGCAAACATCTGGTTTAAGACTTGGAGGTATATTACTATATAGAATTCAATGCGAAGTATGACATTAAACTGAGAAGGTAAAACGTCGAAGATAGAATTTGCGGTGGCGCAAGGCAGGAGCTTTATCAGCACAAGGGGTTCCTTGACAAAGTAGAGCTCCCAGACCAGGAAAGCGACGAAGCAAACCAGCTATAATGGAAGGGGTACTAATACCAGGGTCGAGTCCCAGGAATAAGAAGTCGCTCCAGACTAGAGTCCACTGAAAGAGGACAATGGGGCAAATGTGGGATTTTTTTGAGGGTGAGAGTCAAGACCAGAATCTGCACGATGTTCCCTCCTAGCTTACCAAACTACAGATTTAAGGGCTAGCAGAGCATTACTCGACCAAGTCATCAAGATATATACAGCTAGTAGAAAACTGTACTTCATCATGGAACGTACACGCGCACGCCGGAATCGGGGGATGCTGGTCGAGCGGCTTGAAAAGCTTAGGCGAGGCAGAAGCCGACATGAATGTTGCAAAGGAATTGTGAATGACTTAATAAAGGTGCCTAGGTAAATACCTAGGTACACTCCGAAAAAATGGGTATCAATTTAAGCTATGGCGTTCGTTACCTTGTTCTATACGGAGTACACCGGAGCACCTTAGCCCACACCGAGATGCCATGTAGACATCCGAGCACATACAACGTCCAAGCTCATAATCGTCACAAACCGGATATCTCCGGTGCGACCTCGAGAAGACCAGGTGGGTCAACAGGTCGGATCTCTTTTGCGTCAATGCAACTCGTGACGCCCTTCTCTCCTGCATATTGTATTATTCGAGTGTTTACGAAGAGCTGCGTTATCTTTGCAGCGGCTAGCGCAAGAAACGGAGTGCTTGGATAGAAGTTAGGGCTTGTTGCCAAATCCAGTATGAACTCCAGAGGCAGAGATGCGCACCACAAAGCTTAAACACTCGGGGACGGGAGCTTATCTTCTCGGCTAGGGCTGGAACAGGCAGGTGATGATGCTCTGGTCCCTGTCCATCAGCATCGTTAGACTGCTCGTTCACGCGCGGGCGTGATGCACTGCTACCGAAATAAGATTTCGTGGCTAAAATCACAGTTACATTGCTTTACCCAGTCAGGTCTAGATGATTTGCATCCACGTAATAGCCTGCTGCAGTAGTGGCATGAGCTTGATCGCTTCGTATCTGAAGGTATATAAATGGCCCTGACATGTCGTGTTTTAGCTAGCGTTCAGATCAGTACTTTTTGTTGGTGATTTGTTTGCTGGTAACAATGCACTCTCTTTGCGTCCTTTCTGTGGCCGCTGCCACGCTTCTCTCACAGGGAGTCGAGGCAGCCAAGTCCACCACTTGGAAGCCAACTGCCTTTGCTGATTCTAGCTCGTTGTCCAAGAGCGCAAATTATGTCTCCCTGACCAAAGTTAGAAGCGCAGGTGGTAGCAACAAACGTAGTGCTGCTTATCTCAAGGGCTTGACGACTACTACCACGTCAAATGGCTCCGTGGGCTTGATCTCTCTCATCGAGGGAGAAGAGTTCGCTACTACCATTACCATCGGTACGCAGACCTTTGATGTCGTCCTCGACACTGGCTCAAGTGATACATGGGTGGTTGAGGAGGGCTTCGAGTGTGTCAATGTCGACACTCAGAAGGAGACATCTGAATCAACCTGCGGCTTTGGTACTCCTTATACCGTTGATTCAACCTTTTCGCAGATTGACGGTGAAGAGTTCGACATTGAATATGGTGATGGCGAGTTCTTGAAAGGCATCATGGGCAAAGAGACTGTAACCATCGCCGGAATTACTGTCGAGGGTCAGACCATCGCTCTTGCTAACTACACCGGTTGGGACGGTGATGGAACAACGTCTGGTCTTACTGGATTCGCCTACCCAGCTCTGTAAGTGCTATTCATTCCAAGTTCTGGGAAGTACTAATCGTATCTTAGCACGAGCGCCTATTCGACCAAAACCGATGACCAAGAAGAATACAACCCTCTCTTCACTACAATGTATGAAGACGGGTTGGTCGATTCTTACTTCAGTCTTGCCATTCTACGTGATGTCTCTGGCTCAGCTGGCTATCTTACCCTGGGTGGCTTGCCCCCTATTACCTTCAACGAAACCTTTGCAACCACCGATATTCTCGTCACGTCAATAGAAGGTTATCCCAAGGGTTACGACTTTTATACAATCGAAGTGGACAGTATCAATCTGAATGGGAAGGCCCTCTCCGGTGGTGCGAGTGTGAAGTACATTGTATGTTAGCTTCCCTCACCAGTCATAATGTAGCTGACTTTTGCCAGGTTGATTCTGGCACGACCTTGAACTACTATCCCACCAAAATCGCCGATGAAGTCAACGCCGCTTTCTCTCCAGCTGCCACCTACAGCGACGATCAGGGCGCATACGTTGTTGACTGCGATGCCACTCCTCCAGAGCATTCCATCACCATTGACGGCATCACATTTACCATCAACCCATTGGATATGATCCTGTACGTCGAAGACAACCTGTGTATTTCCGGTATCGACGACGGTGGTGATAGCTCTACGGAGGACGTGTTTATTCTGGGCGATACGTTTCAGAAGAACGTTGTGAGCGTCTTTGATGTTGGCGCAGTGGAAATGAAATTCGCGCCCAACGAGAATTACACCTCCAACGACACATATTGATGCAAGAATTGGATGCAGATAGATGCACTACTGTATACGTAGTATTTCTTGACCCAAATTCAAAGAATCATGCAGCCTCTCGAAATGGAGCACGTCAAGGCTGAATACGTGGTAAATAAATAGATGCATCCTTGCAGCTGTCCGACTCCAACGGCCCAGCCACGACGCTCTGTATGTATGTATTCATACTGTGCCATACGGTGGTTTTTTAGCAGCCGATCCTAGTATCATGCAATATCATCGAGTTTTATTACCGTTCAGGTATAGTCCGTACACGGTGTTCGTTATTTTACCAGCCACCACCTTAATTTGCAGCCCAGCCGATCCGAGCGATTCTTTTTTTCCCTCCCCTTCCCACTCTCTCCTCTTTTCTTCTTCTTCTTTCTTCTTGTCCTCTGCTTTTGTAGATATTTTGTTTTAGCTCTGCATTTTCGCATTCCTGTCTCTCCGTCCTCATCTAATTCGGTCGATGCCATCTTGACCTGCGTTGGACAGTGGACATCCAGAAGCTCCGCTTCGCTTTTACCCGTTTAGGCCAACGTTTATTTGTTGATTGCCCGACTGCGCCATCGGTTCTTGGGTTTTTGTTATTCCTACTGGCAATTGTTGATTTGGAAGTCCCATTGTTAATCGTCTTGGGTACCACGGTAACGGTCAAGCTATCGCTCAACTACGACAGGGCGCATGGGAAAGTGAACATCAGCTCGCACGAATCGCTCTTGGCCTTGGATTCCTGCAACATAGCGATAGAGAGAAATAGTATGGCTACGAGCTCGCAAAGCCCTCCAGTACCATTCAATGCGGCGTACAATGCCCCCCAGGCGAGGCCAGGAATGGCTCGCTCCAGTTCGACTCGCTCTAGGAGAATGAGTGTGGAAGGAGCAGGAGATCCTGCAGCGCAGAACTATGGTGCCATTCCCCCCTTAGCACCAGCTGCACCAGAGGCATCAAGGGGCCCTCCAGTCTCGACACGCAACGGTAAAGTACCTGGGAGTGCTCGAAGTGATGTTCCTCGGTCATTCTCTGTTCGGTCAAGGAAACCGCCTCCAGAAAGCGCGCATGCCTTTCAAGATGCTGGATATGTTGATGATGGTTTTGGTGCTTCACACGAGAAAATAAATCAAAATCAACGACCTCCTACGCAACGTGGTCCTGCACTACAGCCCACATTTGCAAACGCGCCGCCAGCAATGTCAGACACTCCCTCACACCCATCACCTGTTGACAGCACGCGACAGCCCCGGGGACCTTCAGAAATGGCTCCTCGCCCGACATCACGTAGCCAGGTCTCACCCCTAAGTCGTTCAAACACTGTACAATCGACAAAAGGGGGCTTGCCAGTGGATCGATCCCCTCTACAGCAACTAGAGACAAGGTTCGTTGGACTGAGCAAGGAAGAAAAGAGAGCCCGTATGATGGAAGCCGAAAGGAAGCTGCGTGAAAAGAATGTTCGGGGTGACAGCCAGCGCGCAAGTGCTGCTACTCAGCCCGCATCCTCTGATTCCAAATCAGAGACAAGAGAAAGTCCTCAACACGCCGAACGACCGACCAACGATACACCCTCGGTCAACTCGGGTGGCTCTAGAGACTCTCGTGACTACCAACGCCAAAAAAGGCAACCATCTATCAGCCGCAAGCCTATTCCTTCTGAACAACTTCAATATGCTACAGTACAGCCAGCTCAGGAACCACAGTATGCATACTCCCAAGGGCAAGGCGTTCCGGGTTCACGAGTTGCCATTTCACCACCAAAGCAACGGCAGCCAAGCCAAAGCCAACAAAGTTCTCGCCCATACGGTGTGACTTCTGGAAATGGCAACATTGTCCAGCCGGCTCGACATCCACAGGGCGATGGGCAAAACCACGGGAATTATAATGTTCCATCGGTAGCTACTGGTAAGCCGCGATCAGGAAGCATTCAAGCGCAGAGATCGGTTAGACCAGGATATGATCAGCAGCGTCCCACGACCTCGGCAGGCCGCCAACAACCTCCAACAATGACTCATAATAATCGACCTGTGACCTCGTATAATGAACAAACATTCCTGGATCCTGACACTGGAGTTCGCCCTACCCATTTTGCGGGTGAGGATTTAAATCGAGATGTAGAGAAGGAGCAGCAACAACTCGGGCTGGACGAGGCTCCGACACCTGTCCTGAAAAAGCCGAAACGGCAGACTGTATCCTTCGACATTCCTCCACCGACACCTCCGCCTCTGGATGAATGGCGTCGTGCCCCTGTAGCAAGGCTACGTGTCGCAGATCGAGATTTTGAACGCATTGACGTGGATAAAGGAAAGGCTTGGTGGGAAAAGGGTGCTAGCTCAAATCGACGACAGAGTCGTGCTCTCCCAAGCAATTATCGCAAGCCTACACCTAAAATGAACGAAAGTAATCGTTTTGATCCCCTACTTTTCTTACGATGTGGTCCTTTACTACGCTACCTTGGTATTAGAAAGACGACCGTTGACGGACCTCAAGGAACGACGGAACAAGAAGTGTGGCGGGGTAGTATCATGATTGTGACGAAAGATTCTCTGTCCTCGTTGGAAACGCCGCCCACCTTGCGCCTATTTGCTCAGCCTATGGATCTTCTGCCTCCACCTCCTCGACAGGTTGAGGGAGCTCATCTAGCTCCCGAGTATGTTGACCCCATAGCTGGCGTGGTCAAAGTCGGCCGTGATGGGCGCGCATTATATGTTAAACCCGTGGATCACCTAGAGGAAGAGGTGGATCTTTCTGCAGTCGAGAGCGAAGATGGGCTGTTCGAGAGCTCCCCCAGTCCTATAGATTATGCGACCGAGGACAGCGCGGAATTCAAGGCTGTACCGAGCAACAGACTCCATCCAGTCAATGGAGAAAATAGCGGGCTTTATGAAGAGATCCAGGCATTCCGGCTGTACTCTGACTCTGCTAGGGACGTGACTTTTTGGCGATTCAATATCGAAGTTGAATTGACTGAGAAACAAGAACGAATTGCTTATCGTATCAACCAAGGACCAGCAATCGGCTTCTGGGTTCCGGCAAAAGGCCAATCGATGAACATCATGTTTCACTCGTGCAACGGATTTAGCTTGTCCGTTGATCGCGACAAATTTAGCGGACCTGATCCTCTTTGGCGAGATGTGCTTAATGAGCACCAAACTCGCCCATTCCATGTGATGATCGGTGGTGGGGATCAGATTTACTGCGACAAAGTCATGCATGAATCGGATCTCTTCGAAGAGTGGATGCGCATTAAGAATCCGCATAGCAAGCAGAATGCACCGTTTAGCGCGGCATTTAAGGCTGAACTAGAGACCTTTTACCTGAACCACTACGCTGAATGGTTCTCGCACGGCCTTTTCAGTCTGGCGAATTGTCAGATTCCTATGGTGAATGTTTGGGATGATCATGACATAATTGACGGATTTGGCTCCTATCCTGATCATCTCATGAGGTCTCCTGTATTCTCCGGGCTGGGCAATGTGGCTTTTAAATACTATATGCTTTTCCAGCATCAAAGTGTGCCCGAAGAGACCGAGGCAGATGAACCCAGCTGGCTTCTGGGAGCTGACCCGGGGCCATATATCAAGGAAAAGAGCCGTAGTCTCTTTATGTCTCTCGGAAAGGGTGTATCTTTCTTAGGCATTGATTGCCGCACTGAGCGCATGGTATGTTTCTATAAAATTGACGGAATGACATCAAGTACTAACAATTTTGTTCAGCGCGAAGAAATTGTCAGCGAGCAAACATGCGAGTTGATCTGGGACCGTTGTTATCGCGAGATTGAACGTGGCGAAGTTAAGCATTTGATTGTGCTTCTGGGAGTGCCTATTGCCTACCCTCGACTTGTGAGTGGCTGTCTTTTTTCCATATCAAACAGACGTTTTGCTGACAACGGTCTTTATCTATAGGTCTGGCTAGAAAATATTCTCAGCAGCCGAGCAATGGACCCTGTAAAAGCGCTTAGCCGGGCAGGGCTCTTCTCGGGCCTTACCAATAGATTCGACGGCAGCGTTGAAGTCCTGGACGATGTAGACGATCATTGGACCGCGAAACATCACAAATTGGAGAGAACGTTGCTGATTGAGGATTTACAAGATCTTGCTGCAGAGAAGTCTGTACGAGTTACGATTCTTGGGTATGTCTATCAACCCCCTTTTTTCCCCTTGATTCTCTTGCTGACTTTTATAGCGGCGACGTCCATCTGGCTGCCATTGGGCAATTCTATTCCAACCCGACGCTTAACATAGCCAAAGACAAGGACTACCGTTACATGCCAAACGTCATATCATCAGCCATAGTAAATGCACCGCCTCCCGAGATGATAGCGGATTTCCTCAACAAGCGCAACAAGGTCCACCATATGGACTCGAATACGGATGAAGATATGATCCCGATTTTCACCCATGATGTGGACGGCAAGAATAGGAACAACAAGCGACTGCTGCCGCGCCGGAATTGGTGCTCTATTCGAGAGTATCACCCAGGAACCACGCCACCACCAACCCCACCAACGCCGGCTGAATCTCCTGATGCAGGTGTAGAAGATGTTCGACCGGGACTGCTGAGACGTACATTGTCGTTAGGTCGGGGAGAAAACAGGGCAGACACTCAAGCACGCCCAGCCGGATTGCTTAGACGTCTCTCAAGCCGGAGACGTCCGCCTACAAAAGAATTCAATCTTGAAAATGCGCAGCGGCGTCGCTTCAGTACAGACGCCATCGCCACGGGTGCTGTGAATCGTCGCCCACCGGAAAACGGCGATAGCTACTTCGCGTCTAGCAATGATGAACCAGCGCCTGGTCCTTTCCACCGACGGGCAACAGATCTTTCTACCAAGGCCGCTAAGAAAGGCAACGCTATTGGAGGAGACAATGCTGCGACAGCTTTTATCAATCTAGAAGGTGGGCTAGATATCACGTTGAATCTCGAAGTCAACCCCAAGGACCCTGCGGGTATCACTACGCCTTACAAATTGCTCGTTCCGGCTCTGTGGTATGACGGCGGATATGATCCGGAGCCGCATCGGGTCGTGAAAGGATGGAGGAAGTGGCTGGGTCGAGGAAAACCGAAAGGAGGCCAGCACGAGCAGCAGCAACTCCAAGTCCACGATCAGGAATATCCCGGCCAGATGCGTGAGGGCGGTGATGGCTACGGCGGCGACGACGACGACGATGATGAAGATGAAGATGAAGATGAAGACCATGAGGACTACGACGATGACGAATATTACGACGGCGCGCATAATCATAGTCATAACTATTCGTCAGCGAATGATTATGCGATGCCACATGGCGACGATGAGCCAGACCCCCCACCAAAGAAGAAGAAGTGGCTGGGAATTGTATAGCCAGGCAGGCCGTGTATTGATCTGATGTGATTTTACTATTTTTAAGGCCCTCCGTGTACAATATTGATACCCGTGTTTGTTTCATTGATTCTTTGACTCAACTTTGCATACATAACGGCAAGTTCTAGTTCTTCATGCTTACTCAGAATCCTCGCCAGTTCGGACACGCAGCACGTAGACGTCTTATTTGCCAGGGAAGGAGAGTAAATGGCGGGGCAGTTGGGTGCGTTCAGTGGAGCGAGCGTTCTCGAATTCCAATTTTTATCAATCGCAGCCAAATCGCCTGGCCGAGACAGGCGCCGGTTGGTAAGCAAGGCTCCGCCGCACGTGACCGTCCCCGTCCGGCCAGCATCGCCAGCCAAAAAAGGACCGCGCCGGATGATAAATCAAGTTCAATTGTTCAAGCACTTTCAGGCTGTGATTAGTCCACGCGGTTTCTCGGACATAAAGTGCCACCAGGTCCCCGGCAATCAGGTTTTGCATATTCCATAAAATCTTTCTCTGCTCTGTTGATCTTGCCCCTGCTCCCTCTTCGAAAAACCATCACCCCCGCCCTATTTCACTTCCACGTCGCTCAACGGGTCCCTTGTTGAGCGAGATCATAAAGTCATTCACCGTGTTTTCCTCGGCGCTTCGACGTTTTTCTTCCTTCTCTCTTCGCTCCCTCGGACTGTCTGCCGCCGCCGCGTCGTCCTTGCAGCAGAATACCACATCGTCTTCAACAGTGCAAAAGAAGATGGTTCACTCTAAAGTCGTTAGTATGTCAACCCAGAAACAACATAAAGGGGGGAAGTGTAACAGGCGAGGAGTTGACTGGTACTAACACTCACATATAGTCATCGGCTCCGGCCCGGCTGCCCACACCGCAGCCATCTACCTCTCGCGAGCCGAGCTCAAACCCGTCATGTACGAGGGCATGCTCGCAGGCGGCACAGCAGCCGGCGGTCAACTAACAACGACCACCGACATTGAGAACTTCCCGGGCTTCCCGACTGGCATCGGAGGCGCCGAGCTCATGGAGAACATGCGCAAGCAATCAGCCCGCTTCGGCACCGAGATCATCACGGAGACCATCACGCGCATCGACCTGAGCAAGCGACCTTTCCGGCTGTGGAAGGAATGGTCTGATGGCCCCGAGGAGGAACCAGCCCATACCGCCGACGCAGTCATCATAGCGACGGGCGCAAATGCTCGTCGTCTCGACCTCCCCGGCGAAGAGAAGTACTGGCAAAACGGCATTTCGGCTTGCGCTGTGTGCGACGGTGCGGTCCCGATTTTCAGAAACAAGCCGTTGTTTGTCATTGGTGGTGGTGATTCGGCTGCGGAGGAGGCTATGTTCTTGACCAAGTACGGCAGTCATGTCACTGTGCTTGTGCGCAAGGATAAGCTTCGCGCCAGTCGGGCTATGGCTAAGCGGCTCCTGGCTAACCCCAAGGTTACGGTGCGCTTCAACACGGTTGCTACACAGGTTGTTGGCGAGGACGGGCCAAGGGGTCTCATGACCCATCTCAAGGTCAAGAACGTCATTACCGGTGAAGAGGAGACTGTTGATGCTAATGGTCTTTTCTACGCTGTTGGTCATGACCCCGCCACGGCCCTTGTCAAGGGCCAGGTCGAATTGGATTCCGAGGGCTACCTCGTCACCCAGCCTGGTACGAGCTACACATCTGTTCCAGGTGTTTTTGCTGCTGGTGATGTTCAGGATAAGCGATACAGACAGGCAATTACCAGTGCAGGTATGTTATCTTTCTCTTCTCCTTCCTTTCCCAGTTCTAGTCTGACATTTTTAATTTACAGGATCCGGCTGCATCGCCGCCCTCGAAGCGGAGAAATTCCTCGCCGAAGAAGAGTCCGCAGACGACGAAACACCCGCCGTCAAGACGGAGGCTGGACAGACCCGTATTGAGCCTGCGGCGGCCGAACAGAACGGTCAAACGAAGAAAGAGGGAAAGCCGGCTACAGCGGAATATAAACAGAACCCGCTGTTATAGATTTGTTCCTGTCTTTTTTTTTTTCCCTGAATTATAGAGCTTTCTCTTTTTTTTTTTTTTTACTTTTGATATATTAGCGGTTTCTCTCCCTATCTGATGAATGCGCATTATTGGGTATGACTTGGATGTTCATAGATAGATGAATAGACAAATAGAATTTGTGCGCTATTGTTATTTGCAATTATGTTTATATGAATAGAATTCGGATCAGGGGGTATCAATCAACGCTCTACAGATGCTTCTCTAAATCATCCATCCTCTTCTTCAAGTCATCCACCCACGGTCCGACATATTCGATATTCTTCTTCATGGCGACCTCGCTTTCGCGGACTTTTTCTTCAACGATTTTCAGTCCCTCGCGCCATTGCTCAATCTCCTTGCTCATTTCCGCCTGGTCCTTTTCGAGCGCGTCAAGTGTCTCGCTTGCCTGTGCGGCGCCTGCATGGATTGCTCGGAGGGAGCGAAGACGCTCGAGCACGCTGGGGAGTAGAGGGTGCAGGGATTGGATAGTGGGTAGTGTCGCGTATAGTGCCTGGATTTTGGCTGCTTGTTCGTTTGAGGACGCGGATGCGGCAGCATCCGCGATGTTTAGTTCTGTAGCACTGGAGGATGATGCAAAGGCGTCGCCGGAGGTCGGATCAGCGTGCGCTCTGGCGGCGGCTTCATTGGCGCGTCGACGCGAGCTGGCTAGATTTTCTGCGTCAGCTGTGAGTTTTTTGATTCGCAATGATAATGATTCTAGCTGTGCCGTGGTTGTAATAGAGGGGGCGGTTGCGGAAATAGCATTGGATGTTGCAGGGGGCCCGCCGAGGGTGCTCGTCAACGCGGTCAGTTGTGATGCGAGATGCTCGAGAGTTGGTAAGACGGGCCGTAGCTGTGGTTGGGTGTCTGTTGTTGAGAAGAATGGATTCGATCCGGTGGATATGCCTAATGAAGCCTCGATCAAGGCAAGGCGGGTATCAAAGGATGCCGCATGCTCAAGAAGGCCTGATGGCGATGGCGCCAACGATGCTGTCGTTGGTGCAGACAAGGTGTCCCTCTTCTCGGTAGAGGACGTCTTTTTGTCCTTTTCCAATGTATCCGGACCAGCCCCTGCTAATTTGCGCGAGAGAGCAGCATCTGAGGACGGCTTGTTCATCCGTGTAGACGAGTAATGGATGTTATCCAAAGCCTTGCTCAGTTCGAGAATCCCGTCTTCTGCTTCCCTCATCTCCTGCTCCTTCTCGTCTTCCGCTCCATCCCCCTTGTCCTGTCTTTGCTGTTCTCTTCTTTTTAGCTCGGCATTCAATTCTTCGGTCTCTCTCCTTAGTCGAGCCAGTTTGCGTTCAAACGATTCCTGACCGTCGGTATCGCTGTCGCTAATGTCTCCAATTTCCTCTGTGCCATCGTGACCATGGCGGCGTCTTCGATTCGCGGACCGAGACTTGTACGCTCGTCGCTTTGTGGCAATGGTATCGGAGAAGTCAATGTCGCGGGCGCTGACACCGCTGGCGCGAAGGAAGTGTAGCCTGGCCTCGTCGGCGTTGAGGTTGTTGCGGTCGATGTCTGGGTTCGTCTCATCGTCCGAGTCGGAGTTGGTGCGGACGGTGGCTGTCTGCTCATGGTTGGTTCCAGTTAGATTTGATTCTTGGGTGATCGAGTGAACGGACGTACCGGCACGGTCGACGCTCCATCCGTTAAATCTGGTGTCTCGTAGACGTCTGGCGCAAGATCCTGGGTACGCACGTCAGATTAAGCAGGCGCGACGATGTGAGCATACGCACCAGATCGGGCAGATTGGCGTATTTCTTGTTGAGAGACATTGTTCTGCGATGCCTGGTGGTGGTTGTTGTTGACGTTGTCGTGGACGAAGTCTGTTGTTGTCTGCCGGAAAGCGCGATTGGGCCGCGGGACCGCCAGGGGTAGCTCCGTATGCATGTATGTATGTACGTATGGTATCGTATCACAGCATACAGTACATGCTGTATGTATACTGTAGTATGGCAACTGGTAACAACCCACAAAATAATGTCAGGGAGCAAGCATCACTGCATGGCACATGCAAGGAGCAAGCAGGCTTTGGCTCATAGCAACGGCCACTATAGCACACAATCGAGGACTAGCTCACGTAGTAAGTGGGGGCAGCACATGCAATCGTCGCTGCTGTTGCACGGCCATCGTGTGCTCTTGCTTGTATACCTCGGACATTGACTGCAAAGAGAGAACGAACTCTGAAACGTTGCAGCGGAGGAACCGGGTATAAATAGAGAGGAGTCCCTCCTGTCACCCTCAGTCTTCCCATCTTTTGATTCTTCCACTCTCTACGTGTGTCGTCGCATCACCATGGCTTCCCCTCCAGAGATCACCCTCCAGAACCTCAACGGCGTGTTCGTCCTGGTACGCTTGCTGATCACTAGCTAGCATGCCTTGGAGAGAGAACAGTTGCTGACTACGCTCACAGAACAAAAGCCTGTCCACCGACACCGACGCCATCCTGGCTCTTGTACGCCTCCCCCCCAAGCAGCCTTATATAAAGACCGAACCACTGACACAAAATAGCAAGGCATCGGCTGGCTCATGCGCAAAGCCATCAGCGTAGCCACCGTCACGCTCGCCATCAGCGAAACCGTCCAGCCCAACAGCGACGATCCAGCCAATGCCCCCGTCACCAAGATCGTCGTCAACCAGACCGCCACGGGCAACATCAAGTCTACCGAAAGTCGCACTGCGGATTGGCGTGTGCGGCCTCACACGGACCGCATCTTTGGATCTATCAATGGCCAGAGTCGGTTGATTCGGGCCTCCAAGCCTGATGCTGGTGATGGTAAAGTGCGCCCTAGTGTGGACGTGCAGACTACCCCAAAGGAGGAGAAGATTGTGAAGTTCCTCAAAGGCGAAGTCGATCTAGAGGGTAACCCGGATGATGGCTTTATTGTCGATGAGATTGAGGACAAGGATGGGGTATCGTACGGTGAAGGTGAGGGATTGTGGTTGCAGAATTGGGTGAAGAGTGAGGCTGGATGGACCGCTGAACAGGTATGTATATATCCTCCATACTTGTCTTTCTTGTCCAGGGATCCGTCTTGCTGATACAAGTTTTTTACTCTACAGATCTGGGGCTTTGAAACTATCAACGGTCAACGCTGGCACACGCGTCGTCTCGTTGTCACCGACAAATCTGGAAAATGGTTGATTGGCCGTCTGGTCTACGACTATCAGGGACCAAACGAGCAGTGAACATGGAAGGCAGGCGATTAGAAGCTTCATTCGCTCATGAAGATTGTCGAGATTGTCACGTTTAGTAGAATGGGTAGGCATTATCATGGACGTTCTCTCGAGATAGATGGTTAGCATTTGCCTAGTGCCACCCCCCCCCCCCCTTTTTTTTTTTTGCCTAGCATAGATGAATGAAATCATGGCATTATAAAAGTACTGATTTGTATTTTTTCTCTGCTTCTCGTAATTATCTCATCGTAGCATGAATATTTCACTAATCGCATGTGTCCCCATTTTGTTTCAGTCATTACATTACAGACAATCCGCTAAAAAATATCATCGAAGGGGTCAAAAGAAAAAAAAAAAAAAAAAAAAAACACGAGACAGATCAACTCAATCTCTTATTTATGCGTAGGCATGACAACACTAGCCCGGGTATGCGAAGCATCCTCACTGCGCCACAGACTCGTCACGGTCTTTTGCTGCGTGTAGAATTGCAAACCGGGCTTTCCATAAAAGGTATTAGCACCGCCTCCAGCGATGCTCTTCTTGTTTCCGGTAAAGGAAAACATGGGCAGAGGGACGGGGATTGGCACGTTGATGCCGAGCTGGCCGGCTTCAATGTTCTTCTGGAAACGAGAAGCGGACGATCCGGACGTTGTGAAGATTGCTGCCCCGTTGCCGTACTCGTTTTTGTTGGTGAGGGCTATGGCGTCGTCGAGCGTGTCGACGTTCAGGCACACCAGAACTGGTCCAAAGATTTCCTCCTTGTAGCAGGTCATGTCTGGGGTGACGTTGGTGATGATTGTAGGGGCAATCTATGAATATGATAGTATTAGTTTCTCGTCCTGTGCTTTTCGGTGCAGAAGCGGAGAGTGTCTTACCCAGTTTCCGTTGGGATATTTCTCAGGCTTGTAGCCACGGCCGTCCAGAAGAATAGTGGCACCTTCTTTCTCAGCAGAGGCAATCAAATCTTCGATGCGCTTCTTGCTTTGAGGGCTGATAACAGGGCCAAGATCAGCACCTGACTCGAATCCACCGTTGACTTGAAGCTGCTTTGCTCGCTCTGCGAGCTCGGGCAGCCACTCCTTAGTCTCCCCAACCATGACCAATGTGCTTAGAGCCATGCATCGTTGGCCGGCGGCACCAAATGCGGCGCCGGCAATGGCGTTCAGAGCATGGTTCTTGTTACTGTCAGGCAGGACGGTGGCATGGTTCTTGGCGCCCAGGTTGGCTTGCACGCGCTTGCCATTGGCACTGCCGCGAGAGTAGATGTATTCACCAGCACGGTTGCCGCCGACAAAGGAGATGGCCTTGATCGCAGGCTCGTCAAGGATGAAGTCGACGGTCTTGTGGGCTCCGTGTATAATGTTGATGACACCAGGAGGGAAGCCGGCTTCACGAGCCAGTTCGGCCAGGATCATAGCAGCGCCGGGGTCACGCTCGGAGGGTTTGATGACAATGCAGTTACCAGTAATGGTGGCAACTGGAATACACCAAAGAGGAATCATGGCGGGAAAGTCTGTAGCCACCTGGTTAGCTTCTTACGATTGTTATACCAAGTCAAGGGCTAGATTCTCACTGAATGGGCAAATAGCGGCAACAACACCAAGAGGCTCCCTATAGCTACGGGTCTCCATATCCTTGGCGACTTCAAGGATGTCCCCGGTGAGCTGCGACGTGATGCCACAGGCTGTCTCGGCAACCTGGAGACCACGAAGAACATCGCCCTTAGCATCTGCAAAGGTCTTGCCTTGCTCAAGGGTGATAGACGCAGCAAGACGGTCCCAATCTCGGCGAATGAGACTAACAAATTTGAACATGATCTCTTGCTTTGCTATGATGCTGGTGGCGCGCCACGCAGGGAAGGCCTTTTCGGCCGAAAGAACGGCAGCTTTAAGCTCCTCATCGGTGCTTTGAGGCACACGAGTGACTAGATTGTTCGTTGCTGGATCATGGAGGTCGATCCAGTCTGTGGCCTTGGAGGTGACAAACTCATTGTCGATGAAGTTGGTCGTGTCTATTGGGCTGGCGATGGGCTCGTGGGAGGTGGGATGTTCAGTCGTCGTGGAGGCGGCAGATGTGGTGCCGTACTGGGCAGCACGACGAGCGGTTACATGGAGATGCCTCCTAATCGAGAGTGGCACAGAAGCGTGCACTGGCGATGGAGTTGCTGTTGACTTGGTAGCAGTCCTCGCAGCTGCAGCTAGTGATCTGGCGCTAAAGCCAGTAGAGGGAGCGACGGTGCGGAGAGCAGGGATGCCGCGGACAAGAGAGTGACGAGCAGCCATCGTGCTGTCAAATAAATGAACGAAATGGATATAATCAGAGGAGCATACAACACAGTGCTAGTACTTGAACCGAGAGTCTGGCTGTAGTTATAGTCCAGCAAGAGAGAGAGCGAGAGTGATAGTTATCGGTGAGCTGCTAGGCGCGGACAACGAGCCGAACCCCCGCAGACGCCGGTGATTGGCTGCTGCCGCCGAAATGACGGATGATAGCCGGCTTATCTTATCCGCCGTCGGTAACAAGCGGGCTGCTTATGGACGCAAGAAACCTTATAAACGTGCAGAAATCTGGATGTTTGATGGAATGAATGGTGACTTAGGACTCCTGTGGATACAACAAATGGGTGTGCAAAATCTGCAATTGAGCGGAATAATCGCCATTCCGTAAGTTTCGGAATCTGTGCTCCTGGAATATATATGTACTCCTAGCTCTCTAAGACAAAGTCGCGATCTGGAGCTCCGAAAGAGGAAATGTTCAGTAAAAGTGCAGCCATGCCGGAAGATCGAGTGAAGATTCATTCATACTGAGTTGCCTCGAGAGTACATTGTCAGTTTTGTGACTATCGATAGAGGACGGGCTGGTCGGTACATCACACAATCACAGTCTTGAACCCTAACCTAGCACAAAAGGGAGAGGAAGGCAGATGCCCTAATCCCTTGTAGCACACCCCTGAAAGTACCTGGTAGAGAGAGACATATTCTTAAATGTCTAGCAAGATATAATAACACTTTCAGCGTGATGCTGACCAAGGATCTCAAGGCCAACTAGAATAGCCCCCATCTTTGGCTGGCTGACTGAAAGCCAAGAAAGACAGCTTAGTTGATGCGTGTGTTCAAAATTTGTGCTGTTGCGATGCTAAAAATTGCCTAATATAGTAAGTGCAAAATAAATACAGCCAAAAACTGGGGTAATTTTGCAACCTGCGGGGTTGTGGCCACTAATTAACCAAAGCAAGCGGAATTTATTGCATGAGTTGAGTCTCAAACAAAAAGATATTAAAAAAAAGTCTCCTTCAAGTTTACTGAGTGCTAGCTTTCTTTACTTAGGACCTTTGCTTCCAGCTGTGTTCTTCCCATCATACATTGCGGTTCATAATAACTACTTTTACAACTGTGCTAGCACAAAAGCAGAGAGAAAAAAAAAAAAAAAGGTTGGCACAGGCTCAAAGACAATTGTGCATTAACGAACTTGATCCGTGTAACATCTCCTGAGAATAAAACTATTCAACTTCCCTCTTCTAAGGAGCAAGCTTTACTCGGCAGCAGAGGATCGGGTTGTGCGCTTGGTGGCGGCCTTGGCAGCGTCTGCGCCGGAGCTGACGGCCTCGGCAGTCTTCTCCTTGGTAGCAGTAGCAGCGGCCTTGCCCTTCTCAGCAGCCTTGGCTGGAGCAGAGCTGCCGCCAAAGATGGCACTGAAAATAAGTAGAACGGTAGCAAGAACAATAGCACCGATGCTACCAGCGACTTCAGGAACGGTCTTGGCGGCCTCAATAGGATCTTGCTGGACAAGGTCGATGAAGAGTTCAACCTTTTGGCGGACGAAAGCGACTGGGTCCTCCTGGAATTTGACGTCCGTTGTAGCCTTCTTCTCAACCTTAGGCTTGGCGGCTTCCTCCTCAAGAAGTTCGATGGGCTTCTTGACAGCCCAGGTCTCCTCGCGGAGGGCAGCAGCGTCTTCAACAGAGTGGCCAATGTAGATGTTGTCAAAGAGGATCTCGTTTTGCATGGTCCAGAGTTCAAATCCAATCTGAAAAAAAAAAAGTAAAAGCGCCGGTTAGTAGCGCTCACAGCAAGAATCAAAATGCTCCGAATTACTTACAGCTCCCATAGGTTCAAAGTTGGATGGAGTCTTGTCCTCATAGAAGTCGGGGTTGGCGATCTTGCGAGGAGCCCATGGTCCCTTGTAGGCCGGGTTGTCAATCAGAGGAGCAGACCACTTGCCCTTGTATTGAGGGTTCTTGATCAATGGAGCGCTCCAGGGACCACATCCAGACACTTCGGCGCATGCGGGGTTGGCAACGGTAGGGGCCAGCCAGTCACCATCTTCCTCGTCATCCCAATCTTCAGGCTTCTCAGCCTCGGGGTCTGGGATGGTAAGTGGCTCGTCCTCCAACCAGTCGTCAGGCTTGGTAGCTTCCTCATCAGGAATCTCGAATGGAGCTTCTTCGTCCCAGTCCTCGGGCTTGGTGGCTTCGGGGTCGGGGATCTTGGCCTCATCAACCCAGTTGCTGGGCTTCTTGTCCTTGGGGTCGTCGATTTCTTTAGGGGGGTTGACGGGGGGAGCGAAACTCTCAAGGAGAGTGCCGTTCTTGACGTTGTCGCCGTTGATCAAGATCTCGAAGCTCTGGTCGGGGTTGACAATGAGGGTGTAGACGGAAGTAGTCTTCTCAGTGCGGGCGGTAGGGGGGCTGGTCAAGTGCTTCTCCTCGTATTCGCCAGTCTTGGGGTTCTTGTGTTTGAAGATGAAGTGGACCTAGCTAGCGTTAATATAACCCCGTCCACGCAGCTGACTGTATCTATCTCCTTACCTTGTTGGTGCTTCCGCACTTGTCAGGACCGAACATGATCACGTATGGGGAGGAGTTGGAGAATTCCTCTGCGTGAAGCTTCTTGTTTTCTTGGAGCAGCTTCAAGTAGGCGCCGCCGCAGACAAGTGAGTCTATAGAGGCAACTGTCAGTTTACGGTGTACCCAAACTAGGAAGGGAAGGGGGTGCGGGTTGACTCACTCTGTGGCTTGACCTCGTACTGGACAACTAGAGTCTTGCCCTTGTTGTCAATCTTTTTGGGGAATTTGGCAGAGATGGCGTGGTGGGCAGCAGCGTTCTTCAACACCAGACCCTTGTCGCCCTCGATGCCCTTGAATACGGTAGGCTCCTCAACGGCCCACTCTCCAACATAGGCCCAGTCCTCTTCCGAGGAGGAGTCCTCCTTCTTGGCGTGAGAAGGAGTCCATCGCTGCTCCCAGTCGTCGGTGAACTGCTCGAGGAAGGGAGCTTTGAGGGTCGTAGGCTGGTGGGAGAGAAGCTAGGTTAGCAAGTGAACAGAATCAAAGAGAGGACGAAGCCACTGCGTACAGTGAAGGTAGGGCGCTCAATGCCAGAGGCAGTGGCATCGGGAGCTGGGGCTTCAGTGTCGTCGGCGAGGACGTGGCCCATCAGGCCCGCCGACGACACCAGGGCCGAAGTCAAAGCAGCGTTGAAGCGCATGGCGATAGCTTGATTGAGGAGAGAAGAGGAACAGAATCAACAGCTCTCTTTCCTAAGGAGAGATGGAGAAGAGGACACGGGGACAGATCAGCAGCAACCACAACAACACAGAAGGGAAACGAGATGGAAACCGGGGGAAAGGGCTATATAACTTGAAGCTCTGCGAATCGTCAAAGGTGGCCTCTTCTCGTTGGTCCGCCGGGGCCCAGCTCCCACGGTAGCGCCTCTTATGTAAGCTGGCCGCGGTGGGCCTCACGTGTCACCGCAGGGAGCCTCTTTTGGGATTGTCTTTTCTTCTGCTTTATTCAGTCGCTCATAGTCGCGCGTCTGGACGACAGGGCTACAGGCAGCATCTTGCACACAGCGAATAATCCTCATGGCGCTCCACGAGTGTAGAGCTGCGTGCTTGTAGACTCGCCGTAGAGGCGTAGTATCAATAAGATGCGGCTAGTAGCAGCCGGACCCCACCAGCTAGCCGTCAATCCTCAAGTGCTGCTGCGTATACTATACTACGATACTTCTAGTACTACCACGTAAATGAGTGCATCGATGCAACCTGTCACGAACTGGCGTCCTCTTCGGGCATGTGCTGCACTAATTGGGCGTGTTGCTTGATGGCCGAGTCCGCCAATGATCGCACTGCATTCGTCAGCAGCCCATCCAATCAGAGTTGGCCACCGATCGGGCCAATCAGAGCGGCGATGGCGGCACATGCCCCGCGGAAGAATTTCATACAATCAATCAACATTGTGAACTCTGACAGGTTGGCAACAAGAACCAGCGACAGTCGATATTCCTTTTGAACCGGCATGGCAGACAACCAAATCGCCGTCAGCGCGAACGGCCCTGACGATAACAACGACCACCTTGTACAGTCCTCGGACCCGGAACATCCTGCAAACCTCATCCCAGAGCTGTGCCGGAAATTCTACACTTGGGGATGGGTCACTGGCACAGGCGGCGGGGTAGGTGTTTTCTTCAGGTCTGCGGATGTATTTTGCTAATGCATGCTAACAGACGTCGATTCGTCACGGAGACCACATCTTCCTTGCGCCCTCTGGAGTCCAGAAGGAGCTGATTAAGCCTCAAAACATCTTCGTGATGGAATTCCCAACGCCCAAATACCCGCCCTCCGCGCGCAAATATATTCGCAAGCCACAGAATCTCAAGCCATCAGACTGCGCCCCGCTGTTCCTGACTGCGTTTGAGCGCGGAGCCATGTGCTGCATCCATACACACTCGCAGTGGGCCGTTCTCGTGACACTGCTAGTAGAGCGAGAATTCGGCAAGGAGGGCTATTTTGAAATCAGCAACATCGAGCAAATCAAGGGCATCCCTAAAGGCAAAGGCAAAGGGATGCACAACTATCACGACACGCTGCGCATTCCCATTATTGAAAACACGCCTTTCGAGGAAGACCTTACGGAGGGGCTCGAGAAAGCCATTGACGCCAACCCAGACACCTACGCGGTGTTGGTTCGCCGGCACGGAATGTAAGTATTTTCAGGGCCTAGTTCCAACACTGAAGTGCTAACTGATCTCAGCTATGTCTGGGGCGATACTCCTGCCAAGGCGAAGACACAGTGCGAAAGTCTGGACTACCTCTTCCAACTCGCGGTGGAGATGCACAAAGTCGGATTGCCTTGGGATATCAACAAGAGCTCGAAATAGCTATGTAGTCCGCATGCCGATGTAAATAAATATCAATAAACATGGTAAATACTGAGCTACGCATATATGCTTTAGACAGTCAGTAGTGTATTTATTTATTGCGGCTGCCTGTGGCCAACCACGAGCTTTACATAGATAGTTAGCTCCGCCGGAAGCCGCCTCTCTCTTCCATGCAGCCAACTCCAACCTCCGTCATCTCAAGATCCCCTCCACACTGCCCTCTCCACGCACCTTCCCACCGCCAGCTCCCAATTGTGTTATTTTGCTGGTGTTTCGTATACTTCTGCAAATAGCCTGTCATTATGGATATCCACGAGAGCGAATCCCCTTGGGGCGGTGAGTACCCGACATTTGATCGCTGCGATCTGATACTGATAGCCTGTCTATCCAGACGAGCCTTCGCAGTCTACAACGTCCCGGCAAAGCGGTAGGTGCTGCCATCATGGGAAACTATTTCGCGCAGTTCTAATATAGTGGCCTATAGAGAGCTCAACGAATACTACAATTACTTCTACGCACGCGACGACGCACGAATCTTTAGCCGCACCGCAGTCCCCTGCTCGACGGGGCCCCAGGGCACATCGAAAAATCAGCGCGCAGGTCACCAAATTGGAAGCAGTCGATGATACAACAGATCCTTTGGGGCCTTTAGGCGAGTCATCTATTATAGCAGAGGCCCCTACACCACCGCTGAAGGAGTCCGTGGGTGCGCGAAACGTTTCCAACGCCCAACCGTCGACCGGAACACCCATCGACCAGAGCGACGAACAGCAAAGAACCGGCAACCCTCCGCCAGTGCAATTTCCCGGCGTCGAAGGACCGCAGCAGAAGAGGCAGACTCAGCCTAGTATAAGCGTGGAACAAGCTGCCAAACCAACGTTTAACATTACCGTGGGCGACCCTCATAAAGTCGGTGATTTGACCAGCAGCCATATTGTATATCAGATTCGCACGAAGGTGGGGTCTCTTTTTCCCTCCCAAACCAATATGCTAGAAATCTTACGGCCGCCTAACCTTGCGCAATACAGACTACCTCGAAAGCGTATCGCCGACCTGAATTCGAAGTCAGCCGCCGTTACAGGGACTTTTTGTGGATTTACAACCAACTACACAATAACAATCCAGGTGTTGTTGTTCCACCTCCGCCAGAAAAGCAGGCTGTTGGCCGTTTCGATACCAACTTTGTCGAATCTCGGAGAGCTGCCTTGGAGCGCATGGTCAACAAGATCGCAGCGCACCCAATACTCCAACACGATGCTGATCTCAAGATATTTCTGGAAAGCGAGACCTTTGGAATTGATGTGAAGAACAAAGAAAACCGCGAGCCTGATTTAGGGCAGAGCAAGGGCATGTTTGGCTCGTTAGGCCTGTCTGTTGGTGGAGGTGGGAAGTTTGTAGAGCATGACGATGTGAGGAATTCCATTTTGCCTGGAGTTTACGAGAAGTAGGACTGACTATTGATGACAGTGGTTTCATGACCGCAAAATCTACCTCGATGCATTGGAGAGCCAACTCAAAGCTTTAATGAAAGCAATTGATACTGTTGTTGCGCAAAGAAAAGGTCTTGCCGAGGCTGCCGGTGACTTTTCTTCGTCTCTCCATGCACTAGCCACCGTTGAACTATCATCAAGTCTTTCGGGCCCTCTAGAGGGTCTATCGGATCTCCAGTTGCGGATACGAGAACTTTATGAACGACAGGCACAGCAGGATATTCTTACGCTAGGTATCACCATCGATGAGTATATCCGGATAATCGGTAGCATCAAAACCTCTTTCGCGCAGCGACAAAAGTCTTTCCATAGCTGGCATGCAGCAGAAGCGGAACTGCTGAAGAGGAGGAATACACAAGAAAAGATACTCCGGCAAGGCAAATCACAGCAGGATCGTATTAACCAGATCAACGCAGATGTCGCCGATGCAGAACGGAAGGTCCATCAGAGCCGGCTCCTTTTTGAGGACATGGGGCGGCTGATGAGGAACGAGCTGGAAAGGTTTGAAAAGGAGAAAGTGGAAGATTTCAAGTCGGGTGTGGAGACTTTCTTAGAAGGAGCCGTGGAAGCTCAGAAAGAGGTAAATCCTGCGGCCGTTTTTTTCCCCCCTTTTATGCATTATTCTAAAAAACGGCTTGTTCTAATGGTTGTCTAGTTGATTGAACTCTGGGAAAGCTTTCTGCTGCAGCTTGATGCCGGAGAGGATGGCAACCCGTTATATCCTCCAGAAAACCGGGGTGCAGAAGAAACAGCTGTGCCTACCAGTGAAGCTGCACCGCAGGATGCTGATGAAGAGAGAGCAGCGGCCGTTGCGGCGGCTGTTGCAGCAGAGGAGACACAGTAGAGGCTACCAAGTACCATGACAATTTCCTGTATTGCTTTCTTTTTCTTTGTAAATGAATGAATATCCAGCTCTATTTTTTTTAAATATGCGTTTGTAAGTCTCAAGCCTAGCCCATGTCCTAACGTGTTAACAAATACAGCTATCTAGTAAGAGCCGGTTTATATAAGATACCTAGGTATACACATCGCGAGATCAAGACCAATCGCCCCCGAAACGGAGCTGTTCGCCCCTTTCAACCTTGGCCATCAATTCCTTGATCGTCCATGGCTTGTATGTGTATCCCGGCGGGATATTTTGCGCTTTGAAGGGCCGCCCGGAAAGGAGATGGTTAAGCACTTCACCGTAGTGTACGTACGTATACTTCTCAGAGTTATACATTACCATCCAGTTCCCGAGGCTGACTTTGAACGAGGGTCCATCTTCGCTATCTGCTGCATAGACGGGGTTGCTCTGCTTTTGGTGGTTCATGAAACCGCTTAGTTGTACGCACGAGACACGCTCGAATCTGGTATTCTTCATCATCAGTTATGTACACACACACACACACACACACACAGCAGTGAAAGAAGCGGGGATGAGACGTACCGAAGTTTGTTGTGAATCTTTGTTGCTATCGGGACGTTGCTCTTCCCTCCGATTTCAAGGCAGGTTGCAAGAGAGATGGCGTCCTCCAGGGCCTGAGTGGCACCACTGCCAGACGAGGGCAGAAATGTGTGTGCACTGTCGCCTACTTGCACGACCCTGCCGGCTGGCGAAACCCAGTTCTCTCGGGGATCGCGCCACATGATGTCCCAGTCGACGATGCCGTTCTTTGGTGTTGTTTTGATCAGGCGTTCGGCAACTTCAGGGAATCCAGGGATCTTTGAGGTGATTTGGAGGACTCTCGATACATCTACTGTTTGATTCCAGGACTCGATGCCTTTGCCGTCGCTCTACTGAATGTCAGTACTACGCACCCCATGTAGCTTTAGAAAATGATATATACCTTGTGAGTCATCAACCAACATATGATATCCGAGTATCTTTGTACAAAGAAGGACATGTTATCGCTGGGAATGTCAGCGCTTTTCTTTTCCCCCGGATTATAATCAGTTACCCACTAGGTTGCGTAGGTAGAGCACTCACCCTCCCCAAATCTCGAGACAAGGCACATCCCCGTCAAGTAAGGGCCATCGATCACGAATCTCCGGATCCGAGAGAGCCAATTCCACGGGGAAAGAAGTTCTGAAAATGGACATTCCGCTGGAATAAGCCCTCGTATCACCGCCATTAACGAGCTTGTTGCTCTTTGTGCCAATGCCGTCAGCTGCAACAACGACATCTGCCTCTATCCTCTCTCCGTTATGAAGGACAATTCCTGCTTTCTGTCTGTCAGAGTCCTCGAAATAGTCTGTAACCTTGGCGCCAAAGGCAACGTCGATGCCCAGATGCTTGACCTGGGCGAGCAGTGCAGCCACGAATTTGGGACGATGGTGTCTATGAAATGGGATGATCTTTTGCGACCCGTCATTCAGTGTCATGCTTGGTTCGCCAATGCGCAGTGCCTCTGGACCAGAGACACGCTCCCCGGTGATTGTATGATAGGCAACCAGGCTGGGATAGTTGATGCGCTCGCATTCGGCGGCTAGATCAGGCCAGTGGTTGTAGAAATGGGCGATGATGTTTCGGCCAATAGAGAAGAAATCTCCTGCAACATCTCCTCGTTAGGCTCTGACCCGAGTCCTGCAGGTACATGGGTGGATAGATGATTACCTGCAGTGCTGGGGGCTGGCGACCTCTCCACGACTCGCACGCTGTGTCCTTTGCGGCGACATTCGAGGGCCGTCATCAAGCCTCCAACTCCAGCTCCGACCACCAAGCAAGAAATCCCTGTTGGCGGATGGAAGTTGACTTGGGTAGCCGAAACTCCCGGCAGATCTCTGTTGAGATCGATTGCTTGATGCAGAGACATGGCCAGAAGGTGCTCGAGTAGTTGTATATCCAACGGATGCTCACGCCAGGACAAGCAGGCAGACGATGGAACTTATTTATACATTTTTACAGACTTAGTCCTTTCCAAGACTTTCGACATATTATGCAGCTGCTCTCCATCGCTGGCGACGCAGCAAATGGCCTCCAGAGCTTCGCTTGCCATGGACCAATCGGAACCAGTCTATCGCTTATTCTCGCTCGGCTAGCCCTAACTCAAGACTCAAGATCCAGTTAGTTAGTTAGCTTTTGTGACTCACCCCAAGCATCATCAACATCTCGCGTTCTAGGGTTCAAGGCCCCTCGAAATTAGATAATATGGTACGAGAACGGGCAAAACGATCGAAAACCGGTCAGTGGATCGTGCACCACGTAGCCAGCGAGCGCCCGAAACTAAACTAATCATGGCACAGGCTGTCTTACGTGTAGAAAGCGCAAAGTCAAATGCGACGAAATGCAGCTCAAGTGCAAGCAATGCATCAGGCATCGATTCTCCTGTGAATGGCCAGATAATGAAGCCTTGCAGCGCAAGAAACCTTTAATACAGCCGGCCCTGACAGACCGGCATATAGCATGTGCCAATTCTCTGGTCCTGTCGCAACAAGACCGGCGTTCCCTGGAGTACTTCCCATCGTCCACCGTCTATTGCTATTACGATTTTTTTGAATGGGGCGCTTTGCAATACCTCGTCAAGGTAATAGCTCCTCGCAGCAAGCTGCTTACGCGGATGATTCTTGCTCTGGCTGCTAGCGAGATGCACAAATGCGGCTTGAGTGAGAATAATAACCCAGTCGATGATGGTCTGCTCCATTATACACAAGCGCTTCAAGAGCTTTTCAAGGATCTCTCAGCCCCAACCCAAGAGGATCCCGTCGATGCGAAGCTGGCCACGTTGGTCTTTATGATTCACTACGAACTCCAGTTCACAGGGTCTCTCGACCGAGTGCAAATTCACCTACGAGGTTTCTGGGCACTAATCAGCAATCACTCCCTCTTCGAAAAGCGACATACGCAATCGAGGAATCTTCTCACGGAAGTTTCCAATCCCCAGTTGGTTTTATCTTGCCAATTAATTGGTTGGGCACTGTTTGTGGATTCTTAGTATAGCATGAGTAGTTTCATTTCATCTGACACTTGTTTATAGATATCTCGACATAGCAGCCACAAGCCTCGGAGTTTCTTCTTCTCTTTTACAATTACTCCTCAGCTCCGACAACCCGGCTCTCAGTCCAATGCGTCTGTATCAGCTATCGCGACTCGGCGGGTATCGGCTTTGGGGGAAACCCTTGTCGGGCGATCATATGCTCGCTGACGCTGAATTATATAGACCCGTTGAGCTGGGGTGGCTAGTGATGCTGGCTCGTTTTGCTATATGGGATTTGAGTTCAGCTCACAAACCGGAAAGTACCGAGTCTTTGTCAATATTAGACCATCTGCTGGATCTGCGGGAGGTATGCTTTCCCTTGTCCACCCTTATATTCCAAGTTAGAGATCTAACGCTTCTTCTAGAGATATTGTGACCTTCTACACATCGCCGACGAGTCCCCCAACAGCCGGTGGACATGCAATGTGGAAGTAATCACGCGATTCGCAGCCTTCTATTGGGCCAACATACTCTTCTACTGCCGCATGCTCAACGACCGAACCGCCCAAAACGACCTTCACAGAGAGGCGATATGCAAAATCACCAATCTCCTGTACTATCGCCACAAGCAGGACGGCGAGTATCGGAAACAGAGCCGCGTAGTCTGGTGTACTTTTATGGCTGCTGTCGAGACGCATGATCCTGTTCATCGGGACTGGCTGGTAGCGAGACTGGCAGATGTTCGTAATGTGTCGGTTGAGTGTAGGCAATTATGGTCGATGGCCGATACTATTCTCGGGAATAATCACTAGCTTATATTTGTCGGTTTCACAAACATATCTAATGTTTATGTATAACGTATTTCAGTACGTGCAACAAGAGAATAGTATAAAACTTCGACATAGTCGGGGCCATTGCTCTCCCTCTGGGCAACAAACTTCTATAACGGCTGGTCGATGGAGATCCGTTCAATCTATCTGAATTTGTATGATAGATAAAACTCGGTAGTAGAAAGATATTGTGATTGAAATTTGCCACAATTCAAGTTAGTATATCCTAATGTACATGTAGTTCGAAAAGAAACAAACCAAAAATCATCGCAGAAGACTTGGCCTGCATATAGCGAAAATAATACTCCCCGGCCAAAAACACTTATTTCTTCTTCTTCCCTCCCGCGCTCTCCTGATCCTGACCAAACGAACTAATCAAATCCAACAAATTATCTTCTTCCTCCTGCAATTCTGCCTCCTCCTGAGCCAGTGCCTTTGCTGCTGCTGCATCAGCCTCGACCTGTTTTTCTGTCCGCGCCTGCTGTCCCGCTACGTCGCCTGTCTTGCTCTCCGCAGTAGCAGTAGCAGCAGCAGCATCGAATCCTCTACCAAACTTGGCTCGGAAAGCGGCTAAGCGACCTGCCTCGTCGTCTTCGACGGTTAGCAGTTTCTTGCTCGTTGGGTTCCAGAGCAGGGAGTTGCGCGTGTCGCGGGTGGATCGGTAGACGGGCATGGGCGAGGTGGTGCGGTGCAGGAATGTGCTTCCGTCTGATAAAGCGACGAGTTGCGTGAATGTGTATGGTCGCTTGGGGCGGCGGAGGAGAGTGGCATGGCGGCATTGGTTGCAGATGTAGGTTGATGTAGAGGTGGTGGTAGTTGTTGACGGTGAGGAGAGCAAAGTCTTGGAGAGGGTTGTTGATGGGCCGGTGCTGGACGTGGCACGACGGAATGTGGTGTTGAGCGACATGGCGGTCCAATTGACACTGACAAATGTATATGTCTATGTCGATGAAGTTTTGTAGCCAGGCGTCGACAGAGTTCGCTGCGAGATTCTTGCGGAGGTTGAAGAAATTAAGGTTGGCCTTATGTAAGCCGCATATTTGGAACCTCGCCTAACCAGTTATGGTTAGCGTTATTTATTATCGTCGTCTGTCGACATCAATGATCAACCCTCTTTTTTTTATGTTCGTGAGGACAGCAGTCAAATATTTTCTCTATAATGCAAGGTGACACTCCAAGAAACAACAGCCTGTGCCATCGGAGTATATGTTATATATCAGCCGAGCAGAATGAAGCTGCTCATGCCGCAATTCTCCGCACGGGGAGCTGCGAGGAGAAATGTTTTATATGAGATCAGCAGTAAGTAGAACGAAAAGATAGATACTTGTCAGGAGCTAATCCTCTTGCAGCATCACAGTTCACCTGTCCCTGCCAAATATCGCCGCGATTTCGCTCATCGCAGCCGCTGTCGTCGACAACTTCGCGACCCTTCTCATCCACGCCCTACAAACGCTCCAGACACATTGAAAAAGAAATAGAAACAACTCCTCCAACTCCAAGTCCGGAACCTGACTCCTCGCTATCCCATCAAATCCGTCTCCTAATGCGACGCATCCCACACCCAGTCGCCATCATAACCGCTTACTCTTCCACAACCTCAAAATCAAAGACACAACGAAAACCAAAACCAACGCCAACGCCGCGAGGAATGACAGTCTCATCCTTCAACACGGTAACCCTCCACCCAAAACCAATCATAACGTTCAACGTGCGCCAGCCCTCCGAGACGCTGTCTGCCCTACAATCCTCGGGCCGGTTCTTGGTCCATTTACTAGCTCCTCAAAGCCGCATGGCAAGACTAGCGCATGATTTCTCAAGAGGGAATGCGAATCTGGACTTGGGTGGGTTTGAGTTCGTGGATTACAATTATAATCGTGAAATCTCAAGTGAGAAGGATACCGCGACGATACTTCCGCGGCTTGTGCGAAGGAGAGCTCAGACGCATGTCGACCAGGCTAATAGCAATAATAATGACGATAAGAATAACGACACAATAGAGGAAGAGGATTTTACATTCGTGCTCGACTGTGAATATTTACCCGAAAAGTCAGTACGGGTATATGACCATGTCATTGTTCTTGGAACCGTGGAGAAGATCCTCTCATCTGCTGCTGCTACTGCTACTGCTGCGGATGGGTTGGCAAGGCATGCAAAGGAGGATTTTTGTCTGATGTATGCTGATACCCGGTTCTGGAAGATGGGCGAGGAGGTTTGATTTTAAGTATTATTTCAGCTAAGAGTATGTACGATAAAGATATGTGGTTTCCAGATAGAGATGTATAATATGTATAGGTCTGCAGGCAATGATGAAAATGAACAGGCAGGATTTTGCTTCAAAGCTCCGACTCTGCCGTTGAGCTGATCTATCTATCTATCTATCTAGTCAAAAAGTACGTACATATGTAAAAGATCATCTTCTTCTGTTCGTATCTCGTGATTCGAAACAACTTCGAACCCTTCTTCTTTTCTTGTCAGCGAAATCAAAAGAAAACAGCAGATTTTAACAAAAATACGGCTGCAGTACTGATCGACCAGCTTCAATGAACAAAAAGATCACCCCGCGCGGCCGCCCATACTAGATAAGCACAGAAAAATAATCGACACTAGACCTGTACATCCGGAACGTGGAGGGGCAACCCACGCACAGCGTCAAATGAACAACTTTCTGGCCGTGCGCAACGAATTTGAAAATACAAAATCCCATGCTACAGCCCTTCTGCTCGCGTAGACCGAGGACTACCGCTTCCACTGCCACTTCCGCTGTTACCGCTGCTGCCACCACTACCGCGACTTCCAGCTCGTGTGAACGGACTGCCAATGGCACCATAAGTTGGACTGGTTTGGCCTTTGCCGTCAGACCCCAAATTGACGCGTTCCGCGGGATCGAGCAGGTACCGATTGAAATCATAGTCGAGGTCTGCATAGAAGCTGCTTCGTGCTGAGCGATTGGAGGACGACCGGTCCCGATAAGCGAACTCGCGTCCTCCGAGGTAGTTGACTACGCTCAGACGAGGCGATGCTTGATACCCAGGAGCTTGTTGAGTCGTTGCTTGCAAGGGACTGGCGGTCTGAGACGTCGATCCACCAGCGAACGTAGGTGTCGTTTGATGAGGACTAGACCGCAACGCCGAGAAGCTTGTACCCAATATTGATCGACTGTTGGCGGGTGTGATGGTCAAATTGTTGACAGAGTGATTGACATTACTCATGTTTGATTCCTCGGAGTCCTCCAGTAAAGAACGTGTGCCCGGAAGAATACCCTCGGGCGTCAATGGACCGGTCTCAAAAAGCATCTGCTGCTGTTGTTGCTGGATAGCCTGTTCAATCCCTGACGCTTGTTGCCACAGCTGGTTCGTGCGCAGTTGGTAATCCTGTACTGCGCGGCTGATGCTAGCTAGTTGATCATTGAAATTGGCTTCGATCTTGGCTTGCTCTTGTTCTCGGGCGAATTGCTCCGCAGCTCGACGTTCTCGTTCATTAAGACCCTGCGCGTTAGCTGAGATGATACGTTCATACTGCTCATTAAGGCGGGTCTTGCGGCTTTGAAGACGATCGCGTTTCTGAACAGCAGAGTTATAATCAGACTCGAGAGAGGCGATGTCACGGGAAACTGAAGTACGAGCAGCAACTAATTCCTCCTTGGAAGTTTTGAGTCGTTCCAACTCTCGCTCGAATTCAGCCTTTTGTGCCTGCCATTCTTCGAGCTCCTCCTCAGGAATCTTGTCCATGCTGTCAAGCTGGGATTCAAGAGCAGCTGTAGCTTCCTCGGTTTGTCGAATGTTTCGTTCTAGTTGCAATGATCGTTGTTTTTGTCGGTTTTCGTCATTTCCGCTGCTTAGCCGATGATTGAAGTTGTCTAGCTCCTTCTTCATGCGGGATAAGAGGACCTTGTGATCACTTTTGGCCTTTTTTAAACGAGAACGCTTTTCGTTCAGCTTCGACTCTGCATTGGCGATAGAATTTCTCAGCGTTGTCGTCGGGGAAGACGGCCGGTGAAAAGGGCGCGGTGGTGTCGGCATGATAGAAACGGTGCTTTGATCTGTGTCCAGTGCCGGAGGGGTCTTGACGCTTAGAGAGCAGATTACTTCGTCCGAGTCGTTTCGTACAAAGGAGCAGGTGTAGGCGCAATTCGGGGCCAATCCGGAAATTTCTCCCCTCCACTGCACAGTACTGGATGTCTTGGGTCCATCAGTGACCTTTTCCATACTGACTGTTGCCCACGAAGCCCCATTAACACAGACGTAAAATGGCTCATGCTCGTTACTTCCCAGATTTCCATCCTCACACACTGTAGACGAAGAGGTTGTCGCATCATCTGTCGTAGCAAAGTCACCGGCGGCAAACTTAATAGTTGAACTATCCACGCTTGTGATCCAAACCAGCCCATCGTCGAGTGTTATCCCTTGAAGATCATCCTCGGTCATTGGCAGGCCACGGGTCGTCTTTGACACAGCCCTGGAATGCTCGTATTCCCTCATGACGGTTACTTTCGTGCTTGCTAGTGCAGCCCAAAAGGGCTGCCTACTTCGAACTTGATTCGCCTGCCTCCTTCGTTTTTTGGCGCTTTGGAGCCGTTCCCTGCTCTCCTTCAGAGCCGAAGGACCAGAGAGGGAGCCATCAACCCCCAGTACAGATGTGATACTCGCAGTAGATTCAAAGGCGGAGTCAAACTGAGCCTGCGAACCGGCAGAGGCCTCGGCATCGATACGTTTCCCGGAACGGGACGGTTGGGGCGATCGATTCCGAGCCATCGATCGTCTTGCCATGGCGGTGCATGCCTGAGCTAGGATATGGATGGCGAGAATGCTCCTCAGCCAGCTTGGAGAAGTCTGCGGCTCCGTCCGTCTGAACCCATTAGGCAAGAGGTGAGACCAGCGGGATAGGAAATCGGGACTAATTAGTTGAGCAGAAGTGAGATGGCCGATGACAAAGTCTTGTATGCCTTTGCTCCGGACAATATGCAGCAATAGCACGGTACCGACACAAAGAGCATTGACGCCGCCATTCTTGCCGGAGCCGCCGCCCCCAAGAGTGATGGCAACCTGTACATGGGCCAAGTCCAAAGCAAAATTCTGAGCCCAGGTCCACATAAAGAGCCCCCACATTAGAAGACAGAAGCCATCCATCGCAATCATTGTCCCAAACGAAGGTGTGCCAGCGGGCCCTTGGAAAATATCAAAATTCGAGGTCAACGAGGAGCCGGAGCCCCCGCCGGGGGGCATAAAGGTCAAGGACGCGAACAGAAACTGGACCAAAGTGAGAACAATCGGGGGTAGCTGTAGGAGGAATATCAAGATGGCGATGGTATCGTACAGAGGGCATGACCGGAGAATTGTCGAAGCCAGAGCAAAGGGATTTACAGACGAAGAGGCATGGCGCTTGGAGGCGGATGCTGCTGTTGCTGGTTTGGAAGAGGAGGAAGGGCCGGCTTCCGGGGAAATGGAGTGTCCGCAGGCCATATCACCGTTGGTATAAGCGTGATCGTTGCTGTCTGGCTTGGGTCCATCAGTTGTCGGCGCAGCATTGGCCCTGGAGGTTGTCACGACCGATGAATCACTGGAAGAACGAATATCGCTGTAGTTGGCGGAGTACGAGGTGCTGGAGCTGTAGCCGGCATTCCCGTTCAGGTGACTGGACGACTTTTGCTTGTTTAGACGCTTGCCATTGACCGCACTCCCGTTTTCATGATTCCGACTGCTGTTGGTGGTACTGGTGGAATTATTATTGTTGTTGTTGTTGTTGTTGTTGTTGTTGTTGTTGTTGTTGTTGTTGTTGTTGTGATGACCTCTCCGAGTCACAGCGGCTGAACGTGGCATGGACGAGCGAACGGCGAAAAAGGCCCAGCACCGAGTCGGCTTGGCGGGAAAGCAGCCAAGGACTAGGGACCAGGCAGGGTGTGGTTTGAGTGGTATATACTGTATAATATTTATTTATGTATAGGCGGAATTCCCCAGGAGCGCGACGGGGAGGAGGGCGGAGGATATGGATAGAAGGAGAGGAGAAGAGGTGGTGGTGGAGGAGGAGGAGGAGGAAGGAAGGAATTTAAGAATTGAAATTTGGGGAAGGGATGGTTTGGAAGGCGGAAAAAACGGATCTGCCAAGCCCCATGCAAAAAACGAAACAAGCCCGGGTCGGCTCAGCACGCACCAACAGAGGATGCATGTACTATATACGGAACCGCACGTATTTTTATTTTATTATTGTGCTCAGGTTTGTAGTCACACAAAGAGCGGGGGACTAACGTCGCTGGCTCGCTCGCTCAGCTCAGCTCAGCAGAAGAAAATCGCCAGAGAAAGCGTGGCTTGGCACGTATGTTCCCAGTCGGGCTAGCGCGGATTATCCGATGTGGCACAGTGGCAGAATCGGGTAGGCTGTCGCCCAAAGAGGAAAGGCGCTCGCCCTAAACCGCGCGCTAGGCCGAGCCGGGCAAGAGCCGTCGATCGTCAGCGCGGCGGGCCAATCAGCGCGTCTCCCACCAGGGCGTCTCGGTCCAATATAGGCTAGTTCTAGTTCTCGTTACGGAGTTCACTCTGTACAGATTCGATATAGCGGTATAAGCAATGTCTAGTTATCGCCGTCCAGCTGATCCCATATCCTCAACAGCATCTGGGTTGTCCCAGCTGTCCAGCTCGAGCCGGCGCACCGCATTCTCCACGTCCGCGACTTGTTGCTGCCACTCGGTCTTGCTCTCTTCTTGCATCTGCCATGTTCTTCTGAACTGGTCCGATATGAATTCCGGCGCCGTGCCTGTTTTGCTCAGTTTCCTATAGTCGAAGAGGAAGTTCTGTTCCAGCACTCGCGCCGCCGGCCGCTGTTTGGACTCCGATAAGATCAGGACTTCTTGCTGGAAGAAGGATTTCGCCAGAGTCTCCGAGGGGTCTTGGGTGAGTCGGTGGTAGACGGTGATCTTGTCGGGCCACGTCATGGGCTGTATTTAATGTCAGAGACAGGGCGCGCATTACCCAGACTGGCATCGGGAAAGAAGGAAAAAAACAGACAAACTTGTAGTTTATGTTGATACCCTGCAGAATCAAGCCTATGCCCTTGTTTCCAACTGTATTTAACCATTCGGTTTGATGCGCAGGGTCGATATGCATTGCGTAGTTATGCATCAGGTTGACCCGCGCTGTTTCGGCGTATCGAGCGTATGCCACATTATTGATGTGGCCTGGACGACGGTGGGAACATTAGAATAAACTCATCTCACTTGATAGATAGAAACTAGCATGACTAACCCTAGATTTGTCACGGTCAGAACGATAGCGAATACAACACCCCAGACAAGTCCTTACCATAGAGTCCTATCCAAAGCAACAGGACGGATGTCAGTCCACGTTGTTCATTTCTGCTTATCGCTGGAGGGAAGATTCACCATATCTCCCCACACAACATCGCGGCGGAAGAGCGCTCTTCTCGTCGCACTCGTCAGGAACCCTTCACTCCCAGCAGTCAATTCCCGCCAGTCCTTTGCCAGGCGCTGTAGAATCCTTCCCGCCTCATCAACCTGCGCGGGTTTCAGGCCGAACATGAGGCATTTTCCAACTCTCCGCTTTAGAATCGTCAGCCATCGCGGGTCAAGCGCAGCGTTTGTCGTTGGCGTTGTTGTTATTGGGCGTATTTGTGAGGCGAACTTGCGAGCTGTGGGAGCTTTAGACTGAAACGAGCGCAATGTCATTGGCCGAGTCGATTGGGACGGGCGAAGCGTAGACATTTTGTGGTATGAATGAGTCGACACAGCAAATGCCGAGTTGCGGGTGCACGAGGCTAAGCCGACGCCCGCAACTAGGCAGACCAATCTGCTTGGCACGCACGAAGACATAAGAACAAAAGCATAGGCTCAACAATTTAATAGTACCAGCACCCTGATAATGAAGGGAAAGCTGAGATATGTTCGGGGCGTATACCACTACAAGATCCTGAATTGCTGACAGATAATTTCTTTATGCTTTTTGTCTGTGTAGGCATGGCCAGTCTCGGACATATGTACTGTATAGAAAGATGTCACCATACTCCGTACATTGCTGTGCTATATCCACTGGTATCAAAAGACCTGGCCATTGCTAACAACAACAAAAGTAGTCAGACAAATCAAAAATTGTCAGCTACACCTCTTTTTTTCTCCTCCTTCAGCCTCTCTTCATTCAGCGTCTTCCACCATGCGTGCGACGGATCATGGTGCTCTTCTTGCCCTTGTTCATCCCACGGCTTCGGACTTAGTATGTAATGTACATTTTTCACATTCTCGTCCCGCCAGATAGCATCATGTACACCGGTCCGTCGCAGGGTTTTCAGCGCGTTATAGACATACGGCAGCGTGACCCATCGGCCCGAAAATACATCTGAAAGGAGGGACTGGTCGGCAAAGTCGTAGTTGGACGTGGCAGAAGTCGCAAGCTGGGCAACTATCTTGTCGTAGACGGCTTGAGACGGGTTCACCACCTGCAGACCTCCATTCGGTATGCCCAACCCTGCTGTGGCCGGAGCGCCGGTTGTCTGAGCAGCGTCGGGAGTCGCATGCTGAGCCGTGTACGCACAATTGGCGGGGATCCTTCCACTGTTATTTAGCCCAGGGCAATCTCATTCAGCTTTTGTTTTCTGTCCTACCAGTCTTTGGGATAATGCGCTTTTTGCAGCGGGTTGCAGACGCAGGCATGGCTCGCAGCAAAGACCCGGTCTCCGTTCCCAGCCAGATCCGGCGCATCCAGCTCGATTTCCATCAGCTCGTCCATATTCTGCAGCACCAACATGTCACTGTCCAGTTGCACGACACGGTCAAACTCGACGAGCGAGAACGGGGTGAGCTTGCTCCAGCAGTCGTAGAAGCGCACATCGTTGGAATAGTCTCTCGGCACTGAGGGGAGCAGATAGGGCACGCGCTGCTTCAGGATGCCGCGCGCATCGAGGGCTGCATGGCCCTCGGCGGGGAACGAGTCGGTGTAGAGCGCGACGAGCGGGTACTTGGAGCAGACTTTTCGGAGCGAGTACTCGAGCGTTAAGAGGCCGGACAGGTATGCGGTGTTGGTGATCAGGGTTGTCCACACTAGCAAGCATTAATTGATTAACTTGGAAGGGACTCAAGACGTGGTGATATCGGCGTACCTTTGGTGTTCTCTGATTTGCGGCCGGCCGACATGGTGCATGTACGCGGGGTAGTAGTCTGTGCTTGCGAGGGGCAGGCCAGCTCACCGTCTGTCGTCTCCAGCAAGGGTTGCCGTAGGAAAGCAGGAAACTCGGGCGACAAGAGAATGATATAGAGATTGAAGATATACAGATTGCTAATCTCGACTCGGCTCTTCGGTGTGGATACATCCTCATCATTTGGCGGAACAATTGCTCATGCCTAGTGGGGGTTTATCAGCACGCTTCCGACGGACATCTATCATCTCGGAGGATTTTCTTCACTCCAGCTTTTCTAACAACGTACAATTTTGAAAATATATTATGCCCGCTATTGGAATCCATGTTGAACAGCTGCAATGGTTATGTAATCATACATTCTTCAGGGTTAGTGGGTTGAGGCTTATCGATTAGGGTTATTCTCCTCCCGATCTGGCATATTCCTTGTTTGGGTATTGCAGCCTGCTGGTAATTCAACTCAAGAGAACATTCAAGGGGCTCTTTAAGGCTATTTTTATACTTTCTCTAGGAGGTCAATTAGACCATAGATTCTAAGGCATTTATTCACCCAATTAGGTGAGATTCCAGGCTGGTTGATGGGCTGGATCCAGAATAGCGGTCATATATAGATAAATATTCTTCGGTTTCATGGCCTAGGTGGTCCTTGGTCTTACCACAATTAAACTTCCCAAGGAAGCTGTCTGCGAGGCTAATGAGTGAAACCTGCCACCAAAAGTTTACGGGGAACGCTGTTGACCTTTCACGATAAAGTTGCCTGCCCATAGTAGGTGTGATGGCCTGGTAGAACCCTTTGCAAATATTACTGGCCTTATTAAAATTGTGTCTCTCCTCAGTTTGATTACAGTCAATTCTAACAAGTGCAGCACTGTCTGAGACGGATTGTAGAGGGAAGAATAGAGCAGTGCAATCTATCTCTTTTCACGCTTGACTACTCGCATTTTCTTCTTTAATCTATCTGTTTCTTATATTTCTATTTGCCCTCAAGCAAAGGAAGGGGAAATATATCTTTTAACTACAGAAATACTCGGCAAAATGGCTTCTCCGAGTGGTGATTCTGCTGGGAAACTGAAGCTCTCTGTAATTACATAAAAATCCTCGATTTGCCTCCTGTTATAATTATGGGTCGGAAAGGAGCATGAAGTTCCGCTATCTCGTGTGAGGCAGTTTGTATGGGATTCGCCTGTCTGTAAAAAAGGGTATACATAGATGCTTTTCGACGGATTGCAGCTTGCTTGGTTCTGCATAAGCTATTAGCATCTTGGTGGACCTTCTCTGCACAGCCTAGTGGAAATGACAGTTGAAACATGTTAGGCGATTGCTTGATTGTTAGTAAGTCCAAGAGCATTAATCTCTAGATTTTTAAATAGTTGCTCTGTCGATAATTAGTCAAGTACCATTAGCTGCAAACACAATCGAATTTCCAGACACTCTGTGGATCTGCGATTCTTCACGGGAGTTGCCGGCGTCGCTAATTTCCGGCAAACCGGGACCCACCAGGCAAACCCTAAGTCAACATGATTTCCATGAAGTTCAATCAACATGTCTGTTTTTCCTATGCTCAGCAAGCTGATTGGCCGGCTACTTGTTAAACAGCAAAGTTGGTTTGCAATGGAGACCCTTCCAAACATCCAACAAACCCAACACCAGCTGATTCACTGGCCAGCTGCCTCGACTTGGTTGCATACGGTTGTAGACGAGCGTCATATTCATGCCTCGCACCTTTTCTTTGTCTGAAAAGGACAAAGAATATCTAGGCATCAAGGTCATCTGCCATGTTAATATTTTCACTTCTCACCGGTGCAAGACCTGTTTGCTTTTGTCTTATCAATATGGCTCACCAAGCCCAGCCATCTTCGCGAGATGCCCAATCTCTTTGTTTCTTTGATTAATATGACTCATCTGCTCTCTTTCTGTTGTATCATTTGCGTATTAAATAACCAAGGCAAACACGCAAATGTTACTCTAGGTGGGCCAGGTCTCACTTTTCTTTATTGTTGAGCAAAGAATCCTTTGTCACGGAGCGTAGTCTAGGCTGTAGTGTCTTAGTTTGCTGGTATCAATGCCCAGCCATTTCTATTGGATGCCGCATTAGGACACCGGTGGTGGGACTATTAAAGCAGCCTCACCCCCTCCTCCCTCCTCCTCTTCTTTTCTCTCCATCGGACTCATCAATCAAACCTTCTGGTTTCAGAAGAAGGAACTGAGTACTTTCCTCTGCTTCCAAGCAGAAACTGTCTCTGAAGGGGGAAAAAAAGTCCTCTCTCTGTTACAACTTTTCCTCTTCATCTCGCCATGATTCATCAAACAAAATGATACAATCTTCAGTCATTCCAGGTAAGCCTTCTCCTGTGGATCTTGTTGCACTGTTTTCATCCGTTACAAATCTTGAGTATTGTTTTAGAATATTTTAACTGATACCTTCGAGCCTAGCTTTATGAGCAAAAGACATCTGCGTCAATAAACCGGTGAGTGCATACTTTGCATGACAAAGACCACAAAATGCTAACACCGAGTACCAGATCCTCAATATGTCAACCGAGAATTCTTCTGATGCCCCGACTCCCGACATCGGTGGTAAAATTTTCGCTCAGCCGATCGACGCTCGTGCCAAACTGTCTGACAATGCATGTCAATGGCAATTCCGTTGCTCCTTCGCACGATGCTGACACTGAATTGCCTGACGCTGCCGCGGACGCTGACGAAGATACCTGCGTCGAATCATTTTTACGACACAAATGAAGCGGCCGTAAAATTCGTCTACGGCGCTCATTTGAAACACCAGATTTTGGTCATTCACCTGAATCGCGTCGGACGAGCAATACTGACAGCGGAATATAAGGCATTATTTACACATAAAATGAGCATCACCAGAAGCTTTTTTAAGAGGCCCCTTTTTGGTGGCCGACAGGTTAATATTCCGTCGCTAAATACATGAGATAACCGTCTTCGAGGTGCCAAACTCCAATATTCTGCTGGGTGCTGTGGAGTTCGAAAAGTTGGAGGAATCATTTACTCCTGCAGATCGCGTGGATACCGCGGTGATTATCCCCGACGGAACTACTTACCGAGTAGCGTTGCACTGCGACCGCGTTTTTCTTCTGTTGCCATCTGCGAAATCATACTCGTCGCTTGTGAATCCATTGAACAGCGGCAAGGCTCGAGAAGGAATTTGATTGCAAGCTCATTTTTCAGGTGCATACGAACTGCGTGAAGGCACAGGTCAACGCAGTCAATCAATTTTTCTTTGGTTGCAGCTCCCATTGGCATCCGGTCGTCTTGAATCAGGAGTTGACAGCGGAATATAAGGCATTCACATAAAATGAGCATTACCAAAAGCCCAATTAGGGGTCTCTTTTTGGTGGCTGACTCGTTATTATTTCGTTGTTTGGAGTACATGGATCTAGGCACGGCTGATATTTTGGAAGGCCTGCCAGTAACTTCTTCCTTTCTACATATCCCCTTTTCTTCCACAACTCGGCAATCGTCTCGTCTCTACATCTCTACGCTCTTCCTCATTATATCAATTTGTCTATCTCTAGCGACACCATCGCCTGCCGCAAGATGATTTTTAACGCCGAGGACAAGGTCGAAGTCGTCGCCGCGTCAATCGTCTCCAAGCCGATCGACAGCAAGCAGAAGAAACGTTACGAGAGAGTCAGAGACTACCTCATCGCAGCCATATGGTGTCTCGGTCTACCTCACTTCTCCGATTCCGCGACGGTGGTCGATCACGTCTCACTTTCCGGCCTATGAACGTCTCCATGCACTCTGACAGCTGAATCCGGCGCAGATGAGTGTTTTTGAACTTCTCCGACATATCCCCTGAAACGGGTGGGCGTTTATTGAAGGAATATCTAGGTGTGGAAAGACCTTAGTACAAGCATTGTTTGCGAAGCTTCTCTCACTGACCTCGGTTTTCCTGTCTTGATTGTTGCCCCAATCATTGCAGCACTACAGGCAATATCAAAAACAATTTTTGAGAAATTGCCAGGGCTCAATGAGGTCAAGGTTGCGTTCGCCGGAGCGGAGACTACAAACAAGTTCAGCGAAGGAAATAAACAGGCAACCAAGGAAAACGTTGAGTACGCCATGTTTCGTTTGCTTCAGAGCATGGCATCTCTACGTAGTGTTCGATACGATGTGATTCCCGCGCACGATTTACACAAGCATGTTGAAGGCTTGGTCACTGCAATGAAAGATCGTGGCGAGAAGTTGCTCTTTAAGTACCAGCGTGAAAGCACCGACGACTGACGTGTTCTTGGATCTGGACGAGTCCGATGACGAGGTGGCTCCCGAAAACGACACTCGTCCTGAATACTCTGGCGTTATACTCTTTCCACAATAGTTTCGAATTATAATGGCGCATTATGTGCTTGCCCACAAACTAGAGTGACATACAGCGTTACATCATGCCCATGATCTGCCTCAATTGCCATAGTGGGATACACAACAACCTGATAGATTCCGCCCGCGACCGTTGATGCTTGACAATCGACCGCATAATAACAAAGCATCAACCCAATCTGCGTCAATGTTGGGAGAGAGGAGGCGACAGTTGAGGGTTGGTGAAGTTATATGATCATGATTATCACTATTGCCTTGAGAATCATCAGGCATCATACCTTGTCAAATGATGAAAGCCAGTAATATGCCATAGTTCCCCATTATATGCTGCACAATCTAGTAGAGGCGAAAATACATTCTTACGTCCAAAGACATATACCAAATACGTACATGATACAAAGTGATCACACAAACGCCGTCAATTATGATTTTATGCAAGCTGCTCAAAGTCCTGCCGAAGGCTTTCACAAATAGCATCCACCAAAGGTGATTCCGACTCGATTGGCACCCCCAACGCTCCTTGCTGCCAGGTAATAGTAATGACTAAACTTCCATTCTTAAGACTCATCATCGTGAATGCCAGTGGCGCACCAACAGCGTCAACAGGTCGTGAAAAGACCATTTTTGTGATTTTACAGTTACTCTCGCGCTCCGAGCATTCGCCAAGCGGAGTCATAACGTCAAAAACGCCCAGGTTGCTGACTTCATAGGAACAATCTCGCTCTTGGCCTATCTTTGCAGCAGTCCATTTCCGGATGCTAGGCACGTATCGCAAGAGCCCCACGGCCTGATCCTGTAAACTGACGGCACATTCTGCAAGCTTCTCGGTCATAAGGCAAGCTTGGGCCCATGTCTCTTCGGATAGAGGCAACGCGAAGTTGCTTGGGCGGGCATGGAGACCGTGATAGGCGTTGACGAACAAACCCATCTCGTCCTTCGACAAGCCAATAGCGCGTCTCATATCCACCGCAGTACCGGAAACAAAATTGGTAAATTCATGGCCAGGGATCGCCTTGCTTAGCGCTCGTATGATTAATTGGTGCATCAAAGAAGTCAGCCTTGCATCATGTTTCCTCGATAGGCGCAATGCTCGCTCGACTTGCGCGGCATCAATCTCTACTAGCCTTGGGCGACTGTGAAATGTGCTTTGATCAAAAAACATCTTGGAGCCAGTCCAAGTCTCGGAATTCACCTCGCTAACGGTAGCACGCAGGCCAAAAAAGTTGGCAATGGACTTTGGAAGGAGGACGGCGAGGAGCGGCGCAAGGAGGAATTTCCACGAAATCGGAAGCCTCTGAGGAGTGTCAAAGGGAATCGGTAATTCTTTATCGGGAGTCATGACCCAAGTTGAGTTCACAGGTGTGGCAGGATTCAGTATTGCATTGAGAAATGTTCGGTGGAAGGCCGTTCCAATATTACCATCTCCAAGAGCGTGGGAGAAGGCAAAGGCGATGAAGCAGCGGGAACGCCTTGATAAATCTTCTGAAGTTTGTCTCAGGGGCAAAACAGCAATCCTCCACGGCGGTAGTTCCCCCCATGGTTTATCGAGAATGGAGGGCAGGGCAGCCTCGATTCTAGCACTGTCGTCACCCCCCAGGTCTGCATAGAACGTAGCCTCTTTGCCAATAATAGAGACATGGTCCTTGAAGTTAACCTGCGGGACACGTTCATAATATGGCTTATCGGTATGCTTATCCTTGACGACGACACCCAATGCCGGATGCTCTTCGACGCATTTCTTGATCGCGCCAAAGAAGAATTCTGCACACCCAATGTCTATTTCGGCTTTTGTAAATTCATATACTGCGCCAACAATGACAGAGGTATAGAAACCGAGGTCCTCACGGCTTATTGTCCGACTTTTATTGGGACCTAAGTGTGTTAATTGAAACGCTCAAGGTATGTATCTCGTTTGCTACAGGACTTACTTGCAAATCTCATCGTGGAAGTTTGCACGTACGACGCTGCCAGATTGCTGGGATACGAAACTCATGTCTGTAACAAGAGCTATTGGAGACATTCCTGGGTCTTTTTATATTAATTGTGTGTATGTGAAAGGCTGATGAAGTGTTGGAAGAGATGCCGCCCAAATGAGGACTAGCGCTATCCAACCGGCGACATATTGCTCTTTTGGGTAAAGTCGGCCCACTAGAGCCGGTCAGCTTCTCCCATGAGACAATTCTTAACCCTGATATCTAACTACCATTATGGCATACCACTTGCCAAGGCCAACCATCAAGGGCAAATGGTGATAGCTCAGGTCATTCAGCCCATTTAGCATTCCCCACTTGCTTACTGGGCGAGCCGCGCAAGCCGGGATAGCGCCCTTGATCTGGATCACAGAGCTGAGAGCTGAGAGCTATGCTACTTGCTTAACGTATTGGTTCACGATCGTTATGAATACCACGACGAGCTGTGGTAAAAGCAGCAATCCCTTTGCAAGGTCTCCAGCTCAACAATCTCGCTTGGGGCTGAGTACCCACCCAAAGGCCTGCCAACTCTGCAATAAGAACAAGGAAAAATGTACCTACGAAGCTGGGCGACAACGCTGTGTCAGATGTGGCAAACTGGGTAAAACATGCCGCCCGAGACTGCATAAACGAATGGGTCGCCAGCCTGCGGTCAAGCCTCTTCCATACGGAAACTACTCTATTATTGACTTCGACACGGGAGGAAGATCCATGCCTGCACGTTATAGCTCTGGTGTGCAGTTATGTTCCGAGGGAAATGGGTCTATGAGCTCAACTAATACCTCCGGAAGCCGCTCGAAAGCTTGGTATTCAAGATCTCTACGCCTTGCAACAGCCGAACCAGTCTTGGTTCGCACAAGTCTCAGCGCTATGCAACCCAGTCGTGGGCATCAGCACATCAGGCACATGCTAGAGACTACAGAAGGGTTTATTGAAGCACACAGACACTTTATGTTAGGCAAGAGCTTTACCATCGACTTCCAGGTGACTGTAAGACTGCTGTTCAGCCACTCTCCACAGCTGATGGTCGATGCCTATTCCGGTGCGCTCGAGTTGATGAAACAACGGAAGACGCAGATTAAAGAACGCAGTGACCCTGATCTAACCATTGGCTCAAGCTGCCTCAGATCTCTGAGGGTAGCCTCAATGTCCATTAAACATATGCAAGATGCCACAGTCGTCATCATGCTCGGACAAATAATGGCAGTCTACAACATCCTAATACCATGCCCATCTACACACACAATTGTGCGCAGCACCTTGTTGAGCGTCAAGGAGTGGTATCCGTCTCTATTGCAGCAGCCAGAGATGGATTCCGTCACTCTAACCCCTGTCCTAGTAGACACTATCGAATGTCTGGTTCGGCGAGACATGCCAATCATCCGGATTCCGCACACCAACCGATGTATTGTCGATAGATGCATTGGCATTTGTGCGTCCCTCCTGACGCTTTTTTATGATTTGTGCGAAATAAGCTATCAGGTTAAAATGCGTGATCATGCTGTCGCGGCAGCCCAATGGGACGATCCCTACGCCGAGATCGAAGAGAAGATATGTGCTTGGACGCCAGTATTGCCCCCTCACTTCTTCTCTCAATATTCCAGCACAGAGGTCACTACGATGTTGACGCAGGCACGGCTATATCGTATCACAGCTTTACTCGTCATTCATCGCCTGCGCTTTCCCGTTGGAATCGAGGACACCACTGCTCGCTCATATGCCGAAAGCATTTTGAACGAGCTACGCATGGTAGTGGCATGGCAACCTGACGAGTTTCTTGGGCTAGCAGTAGACTTTCCATTGTTAGCCGCCATGGTAGAAATGCCGGTCTGCGGGGAGGAAATTCTCAGAGTCGTCGAGCCGCGAAGGTTACGCAAGGCCCCTACTGAAGAAATTTTGAAGTTTGTCCGACACGTCAGAAAGTCCTACGAGATGGGTTATGGTGGGTTGTGGCTAGACTTGACCAGTGACGAACTTTTAGGAGTGATTTTACCTTAAATAATATTTTTAATCTTTAGAAGATAAATTCCATATCAAGAGCTGCAATGAAATCCGCAAGTATGTAGGGAAAAGATAATATGTATATTATCAGAATCAAAGGTTGTGGCAAGCCCTAATGCTATTTGCACATCTTTCCCAAAAAGGCAATTTCGTGCCTGAGTAAAGGATGCCTTTGGATGGCCTTTCCCTTCATGACTCAGCGCTAATTGCTGCCATCCATCAAGGCAAATTGATACAGGTGCCTGGACAGCTTTTCGTTTTTTTGCTTTTTCATCATGACTAATTGGTTTTACAGCAATTCTCGTCACTTTGTTTGCTTTCTGCCCCGGGTCTTTTTTCAAAAAGTCGGATACGATGCACAGGGTGTTCAGGGCATTGAGTTATCACAGCGGAATACCAGGCAAAATCTACACTTGGAATGAGCATAACTACAAGTCCCATTAAGCCGGCCCTTGTGAATCAGGTGGCTTAATAATTAACATTCCGTTGTTTACCAGTGATTAATAGTTTAAAACGCTTCGGTGCCCAAGACTCTGCTATTTGGCTACACCTAGTCTACCTAAGTCGTAGAATACAGACACTTGTCGGCTAACAGATGCAGGTAAAATCATAGTACATCTTCAGTAACAGTTTCCACACATCCTTCGCTCTCGTATTCACTCTCATAATCACCATCTTCCTCCCCCTTGTCTTTCACCACATGATGCTGGTCTTGCTCGCTTGTTGTGTCGATGGTCCTCTGCATGAAGAACGGGTGACCACTGCGGAGATGTCGGTCATGACAAATATATCCCATGGGTGTATGCGCGATATCCTGTCCTTGACGGCGAAGAGCAAGCCACTCGTTGAGAAATGCAAGGACATTCTGAGTATCTAATGAACTCGACTGGTCGTCATCATTACCGTATCCAGCTGGGCACAATTTCTCCAGCAGCCCGTCGTAATCCGAGAAATTGAAGTAAAGGCGTCCAGCAAGAATTCCCAGTTCAAATGGCGGCCAAAGTGGAGCTTTCCATCCCGCCGGAAGCATTGGGTAGTCGTAGTACATGAGATGCGGTGCCGCGTACAGAAGTAGATGAACGCGTGGTGTTTCTGCAGCTCGAAGGAGAGGAATTACGAGTTCGGCTTCTTCGGGGATAATAACCATGGCTATTTTAGCCAACTCGCCCCAGAGAACCCAATTTACCGGACGCTTATAATTTCATTAGTTCATGATGCTGACTGAAGAGACAGGGGCTCAACTTACGGTGAAATTTTCAAGAGCCTCACCAATCCGGGTTTTGACTGTTTTCAAAAAACTCAACAGAGGTGTACAGTTAGCTAAGCAGCATACTTGGACCAATTCCGTACTTGGCCCTAAGTTTGGTCATTTCTAGCGCTTTCGATGCTTTCGCGTATCCATCCTCTCCATTCAACAAGCCCGTGTTCACAAAGTTACGGATCGTTTTGTGCAGGCCAGGAAACTTCAGAGCTGGCATGCGTCAAGGTCGTTGTACTTCTCTCTCTTCTTCAACTCCAAGAGGCCCGTACCTATTGCCATGACGGATGCCTCGATCGACTGGCGGGAATGAGCGTTGAGTGATGAAGGAAGGGAAGGACAAGGCTGGGAGGAGGAGAAGGAGGAGGCAGGCAGACAGCCGAACAAAAAGCCATCACCCAGGCATCAAGCTGCCTTTTTGGGAGCAGCGTGCATATGGCAAGTCAGTCATTTTGGGAATCTTCCAGTCGTTGGCCTCCTTTTGCCAATATGCAAGCAAAGTCTTCATGCCTCGCAGTACCGTGGTAATCGCAACGTTACCGAGCTGGCTCGTCAAATAAAGGACAAGAAGCAAAAATTGATGACTTTGCATATGGAATAGAGCATGGATGATGTCTTGTCGTCTTCGCTACGCAGTTTGTCTGGTTTGTTCACTGACGAGCACCTTCCCGTTGCTTGGCTCTTCCCCGGATTGACATCCTCCCCCTCATCTTCTCATCTCCCAAGTCTACCTTCGGCTGAGCCCATATCTAGACGAAAACCAATTGACCAACGCATGGGCATATACTGCTTTCAATTTGGAGTAACACATGAAGCTTCTCAACTCGAATTAGCCCCGAGCCCCGGTCGAAAAAAAAAAAAAAAACTTTCCTGATTGTCACTGCGGACGGCAGAAACAATGACTAGCCAAGAACTACGACGGCAAGTCGTCCGAATCTACAAGGGTACGTAACCAAATTCGAACAAACAGTCTTGGTTTATTCAAATGGCATGGGTTTATTTGATATTGCTAACCCGGCTGTCATAGAATTACTCTACCTGGGCCGTGAGTATCCGCTAGGATACGACTACTTTAGGACAAGATTACATCGGGCGTTTGCCGCGAAGATGAATCTCACCGACAGCAAAGAGATTGAAGAGGGAATCAAAAGGGCCGAATTCGTGAAGAAAGGTGTGCCCTAATTCATAAACTCTGCAAGGCGGAAGCTGACCATTGGCCATTATCTATAGAAGTTGAAGCATTGTAAGTAATCCTCGTTCTCAATGCGCTGAATTCAAAAGAATCTATTGCCATTATTATCATTCCAAATGTGTATATATACAGCATCCAGCTGCTTTTGCATACTGCAAAGCACTAATTATTGCTAACACGAATTGATTGCAGATATTTTCTAAAAAAATATCGCACACTGAAACGCAGATACCAAACTCGATGATCGAATTCCATGTTCTTAAAACAAAATATACAAAACGTCCAACGCCATTTAACACCGCTTTTCATTTATTCCTTCCAAAGCGCCAGTCCCGGGTATCGTTGAGCCATGTATTCAGATTACGTCTCTCTTTGGTAAATTCATATTCCGACATGGCAGAGCTGGTGACCATTTTTTCATGGTCTTACTTACCTCTTCTGTCCCCACCAAGCGCCCACTTCGAGACACTCGCCATTAGCAAGGCCATTCTTATGCAGCAAGTCAGTCGTCATCGCAGCCCACCATCTGTCCCATTCGTCCCGACTCTTTCCACTGGCCTCCCTCAAGATTGGCTCCATTCCTTCTATCATTTGAATGATAGTTATGAGGGCTGTTTGTCGCAGAGCCAGCTGGTCGGCATTCAGCTTATTTCGCTTGCCAGTCTGCTCCCATCGTACCTCTCCCCCAAGCGGGATTGCAATGCGACGACTTCCCACGCTTTGAAACGCATCTGCCTCGGCTGTGAACGAAAGGCCGATGGTAGCGCACGGCATTGGCGTGAGTTTTCGTTTCTCGAACGCTTTTTCGACCCATGAATTGTAGTCGAGCAAATACTTGTTTTGCGCCGCAGCGAAGGGTGTCGCCGGTGAAACGGTATATGTTGCGGTATTATCGGCGTGGTTTCGGTCTTTCTCAGATAACTTTGGCGGCGGAGTAGGGTTAGGCAGAAGAGCACGGAAGACATGGTCAGAATCCCAGACTTCGAGAATGCCACCGCGCTTGAGCACACGCAAAGGCTCACCGAGAAGATCGACTTGTTGCGCCGTGGCTGATTGACAAAGACCGGCATCCTTGATGAACACAAAATCAAAATGCTCCGATGGGAAGGGCAAGCTTGACTTGCGCATATCGTGTCGGACGAAGTTCCAATCCACTCCTTTTCGGCGCAAATTGGGGGCAATTGGGACTATATCAAGCCCTGTAAACGATGCCGTGACCCTTTCAATATTATTGTTGCTGTTATCATTATTTTTATTCTGGGAGGATTCACTGCCATCGCGTTCCAGGAAGTAGTCGTGACATGCATGCGACCAAAGGCCCGAACCACACGCGATCTCCAGCACTTTCTTCGATGGCTGATTCTCCAGCTGAGGTGCGCAGAAAGGAGTACCGAAAACGCGGATAAGAGTCATCGTCCGAAGAGATTGACGGTGTATTTCGGCTAGGTCGCATGGGAGCGGGTAAGGATTGTCGGGGTCGCGGAAGTACGTGCGGTCGTTGATTCTAGTGAAGGGGTTTACAATATAGTCCAGCGCCGCAGACGGTAACGACGAGTTTGACGCAGTAGCACCGGGGCCATTGTTGTTACTGCTATTCTGGGAAGACGACGAAACTGGGTAGGTAATTTTGGTATTGTTAGCAGTTGATGCTGCGTGCCGCTCGTTGGCAAATGATTCCAAATGCGCTGCGAATAACGAAGGGTGCACGTAAGGAGCCCCCGCCATGTATGTGGAAGAACTGCTCATTCCGATGCTTAGACAGAGGACGGACGGGTGTCCGTGATCTAATAGTAAGGTCGCACGATGCGCGTTTGCGAACTCCTTCTCTAGTCTTGTCTTCTCTTCGCTAGTCCGTGTTTTGGGTTCGTCTTCTGTACGACAACTAACGTGATGTGCGTTTTGTCTGACGGGAGGAATGAAGTCGCGAAGAGGGAAATGAGAATTGATTGACCTGATACAGAGGCGCCCTCCGATTAACCGAGTTGCTAAGCATGCAGGGATATTTGGAAGACGCGAGCGAGTTATATAAGATTAAAGAGATTAAATTAAAAAGATATTAAATAATAAAGGCAATCCAGGATATACCCAGTAGGAGCGTAAGACTAGGCATTGCCCCTCCCACTGCCCAGTGCCTAGGGAGCCTGCCAATGCCAGTGCCTGGATAAGGTTGAAAACCACGCAAAACTAGAGGCCATAAGGGCTTAGAGCGATAATTATCGAAGAGACTAGTCGCAGTAGTTGGAGTTTCTGGAAAGCTGCAGTTCAGATGTTGGGGCTCGCGGTTTGCGCCGGTGCGCCGCATCCGGAAGGGAACGGGTCGATACGAACGTTGAAAATTACAGCCAAAATTACGATCGGATGCGGCAAAGCTAATTTAACGATTGCCTGAACTGGTATCGTGGTATTGTATTTTAGAATTTACGTACGAGGGCACCAACTCTCTCATGCAGTATGCCCATCCATGGGTATAAATCGATAGTCTATATTTGCCAGTGGCGATCTGACTTGGAACGTTGGGGGCGGAGAAATCTCCAGTGAGTATATAGTATATCCATGGAGTGGTAGCGTGATTTTCCGGGTTCATGTTGTGTAGTGCTTATAATTCAAAGCGTGGATAAGAGATAAGACATGAAGGAATGTAAAGCTCCGGCTCCCACTTGAATTAGGTACCCCAGAAAAAAAGCCGGCCACCGATCACCAGGACGTCGCTCTCGGGTCAAGACGCAGGGGGAAAAACGAAGAAAGTGTTCTTTTTCTTTGTCCTCAGGCCCATGACTTGGCGCTGCTGACGGACCAATGAGCATTCGAGTCCTCACCGTGGATTTAGTCACGTGATCTAACTGGATCTCCGTCGTTGGATGCAAATCGCTTTGACGAGAACAGCCAGCCAGCTGATTGCCTTCCACCGGACCACCACCCGCGCTCCTGCACCATCTCTCTCGGGCTACTGTGGCATAAGCTTTGCGGTATTGTGTGTCTGACATTTATCTTGGATCCTGTTCGGGAGCTTTGTGCTGATTTTGTCCCTTGCGCGATTCTACCGTCTTCCAGCTCATTCACCCCAACGTCTCTGACGGACTCGCTGTCTCCCGCGGTAACGATTTACTTTTGCGACGAGATACACCAGAAGACTTCCAAAAGTTCATTTCCGGCGTTGGGCTAGGTTGTGGTTGTTTGATAAAAGCACCAAGGCGATTCCACTCCGTATGAGATAGAGTAAATCTCAACTAGTCTTTGTGTGCGAAGGGAGGTTCCATCCCAGGACTCCATGTTGAAGAGAAGGCGAGAACGAGTGCGATCTCTTATTTCTATCTTCTCCGATATCTCTTCAGATTTAGAGACACCCTTTGCGAGCAATCGTCGAGCATCTTCGACCCAGCTTCCCCGCCAAGGGCTCCCTTTCCGGACTCTTCTGCCACGTTGATGGCAGATGGTCTCTATAGGTTTCAACAGCCTGGTGCCGGGCAGTTCCCTTTCCAAACGCCATTAGCACAACATCCATCAGTTCTCTTGCGGAATCACACCGGCTCTCCTCGCAGAGCGAAGCTCCTTTCCGATTCTCCAACGCCATCTCGATCCCCGCTTTTACCTTCCGATACCGTCTCAAATTCCTACAGCATGTACAGCCAAGGACACCAGGCTCAACATGCCGCCATGTTGAATGGAACTCAGGCTCATCAGCGATTTGCGATGCAAATGCCCAAGTTCCAGCATCAGAACCATCATCCCCACCATGCCCAGCAACAGCAACATCATCACACCCATCACAGTCAAGCCACACACCAACTCAATCATCAACCAAACTTCCCTACTGGCGCTTTATCAAGCACGACTCCTCATTTCACACCGAGCCATATGCAGAATGGGACACCGGGGAATGTCGAAGACGAAATTGACGACTCCATGAACGAGCACTGGCAACAACAACTACAGCTTGCAACTGAAGCCAGACAAGCAACCTCCCCCCATTACTACGCGAGGACCATTGCCCAACAGACCAAAGGCATTCAAATTGCTCCGAATCAAACAGAGGTGGCCGATAATTCCAATGACAACCGGCCCAAAGCCGCAGCCTCCAAGGACGGCCAGAGACAAGGCTGGACGGCTCTTGATTTCACGAGCCAGGGACTTCGTGCTATATCTACAGCTCTTTTCAACTACCGCTTTCTTAATAAGCTGTACCTAAGTAACAACAAACTTAAATCATTACCATCTGCCATTGGTCAACTCCGCAGCCTTACACATCTCGATGTGTCAGCTAACGAACTCACCGAACTACCTGTCGAAATCGGCATGCTCACAAATCTACGCACCCTCTACGCATTTGATAATCATATACGAGGTCTACCATACGAACTGGGCTATCTATACCGATTGGAAATGTTAGGTATCTATGGTAACCCCCTGAACGAGGCTCTGCTGTCTCAAATCAAAACCCACGGCACAAAGGCACTGATCAAATACTTGATTGAAGATATGCCTGGTATGTACTAATACGTTCTTTGAATAGAAAAGTGGAATTGGTTTTTGCTAACTCACTGCAGTGCATCTTCCCCCATCCGACCGAGATTGGATCGTTCTCGACGAGACCGCAAAGTCATCTCAAGCTCCATCGGATAAGTTTACCGTTTTGTCTTACAACACTCTGTGTGATCAATCAGCAAACCCCTCGCACTATGGCTATGTCCCGTCGCGGGCGTTGGCTTGGGAGTTCCGACGAGATCTGATTCTCAATGAGCTTCGGAGCCACGATGCGGATATTGCTTGCCTTCAAGAAATCGACCAGGGGAATTACAATGATTTCTTCCGAGAACAGCTCGCGTATAATGACTATAAAGGCGTGTACTGGCCTCGTGGGCGTGCAATGGGAATGCATGAAGAGGAGGCCAAGAGTGTTGATGGCTGCGCGACGTTCTTCAAGGCTAGCAAATACATCCTACTGGATAAGCAAATGATCAATTTCGGCCAGACGGCTGTGCGAAGGCCAGACGCCAAGGGCCAGGATGATATCTATAATCGTCTTTGGCAGAAGGATCATATTGCTGTGGTAGTGTTCTTAGAGAACCGAATGACGGGAACGCGATTGATTGTTGTCAATGCTCATCTCTACTGGGACCCAGCATTCAAAGATGTGAAGCTTATCCAGACGGCAATTCTTATGGAGGAGATTACGAAACTCGCCGAAGGTTATTCCAAATATCCACCATGCACAGATAAGACTGCTTTCCGCTTCTCCGAAGCTGAGGATGGCACGCGGGAGAACACTACACCGGTCGAGCCGGCACCATCTGTCGAGTATACATCCGGTGAACAAATTCCGCTGCTCATCTGCGGTGATTTCAATTCGGCCCCTGGTGAAGCAGCATACAATCTCCTTGCCCATGGTGGATTGACGGAAGCGCATCCGGACTTGGAGAAGCGACTTTACGGAAATCTCAGCCGTGTCGGCATGACCCATCCATTCAAACTCAAGTCTGCGTACAGCACTATTGGCGAGTTGAGCTTTACGAATTACACGCCTGATTTCACATCTATTTTAGATTATATCTGGTTCTCGTCCACTGCACTTCATGTGACGGCGCTACTCGGCGAGGTGGACAAGGAGTATCTCCAGAGCGTTCCGGGATTTCCCAATTATCATTTTCCTAGTGATCATCTCGCATTGCTGGCGGAGTTTTCAGTCAAGGGGAAAAGGGGTAAGGTTGTAGAAGCGGATTTTGGTTCATCACGAGACAGGACTTGATTTGATGTAATCAGTTGGGGTTGCATGTCAGCATATAATGAGGGCCGGTGTTGTTTTTCTTTTAAGTGTTGTGATTGATTGATTGATTGAGATGCGATTCTTGTCCTTTTTACTTTTTGTCTTTTCTCCTCGCACATTATTTCGGAATCTGCTTTTTACTTTTGTTTGTGGGTTGAATTCGTTTTTCTGTCTTCGATTCGCTTCCTCGTTCTGTGTTATGAATCCTACTTTCTCTCTCTCTCTCTCTCTCTCTCTCTCTCTCTCTCTTTCTCTCTTTCTATTCTTTTCTTTTCTACTATCACTTTCGCTACGTACCTTCAAGCATCTGCTCTATCTCCTTCCCAGGCTTCTCCCCTATTATTTGAATAACAAATTTTTTCTTATAAATCTCTGTCTCTGTGCGTGGCATGCTTTAGCTCATCCACCTGCCTCCTATCCCATGCCATTCGTTGTATCAGTTTGTCTGCCTTTTTTTTTTTTTTTTTTTCCTTTTTTTTCTTTTTTTCGTTTACAGTATTCAATGGTCGGGAATATCTCTTTTTGCTTGTCTGTTAAACTATGTATTTGGCGCGTGCCCTAAGACTCAACTTACGTATTAGGGAAGAATGGCGGAAATTGTAGGTGTTCGGTGAATATGTGTGATGTTTCGTCTTGCTTTATTTTGTGTTGTTAGCACTTTTGTTGGTAGGGATGTCAGGAAATCCCTTTGATTTATTTCTTTTCTTTCAAGTCAAGAAATATACGTATTGACCGAGGTAAGGGTTAGGACGAGATAGGATTAGGGTTGCTCCCTTATCTGCTTCTGGAGACGATCAGCTAGTCTCGTCACATGAAATATTAGCTCGCGACGCAGAACGGCTAACCATCATCATTCTGGCGTTTATCCATCCTTAGAACAACTAAAGCAAATAAGAGATACAGGAGAAAGGAGAATGCTGGCTTTCTCTGGCATCGAAAACAATCCACTCGCCAACGTCGATACAGAGAGAGCTGCACATCCTAGCATGGCTGCTGGGATTACTGAGGAAGAAGGGTCGCTGGTGCTTCCAGATGGAATCTCTCTGTATACGAAAAGCTGGAAGGTGTGTTCATAATCAACTTTCTATATCTTTGCAATGCGCGCGAGAGAGAATCTGATTCATTGTTATGCTCAAATATAGCCCGCGGGAGAACCGCGCGCCATCATTGCCTTCTACCATGGATTCAGCGACCATTGTAAGGACATGACTGAACCTAATTATAATTTGACTGTCGCGCATATATATTTACTTTTCCTTTCTGACAGGCAATGCGTTCTTTGAATTTTTCCCTAGCCTTGCCTCCTTGGGGTTTGAGGTGCGCTCTCTCGACCAGCGGTGAGCTCAATATCTGTTTTAATGTCATATTCAGATATGTGAACTGACTTTTTGGTACAGAGGATGGGGTCGATCCGTCACCTCCAACCGCAAACTCCGCGGTGATTTTGGATCAACACCTACAGTCATGGCCGATCTTCATTTCTTCCTCCGGTCTCTCGTCCCTTACACCAAAGAGAGCTCCATCCCCTTGTTCCTCATGGGCCACAGCATGGGCGGAGAGAACTCATTGTACTACGTGCTAAACCCGGAATCACCATATTACAAGACACCAACAACCAAAACCTCGTCTCCAACAAGTCAATTCAAACTAGCAGGTGTCATTGCAGCCGCGCCCTATATCAGCTTGCATCCGGCGACACAGCCATCCAGGCTTTTGGAAATTTCAGGCCGGATTGCGCTAAGGATTTTGCCAAAGATGACCCTGAAGCAAGGAGTGGATGTAAAAAATGTGTCGCGGAATCCGGCTGTGCTTGAGAACGTTGAGAGAGATAATGGATACTTGTTCCATAAGACTGGGACCCTGGAAGGGTTTGCTGGCATGCTGGATCGAGCGGCTTGGTTGAATGGGTTGCACACTAAGAAACAGAAGGATGTTGTTAGTGATGGCATTGCTGGGAACGTTCCGCCTTTATGGGTCGGCCATGGCACGGGGGATCGCGCGACTTGGTTCGAGGCGTCGAAGCGGCTAGTAGAGTCCTTGGATTATGTTGATGATAAAACCTTCAAGTCGTATGAGGGTGCGTATCATAAGCTGATGAATGAGCCCGATGGTGTTGGGGAAGAGATGACGAGGGATGTAGCAGAGTGGATTGAGGCGCACATTTCCCAGGCTGATGGCGCTTGATACTTGGGTCACCAACATCAGACCAGCCAAATCATTTGAGAGATATAGTACATTGGGTTTCGGGGTCTATATATAATACACGATATCTAGGTACATTATGATGACTCTATTGTACAATTTTAATTTCTTTTCTTTGGCGAATCTTCAATTCTCCGCCATATTCCAACAAATCCACCTCCTACAATCCTGGACCCAACTTTTGGTCTGCACACCAGCACATTGTCCTCCTCGACAGGCGTGGGAGTGATTGCCGACTCGGAATCTGTTTCCTCCTTTCCGGTTTGTGTTTGTTGCGCTTCAGTGTCGTCTTCGCTACTGCGACCCTCCGTTGTCCATGTATTTGGGTCTGCGCGACTCTTTTTGACAGCCAAGCGAACGTCCCACAGACGACCACTGCTTAGTCCCATGCCTAGTTCGACAACTCTCTCCATAACGAATGGGAGCTGTTCCTTCTGAATGAGCTGCACGCAGTCGCCAATCTGAGTTATGCTCGGCATGAACACGGCTAACAGACCGTCCCGGCGCAGGACGGGCGCTACATGCGGTATTCTTAGATGTGCAGAGGGCATGTCCAGGATCGCATAAGACAAAAAGGGCTGGACGGTGTTCTGTCGCCTGCTGAAAATCCCCGACGCAGTGGCGCTCCGACGCTGCACCTGATCCTTGATCCAATTCTCGACTGCGCCAACGTGGAAATCTATGTTGCCGGCATATATGCCTCGTCGAAACCCACGGACTGTCTGTTCTGCGTGTGCCGAGAACTTCGCCGAGACGTCGACGGTATGGATGACGGCTCTTCGCTGAGCGCGCCATTCATCCCAGGTTTTCTGAGCAACGAAAACATCGTCTTTTTCGCTAATTGGTTTTTCTTCTTGCTGCTGCTTCCCATCTTCTGCTTTGTATGATGGGCGTTCTTCGAGTATGCGGACTTGCGATGCTTGTGGTATAGGTGGTGGGTTCGTATTCGCAGCCTGAATTGCTCGCGCTAGGTGTAGAGTGAGAGAACCATGGCCAGTGCCTGCCTCTAGAATTTCCAGGGGCTCTGTTTCTGTGTCTCCCTGGCCTTCCGTGGGAGGGACCACGTGGATATCAAGCAATGATACAATCAAGCTGGCATCTGCTCCGTATATCTACTAGTCCACAAGTCAGTTTCTGAACCTAATCTCATGCAGTGTATTCAGAAAAAAAAAAATCGAAGTGGATCGTACCGGCGTGACGAGTCTCGGGGTAAAAACAACATATTCATCCAACGTCGGAAAGCTCAGTCGGTGTTCCTTTCCTAGGAATCAACTTCTGTTTAGCTTCAGAATTCTTTCTTTCTTCCAGACAACTATGACCAAGTCGATCAAATACCTTTCTCTGCCTGGATAGGGTCTCTTGCCCGTTTGCCTATGATATCGCTGTGATTGAGATAGCCACGCGCAACGTCGGTGCGCTTTCCGTGTTGAAGCGGTTTCGTAAGATAGGGGACGCGTCCTTGAATAATAGCCCTGTCGCCTTCTGTTTGCCAGAAAAGAAGTTAAGTAAGCTTGTCTGGGTTTCCGGGGTTGGGAGAATGGGGAATAGATACCTCGAAAAATAGTGAAGTCGGTATCAATGGATCGAGAAAACGAGCTCGGGGCCGGAGAGTTTGCAGTGATGCCTAAGATGCGACGGAAGGACTGGAGAAGACGAGCCATCCCATAGCAGGACTATAGCTTGCAGATAAATAACATATGAAGATGTAGAGTCGTCAGTCGTGGAGCTTGAGGAACGGTTTTTATTTTTTGGAGACGCGCCGATATGGAATAAATTCCGCTTTGCGGCCGGTTTGGTCACAAGCTTACAATACACGGATACGCAATTACACGGTATCGTAAGATAGTCATAGTTCGCAACGTATGATTGGCTGGTCCTGGTAAGTCTTGTCACGCAAATACAGCATGGTATAGGATCATTCAATTCAATAGCACATACCGTAGTGACAATGGACAATCCTACTCTCTGATCGCTGGTCGAGCCATTCTTTTGCGTTACTACAGTATGAATATGGATTATCGGCGAATTAGATTGCGGGCGCATTGCACACGGAGCCCCGCATACCTCGTGCCCCTCTAAGCCCTGTCTCTACACCGGCCTGCAGTCCGTCTCTCAAAATCTTTTGCTGTCTTTCTTTCTTGCTTGCTTCTTCAAGTTTTTGCACATACTTTTGTCTGTTCATATCTCGACTCCCACGAATTGACTCATTCCTTTGCAACTTGGACAATATTACTGAATATGGGTTCCATCGATCAGTCCGCCCTGCCCTACATCCAAACCAACCCCAAGATCATATTCTTCACAGATTTCGATGGGACAATCACCTTGAAAGACAGTGAGTTGACCCTATCGACCGCTTTCATGTCTAATGCTTAGACTAAACTGTACATTTCATTCTAGGCAATGACTTTCTGGTACGCGCTCGCTCGTTCTCGGGATGATAACCATGGATTTTAAGCCGTCCCTAACAATCGCGAAACTTACTTAGATCGAGAATTTGGGATATGGCGTTGAGAAGCGGAAGGCAAGAAACGAGGATGTTCTCACAGGCAAATCAAGTTTCCGGTCGGTCTACAAACACTCCTTAACCAACCTCACTGTCTTCCTCGAGCTCATCATACATACCCTCTGTTCAGGGATGCATTCCGTGAGATGTTGGACAGTGTCAAACCCGGATTCGCCGAATGCATCCAAGTTTTGAAGGACAACATGAAATTGGATCCTTACTTCACGGAATTCTATAACTGGGCCAAGGAGCACAACGTACCGATCGTGGTGGTCTCGTCAGGCATGGTGCCGATTATTAGTGGGCTGTTTGAAGTTTTGCTCGGCCACAAGCCCGACCCCAAACACCTAACCATCGTCGCCAATGAGGTCGAGAGCCGTGATGGCAAGGATATCAACACCCCGGGAGGCTGGCAGATCAAATATCACGATGAGAGGTACTGAATAACTTATTGATATTGAACCTTGATTCTGATTACTTACTTTGTCCCTTTAGTCACTTCGGCCACGACAAGTCTCTGGAGATCAAGCCATACGCTGCCCTGCCGGCTGACAAGCGTCCGACCCTTTTATATGCCGGTGACGGGGTGTCTGATTTGTCCGCTGCTGCAGAGACTGATTTGCTTTTCGCGAAGAAAGGACATGGTAGGAGATTTTTCCTTCTTCTTTTTTCCTTTTCTTCTACTTTCTCTAACCCGTTCTGTCATTCTAACGGTCGATAGATTTAATCCGGTTTTGTGAACGCGAGGGCATGCCGTTCACCGTTTTCGAAGACTGGTCTAGCATCCTTGCCACAACCAAGGACATCTACGAGGGCAAGGTCTCGGTTAAGAGCGTTGCAGAAGCAGGACTAGAGAATGCTCAGTGAGGAAAGGCTGCTGTCTAAGGATTTTTGAATAGATCAAGCAGGCTATCAGTGATATAGAGATAGTTGCAGCGAGATAGGCGGGTGCTATTATACATAGATTCCAGATACCTAATATAAGAATCCCCTTTATGTTGTTTCGTAAAGTTACACGTGTATTAACAGGCTCAATGTTACGCTTTTCGCAAATATATGCAAACATATCTGGTGGATTAGCTGTGATTGGCCAATGTCGGGCAGCCCGTACCACGTACTGTAATACTGATACATCAAGGGATAAAATACAGACTAACCCCAGAAAAGCTTGTTTGGCCGATCGGCAGCGCTCTGGGGCTCCTTCTGTCTGCGCTCCTTTCCACCCGAACACTCGACTATTCACTATTTCACTTCATATGCCTGGCCCCTGCTATACTCCCTAGTACAGGCCCTGACACGCTTGCAATATGCTTGCATGCTTGCCTTCCTCTGGATGATACTGACAGGTTGCCGATCTCCTCATTTCGACGGTGGGTGAAAGGCCAAATATGACTCGCCGCATAGTGAGTTCTCCGACCTCCGTATTTCTTTTTTTTTTTTTTTTTTTGCCTTTTCTTTCGTCTCCATTGGACATATTCAGGTAGAGCAATTTGCTTACTTTATTTTGTGCAGGTCAGGACGGGAGTGCAGCTTAGCTCCGTCGGTTTCCTCATCTTCCTCATCATCCTCCTCCTCGACAAGCAGTTTCGCGTCCTACCGAATTCCATCCATGGACATCTCCCCACTCATCACCCTGGCCTTGTCGTTACCGACGTTACCATTGTCACTTGTTCTTCAGTGAACCCCTTCTCCAGTTGTACCCTTGATCCGTCGGTTTGGTACCGGGTCGACAAAGATCTCTACTTGGGTAATACATGGACATCATCCGCCTATGTGCACTTTCAGAGAAAGCGGGAAGAGGAGCTTCTCGAAACTGACAAAGTCGTGGTTGACCTTCGTGTCAGCAGGTTCAACCCGGGTCTCTTGAATTCGAAGATAAACAACCCAAGGGGGGATGTTCCCAATGCCGCTGATTCGAGTGAACTTGATTGGGAATCAAGGCCTGGAGGGATCTGGATAAGGCGCAGCTCTGAGCTCCATGTTAGCGATGCAAAGACCACTCTTACATCGGTCGATGTCCTGTTTGGAGCTGATGTTGTCGACCCCCGTCCGCAGTGGGAGGTCAAAGATACACCCGTGCTTCTGAACAGTCTAACAGAATTGGCGGAAGCGCGGATCTCCGTTCGTCGGGGGGTGCCACCGGTTATCAAGAAGCCCGAACTTCGAATCAATGACAATGAGCGTTTTAAGATTATGCAAGCTGCAGATTTGCATTTGAGCACAGGCACGGGACATTGCAGAGAGCCAGTCCCCGAGGAGAGAGTACCTGGAGAAGCTTGTGAAGCGGATCCGCGTACCCTGGAATTTGTCGAGAAACTCCTGGACGAGGAGAAGCCTGATCTCGTGGTGTTCTCGGGGGACGAAGTTAATGGGGAAACGTCTAAGGACGCTCAGAGCGCTATATTTAAATTCGTCAAGCCGCTTGTCGATCGGAAAATCCCATATGCCGCTATTTTTGGTAACCACGACGATGAAGGAAATCTTAACCGAGAAGAAATTATGGCTATTCTTGAGGGCCTTCCATATTCTGTATCATCGGCTGGTCCGGATGATGTGGACGGGGTGGGGAATTATATTGTGGAAGTGATGGGTCGATCAAATTCCTATCATTCTGCGCTGACGATATATCTCCTTGATACTCATTCATACTCACCGGATGAGCGCCAGTTTCGAGGGTATGATTGGCTCAAACCGAACCAGATAAAGTGGTTTCGGAGTACTTCTCAGAGTCTAAAGAAGAAGCATGATCAATACACTCATATGCATATGGATATGGCATTTATTCATATTCCGCTACCGGAATATCGCGAAGATACGAATAGTTGGAAAGGCAACTGGCTTGAACCACCGACAGCGCCGGGTTTTAATTCTGGATTTATGGATGCTCTCGTCGAGGAGAATATTTTGTTTGTGAGCTGTGGACAGTAAGTTAGCATTGGAATTTTTAGTCTGAGATCCAACGACTGACCGCTTCATAGTGACCACGTCAATGACTACTGCATGCTCAATCGTGACATGAACGATAAGCCCAACCTGTGGATGTGCTACGGAGGCGCCTCTGGATTTGGCGGCTACGGGGGCTACGGGGGGTATGTTCGGCGTATGCGATTTTTCGAATTCGACATGGGACCCGGCCGAATCGTGACGTACAAACGTCTCGAGTACGGCGATACAGAGTCGAGGATTGATGAAATGATGATTGTCGACGCAGGCCAAGTTCGAGCTTGATGTATTTTCTTACTTTTATATTATACTTTTTGGAAGCATTGCGGATGCGAGAAAAGGAAGTTATCGATTTTATAGTATACCCGGTGATAATTTTTACTCTTGTGGAAAGAATCTGCTTTGATTGTTGAAGACAAGGTGTGTTTTCATAGCGATGAATCATCTCATCTCTTATCTCCATATTAAGTAGTACATGTATGATCACGATGATTTAATAAGAGAAGGGAAGTGAAGCAGCTGTTTGCCGTTACTTATTAACTTATACAATTTTTACCACCATTTCTCATACAAAACCCTCTCCTTACCCACAAGAGTCTCGAGATACTGCACGAATTCATCCGTCATTGGCGGTGGTCCACAGACATAACACACCGTGTCTTCGGCGACACTCTTACCATCACCATCGCGCTGCGAGGCTGTTGCATTATTGAGATCATCTTTATTAATACGTCGATTGTGCACGCGGATTGTCCTACTATTGTTACTGTTGGCTAGAAAGTCTGTGGCTGGAGGAGATGATGATGAGGAGGAGGAGGAAGTGTTTGTTAGGAAAAGGTTGAGGGTTAGTTTGATGTTTGATGGGTGATTTGCGTTGGTGAGACGCTGCGCGATGTTGCGTAGTCGCGGCAGGAAGAGGATTTGTTCAAGTATCGATCCGTCATGCTGCTGTGGTGACGTCTTGTTGTTTGTTGGGAGGCGGGTTGTGTATAGAAAATCGATGTTGAGCGGGTGCTTGGGAGATGTGTCTGGTAAGGGGACCGTGGAGTTTTGTTTTGGTTCGGTCAGATGTGAAAGAATAGATATAAGGGGGCTGGTTTTGACCAGGGTGTTAGATTGGGACACGAGCATAATATAGTTATATAGTTAACTAGTTAACTAGCACGTCGGAGTGATGAATGATAACTCACTTGATCCCAACACCCCCAGCAACGAACACAACCCTGCGTATCCGATCCATAGATAGGGCAGCAGGAGGCCACACAAAGCTCCCACCAACGCGCACTTTCAAATCCTTCCCCAAAATTTCCGCACGAGGCCGCCAGAGCCATGCGGCAGATGGGTTGGCAGGGGAGTCCTGCACCGCTAGTTCTACATAAGGGTATCTTCCATCCGAGCCTGCGGATGGCACCCCAAACTCACCCTGCTGATGCAGCAGCTGCTCCGTTCCATCTTGGATGATGGTCGGATCCGGAGCTGGGAGTGGCTGGGCATCGGCTGGAGTAGACGTAATGGTGAATCCCCCTGCTTGGGAGATGCCGGGGATGTGAACATCGAGCCATTGCCCGGGGAGAAAGGAGAAGTCCTCTGGGGGGGGAATTTGTTCGTCGGACTACATACAGACAGTATGCACGATAAGCCATCGGTCACCTCTAGTCTCAAGGAGAGAACGTACTGTATCTTCGCCTAGCGGCACTTCGGGGGTCAGCGAGAGCCGAAGCAAGCGGACGGACCGGTTGATCTGTTCGATATGCGCCAGGCGGACTGTGTGAAGCTTGTTCTGTCTCGGCTCAGCGGCTGTGCGCGTCTCATGGGGAAGCGAGTCCTTCCGCGGAGCCATGCTTGCTGCAAGCCAGCGAGGTCGGAATTCGGCTGGCCGCTTTGTCTTCGTGTTCCTGAGGACTGGCTGCGAGAAGCTACGTAGACTGCGCCCGGACAGAGCGTGAAGCCTCAAATGTGACATGGAGAAGCGTGATGGAGCAGAAGAGACGAGGTCAGGTCCCCGGGGGGGGGATGATGACGTTGTGCATACGACTGACTGATGGAGGTGACGGGACAATACATAACATACGGGTAAGAAACGGAGACACGCATACTCGGACGGCACATTTTACAGAGCAAGTACGGTTTTTTTTTTCCCTTTTTTTTTCTTTTTTTTTTTCTTCTTTTCTGTATTTTCTCTTTGTGAATAATTGTGAATTGTGAATGGGATAGCTGCAGCAGACCATTTCCCAGACAAGACAAGACAAGATACATACCATACTACTACTGAAGAGACTTAGGAGATAGACACTAGAGCCCTCGCCCGCTGATTGGCGGGCTGGGTGATCTACGCGCCCTGATCCATCCGGAGAAGGAGCGAGTCTTTCTTTCCTCCTCCAACCTCCAACCTCCAACCTCCCTCCATTCACCAGCTAATGCACGAGCTTCAACCCTGGCCAAAGAAAAACTCCTGTGCTACTTAGCGCCCTCGGTGCATAGCGTTGCGTACGATCAGTGGCACCGGTCACACAATGGGCTCCCGACGTCCTATCCACGCCATGCCATAGGCCGCAGTCGCAGCGTAGGCGGTTTTGTCTCTGCGTCGTTCCAGCTGCAGAGTGCGGCATAGCGCACGCACGCCTCGGGCCAATCCCCCATTAGCAGCGAGGGGACAATCTGCAGAGGAAGACAGGCCGCGGCGCTAAAATGTGATGAACTGCAGCAAAAAGCGGTGTTGGCCGTCGTGATTGGCCGACGCTGCACGTCCGTCACATCTCCCGCTCGCCGTGTCCCCCTCCATGGACGACAAGAACGCTCTTCTCAACGCCGACTGGTCGCCGAGTTATAGCACGGCGCTTACGGAGAAGACAGGCACATCTGCCCATGGCTGGGTCCAGGAAATCCCTCGCCGGATCTTCCTTTAAGAGTGGGCATCACCTGCCCTCCTGCTCATCTGTTTCAAAATTCCTTGAAGGGGCATGAGCTGGAAGCCAGCCGGACTGGCTCAAGGGACTGCGTTGTGCGTGTGAAGTTGCTTACTTATTCTCAGAGAGCCTTCTCCATCCACACCCGTCCAACCTCAAGCTTCAAGTGCTTCAGCCGGACTAGCAATCAATACCTTGCTTGCCACCATGGTGTTCATCCCGCGGTTGTATAAGAACCACTATTTGGCTCTGTACTTGATGATCGCCGAATTCCCCTTTGTCATAGTCATCCTCGTCCTGACCGGCATTGCTTCACACGATACATATACGACAAAGCTATGGCAGGATGGAGCAAACAACGGCTTCAACAGTGCACCCAATCAAATCGTCTATGCTTTGACAAATGGTCGGTCTTACAAAGTGCCAATCGTATGGAGTTCGCTGTATGTTCAATCTTTCTCTTCCTGTCAGCAATCGCACGAACAACTAATCCGTCTCAGTTTGTATAACTATGATCTAGTGATTGGAGTCCTCAGCACCTTCCTTTTATTGGTCAAACTTCCTGTTCATGTCCTTCGGTTCTTTTATCCTCCAGTAGGAGCCTTTGTAAACGGCGCTTGTTTTATACTCTACATCGCTGCTGCATGCTTTCAAGCCGGCTCCGACACATCGGATCCTCATCACCTTCAGAAGGGCGCACCATGGTACATTACCAAGTCATGCAGTGTCGCTTATTATCCAAGCAACGTCGGATACTGTGAACAGGCAAAAGCGCTCTTTGGGTTCACAATCATGGTTATCATGCTGTATTTCGCCGAGACCGTGCTAGCAATAATGTCATGTTTCAGCACCAAAGCGGAGCGAGAAGCAGTTCGACAGCGCCGGCTAGAAAAACGCGAAGAGAAGGATGCCGAAAACCGTGCCTTGCGCGAGTACGACGAGATCATTAACTCGCCCATGTTCCCTCCACCAGCGATGCCGAACGCTATATATACTCCAGGACTTACAAATCCTATGGCTTCACCCTACCATCAATCCCAATTCTTCCAGAGTCAGTCACAATTCCAATTTCAATCCCTGAATCATCCATCGCCCTCTACAGCGAGTGACTTGCCTTTTCGAAATTACGACACGCCAAAATCGTCCAGTTTTACTGCCGGCGCTCGTGTTTCGGTCAACGTCTCGGAGGTTAGTGAGCAGCAAGACCAAAAACAACAACCCTACTTCCCACCACCGCCTAAAAAGGCTACCGATTAATGACTCTGCACAAATTCTATTCATTCCAACCGCTGCTACTATATCTTCCAATACAGTGTCGGGTTAGATATATGTTCAGGTATTCCGTTTTTGTGCCAGGAGGTTTGAACATTTACACAAACCAGACCTTCACTTTTGATCATTTATGCGCAAGAATCTTATTTTTGGGGGCTTACTTGATATCATCTCAATCCTTTATTCTGATGGCGTTACTAGGCTATGATTCATGTTTAATACTCATGCTCTCCGGCATTTACAATATCAACCACCATATATAAAATCTAAAATTCTTAATAAACCCAAGTACTTAGGTAGATAGATGCCTTTTCCCTATCCTGTTTAGGAGATCTGGCGAGCGGAGGTACTTTGCTAGATGTGAAAAGCACATCAACATCTTCGTCCACAGTTTTACATTCTGTCAACACAAGTAACTAACATAATGATGTCCACGCCAAAACCGAATTGGCAAGCTACAGAAATTATTTATTTTTTTTTTTTTTTAAAAAATTCTTCTATTCATTTACGGACATAACGTGATCAAACATGGTATATATGACATATATATGTGGTGCTCAATGGACTTCATGAAAGAAAGTCAGTAAACCACAAACCGAAAAAAAAAAGGACATGCATCAAAACATAAAGTGGTATTTATCGTTCCAGGGGAGAAGGGGACAAAATGTGCCCCAGAAATATAAGCAAAATGGGAGGAAGGGTTGCCCCGGGGGGGAGGAAGGGGAAAGATGATGGTCTAAACTTCAACGGTCTGTAAAGGCACATATCCTTCGTCTTCCCGGGCTTGTTTCGACTGCTTGCCAAAGACGAGTTTCGTAAACATGAAGCGAAGACGGGATATGGTGCCGCGGCGTCTGTTGTTGGTGGCAACAAAAAAGTCAGAGCTGAATGGACTCGTTTTCCATCGCGAATCTCGGCGTGATGATTGTGATAGTCCCATAGCTGCATCGTTCTCTAGTTGTTGAATGTTCAGCCACTTGGGACGCTTCCAGAATTTGAGTAGAAGACTGCTTCCTACTACGGAAACGCTGGATGCTGCCATGGCCGCTCCAGCGGCCATGGGGGGTAGCGGTGCTCCGCCAAAGGGGAGGGAAACGCCCATGGCGAATGGGAGTCCGATGACGTTGTAAATGCAAGCCCAGATTAGGTTCATTCGGATGCGGTTGAAGATGGTGCGAGCGAGAGAAAGGCTTGCTGGGACAGCGAGGAGATCGTCTGGTCGCATGAGAACGACATCGGCAGCTTCCATAGCTACATCGGTGCCGGAGGCGAGTGCGATTCCGACTAATGCAGTTGCGAGGGCTGGTGAGTCGTTGATGCCATCACCAATCATCGCCACATGGTCACCGGAGGCTTGGTAGGATTCGATGATTTCCTTCTTTCCACTAGGCGCTACTCCTGCTTTAACAGAAGTCCCCGGTATTCCAAGAATGCGAGCAACTGCCAATGCAGCAGGGTAGGTATCACCTGTAACAATTGACACATGATAGCCCATCTTATAAAGAGCCGCAACGACTGCTACTGCGCTCGGCTTGAGCGCGTCTCGCAACGAAATAGTACCTGTGTAGTGCCCGTCGATGGCGACATGGATGTGTGTGAAGCCAGCAGATTCGTCCATTTTTGGTGCAGCAGAAGAATCATTTCCATCAAATGTAGTTGTCGTGGGGTCAACTGAGTCAGGGACAGTAACTCCATTGGAACGGAGTAGTATGGCATTACCGATCAAAACACGATACCGAGTTCGCTCGACACTTGATGCGGGTTCTACAGTGGCTGATATACCTTTGCCAACCGTCACATCAAAGGTGCCTATACTTCCATCTAAAGGTTCACCATCGGCAATCCCCATCTCCTTTCTCGCCGCCGCGACAATAGCCCTTGCTACTGGGTGTTCGCTATTGGTTTCAGCAAGCCCAACAACTTGCCACCAGAGCTTACGGCGCCAATCGTTGGACTTCCACGTAGGCTCCAAGTTTGTTTCGGCAACGCTCATTTTACCCGCCGTGAGAGTTCCGGTCTTGTCAAAGACAACGTGATTGACTTTGGTGGCGGCTTCCAGAGCAGCACCGCCCTTGAAAAGAATACCGTGTTCTGCGCCAACTCCGGTGCCTACCATGACGGCAGTGGGAGTACTCAATCCCAGGGCACAAGGGCATGCAAATACAATGACGGAGATACACAGCTTGAGACAAACCATGATCTTCCCGCCGTTTTCTGGCATCAGGAATATCTTCGGGGGATGGGGCATTACTTGACTGAGGATTATCCACCCGACAAACGTGGACAGTCCTAGCGTAATAATGATAGGAACAAAATACCCAGCAACGGTATCCGCCATGCGCTGGATTGGAGCACGACTTGTCTGGGCATTCTGGACCAACTTAACAATTTGGCTTAGTTGGGTGTCGCTACCGGCACGGGTCACTTTGAATTCAAGGGAACCAGCACCGTTGACAGTACCAGCAATGACAGCATCGCCTTTCTTTTTGCTGATAGGGCGAGCCTCTCCGGTGATCATACTTTCATCAACGTAACTTGTCCCTTGGGTGACAACTCCATCAGCGGAGACCTTGTCACCTGGTCGTAAAAGCACAATATCCCCAACTTCTAGGAGTTCAGTCGCCACGACTTTCAGACCAGCCTGTGCCGTTTGCTGCGCTCCACTATTGGAGTCTTTTTCATTCCATTCCTCGGCTGCTTTTTCGGCTGCTATAGGGTCTTCGTAAATAGTAGCCATTGAAGGAGCTAGAGACATCAATCGAGAAAGAGCTTTTGATGTCTCGCCCTTTGCCCGATTTTCCAACCACCTTCCAAGAGTGATAAAGGTTATGAGCATGGTGCTTGTGTCAAAAACCGTACTCGGGCGACTATCCGAGCCGCTGAAAATGGCAAAAAGCATAGTAAAAACGCTGAAGAAGAAAGCTGCAGAAGTTCCCAGCATGACGAGTACATCCATCGTCGGAGATCGGTGCTTCAACGATTTGTAACTACTTTTGTAAAAGCGCTTGCCGATACCGAATTGAACCGGTACTGTGAGACACAGAGCAACGAGATCACCCAAGTAGAGACCTGGGAAAATGCGAATATTGCCGAAATTGAGAAACTTCGGGCCCATGGGCAAAAGCATTGTGATGAGAAATACAGGCACTGCAAAGGTGAGAGAGAACAAAAATGCTCGCTTCCATTCTTGAATTTCCTTTGTCTTTGCAAGAGACTCTAGTTGAGCGTTGTTATCTTCGGACTCAGACACTAACGCGTTATAGCCTGCCTCTTCGATGGCTTCCACCACAGAACGGATTCCAAGCGCTGTAGGATTGTGTACGATAGTTGCACGAGAAGTCGAAACATCTATTGAGACCGAACATATTCCATGCTTTTGCCTGAGTTTTTCCTCCAAGGCCGATGCAGAGGCAGAGTCATCCAACCCGTACAATGTGAGCCGAAGCGACTTCGTTGTCTTTTGAGCGACTCCCATATGGGGAAGAGAAGATAATACACGGGCGTCAAAGCCTACATCCTCAACCATGGAAGCAATTTTCTCGGATGATACAATCTCTGGATTGTGAACTATGACGGCGCGTTCGGCAAGCAGACTGATATCAAATTGAACTATGCCTTCGACATCATTGAACGCATTGGACACGCTTGATGTACAAGCGCCACATGTCATACCTTCTATTGCTACAGTCGTAGACAGCAATTGTGTGGAATTTTCAGATGTTTGCCTTGCAGCAGGTTCGGCTGATTTCGTGTCCAATATAGATGCGCCAAACCCCCGGTCCTCAATTATTTCGGCAATTTGACTGGCAGTCACAACAGAGGCATCGTGCTCAACGACTGCGCGTTCCGAGAGTAGTGAAACGTTGACAGACTGAATACCAGCGACGTCTTTCAGTCCGCCTTCGACAGCGGAGGTGCAAGCACCGCATGTCATTCCTTCTATAGCGATAGTTGTCACGGACGAGGAATTCCGCGACGTATCTCCCTCACCAGGTATTTGAGGCATGTCTGTGGATAGGACCTCGGCGTCAAACCCTCGGTCTTCTATCAACTCCGCGATTTTATTGGGAGGCAGTGCATTTGGATCATGGTGAACGACAGCCCGGCCCATGACCAAGCTGACAGAAACCTCCCCGGCGCCTTGGACGTCCTTGATTGCGCTTTCTACAGCAGACGTACAGGCACCGCAGGTCATGCCGCCTACTTTGACTGTCGTTGTCGCCATATGGAGAGCGCCGTCGGTAGACGATATTGCAGCGGCCATGTCGCTATTGTGCTGCCCTTTCTATTTTTTTTTTTTCAATATCGGAGGAATCTGGAAGGCACAATAAAGGCCAGATTTAGTGTATCAAGCCCGGTGTCGCGGCGCAGTTTTGTCGGTAAATTGCAAGCGTCGCAAGGGTCGGCAAGGAAGGGGGCAAGAGGTTTCAGTAGGAGTCGAGGGCAGGACCTAATTACAGGTTTCGCAAGGGCATCATGGTGTAGCTCGGACAGGGCAAGACTACTGGCCGCGAGTAGTCTGGGTCGTGGTATGATATCTGAGGGGAAAGGACAGCTGAAAGGTCACATAGTGAGCATCATAAGTTGCATTAGTTAAAACGAACTAGTTTTCATTAGTTGGCTAGTAGTCGGTGGTGGAATGGGACAGATGCGCAACTTCTTGGTAAGCATTTGCCATGCAGCCTGGCATTCCGCGTCACGTGATACCGACGCCAGGAATCCCCGGAATTAGCGGAGGGCCGAATATTGGTGGCTTTATACATGAGTATAACTAGTTAATCATTGGCGACTATTTAATCACAAGCTCTCTATTTCTCATCTGCCGCCACCTTCTTCTTCTTGTTGCTCGTCTTCCTGGCCAACAAGAGGCACAAATCTGAAATCAACAAAGCTAACATTTCTTGGATATGCAACTCCTGCCACACCAGCCTCACTCGTCGCTTTTCCATCACTTCCAAGCTCGATCATGAATTGTAGACTCAGCACACCCTGGATATCTCCTCGTATACTCACTTTCGTCGCAGCAGCCATGGCCCGAGCTGCTTTACGGATGAGCGCAAACCGGTAGCTCTCCTTAACAAGGGGTCCCATCGTAGAGGGAGGGTTTACTTGGAATGTCTCAGTAACTGCGGGAGCGAGCTTAGCTCTCTTAGATGCTATCGGACCATTGTCGCCAATGGATTTGTAGTGTGTATCCCCTTCGATAGTTTCGTTTTCTGTTGAGAATGTAACGCTAGATTCGCTGAAGGGTCCCCCCGAACTAGAGAGTGTGAGAAATGGTGCTTTCTTTGAAGAGGCTGAGATGGTGAGAACAGTTGGAGTCGTGGCGTCCAGTTCACTGATAGCGTTGTACAGCCATGAGGAGCGCATGATGATCTTCATCACTATCGCATCACGTTGGAGTGGTATATCGACCTCGCCAGCGGCTGAACCAAATGTAGGATCATCTGATTCATAGGTAGTGAGTTCGCAAGTTGTCGTAACCCCAGATTCCGAGAGCGTGATGCAAAATGGGCTGCCGACATCTGAGTATTGCAGTGTGCAAGACCGACCGAGTAACAGAGCTGGGTTAGTGAATGCGCCGGCAGGAGTATTTTGTATAGCGGCGTTTGGGAAGGAAGGGACAGAATTGGTATCACTGATGCCGAAGATCTGAAGCGTTTCCAGGAGAGCAGTAAGCGAAATTAGAAATTGAGGGTACGCAGCAGGCTCTTCATCGTCTGGGTTATGGTCGTTCCGGGTTTGAGAACCCCCGGCAGTAGGAGTTGAATTGAAAGTGTAAGTTGTGAAGAGGGCTTTGTCCAGAAAGACAAGTCCTTGCATAACTCGGCTCTCCTCTACGGAAAATCGGATTCCATCGGGAGTGATCTGAACGCGAGCTTTCTGGGCGAATCCGATACAGCGTAGGAGAGTGTAGAGGTCATAGGCATTGTTCGAAATGGAAGAGAATATAGGTTCCATCTTGGTGGTGGCGGGAGTGAGGTCGACACGAGAACTTCGGGAGACGAAGTTCGATTAAAATAAAGCTGCAAGTTGAATTTTAAAACAAGTAAATGTACATCTCTAGCAGTAGGGTCCCCTCATCGTTCGGTTATAGTACATTATCATGCGTGACGGTGGAAGGATGTTTCGAGGAGCTAAACGTAGACACCAACTGCACAAATCATGAACACGGCCCCAAAGCTTTTATCACATCAGCAAAGAACCTAAGACTATATCGGAGAGTGCGTATATGGAGTTTGCATACCCAAATGCAAGAGATGCTGGCAGACCGAGCAGAGGAATGTTCACCAGTGAGCGATCTATGATTGATTAGTGACAAATTGGCAAAGAAATCGGAAGTGGCGAGCTCACTTAAACCGAAGAGACCCGTCAAAAAAAGAGCTAGCAGATTCATTAGCGACCAATTTTAATGGTTATGTCAACGTCCCTACCAATGAAGAGTAAAGAAAAGCCGATAGTGAATTGGCTCTCCTTTGGCACAATCGGGTAATAAGGAGCTTTAGATGCCTCCCAGAGATCGTTGAGAGACATTGGGCGTTGTATGCAAACAGAGGTATTGAGTACACGGATTGAAATCAGAATATGAACCAGGAAATGGCAGCTCTCGACCTCAGTTGATGCTCATCTGTCTAGCAAACGCGGACGACAACAAAGTAATAGTAATACACAAGCTGTCCTCTTGGCGCCGGATAATAGTATTCCCGGAGATTAATCTCCGGCGCTAGGTCCGGGGTCGCGCTCGATTCGAGGTGGCGTCACTTCAATCCATCAGTCTTTCATTCGTTTTCATTCACACATCATGTCATCAGTCAGCGAAGGTAAGCCCAGGTGACTCAATGATTATTTGCTGGCTTGACCCAGTGCCCAGATTCTGATGGCTCCCTAGATATGAAGCGCAAGGCTTCGGAAGAAGCTGATACTCCCGATTCCAAACACCAGACCAAGAAGGCTCGGACGGAGTCTCCCAATGAGATCAAGGTATGTATAACTTCGGTCGCATTGCCGATATCTTAAGGAATCTAACTCTTGTGTGTGCATAGTATGAGTCGGTCGAAAAGCTGCCGCTGAAAATTGTTCCCTACCCAGAGAAAGTGCGTTTAATATCCTGTTCCTGGAATGCAAGAGAGCCTAAGACTAACACATCGTTGCACCAGGCTGCTGTTATTGAAGAACGACGAGGAGAAATCGAATTCCGAGTGGTTAACAATGATGGCCAGAGGGAGAGCTTTATCATTCTTACCGGACTGAAATGCATTTTTCAGAAGCAGCTACCGAAGATGCCCAAAGATTATATCGCGCGACTAGTTTACGACAGGACACATCTTTCTATCGCTATCGTTAAACACCCCTTGGAAGTTGTTGGGTTAGTATCAATTCTATTATTGGCTGTTGTTTGGCTACGTATGTATTGACGCTGTTCATAGAGGGATCACATATCGCCCATTCAAAGGTCGCCAGTTTGCGGAAATCGTCTTCTGCGCTATATCGTCGGATCAGCAGGTCAAGGGATATGGTGCGCATCTGATGTCTCATCTAAAGGTATTCAGCTTTGCACATTCTGAATATATATCTACAGGACATTAACAAAATACAGGATTACGTGAAAGCGACTTCCGACGTGATGCATTTCTTAACCTATGCCGACAATTATGCCATCGGTTACTTCAAGAAACAAGGTTTCACCAAAGAGATCAGCCTGGACAAGTCCATTTGGATGGGCTATATTAAAGATTATGAAGGTGGAACAATCATGCAGTGCACGATGTTACCCAAGATTCGCTATTTAGAATCGGGCCGCATGGTTTTGAAGCAAAAAGAGGCGGTACATGCGAAGATCCGTGCCTTCAGCAGATCACATATTGTTCACGCCCCTCCGAAAGAGTGGAAGAACGGCGTGACGAAGATCGACCCCCTGAGTATCCCTGCCATCAAGGAGTCGGGATGGTCGCCGGACATGGATGAGCTGGCGCGTCAACCCCGGCATGGACCCAACTATAACCAGCTGCTTCATCTTCTCAACGATATGCAGAATCATTCGGCAGCTTGGCCGTTTGTGCAGCCAGTGAATCGGGACGAGGTCCCGGATTACTACGAGGTCATTAAAGAGCCGATGGATTTGTCAACCATGGAAGAGAAGCACGAGAAAGACTTATATCCCACGCCGCAAGATTTTATCAGGGATGCAATGTTGATCTTCGATAACTGCAGAAGATACAACAACGAGACCACGCCATACGCAAAAAGCGCCAACAAGCTTGAGAAGTTCATGTGGCAACAAATTAAGAATATCCCCGAGTGGTCGGTAAGTCAATCGTCTCTCATTCATCGACAGGTAGTAGGTCAGTATTGCTAATATCTTTCAAAGCACCTTGCAGAGAATCATTGAGAAGACCGGAGACCGGCATGACTTATGAGAACAACAGTACTTTCTATTATTGCAATATACCTGGTGGATGGCGTTGCAGGGGTTTTTGCATTGGATTGGCGCATTTTGAAGTGAGCAATAGACAAATACGCCGGAATGAAATGATATTTAGATGATAGCATGCTGTAAAAGCACTCGGGCGCACTCCCTTGGTCGAATCAAATGGTTGTAAAATGTAACAGATGTCAAGGAACTTATAAGAAAGTGGCTTGAAAGTTGAGGTGGCTGGGGGCCCCCACGTGCCTTGTACCTGCCAAGACCTCCCGAGTCGACCCCTTTGAGAAGCAACAACACTCGGCTGTCCACAGACTTCAAATTCCAGACTCTTGCAGCACTCTTCCCTCGTTAATATTTCGACTTACGGCGCTGTGCGCTTTTGATTCTCGCTTTTCTTCTCCCTCTAACTCAACATTGTGGCTCGTAAACGACGATCCTCCAGGGGTTTTGCTGCTTTTTCGTTTTGACTGGTCGTCCTTCAACTTGCACTCTCTTTACCACTCATAATCAATCTTTCATTCCTCCTTGACCTGGGCTTTGCGCTAGAATATCGTGAATGCCATTTATTGGCAGCCTGCATCGAATTCTACAACGGGCCATTCACCGGCACAATGGCTTCCCTAACGAGCTTCGACCTTGAAAAGCGAAAGCGACTACCAACCCTCTTTGAAGTTCTTAGTCGATACACCCTCGCCCCTGTCGATCTGTTCTCATTTTACATTTACATGCGAGACCAACAGCGCTCGGTGGACTACTTAGATTTCTGGTATGGTGTTAGAGGCAATTGTTGTGGTTGGTGTGTCCGTTCTAATATATACTTGCCTTCTTAGGCTCGATGTCTCACAGCACATGTCTCTTTGTCGGCATTATGTTCGAGAGCTACGCCGCTCTGTTCTTATAGCGACACCTGAAGGTGGCAGCAGACCCTCATCAACTATCCTTGAGAACATTCCAGATATTCCAGTCGAGGCTGGCCCATCCGGCTATCATGCAGCCTCAAACGAGAAAGATGCGGACTCGCGGCTTTCCGCTTTCTTACGCTCTGAGAACCCAGCGCAGCCTTCCCCCCCAGAAAGCGGACACTCGGAAAAACATACACCTGAAGAACGACCGCCTCGTCCAAGCTTTATGAACTCGACACCTGAAACCCGCTACGACTCATCAAACTCTCCCGGTCATACTGTGACGCGAACGGACATTCGACGAAGCGCAGAGAAAATCTTGTATACGTATCTGATTCCCGATTCAGAGCGTGAGATTGTTCTACCTCCAGAGATGCTCACTTCAATCATTGACATGGTCGAACGTGATGCCCGTGACGATCCGGAAGTGTTTGATCAAGCCAAAGACTACGTCTTCCAAGCAATGGAACGAGACGCTTTCCCGGGATTTTTGCAGGCCAAGGCTCTCGGAAATCTTGTACCTCTGAGTATCCTAGCACGCCTAGCATTCGGTTTAATCAGCTTTCTGGGAGCGTTCTGGGCGTCGTTCTATGTTGTCTTGACAGATAAATCAAGGACAACACGATGCTGGGTAAGCTTATTGTTTAGGGTCCAAAAAATACATGTTTGCATTAACTAACAGGGTGCTTTTCAAGGTTATACTTCCATTCGCGGTGGCATCCTACTTTATCACAACATACCAATACAAGATCGACCCATTCATGGCGCTTCTAGGATTCAGCGAGTATACTTTCATGAACTGGCAGAAGATACAAGAGCCATACGTCGGTTCTCTTCTCACCCAGCGCGCTTTAGTCACTCTGGCTTACGCCTTCCTTTTCGCCGCTGCTTTGAGTATACTCTTTATCTTTGTGCCGGGTACTTATCTTTAAGGAGGTTGCTGGCTCTTTGTGACTTTTGGAACTTTTTTTTTTTTTCAACATGCTGCTGCGATGGCGTTCATACGGATATACCTCATTTCTTTGTTCTCCATTAAATCAAGAAGCGTTCTTTGCATTCACATATTCTAGCTGCTATCTGGGTTTTTTCCAGCATGATATGCGTCTGGATATTTATCAAAATCTTTTTGTTGCTATTGTGTTTTTGTGGTAGTTTTCGCCTAGCTTACTTTTTCTTCTTTCATTCCCTGTGCCAGATATACAATCGAGTTCGGATCGTGAGTTGATTTTGCTAGGTTTACTTTTTTTTCCTTTTCCATTTCCTAATTGTTATGTACGTAAGTGAAGCTTCTCGCCAGCTAGATCTGGCCTTGCATCTTCTTTGATATTAGTGTTAGAATTCAATCAATAAATAATATTAAGCTCTAAATCCTCTAGGTTTGAAATTTGTAGCTTCCGTGATCTTTGTAGTAAGTAATTCGTCAAGGTCATTGTCATTCATAGCTTTCAAAGAGTAATAGGGATACTAACTGCTAGCTAGTGTGCACATAACTAGAACATAGCATAGGGTGTTTAGCTATACTCCCGGTCTAGTTAACTCGTCTATTGAAATGCTCCAAATCGTCATCTTTTATGGCTCAGGTTTTCCTTCCTACACCAAGTAGACGCTTCGTTTGCCTGGCTGCAGCAGGTCCAGTCGCCCTTCCTGTGCTACTGCTGCCACCTAGACCTTCGTCAATATCCATACGAGAGCCGTATACGTCTAATCCGCCATCACTCCCATTTTCAAAGTAGCCATCGTCTTCATCTTCCAGGTCATCGGCGCTGTATTCACGTTTGTTGCTAGTACCACCAGCTGCAGAAGAACTACCTGGTCTGAATCCGGCTTTCGCCTGGCGAACACCGTGCTTGACATTTTTCCCACGTAGACCAGCGGCGCCAGTTGTGTTCTCGTTGGATTCTCCGTCCCAGTCAGCAATAGCTTTTTCCAGAGCGGCTGTACGTTGTCGGTCCATAATGGCGTTCTTGACGGTTTGATCTTTGATTTTTGCGATTTCGGCTTCAATCCCGTTGATGATGTCTCCGCAGCGGTCTTCCCATTCGGATAAGATTGAGATCATGGCTGATACGGTTTGGGCTCGCACGTCTCGTAATGGTGCAACTGCGGTAACGTTGACTGTCGGAGGGTTGGTAGCAGGCGAGAGCCGCGCCACGATTAATGATGAATAGATTGCTGTTGTGACGAGGGACTCGAGCTCGGCTGCACTGGTGATTGAGAGAGCTTGCATCAAACCCTGGTACGTGAGGGGGCGGAGGGTGCTCGACAACGTGAGGAGGGACAATAAACGGAGTTTTAGCGCTTGTTCATTATTTAAAGCTGGGAGTCCGGCTGTCTCTGTGGTATTCGGAAGATAGTCAATCAATATTTGTCTTCATCAAAAAGCTATTGTTTATTTAAAAGACCTCGGTCGCGAATGGATTTACCTTGATACTCCTGCCATGTGCCCCAGGCAAATATTTCAAGCAGTTTCAAATAACCTCGGAATTCTTCTGGAGTTTCTGATGAGCGCAGGGCCTGCACAGCGGGCGTTTCCAGAAGCTCGGCGAATACGTATGTGTTTGGGTTCGAGGTGGCATTTGCGATTATGTTGGCAACAAAGCGAGGCGAAGAGGCTGTAGATGATGTAGTCAGGTGTATGAATGGTTGCAAGGCCTCGAGAGCCCTGGACTGTGCTTGGTCCATGTTTGTGTTTGTCTGGCAGCTTTTCTCTTCTTTCGCGTCTGCCACAGTTGTGTCCCGCTTTCGATGGGTAGAATGATTTCAGGAGATACGTTGGTAGATTACTTCTCTGGGGGGGGGGGGTAGTGACAGTGGCTCCTTTTGTGAGTTCAAATGTGGTCTGCTAGAAAGTTGAAGTTCTCGCGCATGGAGGTTTGTTTTGATGTCATTTCACATGGGAGGTATTGGTTGAGGTCAGGAAGGTCCATCCCGCATCCCGTAGCAGAACGATTTGCATCACAGACAAACTTCCCCGCTGAGCGGTTGATAAAGACGATAAGCCCTAAGTAAGTTAACTAAGGCATAAATAACTATACATCGAAAGCCCTCGACATGATGTTGAGTTGTAAGGATCAGATATTTTCTGCAGAACTACTGGAAGAAAGTCTATTTATACATTTGAATTACATATCACATCCCGGGAACTGCTGCTCAAGTGCATGCATACAAACCCTCAGCCATATGATAGTAAAGGGCTTCCAGAGACTGGCAGAGCAGTAAACGGATTCACATGCCAGGTAGATAATAAAGACCCATCCATCGCAGGAAAAAAGCACGTTTGACAATGTTAAACGCCTCGCGCTAAAACGTAGAAAATTCCATGTGAAAGGAGATGAAGCAGACTGTGCTGCTAATAGGGCCAGCACCACATGTTTGTTCTTTCACGATTGAAAGGTTTACATGACCTGCTGCTAGTTAATGGAATGACACACGAATGGAATATAATGATACCACTTACCTCAGCGATGGACTGCCTCTCGATTATAGACTTTTGTTTCTCATTTCTCGAAACCCTGTAGTAGTAGTCGCTGAAATCTCCACACTGCATGTGACGTAGGAATTCCTCATCGTGAGTGATCACAATCAATTGAAAATTGGCCTGTTGCTGGCGAGCCTTGATAATGTCATGTAGTGATTCAGCCAAAGACCGAATGTTGTCCCGGTCCAAATTTGTCGTCGGCTCATCCAGTGCGATAAGTCCGCAATTGATGCCAAAGCACTCAGCCAAAGCAAGACGAATAATAATGCTAGCAAGAACCTTCTGTCCAGCACTGCAGCGACCACGCATGTCCATTTCTGCTCCTTGCTTAACCATACAGACGCGGTAGTTGTAGGAACGGTTTCCCTTGGCATTCTCATTATCAGAACGAATCAAAATGGTGTCCACGTCAGTGCCTCGGTAGGTTCGTTGCCAAAGCTCCTCAACAATGCGATTGATCTCTTCCATCTTGAGGCTGTGATACTTCATGATCGCCTTGTCCAAGGCGCCTCCGTAGCGACCGAGGTCATCCACGGCAGCTTTTGTGGTTTCCACCTTGATGTGAGCTTCCTTATACTTGACCGCTGCATCTTTGTAGTCCGTATTCCAATCTGCAAGCAGTTGCAAGAGTTGATCGTCCTTGGACTTCATTTCGCCCATTTTGCTTGCTTGCTGCGCCGCAAGTGCATTATGCTTTCGCGTCCATCGCTCTGACTCTTCCTTGAAACGACTACGATCAATTTCTGCGTTTTGCTCTTCCAATTGCTGTACCTCGTCTTCAACTTGTTCTAACATCCTACAAGATTGCCGGAAAGATAAATTGTCCGAGTACTGTCGTTTGGTGTTTTCGCTGTCTTTGAGTTGGGTAGATATTTTGTTGATTTCGCGTGTGACTTCGCCTTGTTCCGCTTCAAGGGACTTGATTTCTTGCTGGATAACATCTAGGTCCTTTCGGCTTCTGTCTAACTGTTCTGGACCACCACGGTCAGTGTATGATTTGATCTCATCATTGGCAAGATTAAGCTGATGCAAATTATCGGATAAATGGGTCAAGCCCTGCTGAAGTTCTCGTTCTTTTGCTTCAGCGCGCCGGCTGATATCATCAAGCCTAGCCTGAGCTTTTGCAATTTCCGGTTCTAGCTTCTCAATGTCACCATCGGCTTTGTCGATAGATTCACGCTGCTTTGCATTCATCTTCTTGTATTCCTCAACCCGGGAAAGAAGACTTGACTTTTTCTCGAGCTGATGGCTGGCATTGTCAAGGCTGCTTTTTACGTCTCTGAGCGCCAACTCGGCCCTGTTAAGATCATCTCGGGACTGGTCCTTTTCAGAAGACAGCTTTGAAAGAGTCAACTTGATGGCTCTGGACTTTTCCCCGATAGCTGCAATATCGTTCTGAATATCTTCCAAAACTCGTGAAGAGTCGCTTTGCTGTTGCTTAGAAGACACTTCTGCTATTTGAGAGCGCAGAGACTTAACCTCGCCGTCAATACGAACAATGGATGTAACTGTTCGAGAAAGAGATTCGATTTCTCGCTTCTTTTCGGCCCGCTCGTCCACGATACTATCGTGATTTTCGAGTCTTTTAAGGATGTCTTCCTTCTGGGATTGAAACTGCTCCTCATTCTTCTCAAGTTCGGGAATAGCGGTTTCCGACAGGCGCATCCAGGTATCATAATCAGTGCTCGCCATCCGAGCAGATTCATAATCTTCTTCGGCTTGCTTTAAATCTTCGTCCGATGAAGAGAAATTCTTTTTGATGAGGCCCTCAAGTCTATTTTTGAAACTTCGCATCTCAGTGTCGTTCTTAAACGGCCTCATACATGTTCTGCACATCTTTTTCTTGTCGAGGGCATCGAGGCACATGTTGAAGTATTCGTGCATTCCTGTAAATTGTTCAATATCCTTTCTGGTTTGGTCCAGCTGATTCTGCCTCGTCTGAAGAATATCTGAGAATTCGGTAGGATCATCGTCAATGGCATCGCGAATCTTTTTTACACACCCATCACGTTCTTTTTTCCGCTTTTCGAGTTCCGTTCTCGTATCTTTGAGTTTGAATTCAACCTGATCCAGCTCTCTCCCTACGCCGTCGCGACTGCGTTCAGCCATTCCCATAGTATCTGAAGCATCTCTCAAGACATTCTGATATTCATGCTCAAGTGTCTCCGGGCTCCATTGTTGAGTAACAAGCTGAGAGATGCGATCTCCATGAGCACCTGACATTGTCTCTAATTGACGCTCGCGATCTTTGAGCTCCTTCTTCAGATGATCAAGTCGTGCTAAGTCGCCCGCCTTTTTAGTTCCTGCAATGAGTTCCGAGTTGAGCCTAGTACTTTCGTCTTCGAGAGACCTGAGCTGGGCATTGGCATCTTGAATATCCTTATCCCATGTTGCGCTTCGAGCTGCATCTTTAAATCTGTCAAGTCGAGATTGGACTTCTTCCTTTTCCGACTCAAGGACGGCAACCGTGCCCTCGTCCACGACAATTTCATTTAGACGACTTTGAACTGCTGCTGCTTCCCTGTCATTATCCGAGATTTGCCTTCTAGCCACGTTTTTTAATTCTTGGAAGGCGGATTTTCGCTGTGCGATCTGGTTAAGAACGTTCTGGGTGTCACGTATACCCGACTGCCCTTCCTTTCGAGCTCGGTCCAATGCTTGGCTATGCTCTTTTATCATTCTCTGCATCCTGTGCATGAATTCGTCTATTTTTGACTCATCAAGCGTGTCTTCGAAGCCACGAATATTGTTCTGTCGAGCAAAGTCTCTGATCATGTTTTCCCGGCGTCCGACTTGACGCTCAAATTGATCTTTGTCATTTTCGTATTTTCCGTATTCCGCTTGCTTCAAACCCAACTGATCGCGAGCCGATTCAATTTGTTCTTTAAGATCTATATATCTTTCTTTGTGAGTATCTTCCTGTTGCTGATATTCTAGCTGTCTGGACTCAAATTGCTCGAGCGTTGATTGTAGCCATTCATCGGACTCTTCGACCTCGACAAGATGTCTCTTTAGATTGTCGATGGTAGACTGAATGCTTCTTGCTTCGATGCGTTTTCCTTCCAGTGCACCGATGACCTGTGCATAGCTTTCAGACTCTTTCCACGCCTTGTCGGCCAATTCGGCCGCGTTCCGCATTTCTTGGGATATTTTGTGTGTTTCTTCTCGCAAAGCTTCTATTTCCTCTTGTAACTTGATAGATCTTTTCTCTGCGCGATCTGCTTTGTCTTTATCTTCTTTGGAATGCTGCTCCATGATTTTGAATTTTGCCAGCTCTTCATTCTGCTTTTTCCGTAGAGCTTTGATGTTGTCAATAGCTTTGGTATATTTCATGGCTTCAAAAATCTCGTCAAATTTCTTTTTCAAAACGGATGGTTCGCTCATTGGCCAAAGGCTTTCATCCTGGTGACAGAATATGACAGAGTCAAGGATAGCTTTCGAGACGCCAAGATACTGTGGCATGATCTGGTCTAGCTCAGCAACGCGAGATGAAATGGCCGTTCGTTCTCCATCCTTCACCATCAGCAGCTGTCCTTCCAACGTTTTTTGTTGTCGTGTGGTTTTCTTCACAGTAAGCTGCAGGCTCCGAGTCGCCACCATCTTTGCTCCAGATGTAGCTTTGAATGCCAGTTTCACCTGGGCAAGAACCTCCTTCTCTCCGCATAACTAAAACCAATTCAGCGAGTATTATGTAGCAACTGAACACACATGGCGCACCTTGGGATCGTGAATAAAGGCGCCGCCCTTGCTGTTTGGCGGTAGGTCGCCGGTAGACGCATATTTAAGACATTCAATGATAGTCTGGATAAATGGTCAGAGATTCGCTCGACCTCGCAATAACTCCTACATACAGTTTTTCCCGAACCATTGTAACCAACTATCAGAGTCAACGGCGTGTGGAACTGGATGGTCTCGCTTCGGGTGTTGTCGAAGGATCGGACACTGCAGATACAAAAACCAGTCAACCAATAATTCAGACTTAAGCTGCCTTCTGGCCAGGATTCAGGCATCACATACCCCAGGATAGAGAGTTTATCGATTTTCGCTGCTCAAACATTAGTACATAGCCTCGGACATTTGTCCACGGGGGCTAATCATACACCTAAAAATGATGTCAGCTGTGTTTGATGGCTCTGCTCCGAGAAGAGATCTCACATCGTTTGTTGAAAGAAAGAAGATGAGACAAAAGGCTATAGATGAAACGATAGAGATGAAGAGGGCATTGCTCTTCCTTGTTTGTTGAACGGATGCTTCTCACTGATCTATCTATCGGGCAGTTGCTAACGCCAACACGAAAGGAAGGAGGAAGACGCGGGGATTGGCGCGAAAGCACGTGGTCTGGGCCCGACTATTAGGGGAGATCGCGCTCTCAGATCTGCTCCTTTCCTCCATGGACTGCTCTAAAAGCCACCCATTCGTGTCTTGGGATCTGCAGCCCTCCATGCGTTTCTCCTATCGGGCGGGCTTCGGAGAATCTCATCCACTTACCGCTCAATCGGAACACATTTTCATGCATTCAGCTCAGATAGCGCTGCATCTGTGCGCGGATCACGATCGGTGTCGGTATCCAGGGAGCAGGCTATGGACACCACATTGATTGCACCTTGACAAGCTTTGCGTTGGTATATATTGGATACTATGAATTGTGCTTGTGGGATCACACTAACAGGAGTTTCTCAGGATCCGTACAATACAGATTAGCCGCCGGGATGTATCTCAACAATGCGATCAGAAGCAATACAGCTTTTCAAGGCAATGGAGTGGAAGAAACCTTCGACATGGACCTGGAACCTGAGGATCTTGACGTTCTCTTAGACGATACCGATGACCAGGGAATAGAAGGCATGAATTCCGCGGACATCGAAATTAACAACGAGGACGATGGCTCGACCCTACAAGAGCCGGAGCCGCAGCCTGGCGATCTAGGAGTCCAGAAGAGCGTCACAAGTGCGGTCACTGATTTCACGAGGAGACGGAATTGGACGCAGCGAATACTTGCGGAGATGCGGGATGTTCTTGTTGTGTTAAGCCCGGATGGCAAAGTTCTTTATTCTTCCCCAGCGACGAAATCGATTACAAACTACGAGCCGAAAGATTTAGAAAGCCGATTTCTCTCCGAGCTCATGCATGGTGATGACCGAGCGGCTTTCATCCGGGAGTTCAACGAGTCCATCGCAACAGGCCACCGCCTTAGGTATCATTTCCGATTTCGAAAGCCCAGTGGAGAATTCACTATTTTAGAAGCCTCTGGCCATGCGCACATGTCCCGCGAAAAGACTACGCTTGGAACGGGAAAAGAAGGAAATCGCTGCGATGGCTTCTTCCTTGTCTGTCGCCCTTACCCTACTACAAACAATTCGCTTTTAGACTCTTTCTTGGAACACAAAGTTGAGAACATGCGGCTGAATAGGAGGATTGCTGACTTGAAGAAGGAAGAAGAGGAAGAACTTCGAGCTCAGCAGCAGTGGGTTTCTCAGTCCGATAACTCGGGAACTTTAAGCCCCGATGATGAAATCGAAGCTCACAACAGTGCGCCCACTGCTTTCACCGACCAGGGTATGATGCTGCCACCAGCCAGACCCAGTGTGTCGACTTCTGGGCAAAGCGGTTATACGTCATTGATGACAATGGATAGTAACATTGACACAATTTCTCGAAGTGACACGTCTTCAGTTCTCGATGGCATTGAGATGCTCACAGGCCTGCGGTATGGCGAAGGCGAACGATCAAGGGGCCTTAGTACGGGCGAAAGAGATGGAGCGTTGTTTCAGGAACATGGAGACGTCCATCATCTTAGCTTCAGCTCGGAGGAGAATGAGAAAAAGAAGAGAATCAAGACGACAGAAGAATATGTGTGCACTGACTGTGGTACTTTGGCTTCTCCTGAATGGAGAAAGGGTCCCAGCGGACCGAAGACACTCTGCAATGCATGCGGTTGTAAGTTTTGATCTTTTTCTCCTCGAAATGAGAAAAGATACTTGCAGTTACTAATAACTCCATGCTTATAGTGCGCTGGGCTAAGAAGGAAAGGAAGCGTCAGGGATCACTTCAGTCATCTAATCAATCCTGATTCTCTTGTCTAAATGACGAAGCGCGTTTCAGACAAAATACCATCGTAACAGATACATATTTCCATACTCCGGGATTGAAAAGAGCACAGAATGATATTATGTGACTTAATACGGCAAACAGCGAGGCCGTCAAACATACCACCGACATGCACATATCTACGACATATCATTTCATGATCAGACGAACAGTACAAGCACGGAACTAATGGGGTTACGATCTTTCCTTTTTTTTTTATTCCTATTTGTTTATAGGATTTGACTAGAGATGATTATGTTATTTCTGGGCGGTTACTTTCGGTTGATGGATCAATTTGTATTATTAGTTCTTCATTCAAGTGGTAATTTTTTTTTCTCACATTTACTACATGTTGGTTGAAGTCGCAAAACCTATAAAATTCTATAGCATACCAGATCAGCTGGTTGACGATTGAATACAAAAAGGCTCAAAAATATAAACGATAATGTCATTAATTTTCATCCAGTCATAGCATTTCAATAAAATGTGTGGTACTCAACCCGTCTCATTTTGTTCTGTTATCGGATGTTCACTCCCTGTTTCTGCGCTTGTTTCTGTAATAGAAGTAGACGCATCGACTTGATTTGCCGTAATGTCGTCAAGGATGATGTCGCCGTCATCACTAATGATGTTAGGCTGGGAAACCTCCTCCTTTGATGAGGTTTCAGCAGCGGAAACCGAAATATCCATTCCATCTTTCTCTTCCTCTTCTCCATTTTGAGATTTATTCGGATCTGGGAGTACCATTTGCACACCTTTGCCATCTTGCAATCCTAGATCTTCGACACCGACGACAGACGGTCCGCGTGCATGAGGGATCTCCTCTGGTTGTGGAGACGTTCTTTCGCCGTCCTTGCCATCTTCGCCCAGGGGCTTTGCGGTGGAGTGTGGTGTTTGTGAATTGGCAATTAGTCCCGCTTCTTGCTCTTGTCTGATAAGTTCGCCTTGAGTAACTGCCGCGTCTGTACGCACTGGTACAGCACCTGGGCGCATATGAAAATTAGCGCACAAGAGAACATCTTGCTAGAGTGGAGATGAAGCCGCGAGAAGGGGGGAATTACCTTCAGCAATCATCTCGGCTCGCACAGCTTCGAGGTCAGGGTTGGAGAGCCAGGGAATTGGCGTCAATAGTGCTCCACCTAATGACTCGTCGCTCCCAAGGGATTCATCCGTAACCATGAAACTTGAACTGGCGCCATTGGAAACGCCATTGGTCAGTTCTCCTTCCGCAGTAGGTGCTCCGGTGCGAGGTAGCGGGAAAATGTCCGCACTGCTAGATACCGATACTACCCTGTCCACGGCTCTCAGGTATGCCGGTAGGGTTCGATATTGGCGAGTAGGACGTAGGATTAGCTCTGCCAGTCGTTGAATAGTATGTGGTGGTTTGTGCACGAAATATGTTCGTAGAGTGCTCTTTATAGCGGCGAGGAGAGACAGGAGTTGAGGAGGCAAGGAGCTCGAATTGGATTGAGAAAGTTGGGTGTTTGGTGCCGGCCCACCGTTGTTGTATGGCGTTTGGTTTGCGGCGGGAGGGGTGTTTTCCTTGTTGCTGCTTTGTAGAGATTCGGATATCAGGTATTGTGAGGACGGGAACGACGATGGCTGGGAGGCGTCGGAAGAAGCCAAATCTTGAGGCACCTTTAGTACGGGGAATTCACTAAGGACGATCTGATCTCGTGTCAGCTTGGACTTGCGCGTTGTGACTATCGGGATTTTTTAAGTACCTCATCGAGGCGTTGAAGCAACGGTTCTAGCTGCTCAGGCCATCGGTCACTGCAATAGGTCAGTAAGATAAAATCATTGTCGGCAAGGTCAAAGAGGCATACTATTCCATAGACCCATCTTGGGCAACTTTCTCCAGCAACTCCTCATCTATAGGGCATTCTCAGCTGAAGGTCAATAGAGAACGCGGCGCGACTGAGCAAGCCCCTGCCCTAACAGCGCTGCTTGCAAGGTTCGAGTGCGGCTTAGAAATGAATGACTGGACACGCACCTAGAGGCATGTTTATATACTGCTTGTTGTTTTCCACAGACCAGCATCGACAGTTGCATTCAAGGCAATCGCGACTTAAGTTGCGAAGTCCGCCGGGCGATACGCAAAGCGACGACCGCCCGGCCGCTGATTGGCTGAGGCTTCGCTATCGGATTGGAGAAGCTCGCCAGATCCCCGCAGCACGTGAAGTTATGTTTTTTTGTTTTACACTTTTTTTCTTTCGGTATGTATTTGACTGTCTTTATTATCTTTTGTTATTGTTATTTATATATCTATTACTTTGTCTCGATGATTTAGTACCGATTGACTGCGTTAGATTTAGTCATCCAGATAGATAGTTAGTTAACTACCTTTCTAGATCATTTGCTTGTGGACGGTAGTTATATTCCAACGAAAAAATTGTATCAAAGACCATAAAGCGCGAGGGCAAGGAACCATATTATCGTGTCCTTTCCGTCTCCCTCTATACTTGTTACAAACCAGAACCATAGTGCATCAAATAAAACTCTTTCGAATCGACGAATCAAGGCAATCATGATCACGTGACCTTTTATCTGGGGAACCGTTTTTTCGCCTGTGAGTCAAAAAGTAAATCTGCAACAAAAAAACCAACCCAGAACAGCCTTCAACTATAGCCAGGCTCTGGGCCAAAACAAGATGTGGAACTCACCCAAAGTCGGAATCCTCGGTGGTGGACAGCTGGGACGTATGCTCACAGAGTCGGCCAATCGCCTCAATATCGAAGTGCATGTATTGGACGCAGCGAATGCGCCAGCAAAGCAGATAAGCGCGCATGACAACCACACAATTGGGCATTTCAATGACCAGGATGCGGTGCAAGAACTAGCCAAGAACTGCGACGTTGTGACTGCTGAAATTGAACATGTTAATACATATGCGCTCGAGGCTGTGGCTTCGCAGGTCAAGGTTGAGCCGTCGTGGGAATCGATTCGCATCATTCAGAATAAATACGACCAGAAGAAGCACCTGTCGAAATTCAATATTCCCATGGCCGACTATCGTGAGCTTGTTGGTAATACGCCCGAGGAGCTGGCCAAGATTGGCGAGCAACTAGGCTTTCCAATGATGCTGAAGTCTAAAACGCTCGCATATGATGGGCGAGGTATGATACATATATATATATATATATATATATATATTCTACAATTCAAGTTTACCTTAACTAACAATCTAAATACAGGGAACTATCCTGTCAAATCCAAGGAAGATATTCCTGCAGCCCTCGAGGCTCTCAAAGACCGACCACTCTTTGCAGAAAAATGGGCCCATTTCAAAATGGTCAGTTGTTTATCTCTCTTCTCTAATAAAAATTTGCATTTAATACTTGACTAGGAACTAGCTGTGATGGTAGTCAAGACAAAGGACAGCGTCCTGTCGTATCCCACAGTCGAGACTGTTCAGGAAGACTCGGTTTGCAAGCTTGTATATGCCCCGGCTCGCAATGTGTCTGATGCCATCAATAAAAAGGCCCAAGAGCTTGCTCGAAATGCTGTGTCGGCATTCGAGGGCAAGGGTGCTTTTGGGGTCGAGATGTTTCTGCTGGAAGACGACTCGATCTTGCTTTGTGAAATCGCCAGCCGAGTGCACAACTCAGGCCACTATACGATTGAAGGCTGTGGCCTCTCCCAATTTGATGCCCATATGCGCGCCATCATAGATCTTCCCATACCCCCGAAGAGCCTGGAGCTTCGACAGCCGTCTATCATGCTGAACATCATCGGCGGTGCCACCCCTGACTCCCACCTGAAGGCCGCAGAACATGCTCTCTCGATCCCGAATGCTAGTATCCACCTCTATAGCAAAGGCGCCGCACGACCGGGGCGAAAGATGGGCCACATCACCGTCACAGCAGCGACCATGTACGAGGCCGAGACGATTATTCAACCACTAATCGACGTCGTTGATGAAATACGCGCCCAACGCAGCGATGTCAAGACCTCCAGCGTGAAAGCCGGGTCATCCAAACCCACGCCTACGATTGGTGTCATCATGGGTTCGGACAGCGACCTCAAAACGCTGGTGCCTGGGCTGAAGCTTCTGAAAGAGTATTTCGGTATCGACCCAGAAGTAGATATTACGTCAGCCCATCGCACGCCAGACTACATGGCTGAATATGCCTCTAGGGCTGCATCGAGGGGTATCAAGGTCATTATCGCTGCTGCCGGAGGCGCGGCGCATTTGCCTGGCATGGCGGCGGCGCATACTGCGCTTCCGGTTATCGGTGTGCCTGTCAAGGGCAGTGCATTGGATGGAGTTGACAGTTTGTACAGTATTGTGCAGATGCCACGAGGTTAGTCTTTTGTCTTTTCCCTCTGGCTCTTTTCTTTCATTTTTCCTTTTTTTTTCTGGAAAACTAGCCGACTGACTGGTATCAATACAGGTGTCCCCGTTGCCACTGTTGGCATCAACAACAGCGTCAACGCCGCATTGCTAGCTGTTCGTATTCTCGGGGCATACGAACCGGCGCTGCAACGAAAGGTTGAGGAGTACGCGAAGAACGCCAAACTAGAGAACATGGAAATCAAGGGGACCAAGATGAGGGAGATTGGCTGGGAAAAGTATTTTGAGCAAATGCAGAAATAATTTTTGTTTTTCTTTCTGTCTTTCTGTCTTTCTTTTCTATTTTTCGATGATGATGAATAAAATGAAAGTAACTACGTCTTTTCCTAAGCCCGACGGTCACATAAACCAGACAGTGACACGCACCGGCATTCAAGCCACTCGCTTGTTCCAGCGTGTGGTACGTACTTGACGCAGGCTAACGAAGCGTGTCACTTAACTAGATGTGATAATAAAGTCCTTGTCCCGCGCATCCCGATCTGCTTCTACTCTTTGAATGGGATTATTCTCCGGATTGAAAATGCAACCGGCTCGATCGAGGAATAGGATCAGCCGATACTCCGGAGTCCGGTAGTTTCTATAACAGCGCTTCTATAATAACATCGAACATACTACGGTGATCGAACTAGGTAGTTAGTGCCAGGTATTCGGATCCCGGAGCCATGTTACTAACTGACTATCTAATTCCCCCGAGACAATTGAATTATTATTTGGTTGTCTAGGGAAGATTTGAAAAAGAAACAACTCTTGTACTAACTAACTAATCAACTTTCGAGTCAATTCGCATATGCTTACATCGACTGATGTAACGCGCAGGATGCTATAAAGTGCAGAGGCCTACACTACATAGATGTAACACCATGACAATCGGCTAGCCACTGCAGTAAGGATTTAGTGGTTAATATCTCTGTATTTTTTTGAATTTTGAGAGACATGTGTCTAGCAGGAGATGGCGATCATTCGAGTTCAGCTGGTTCTCAGGTAACACGCCCTGTGTACCTGCATTCCTCCAGCACTGCCCGGGTCCTTGCTCAGACTACGTAGGTACTCGACATCTTGAAACTTCAGCTAGTTAGTGTCCATGAAACATCTGAGTAATCGCTTAACTACGTGGGACATTCCATGTTGGCATTAGTTTGGGTTACTGGACTGGACTCATGCATATTTGATGTTGCGACTATTCCACTAGTAATCCAGTACGTAGCACAGCATTTGCCACCTAGGGGACGCACGTATCTTTTCCCTCACGCAAGGAACCATATCAGTTGCTCTTCTCGGTTAAAAAGTCTGTATGAGAGGCACAAGTTTGAATTTAGAAGTATAACCCTAAAAGATTAAACTCGCTCTCATCTGACTGTGATTGCTGGGCTGGTGTATTTCCCGTGGACGAATATGGATCCGTGCAGACTCCATATTTCATGCTAGTAATGCTGAATACATACATACATACATACATACATACATACATACATACACATGGTAACCAACATAGTAAGTTAACTAGTTAAGTAAGACTAACAATGGCTCTGCGATTAGTTAGTGATAAATTGAACATTCTGACTTGCCATACAAGTCACTATGGGGCCGTGCTGTGGCAACAGGCTAACAACAATACTCCGTGCTTCGATAATTGTTACTCCGCCATAACTTCGATACCGTCTATATATGGTAGTAGCAGTAATAATCATCGAATACTTTAGTGAATTAATAATAAGCAAGTAATAGTTAGTCTGACAGGAGAACCTTGGATGGCCGTTGTGCTAAACTTAGTGCACGATAGCACTCTCCACTTGTTATGCCGCTGACAGTCTGGCATGCTGACTTCGAGTTTGTTGACAGACGGGGAGTGAGTAGGACGGAACCGAGCTGAAAAGATGGAAATAGCACGATAGAACAAGAAATAGAATTGCTTCAATAGAACAATTACAGCGAGAAATCACACAGAGAGAGGGGAGAGGTTAATAAGCCCCGAAGTTCTAGCCTGAAGATTCAAAACTTAATCCCAATCCGATTCACGGACTGTATCGATGGTACGGATAAATTACCGCCTGCCTTTATTGAGTTTGGCGCCCGGACAAAGCCGCAACCTAAACTGAGGATTGTTCTCGACAAGGTAAAACAACAATAATATGAATATGAATACGAATCGTGAATATTGCTCTTTATTGTCATTGCCCTTGCCACTAATTCTAAATTGCCTTGGGAAGCACTATGGAATATTCCATATGCCAGTAAATAATAGACTCAATGCAGATGTAATTGTATACACCCACGCCAAGCCGCCTCCACGCTTGGCTCCCGCCTCGACTGCGTACCCGTACGTACGGTACCGTACTGTATGGGTGGATGGCTGATGACGGCGCACTGAGGTGGACGCCGTACGCCTTACGAAAGCCGTAAAATACCCGCCGTAAACGTACGTACCACCCGGCTACTCAATCGACGTAACTTCAATGATTGTGCTGTGCCCTCGCTCTCCCTCACTCACTCACCCTCTCTTTCTTTCTTTCTGCATCTCCTAACTACTCCTCCTCTCGCCGTTCCTTTCTCCCTCCGTGCCAAAACACTCGTTGTATCCTGTCCCGCCATGCCCTAACTGTGAATGCTCGCTTTGTTTGTCTCCTTTGTTGTTCTGCTTGTCCCTCTCTCTCTATGGAGCTGGGATCCGCCATTCGCCTCCACCCTGCTGAGCCAGCTGCTCCTTGATACGAGTTTCTCAACACCGCTGTTTCACGATCGTGACCTCGACAAGCAAGTAATTCTTTAGCAAAACCGCCCTGCCATATTCGCCCTCTTCTTCCTCCTACATTGTTGCATCCCCTCTCCTGCCATGGCTCTCGACGTCCCGGACACCGGGCTGTCTCTCTGGCGTGGAGACCAGTCCGGCGGCCTCTCTCCGGATCCCCATGCCAAACAGACCCAGATCATGCGCCTGAACCTCGCCCAGAACACCATGGACGAGCTCGTGGAGAGCCTTCGCAACGACCAGAAAGCTCGATTGCGCCTGGGCAAACACCAGACTCTCTACTACGGCTCGAAATCCCAGCAATTCCACTCCTACCTCGAACCTCACCGCTCCGAATTGTACAAGACCACCTCCGCCGACCGAGAAAACCTGTACTTTTCCGGTGTGCTCAGTCACAGCCTCGAGGTCCAAAAAGCCAAGGAGGCTACTGCTGCCACCGACGAAGCCCTAGCCAACCTCGAACAGAGTCTAAGTGCTTTTGAACGGGGCAAGGAATCTAAAAGGACCCAGCTGGTCAACCTCAAACCGGACGATCGACGATCCCATTCCAGGGCCCCTCTCAGCAAAATAGATTTGGACAAGGAACGTTTCTTCAAAAACCGCTCTATTTCTGGCAGCCCGTCCCTGGGTGCTATGCGATCTCCAGCGTCTCTGCCTGCCCTCACTCCCACCTCGGTCCCACCTTCGCAGAATAAACGCAAGATACGACTTGAGGCCCTGAAGACACCGTTCATACATCTCCTCGCAGTCACTCCAGTCTCTGTCAAGTACCTCGCTCAAACGACTCGCTCGTCACAGGAAGACTGCCTTGAACTAGCCAGGAAGTACGGAGTTGAGAATCGAATCGATCCATCCAAGTTCAATCTGAAGGATAAGTGCTACAAGGAATTGGATATCTGGAACTTCCCATACCCAAATGATTCTGACCGCGCCTCGGCAATTGAGAATGCCATCTCAGCCTTTGACCGACAACGCATCTCCCCGTCAGATAAGTTGTGGCAGATGCTGAATTCGAAAGAGGAGCGAACCAAAGGGGTATGCAAATCGAGACTCAAGCTTCAGACCGGACCTCCACCACCGCCACCTCACATCAAAGTGCACGCATCTGAGGAAGCAGGGAAAGAAGACTACCTGACAGGCAACGAGACTGATCGGACTAACGGCCGATTGACTCCGACTACTACTGTTACAACACCAGCAGATCACACAGCAGCAAAGCCTGCATCTAAGAAAATGGCCACCACTACCAAAGCCAAAAATTCTACACTGACAGGGCGCGTGACAAAGAAGGCCGACAAAAAGCCCCCGGCAAAGCCTACCGGCAAGTTTAAGTCAGCGGAGTTTGTTCATGATTCAGACGAAGATATAGACATTCCCGATGCACCACCCGCTTCTCCTCCACCACCAGCCAAGAAGCCCCCGAGCTCGACGGAAACAAGCAAAGCTCCTCCGAAACCGCCTGCGACTTCAAAGACTAGTTCTGCAGCTCATTCACCGGCAGTCAAGCCTCAGATTACGTTGAAACCTCAACCGCGAACCATCAAGACCATTCCGGCAAATACCAATGGAACCGCTTCGAAGACATTACCAGGAACCCGAACAACAAAACCCACATCTCCAGTTAAACCGTCTCCATTGGCATCTTCTCCCCCGACCAATGCCTCTGATTTTGAGAACTCCACTCATAAATCTGGGCAGACTAGTTCTTCTAGTTCGTCACCACTCATGGCACAAATGGCGAAACAACCAAAAGCAAAGCCCGCCGTTGCCCCCAAACCCAAACCGACGGTGAAGCAAAATGGCACGGCCAAGCCCGCGATGGAGCAGACAAATCCATTGAAACGGAAAGTTGCGCCCGAGCCCACAACTACAGGGCGTATGAACCGACATGGCGATGATATCAAACGCCGACGACCACCGGTTCAGTCCATGTCACCGAGTGGCACGAGTTCTGGTAGTGCGTCACCACCGCTCAATCGGGAACATCTTCGACAGCAGCTGCAGCAGAAATCGATGGATTTTAAGAGGCTCTATTCTAAATACCGCAATCTCCACGATTCGCTGGTGAACCAGATGGCGCCGACGCCTTCAGATCTCTCGCGCTTGAAACAAATGCATACCAAGGTGCAACGGATGAAGAAGGAAATATGGGATGAGGACCGACGGCTTCGGGTTTAACCATGTATTTCTGCTAAATAGTTGTTGTTCTTTTTATTGTCTGTAAAGGATTGGAGAAATAAATAAATATGCATACAATCAATCATCGACACAAAAATATTCTTCAGTCAATAATAATCCACAATAACATGAATGTCAGGTGGAGAAACTAGCGGATGCCAGCTCGGCCGCTAGCACGGTTACCGTACGATACGAACCAGACAAACACGCCCCGTCAGCACGTGGCTCGCCCGCTTCCTTGTTGTATCGTAACATCGTAATCCGTATTTCTAAATTACCGCACAACCCGCGTAAGGCGCCCCAAAGCTTTGGTAACGCAGTGACCGTACTGTAAGCTTATGTAATCCTCATGCAGGCCGACGTCGAGAGTTGCTCGCGACGTCATGAAGCAAACTCCAACAGTCAGTCGTTTTACAGATACATCTCCCGCCAATCTCTTTGCAGACAACCACAGGAATAAGATACTCTTACGATGGCTGTGCATATACTCAATCACGAAGTATGAGAGGTTTTTTTCTTCTTCTTGTAATCGCACTCTCTCAATTGATATCGGGATTAAGAAAAAATGGCGCCGCCGGAGTCCGGAAGACGAAATCCCACCGTATTGGTAAGTGCTCTTTTTTCCTCTCTCCCTCTCTCTCTCTCTCTCTCGTCTACCCATCGAGGCACTTTTAATCCCTAACCATCTTTCACTGAAGGTGACGGATTCTCGCGATCAACATGCTCAGCGATCGAATCGACGGGCTGCGGCCGCTTTGCCGGCAACGCGTTTGATTACCGTCGATAATGTTTTGCAGTACGCCTCGGATATTCCATCTATGCAACAACGCCGCCCGATGCAACAGCGCCCGCAAATGCGGCCCCGATCACGTCTCTCTGCGTCAACTGGTCTTTCAGGTGCGTCTTCTGGAGCTAGTGTGTTGGGGGGAGGAGGCGGAGCAAATATCGGCGGTGTTGGTGGTGCTGTTGGTAGTGGTGGCATAGGCCCTGCAGGCACAGCAGGCAGACTGGCGGCACAGGCTCGTTTACCTTCGCGCTCGACGAAAGTGAGTGAGAAGCTTGTGCTGCTGCCGGATTTGCAGACCGAGGAAGACGAAGAAGATAGACCAGCCGGCGTAGCAGAAGATGAACACCTGCTCGCAGCTCCGGTTGATGAGGAACTGGTTCGCAGAATCGCGGAAGAGAGGAATATGGACCCGGAAGAGCTGCGGCGACGTTTACAGGTAGCAGTACAGCAACGGCTTCAGGGAGACTTTGGTGTTGATAATGATCTTGCACCTCTGTTGGATCAAGAAGAGGCCCTGCGACAGCGATTGGTATCCCCGGAGAAAGCAAAGAGCTACGCGGAACGATTGCCCAAGGCTCGGAGAGCGGAGAAGCTGCCTCGTGTCACGGCATTTTGTACCGCGCAGGGCTTCAGGATGGGTGCTACGGCTTCTTTTGTTAAGGAGTGGCATGGTGCTAGGACGAAACTGTACGATGACTGTCTTTATACTGCTTATCATCTCCCTCTTCTGCCGGGTCGTGGGGGTTATAGATTACGCAGCAGCCCTGTTTTGAAAGGTGCTGGTGGCAGGGTGGTGCTGGACGAGGAGATTGAGCGCAGTGAGCAGAGGGATTACCACGATGAATATTACGTGGATGAGCACGAACACTCAGTTGGCGGCCGGCGAGACGAGCAAAGCAATGAGTCTGAACGAGATCGCAGCAGAGACTACCAGGAAGGTAATAAGCCTGATATACAAGAGGATACAGATTCAGGAGACAGTCGGCCTACAAGCAGCAGCGAACAACAACAGGCAGATGCAGAATCTCCTGGAAAGCATACATCGTCATCATCGACAACGACGGCAACAAGCTCGGCAACAAATCGACGCATGCCTCAAAACGTATTCAACTACGCGGAGATGTTCGTCTTTAGCTATGGCGTGGTTGTATTCTGGAACTTCACAGAACGACAGGAAAAGGATATTCTGGCGGACCTCACATTTTCGTCATCAGGCGCAACAGGACCGCAAGTCCCGCTGGCAACACAGCCACTTGCAGAGGAAGACTTTGAGACGGAGGAATTCCACTTTGAGTATTCGACTGAAATCTCTCGTCCGCGGGTCTACAACGACATGATCACGCTACGGTCGAGAGACCACATGATCAAATTGGCGATATCGCATGGGATTGCCCAGAGTACGAAACTGTGTTTCTTCGAAGAAGCCATGGCCAAAGAGATGACGGAAGCGAAGGATGTGCCGCGCCGGCTTGCCATGACGGGGAAACTGGGGATGAAGCGCGATGAAGTGTTTCGGATTCTGGGAAGACTTTTCCGGAGTCGCGTTGAAGTGAACTTGTGTAAGTTTCTTTCTCCCCCTTTCCGTACTCGTTACGGCGCTAACATAAAGTGTCATTAAAAAAAAAAAAGCATCAAATATGTTAGACGTGCCCAACTTCTTCTGGGAATCCGAACCAACACTCTACCCGCTCTACATCGCCGTTCGCGAATACCTCGAAATCAAGCCGCGCATCCAAGTGCTCAACGAGCGCTGTCGCGTATTCCTCGACTTGACCGAAATTCTTTCAGACTCAATAGCGGATAACACCGAGTCACGTAAGTTTTAATCACACGCTCTTTATATATACATATCTGACTAGTAGGTACACAGATCAAACATGGATCATCATCGTCCTTATCGTCATATCGATCCTCGTCACAACAGCCGAAGTCATCCTCCGCTTCGGAATATTGTCTAGTAACCAGGCAGCAGCCAACCCGGCCGGTCCGTCATTTGCGTCTGCTCTGATGATGAATGTGCTTGGGAGATCGTCGTCGTCCTCGTCATCAGCAACACCACTAATTGCACCGGGGGCCGGGGATGGGTGCGTCTGTCCTCCGGGGACGTATAATTCTAGTAGTTTTTAAGTTGAACAAAATTAAATGTCTTAGTACGATAGTTACATATGCCGTACATGGACCAGGTAGATAGATATGCTCTGTGTATAGCCTTGCAAGGACAGTATAATACAATAGACTAATATTCACACACACACACACACACACACATATATATATATATATATATACAAACATAGAGTAATAGTTATTAACTAGAATTAGACAGCTTAGTTAGCAGAAGCAATGATAAAAACACCAGTATTTTGTCTTGAATATGGAACGCCAGAACAAAGGAAATAAGAAATACCTAGACAAATGAAAAATAAAAAAAAAAAGGGGG